CTTCCCCCGGATGCCGATCCAAGCTTCCAAAAGTACGGAATACAGACTGCCCACTTGTCGTTGCCCCATGGCCGGGACATGGTCCCCAGGCTACCTTTCCCTGCATGCTGTGTAATGAACTACGGCGTTTATCGAGAATGATGGGCGGTGTGATATACGCCAGGACGGTCTGTTATTAAGGTATAGGGGTGTCCCGTGGGCTCTTTTTTTCTGGCCCGGGTTCGCAGCATAGTTCGAAGTTGCATTGATAACTCCTCGAGATGAAAAGAAAAACAACCAACAACCCCAAGGCAGGCGGCCAAAGTTGCAAACAACAAACAAAGAGCGGCCAACAATTGTAATAACAACACACAGACAGGCATGCGTCAGCGCATGCACTCGGACACTCCATGCGACCCGAGAAGAGTGTGTATTGAGGTTGATATGTACTGTACCTTGCGTACTCTGTATTATATTCACGGTGTATACTCCGAACGCACACACAATACAGCCTTGGTTCATATTTACGACTCTAATTTTGCTGTCTCTCCGGGAATACACGGAACGTTAGCTTGAATCGGGAATGAGACCCTGTCGCTAATAAACAGGAAACAACAGACAACCGTTAGGAGTATTTTATAGGTGTACGGATATGTACATGTATTCGTACATTCACTACATACTCCTTACAATACGCAATTCTAGCCCTCTTTCTGCCTCACACACCCTCATTGCTTCGTATTTCCCAGTAGTTAAAATGCTAAATCGGCGACTTGACGACGGTTTCGCGTAACCTTTTCGCAGAGACGGTCAAGGGCGAATGACATAGAAAGCGTGATCGCGTAGTTAAGGTTTGTGATATTGAACAGGTACCCACCTCAATTCCCCGCCTCTTCTCCGTTTCCCTCCCTCCTCAAACAATAACCTGCTGTATGCCGTCATTTCTGAGCTCTTGACTTTGGCCGTCGCCGCGCTTGAAGGCTCCGGATTCTGGAAAAGAGCCCAATGCAGCAAAGCAGAGGAGACGACGAGGTGCCCAATGTCGCACCTAGCTTACCACACGCCTGCCTCCAAGCCGGGTCCCTTTAGGTCTTGGTCAACATCCATTGACTCTGCATCTCACGCACAGGCGCAAACACACGCACATGCACGCGCAAACAGCCACACGTCGTTTCTACAATGTCCATGCGATGCCATCACTGGGAACCGGTCCATCCCAACAACCCGTCCCGAGGTGTTTCGTGTTGATGTTGTATTGCACAAGTACCAATACCATGCGCGAGTGCGTGTTTCCGGATGGCCTCATTGACGGGCCGTCCTCGTCCTCGTCGTCGTTGTCCCCGCATTATAGAAGGATTCTCTTATTTTCACGGTTCAGTCGCTTCACCGAATCCGTCGTTCCCCTCCCGCTCTCTGCGCCTCCGCGGTTCCCAAATAGAGCAAAGGTAAGCAGACAGACAGACAGACAGACAGACATCAAGATTCCATGTCGACTATGCACATGCACCAGGGCCAGCAGCAAGCACCAAAGTTTGGTTCGAACACGCGTCAAAACGGCGGGAATCCCCAATGGCCCACACCCCTTCCCGCCTCCCAGAAGAAGACGGCCACTCCCACAAATCCCAAATCCCATGTCCCATATTCCATTGAATGCTTACGGGGTGGCATGTTTCCCATTTAGCCTACTCGTGGTTGGTTTTTTCTCTCTTCGCTCCCCGTCGCCCCCAGGGTTTTGCAATCGTGAAGTCAGCCCTCCAGGGCGTGACAGGAGGCTTGTCCACGCGCCCGCCACCGCCGCCGCCGCCTCCGCCTCACTTCCAACTGCTGCCTCACCGCTTGCTCTGCGTTGTTCGGCACTCTCCTGTGCTGTCCCAACATTGCCATAATCCCCTGCCTGCCGCACAATTGTACGAAGGCATTGTTGAATAAACCACCTTCCCCCTCTCAAAAGAAGCCGACCTGGATCGTGGGATGCTAGCATCTCGTCTGTCATAATTCTATGACCGAGTGGCATTAAAGAAGCTAGGTACAAACTATGTACGTGCATAGTACATACAGACGCGGGAACCGATGTGGGTATTCCAAAGAGGCGGGAATCTAGCTTACTTTTCTCTTTCTTAGGGGTTAGCAACAGCCTTCTCTCTCTATCTTTGATGCCCTTCATCCCATCGCCAAGACGTAGTAGGCTACGTCTTTGTCTTTTCTTAATGTCTGGGAAATAATGTCAAGATTATAGCTGGAGCTAGCTTACTTAGTCAGGTAGCTAGGCGTTGAGATACTGACAAGAAGAGCAGTTAAAGGAGGCACGCTTCGCGTAGATCTGACTCATCAACGACGGCTTGGTTACCCACCATTTTCGACGGTTGTTGCCGAATCAAGTTGATCCTTTGCGGCGTCGGGAATGCGCCAGTGATCATGGGGGAAATCATAAGCGGCTTCGGGCAACAAATGTCCGCAGCCTCTCGCCGAAACAGGTGTTGCCTCGACCGCCACAGATATATTCACAAAGTCAGCTAAACAAATGGCGGTCTCGCTAATCGATTCAGAAATAACACAGGGGCTTCACAGCGTGTATATACGAATAACAGGCCTGACTTGCGTAACAAGTCGTTACCCGCACTTACACTGAAGAGACTACACACTCTAGACCCCAATACCAAACATCTCTGGGGGCCCTAACATACATGCCCCAGCTTTTTAGCAACAGAAGCAATCCTCCACCAGCCCAGGTGGCAGGCCTGGCGGGCTGCTCCCGTCTTCTTCCACTGCTAGGCCGCCGCTGTGGCGGCCCTCGAGTGACCCTGGTCGACAGATCCTCCCGTTGTCGGGCTGTCCCAACTCATCATGGTCAACGCGACCCCCTAGCAATTCAAAGAATGAAAAATATAAATCCAACGGGAGGGAAACCCGAGCGGGCCGGGCTTGTGCCCCACAAACTACGGGGCAGGTTATCGTGCTGACCTTATCGGGGAAGCTGTGTTGTTTGGACCCTTGGGGTAGTCGGTTTAAATATCTAGGTATCAAAAGTTCCGCCCGGGGGGGGGGGGTTTGGCCTTGGCTTGTCGGCCTTGCCCTGGGGACTGTTGCCGGGACAGGACCCGGATCGGTGCTCACCTCCTATTGATGAGTGGCACAACCTAGAAGTCGGGAGGGGAGGGGCAAAAAAAGTAAAAAAACCCCCCGCCAAAAAAGGACTGGAAATGCGGGGGATTACCTCCAACGTATTACATATACACAATGGGCCTGGTGCAATACCTAGCCCGTAGCCTGCCTGCCTGCCTTGATTTCTTTGTCCAGTCGAGCTACCTCAGGTTGGAGTGGTGGACGTAAGGTAAGGTACGTACATATGTCGGGTGTCTGCTGCTGTTCGATCGGGCGGCGGCAGTTTTGATAGCGTCTGATCGACAGCCCGCGACGGGAGAGATTCCAATTCCCACAATTCCCAGAGAGCACGAACCGATCAACCACCCCGCGCCCCACCAGACGGGACCCAGGCGGATGATGCGCCTCAGGTCCTCTCCAATTCTTCAACGGGGTCTACCTCGTGCATACTAAGGTGAACCTACAGTACCGCCTAGGCCGCCGTCAGATCAGGGAGACGCAGAGTATCCGCACTGTGCCGCACATACAGAAGTGTATGTAATACAGCCCAGATAGTATTCCGTCTCTACAAACCTATGAATACCCTGTGATCTGAGAATAAACCGGCATCGATAGAGTTCCCAAGGCTTCCCAATACTCATTTTTTCCCCAGAGTTGAATCGCTCTTCTAATTCAGACATTATGAAGTTCGAACACATTTGGGATTGGAAGTCAATGACCAGGATCAAACTCAGGACGGAGTACCCGTACCAGTACCTTTGTAACAAACATGCAAGAACCGGACCGCAGCGAAGAGGAAGCTCGGGCCAGTATGGCTGTTAAAGACCGCCTCGTCGTTCAGTTCTCCCATCGATCGTCCCGCTTTCTCTCTCCCTTTTCGGTCGCCATCGATTTTTCTTTTCTTTTTCTATCAGCGAATTGTTTTTTTTTCCATCTTTTCTTCTGCATGACAAGCCTTCCTTCGCGAAACCCAGGTTAGCCCAGCCCAGCCTTGCCCCACAATGGGGTCTTCGCTTTTTTTTCTTTCCTTTCCTCATCATCTCATCCTGATCGCGCGTCGCATCTCATATCGCTGCAAGCGGGCGATCCGCCCCATCGTCAGGAACAGGCTAATGAAGGCGAGTAAAAAAAGAAACCGTGGGGCGGCAATACCCCGCGCGCCCCTCCTCACCCTTTCTAAAGGGACAGAACAATGAGGAAAAGATGCGCACTGGCAACAATCCCCGGTTCCTGGTTTTGTTGCTGCTTTCTCGGGACACCCACTCATTTCCCATCTCCCTCTGCTCCCAGTGATCAATTCACTGTTCGCAGAACTTCTCCTCCCTTCGCTTGCCAGCGCGCAGCTGCACGGCAGCTTTTCTTCCACTGAAGACTCGCATCCCCCTAAAGGACGGGGCCCTGCAGCAGAGAGAAGGGGGGAGGGGTGGGGGAAATGGAGCAGCGTGATTGGCCAGCTACTAAAGAAAAAGGCTAAGATCCCGGTCCCAATGGCGGAGAGGGACGAAGGAAAAGTACGAGAAGGGTCTTGTCCCCTTTGTGCCTTTCTTCCCTTCTTCTCCTTGCCCCCCTTCCTCCTTCCCGGTGCCTCTTCAAGGCCCAAAGCTGGATTTGAACTGTACCTATGTACTTGGCGTATACTGCATGGTACTTACATGCCTAGAAATTCAACGCAAATAGCGTTCTGGGACGAGCAGCGAATCGCGGCTGGTGGACGCTGCTGGTTCTGCTGGGCCCTGGCAACAGGAACTGATAGCCCCCTTGACTGATCTCCAATGCACGTAACCCCAATCCCTGTCCGGCGTTGCATGGCAGCAGCAGAAGCAAGACAAGCGATGGCAGCAGCAGGCAAATCGAGGCGAACGAAAGGGAAAAAAAAAAATGAAGGTGTGGTTTTTTTTTTGCAGTCTGCCTGGTTTTCTTCTTCTCCTTCCATTTTTGGTTTCTTCTTCTATCGTACGTGCACGCACCCATGGTATTGAGTGCCTTTTTTTTAAGCCTCCCTTTTCTTCAACGCATTACGGAGTACCTACTATGTAGTTGCTCAGGTTCCGGCGTGCCCTTCCTTGATGGGCCGGCCCCGGCAATGACAACATCATTGTCGCACGACATATTCCCTCCCCCCCAATCCCACGGCCCCGAGGCTGACAAAAATCAAAATGGCCACTTGCTCAGTCATACTCTTGAAGCTTTTTGCTTCGCTGTCAGCAGGGCCGGAGTGTGGCGCGGGTGCCCCCGCCAAGCCCAATCCGAACTCGCTGCCCCCCTCCCCTTTTTGGCACAGGCCCTTTTTGGCACAGTGCTGGGATGGCAGACAGACATCGTCATCTCTGAACACGGATCAAACAAGAGGCTGCGACAGGGCAGCTTATATGCCCTTGGATTGCCTGCTCTGCTCTGCAGTTGGTCTGTCCCAAGACCTTGTCAAACTACCTTAACTATTACTTAGGCTTTGCTGGTGTTCGTTTCGGGGTTTAGAAACTGGCCAGCACCAAAATCCAGTCACAATTAACAATAAGACGGAATCTGTAATATCCACAAGCACATCTGTGAATGCCAAAGTGCAAAAAGTACATGTAGGTAGTTACCGAGTCATGTTTCTCCAAGGTACTTCGTACTATGTAATAAATCTCCCTGCCTGCAGGGCCTGCAAGAGTCACCTCAGCAGCTGACTGACCTGGACTCACCGAGGGCGTCTCACCGCACTGCACACCTACACCGCGGGGCTTCGTTGATAACCTAACTGGTCTAAGACATCACCTAGAGCCCAATCTTGCCCTTGACTCGTGTGTATGTACATGTATACTGTGTAAATGTATGTGCTGGCGGGCTTAGCTCCCAGGGGGGATTATGGCGCGTGCAGTAGCAAAAAACGGCACGCCCAGTGCTTTTTTTTTCGTTTCCCCTTCTTCTTTCGGCAGGGCGGTCTGGTCTGTCTGACTAAAAAGAAAAAAAATACTATGGAGGGATGGATCATGTCACGGGCAGCCTCGCCGAGAGAAGGGAGCCCAGGGAACAGGGGATGGGGAAGGCGGGGCGTGATCGGGGAATGACGGGCAAAAAAAAGAGAAATGGACGGCGTGTGACGCATTTTTGACGAGAGAGTTTGGCAATCTAAAGAACCTCCATGCCCCTCTCTCTCTCTCTCTCTCTTTGTCGCTCGGTCTCTCCCTCTCTCGGCCGGGGCAGTGTGGCGTATGTGTATGTGCATACAGGCCGAATACATACAATACGTTTGAGTCCGCGCGGGCCTGCCCGGCTACAGCTGGCATGGCTGTAGTGGTTGTATTGGACTGCAGGTATTCCGAATGTACATACATGTTATGTCGCTTCTTTCTTGACGTTGTAAGCGCGGATAATTATTCTGTCGGGTGTGTCCAGGCCAAGACAGCAGCAGGTATGGCACCGCCCGCCACCGCGTGCCATGCCAGCTTCCTAGAATGGCATGGCAAAGGCAAGGTAGGTGACTTAGTTTGTAGCGAAGGAACGGCCGTCTCACCGTCAATTCGGGCTCGCTGCTCTGGGAGGCAATTCAAGCTTTGTTCTCCCCGGTCGTTGGCTGTTGACAAGCGGACGGGAGGACCAGCCTACTACCTGAACTAACCCCGGTCGTGAGAAGCGCGACTCAACGGCTTTTTATTTTAACTTAGGTTGTTGCGGGGCTGTCCGCGGACGGAAGCGAACCCAGACATTACCTTATAGCTAGATCCCGTCCGTATCCGAACTGTATCCGTGCTCCGTCCGTAGGTATGCGCTAGCGTAAGGTAGATAAGGTGGCCTGGAGTCACTGAACCAGGTGAACACAATACACACGAGTGCTAAAAACAGTGGGCCGAACCCCGGACTCGTCCATTGGATTAATTCATCAAAGCCCGCGCAGAGGGGCTAGGTTAGGTAGGTACCTGGTACGGATACCCCGCTGCCGACTTGGACGTCGTTATACTCATGGTCGGTCTTCAATTCGCCTGACATGTTGCGTACCTAAGGTATCGTGGGAAGCTTCAATTGAACGACGTCTCCCGCCCGGCATAACGACTTCGATGCTCAGCAATAGAGCATCGCCGACAAACCGGTTGCTACTGACAAGCTCCTCCAGGTTCAGGTTCGGACGACACGGCCACACCAACACACCCAGTGCACCGCAGAGTCAAACGGGTGTGACGCGCCTCTTTCCTTTTTCTTGTTCGTCTCGTGATACGGGTACTGCTACACGCAACTCAGGTGTTACAGCAGCTGCACGGACCGTAGCCATGGCGCCCTCGAAGTCGGCCACCCACTTTCTCGACTTTGTGGATGCCTCTCCCACCCGTAAGCAGCCCGCATTCCAAGTTCTGTGAAATTGACTTGACTGACTCCCATGGGTAGCCTACCATGCCGTGGCCGAGTCTGCCGCCCTGCTCCAAAAGGCCGGGTTCCAGCTGCTCCGCGAGCGCGACAACTGGTCCGCCGCCTCGTCGGCCGTCAAGCCCGGCGGCAAGTACTACCTGACGCGCAACGGCTCGTCCATCGTGGCCTTTGCCGTCGGCGCCAAGTGGCGGCCCGGCAACCCCATCGCCATGGTCGGCGCCCACACCGACTCGCCCTGTCTCCGCATCAAGCCCGTCAGCAAGAAGTCGGCCAACGGCTTCATGCAGGTCGGCGTCGAGACCTACGGCGGCGGCATCTGGCACACCTGGTTCGACCGCGACCTGAGCGTCGCCGGCCGCGTCCTCGTCAAGGACGGGAACGGCAACTTTGAGCAGAAGCTCGTCAAGGTCGACCGCCCCATCCTGCGCGTCCCCCACCTGGCCATCCACCTCAACCGCGAGCCCAGCTTCAACCCAAACAAGGAAGACGAGCTGCTGCCCATCGCCGGCCTGGTAGCCGCCGAACTGAACCGCACCGGTGCCGACGCTGACCCCGCCGCCGCTGACGCAAAGGACGAGCCCGAAGCCAACTTTCAGCCCCTCAAGGCCCTCTCGGAGCGCCACCACCCCTACCTCCTGGAAGTTGTCGCCGGCGAGATCGCCGTCGAGCCCTCCAAAATTGTCGACTTTGAGCTCGTGCTCTACGACACGCAAAAGTCGTGCCTGGGCGGCCTCCACGACGAGTTCATCTTCTCAGCCCGCCTCGACAATCTCAACATGACGTACTGCAGCGTCATGGGCCTGATCTCGTCGGTCGAGTCGGCGAGCCTCGACGCCGACTCGAGCATCCGCCTAATCGCTTGCTTCGACCACGAGGAGATTGGCTCGCTATCGGCTCACGGCGCCAACTCGAACCTCCTCCCGGCCATCCTACGCCGGCTATCGGTCCTACCGCCAGCCGTGTCCAAATCATCGTCAGACGGCTCGTACGAGCACGTCGGCGACGCCGAGTCGGCGACGGCTTTCGAGCAGACGCTGAGCACGTCGTTCCTCGTATCGGCCGACATGGCGCACAGCGTGCACCCCAACTACTCGCGCAAGTACGAGGCCAACCACCAGCCTGAGATGAACAAGGGCACCGTCATCAAGGTCAACGCCAACCAGCGCTACTCCACCAACTCGCCCGGCATCGTGCTCGTGCAGGAGGCCGCCCGCCGCGCCGCCGTCCCCCTCCAGCTCTTCGTCGTCAAGAACGACTCCCTCTGCGGCAGCACCATCGGCCCCATGCTGTCCGCCAAGATGGGCGTCCGCACCCTCGACCTCGGCAACCCCCAGCTGAGCATGCACAGCATCCGCGAGACGGCCGGCTCCCACGACGTCGAGCATGCCATCAGGCTGTTTGACAGCTTCCTCAGCAACTACTGCGAGCTCGAGAGCAAGATTCTTGTTGACTAGTGGTAGTTGTGAATAAGAGAGGGCGTGTCGGTCAGGTATAGGTAATAGCCAAAACGAAAATACTGAAAATACTTGTGTATATATGGGGTTCGCTGTGCAAAGTGTCATTTATTTATTCATCTTAGCGGCCAGTCAGCCAACCCCTTGGACCATAATAATACAAAAGGCGGTTGACAGCTATACGATGGGACAACGAAGCCCACTCTGTGAGCTAGTCGGTAAACCATTCATTCCCCCCCCCCCCCCCCCCCCATGATTTATATACATGTATGCATGTCTGTATATGCATCCATATCCTGTGCCACATCCGCCCCGTCGACGGCCCGTCTAATGATATATGTCTAGACGACTCTCTCACACCAGGCTTCAGATAGTTACATGCGGATTTCTGGCAAAGTCAGTAAGCCACGGCCGCGGTTGCGGTGGCGGCTGCGGTGGCGGCTGTGGTAGCGGATGCGGTCACGAGGCACTTGGCTGACTAGCTTGCTAGCTGACAGTCAGACTGATTTATTGAAGCATGGGTGTTTGTATTATACATGCATGCGTGGCAGGGTATCTATCTAGGCTGGTAGAGATGCCTGTCTATATTTGTAGATGCGGCTTGAAAAGAGGGGAGAAGATGTTGTTTTGTTTGGATTCATCCCCTCCTTCATCCCGTTTATTGTTTTGCTCGGTGTGGTGACGATGTGGGCTGGGTTCGGTTGTTGGCTTTCATTCGTTCATTCATTTACTTGCTGCTTACCTATCTTATACAAGGTAACTATGTACGTGCGTGGACATGTACTTGCCTTGGTTGCAACAGAAAAGATATGGTGAGCCGATGGTTTGCCTCTGAGTCTGAGTCTAATTAGGGAGTCAATAGCTGGCCTGCCGCCTCTAGGTTGGCAGCAGCACAAAGGGGTAGCTACCTAGTTAGCCAGAGCTTTACTTCCGGGTTTGAATCCTGTTTGGAGGTAGTAGTATGCACGTTACCTCTGAGTTGGTAGCAAAAAGGGAGGTACCTAGTTGGCCAATGCTGTACTTCCGAGTTCGAGTCTGGTTACGAACTAGTAACCGGCTTGTTCTCTCCAGACTGGCAACAGAAAAGGGGCTAATTTATGCGTGGTTCCTCCCAAGAAAAGCCCGAGTTGAGAGCCAGTTATTGTGCTGTTATGCCTCAGTTGTGGTCTAGACTATCAATCTACTCAATCATACTCTAGGCATGCTCCCAGTTACAACTCAATTATTTCCTAGTTGTTCTCTAGTTGCTACCCTGTTATAACTCAATTATTCTCCAACTACAACTCCGTTATCCCCCAGTCACGACCTCGTTGCCCCCCAGCTGTAACAAACAAGAACCTCTAACGCATTCAACAACTCGCCCCTGTTTCTCAGAGGGCTTTGTAACGGAAACGACACTGCCTCATAATCTCGGCATACACCACCCACACTGTACACCGGGGAGACGTTGACCCCTATTTCCAGCATGCCGTAGTAGTGAAGACGAGAAAAAGTCTTTCAAAAGCCTCTTAACAGCTACGTACCTACCATCCCGACCAACCCTTCACGCATGTTTGAAAATTGGGAAGAAGCAACGCATCACCTTCACCGGATAGCAAACTACACCACACACCACACATCACATACCTCGGGCCGAGTTCCGCTTTCAACATCTTGACATGTTTGCCTGTATATAGGTCTAGATATCGCTGATACCCGCGCTCGACCGAGTTCGAGTTCGAGTTCGAGTTCGTTCAGCGTTGAGACGATGACGACGACAACGCTCTACCCAACCCAACCCAACCAACCCAAGCATCAGATCAGACGCTGGCTCTCCTCCGAAAGACCCGGGGACACACCGACCTCCGCTGCAGTCAAAGAACGATACAGCGTGACCCTATAAGTTCCATGGAACATGTTTGAGCTCCTTCCCGCCTCCCCGGCACCGGCTCGCGAACCAAAGACCACCGACAAGGACCATCCTCTAAATCCGGTAGGCCCAGTCTCGCCTCCAAGACATGCTCTCCTCCCGCTATGCGCACCCTCAGAGAGACGGGTATTCCAAGCCACCAACGTAGGGCGAGAGAGAAAATAGGAGATCTATCTAGTTCCAAAGTTGATATATGTGTGTGCATTTATTTGTCTTGTGCCTCGCTATGTCTGTCATTCTCGTCATCCAGACCCCTCCACCGCCGCTCCGAACCACCAAGAACTCCGGCAATGCATAAATAACTTCTCGATTACCACTCCGAGTAAATTCAGAAAGGTATAAGTTGGCTCTCGGCAGCTATTCAGAGCTCACCTCTTCACTGCTGTATCTAGCTACGAGCGATTCTTTAATAGATTCTGAACATACGTCGTCAAGACCCTCCGGTCTGTCGCCGTTGTCAAAACGCGCACAAACTCGGAGCCGTCTATTCCAAGCGGCGGCAGCGTGACGCTCTGCAGATGGCGAATGAAGGCATCTCCAATCTTGGTGTAAATGGTTTGTTGGAGACCCGTCACCTCGTTAAGGATCTGCCTCGTCTGCGCGTCGCTGAAAGGCTTGAAGTTTGGATCCTGCAAGACATCCCAGCACGCCGTATGGAATCTATCCATCATGAACTGGTCAAACCCTTGAAAGGCAGGCGCAGGAGCCCCAGTGACTGTGGGACTCTCCGAGACTGTCGCAACGTCGGGCCCACCCCACTGGGCAGCCATGCGCGTAAGAACATTAAATCCGGTGCGGCTGGTCCCAAGGTTCGCGTGGATGATCGTCTTGGATATTGTGATGATGGACGCGACGAGGGAGTCGAAGATGCCCTGGTTGGCCGCGCTCACCAGGACGCCCCCGAGCTCGTTGGCGAGGATAACCTGCACGAACGAGACGTACTCCCGCCGCAGCTCCTGCAGCTGAATCTCATCGTCGGTGCCGCTGATAGGCTCAGACAGGCCAACAAATACCCGCTCAAGCAGCGGCGTCAGCAGGAGATCGAGGATGGTATAAATCTCACCCTTGAAGTTGTAGACCACCTGCTCCAGCAATCGGAGGAACATGGCCATCTCGTCTTTACTAGAGCTACGAGATAGCAATCCTTCGATCCACTGAGGGAGCTGCGGCAAGACGGCGGCGCCAAGAACACCGAGCAGCCGCGAAAAGGCCGAGCGGCACGCCGCGCGAATCTCTCCGTTAGAGTTCAGCTCGTTGAGAGCAATGAGGATGGCCTCCGCAGCTCTCGAGAACTCGTCCGAGATGACCTTAGGAGGTGGCGGCTTTGTGCTCGCCTGGTTGGAATTGGAATCGGCAAAGCCGCTTGCCAAAGTGCCCAGAGCCATCACGATGTGGTGGATCTGCAGAATGGCCTGCGCATCACCGGCCTTTGCCCGTGGCAGGTGCACCCTCATGTCTTCAAAGAGCGGTGCCATGACCGAGTGTGCGTAGGCTGCCTGGTCGGCGGCCGGCGTGGCCGCGGTCGAGGATATACACCCGATGGCCTCAAAGAGGTAGAGCTGGCTGTTGAACACGGCGTCGGCTGAGTGGTCTGATTCATCCGAAGACATGTCGTCGTCGGCATCGTTGGCCGGCATCTCTGCCTTGATTGGCAACAGGTCGCTGATAGACTCAATGACCGTCTTGGCCACGTTGCCAACCTGTGCCCTCAGCTGCTTCACAAACCTCAGGAACAAGTACCAGGACCGGGTCCGGATCCTCACGTGCTCGTGATGCACCAGCCGCACAAAGTTTTCGAGCACTTGGGGGATATAGCGCTGCTGCGTCTCGAAGAAAACGTAGTACCGGACGCAGATCTCCATATATTGGAGCAGAATGGCCGGATGAGGGTAGTTCGCAATGCCTGCAGACGTGTAAGTAATAGTCCCTATCAAGTAAAGACTCTGGAACATGTCCCACCTGACTCAACCAGTTTGCTCATCATAACGCCGAGCCGGTCAACCGCCACCGCGTTTGGCTGGCTCTTATGCGCAATCCCAGCGTTCGGCAGAGCCAGTTCGCCAAATAGATAGATCTCGTGAAGAGCTAAGTCAATGTCTCTCCAGTCCATGTGTGATCCTTGCTGCCCAAGAGTCGAAAACATGTTGCCAACTAGGTTGCTCAGAAACTCAATGTAGAGATCCTGGTCGACGGCCGCAACGCTTTTCTGGAGAATCTGGAGTCTCTTACGTAGCTCCTGAAACTCGGCCTCATCTGTCTGCTCGTCTTCATTGCCCCAAGACGACGTCTCGTCGTATCTCATTTTAGAGACAATGGCATTTAGGATCGGGGGAAGCATGCCCGCATACGCCGGAGGGAGGGTGCCAACCTTTCGGAGGAAGGTCAACAGATCAGTGAGAGACGGGATGACGGTCGAGCAGATCTCGTCAAATTCGTCCGTGAAAAGACGCAGGAGGGACGGCAAAAAGTCTCGGAGCAGCTGTTCAGCCTTTCCTCGCGTGTCATTTTCAACCTTGTTGTCCTCTAGAACGCGTACTACATCCGCCATGATTGTATTGAGCAGCTTGGCCACCGCTTCGGCGAGGTCCGTGTCATAGCGGGGAGTGCCCTTGAAGTCGTTGAGAGGGGGGCTCGCAAGGAGCTGCGAGATGATTTCGCGGAGGTTGAGGAACACGATCATGTCCGTCTTGTCACTCGCCTTCATCTTCTTGGCCACGATCTCGGTCAACGTGTCGACAGCCGTGTCCCTCACCTTGTCCTCGCTCCCTGTCGGGCTCGTCCGCCCGATCAGCGGCAGCAAGAGATTGAGCATTTCCTGGTTGATCACCAGCGAGATCTCCGTCCAGCTGACCCACTTGCCTATGACTTTCAACGTCATCTCGACCACGTTGTCGTCGCGGTTCCCGTACTTGGCCAGAACATCCCGCCACGATTTTGCAATCTTCTGCATGTCGCGCACCCGAACCAGGTCCTTCAGGTCGCTGTTCCGCTTCGGCTCGTTTGCCTGTCGACTCAGCGACAGGTCCGCAATCTCGTCGTGGATGGAGCCGATGATGCGTAGGTACATGACGACGCCAGGGTTGTTATCCTGGCTGTCTGGCGACAGGGCCGCCAGGGCCAGGAAATCGTCGATAAACGTCTCCCAGCCATCCTTGTAGAGGGCAACGAACAGGTTCGTTAGGGTTTGGGTGAGCTTGTTTTGGAGGTGGGCCGGGTCGACCTGCTCCTGCGGGTTGCCGCCGTAGGTTTGTCTGATGTATTCGATGAGCGAGTTCTTCAGGAAGAGGAGGCCGGCATGGTCGAGGGCCAGCGCATTGACGGCATTGTTGATGATTTCGAGAGACACCAGACGGACGACCTCGGACCGTCTCGGCGTCCGGGTGAAGAGGCTGGTGCAGACCTGCCAGGCCTGCGAGTCGGTTCGGAGCTGGTTAAGGAACTCGAAAGCCTGACGCTGCAGGGCCTGGTCGGCGTTGGGATTCCAGCCGATCTCGATCGCGCTCTCAATCTAAGCAAGCAGACGATATCAGCACTGGCTAGTCTGGCGGCGACGAGCTTTGGGGGGGCCCATGTGTCATCGGTTTAGGCACACAGCACGGCTGCCCTGCCCTGCCGGCTGCCCGCCTTGGGAATAGATGGACATTATTGTGGTGGGGTTGGGCGGTTGGCGGTGCTGCGGGGATTTGGCCCAGCGGCGACGACACGACCCAACGAGGGGGAAAAAGGCGACAAAAAAGGATCCCTACCTGAATGTCCATAGCTTGACTGTCGATGTTTCAAGGACGGGGAGTAGGAAGTCCAACAGCAGGCGGGTGGTGGGTTCTGCAAAGCTGCTATAATTTGGGCAGCCGTGTGAGAAAGAGATCCGGCATTCTCAGGACGGGCAGGTGTGGCGCCCCAGTCGCATGCTCCCAGCCAGAACCTAGTAGTACCTAGGCCTCCATCTGGTATGTAATATTTACTTTACTGCTTAGTAGGCTCGGGGGTAGCAGAGGCAAAAAATGTGTGTGCTGGCGAAAACGGAGAGGAGGAGCTGAGGAAAGCCTCGGGAAAAAGAGAAGCAATATCACGTTTGGCTAATAAAAAAAGTCGGCGGTGTCTACAAGAACAAAGACGGCCTAGAATTGAGGCACAGCTGAAAGAGGCGGTGGGGCGTGAAATGAAAAGGTCAATCGATTTCGATCTGCCCCCGCCGTTTCTCTGTGGGCTGGAGGGGCTTAGAGTGGACTGACGTTTGACGGGGTTCCATCACGCACGTGCCACGTACCCTTAAACGCCTGTTGTCTCGGTACGTAGGCACCTAAATATCCGAGCCTCGAGGCTGGCCCGGGGGCTTGACCCGCCAGCTCCTCATGCTATTAGTGAAGAGTCAGGTTACAGAGTGCAGACTACGAGTCATCCTGATATGAGCGAGTAGGAAGAGCTTACTCTCCAAAAACGTCGACTGAGGCCATTGTGCAGCAAACAAGAACAGTAAAAGACCTTTCTTAGCAAAAAAAATAAAGGCTATTTAGGATATCATCGTTTCCCCCTTTTCGTGAGTGTGTCCGTAATTATTCGGAAAAATCATCGCAGTTTGCCCTATTCGGATTGGGGCTTCAAAGCTACCAACATGGAAGTGGCTAAATATGGATGTCACTCCCCGATTCCTCGCCACGGACGACATTTAAATACCTTACACGCATGGGCCCCCATGCCACCCCGGAACGCCAGAATACCATACCGCCAGAAATTATTACCTCGTCTCACTGTACCGGCGAAGTTGTCTAGCCCGCTAGCGGTCCGTTTACTCAAACAGTCTTTTTCTTCTTCTTAGGTGGCGCCTTTGCCTCTTTGCCTCCTTCGTCGTCGTCGTCGTCGTCGTCGTCATCCACCTGGTTGTCGACGTCGCTTTCTTGGCTGCCAGATCCATCGCTCTCGTGGTTGCTGTCATACTCTTCGGCAACGTCGCTGTCTGACTCGGCGCGGAAGTCATCGTCCACACTCTCCTCATCCTCGTCGGCCGAGCCCCTGTCTGCCTTGGGACCGACCACCTCCTCCTCGGAGCTGTCCATGACCTCGTCTCTCATAGCTGCGGCCAGGAGATTGGCGTCCTCGTCAATCTCATTCTTAACGCGTAGCCCCTTCAGCTTGAAAAAGTCCTCCAAAGCCTTCAGGTCTTCACGGTTAATGTTACTGAATTGGGAAGATCCCGCCCCGTTCTTCAAAAGAACGGTAATATCGAACGTCGAAAGAGCAGATACCGCACCACCCACACGTGAGAACGTGACCGATTGAGTCTGCTCGTACGAGATGTAGGTGGCTGGCTTGGGCACAAACATAAACGCCTTCTCCAGGCAGTAGAGGAACCCCTCACTGGCCTTGATTGAGCATTTGATGCCGTACTGCTGGCGGTGACTACGGGAAGTGTCAGTAAGCGCACGAATCAGTGAAAGAGAGTCACGTTTGGAGACCTACGTTGTAAAGTCCTTCGCTGGGGTGGTGACCTTCTTGTTCGCCAAGCCCTTGAAGATGTATGTGACGACCTGGTGGAGCGGCTGTTCGTAATGGCCCAGCAGCTTGTCCTTGTACTTGCCGTTGAGCTGCTCTTCAGAGAGGTTCAGGTCGAGCGTAACCTCTTCGTCCTGCTTGAACTGCATGACAATGAACGGGTACCGGGTCTGGCCTTGGCGTAGCGGGGGGTCTAGTCCGATGCAGAGCATGAAGTGAAGATCGTCGGGTTTGGGAAGTACCATAAACTTCTTAATGTGCTCGTACTGAAGCTTATAGTCGTATGTCTTGCCGCGGAGCCGGAATGATGCATCATACATATCGATGTCGAATCGACCTCTGCGTGCCGCGTTAGCAAACCATCAGCACAATGAGTCACAATGAGTGAAGCTACACATGACCAACCTTGGCGTGAGATGCAGGACGTCCAGGAAGGTGGCAATGGTGTCGCCAGCCGTTTCCCCAATGTCCGCCTTCTCGATCAGCGTATCGTAAAAGAGCGTCACTGCGTTCTTTGCTTCCTCGTCTGCATCGCTTCCAGCTTCGCCCCCCTCAGCCTCTTTTCTCGTCGTAGTGCCGGGAATGTAGAAGCGCATCTCGACCAGCTGATCCTTCCCGGCCAGCGCCCTCTTGCCCTTGCCCTTGCCCGCGCCGTTGTGGCCGTTGGTCTTGTCGCCCTCGGCGAGCGCGAACTCAATGGCGATTTCATTGCGGCCAGCGAGGTTCGTGTTGGATATCTCCGAATAGGGGACCTCGAACGACGGCCGGTTCTGGACGTTGAAGGTGAGCTCGGCCTTACCAAACTCGGTCTTACCCCAATTCCAGCCGCGCAAAGAGTGCTCCTTGTTTTCGAGGTTCGTGCTGTACCAGTTCTTGAAGATTTTGCTGAGGCGCTCGTAATCCTACAGCGACAGACATTAGATTAGCATCAGCGCCTGGTGTCGGTACGTATGCATCGACGTGTTTCGTACCTCTTGCTGGAACCCGTCCAGCTGGGTGATGCCCGAGTTTCTCTGCAAGATTTTCACCTCGTAGCCCTTTGCAGCCCTGCTCCAGTGTGCGTTCGCAATGTTGCTTTGATCGAGGGTGAAGGCATCGCCGCCGCCCGCAGGCTTCCAGCCCAGTCCGTTCTCGGCGAACCTGCACTTGCCATTCTCCTTGGACAAGTCCAAATAGATGTTGTCAAAACTCTCACTGGGCATCTTGTTAGCGGTGTTGCAAGGCGTGCGTCGAAAGGGACGGGAACTTTGGGGCAAGGCCGAGTGGGGTTTATGCGGTCTGGGGTAGAAAGAACATTTACATACATAGCCGCCATCATGGCTCAGCTATCAGATGCGCGCGGAATTAAGGTAGTCTTGTTGAAGGTTAAATGCAGCGTTGTTTGAGTGAGTAGAGCGTTTTGACTTCGCGCTGTGTCAAAGACGAAAAGCGTGACGCGACTTGGAATAATTTAATCGGCATGCTCTTTGCTTGGCTGCACCTATGCGCCAAGAACTGGGGCGTCTGTGGCGCAAAGTGGCGCCTACACTCGTGTCCCACATCCGTCTCTGAGATGCCGAACACTGAATTGTAGCTGCCTTAAAGGCTCTAATAAAAAACTTGTTCTTTAAAAATATTTCCCCTTATTATTTTTTATCTATCTGTTTGTCTGTTCATCATATTTCAAGAACGTACTCCAAAGGGCGTATTCCATAAAGGAGTCACAATACGGATGAAGAAGTGGCTTACACTCATCGCGACATACTTTGTGCCGCAACAAAAACATTAGATGCAGCAGACTAGATTATTTCAACGAGGGAGCAGAAAGAACTAAATCAACTCACAGGAGAATAATCAACTGCAGTCATAACGAGAAAGCTATTCCCGCAATAGCCTATGTACCTAGTGAGTGACGTCTCCCGTCGGAGAGAAGACTAAAGTTAATTACAATTAGTGGCTGTTTCCTATCGCCGGACGTGCGGTTCCAGGGTTGTCGCGGGGCCTTTTTGTATGCGAGGCGTTGCGCGTGAGTGAGTGTATGAGCGGCCACGACACAGCCAGCCCATGCGACCACGAGTTTGACGGTGAGACAGACGATGAGATGGATGATGGCTCAACCTAGGCCCACCCCTGGCGGCCGCGGGGTCCGTCTGCCTGCGACCAGCCTAAACCCCCAGCAGCAGCTCTCATTGCATGTGCAGAGACGGAAGTGTGGACGTCACGCGTCACCGTTCTATCCTGTCCAAAGGCTGCCTGCTGAAGAGGAAAGAGCGGGTTTGCATATGCGTTTTTTTGGCGGTGGTCCCGCGACGATGAAAAAAAAGCCCCGAGATGGATGCTGTAGCCTACCGTGCCTAGAGTTACACATGGCTTGCAAGTTCCGGGTGATGAGCCAGCCACTCGTCAATGGAACAGATTACAGCCCGGAGAGCTTGTCGAAATCTGCGGGGACGACAACCAGAGCACGACCAACCCTGAAACGGGAAATGGCCCAGCAAGGCGGGTGGTGTAAGTCGCGGGCTTGCAGAGCAACCTATGTACCTGCAAGTCCATACAACGGTCCGACGATGGGGCGGCCATGGCACGGCCAAAAATAAGAGAGAAAGAGATAGTATTTAACTCTATATCCCCACGGCCCGCCGCCGCCATGACAACGCGGTGCTTTTGGTCCCGACTCCGGTTGCTTCAGTCGTTTTTCGTTTTCGTCATATTTGCACGGGCTGTTGGGAAAACACATACACGCACACGCACACACGCGAGCGCGAAACGCCCACACACATATCCATAGCTGCGGCTAGGGGGGGGTGTAAGTTACCGGACTTTTTTTTCTTCTTTTCATTAAAGTTGCCGGAAGGGAGGTTAGTTCATCACACATAGCACCACACAGCGTGTGCCCATTCGGCCTCCCCCGCCTAAATTCGTGGTTGGACAGATATTCGCCTGATTTCCACCATCAAAAATCACCACCACCCACCCATCTCAGTAACCGCCGCGCCACATCCTCTCCGAGAGGAGCGACTAGACATTGAATTCCGTCTTTACCGGGCCTGTCATTGAGCGGATCCGAACACTTTTTTGCCCTTTGATTTTTTGTTTTCCTTGCGCCGCGGCGCTACTCCTCCCAAAACGGTGAGGATGAGCTATCAGCGACCCCTCCGCGGCAGCTGCCACTGCGGCCGTAATCGTTACATCATCCAATTTCCCAAGGACACTGTCCAATCCGCTGAGGTTCTCTTCAACTCGGTCCCTTCTCACCGTAAGCAAAAAAAAAAAAAAAAAAACTCCCTGCGCTGCTTTTTATACTCGATATGAAGTGATCACTTGGTTGTCATTAGTTTGTATCAATTGCATAGAAGCACGCAACACATCTCTCTTTTTTTGCTCGTGGGCCGCATTGACGTTGGTTTTTGTCCATCTACAGGTGTCTTACAAGCGTCCCCGCTCGCGGCGTTTCTGCGGGTGCCGCTGCAATGGTACCACAGCACGACGCTAGCCTTCTACCCGGACGAGACGAGCTCCATGATCCACCGCGTGTACACCTCGCCGCATGAGCAGCACGCGATGCGGCACTTCTGCGGCTTCTGCGGCACGCCGCTGTCGTACTGGTCCGAGGAGCCGCGCAGCGAGGCCGACTTCATCCAGCTGACCCTAGGCAGCCTGCTGCCCGAGGACCTGGCCGATCTGGGCGAGTTTGGCTTCCTGTCGGAGCCCGACGACGACGACGATGCGCAGGCGGCAGCCGGGAAGATGATCATCTCGCCGCGCATCATGAGCCCGAGGGACACGGACATGGGCATGCAGGACGACGTCGTCGGCTTCACCAGCGCCGGTCGCCAGGTGGTCGGCGCCCTGCCGTGGTTCGACAAGCTCACGGCGGGCAGCCGGCTCGGCACGCTCCGCGCCCACAAGGGCTACGGAGGAAACCAGAACGGAACCGTCAGGGTGGAGTGGGAGATTGTCGAGTGGACACCGGATGATGACGCAACCTCGTCCGGCCGAAACAGCAAGCGCAAGCTCGACGACGTCAGTGCCATGGAGGACGTCCAGCAGTAGAAGACCGAGCCACGCTGTCTGTTGGCGAGGGTGATCTTTCCACGAGGATAGAGTTGAGGGTTTATGGGCTCATATGCTTAATGCGAGAACAAAGTCGTTAGGTGGCACGGCGGCATGGGTGGCACGGCGGCATGGACCACCGCATGCTTAGTGCGCGTGCAGATTCCCCGACGACAGATTGCAAGCCTGTGCAGGCTGCAGGAGTACGGGTTTTGATTTCATCTCGGTATTTGCTTGGCGTTCAGCAGGATGTATTAAAAGGTCTTTGGGAGGGTATGATATCGGATGGGCAACCGGCGGGACTGGGCAGAGATTCCGTTGATGGTTGTTGATAATTTCATATTGTCTCGTTGAGGATGCCCTGATGCTCCGTTTTAAGTAGGAAGACATAATAAGGCAATGGATACTGATGATAATGGCAAGGATGATACGAGGTGCCCATTTATAGTGTTAGCGCCGCGGACAAAGGATTAAAGCAAAGCAGAGCAGACTAATGCGTAAAGAGAGAGTCAATAATGCAAATTGTAAATACCTTACCTGCCTGACTAGTACGGCCATCTTTCGGTAAGAGTTTGGATGGATAGGTAGCCGGCAAGCCTACGGATACGGATTGGACATTGGACGCTCGGCGCGAGGTCGATTCGATTGGGATTCATGCGGCCGGGGTTGCCTGCCGGGAAAGCCGTCCCGCCAACCCTTAGCGGGAAAGCTGCTACCGAAGGCCTGCGGGAATGAAGTACACACCGACCTTCGATCTAAGATCCCGATTGTTCCGGCGAGCACTGAGCGCCTCCCCGCACACCCCAGCCATAAGTAGCTCAGTGGCCTGGCTTGCCGGCCGTTGGGGCCCCACCTGGGCCATGGCCAGCGCCAGTGGCACCGTCTTGCGGCCTCTTTTTCGCTTGTCTCTTCTCTGGAGATCAAATCAGGTCTGAATCACCGCCGACCTTGGCCCGATGTTTACCCATCGGGACGGCATCGCTTCCGGTGTGCCTCCATCGTGCAGGCCAGACCGGGCTAGGCCAGACCTGCTGGCGGCCCACTCTGCTGCCCATTGGGCTCTGCCGGATTTCCCAAGCAATCGATGCCGGCAAATGGAACGCTGAAAGGATCTCGATGAGCTATGCTTGCCAGCCCTTCATGGCCAAGGTAGGTCGGTCGGGGGCGCATTGCGATTCCGTGGCTTTTCTTGGGACGCGTTACAGGCTCCAGCGCACTGAAGCTTGGCGGCGAGCCCCAAGCTATAACGTGACTACCTACAACCTGCCTGGTGGGATGGGGGCCGCATGTAGGGGGGAAAGGGAGGAGGCGATTCTCGCTTCCTCGTCGAAATCATCCCAAGATCAGCCGAAGTTCTGCCCTGCCAGCGGCCGAGCCTGATCCTTCGCGGGCCGCGCATCCGACAGACACTGCGGAGTAGAGAGAAAAGTTGGGGGAATCGAGGGCGTCTAGTGGCCCCGTGGGGCAACCGCAGACAGCGATGGGGGAGTTTGCTGGGATGCGGCCGGGTGCATTTCGGGCGTGGCAAAACGAAGGGCGGGCAACACTGACAGAGAAAAAACGAGTTTGTTTACCGAGTACGCATACAATTGGAGGAAAGGGGGAGGCGATATCTGACTGAAGGCGTGCGTGGTTGGGTTGGGCCTTCGGACATTTTTGCTGTTCCTCCCTTCCTCGACAAGCTTCCAGAACACGCCCCCCAAGGCTCTTAAGAGCGCCGTTTCAAAACGTACCTGCCAGAGTCCCGGCCCCTGGGACGCTGGGCACCGCTTTCCTCTTGGGGGTGACGGGAGGCTAAGGTTACCTAGGTTTGTGGTTTAGGGGAAGGCAAGCACGGGGCTAGTGGCTTCTGGATCTGGTTCTCCTGCCCGTGCTCCTCTCGCTCGCAGGTCCAGCGTTTCCCGTCTTCTAGTTTTGTCAATGGATGACGGGAGTTTCTCGGTTGTCATTGGGTGCCTCAACCAACCTAAGGTAAGTCGTTCGTTCATACGTGCTCCGTACCTTGTGGGCTTGCTTACCTTGGTAGTTACCCCGCGGTGGGGGGTCCTTCCCATTGGGGTCCTACCTGGGTTGCGGGCCTGGGAAGGTACATACAGTATGGAGTGGAGGTAGGCCGTCGAGACGGAGCAGAGTGGACGTCCACTACTGCTGGTGCCCGCGGGTGGTGGATGGCGTGCACACCAGCACACCAGCACAGCACCGCACCCGCCCGCCCACCTCGTGCCCGCGCATGCTTGCTGCCCGGCATGGATTGGATGCTGGCATGGGATAATGGATCCATAAAGTACATACCTAAGGTAGGTGTTGCGGCTGGGGCTGGCTGCTCGGCCGCTCTGCGCAGGCCCATCTCAGGCTATGCCTAGCTCTTCTCGGTGTCGACGGTCCGAAACACGGGAGAATGGGGAACAATGGGGCATCAAACCCATGGCGACGGCTTTCTATAAGATGCATGGCGCGCCGTCCCGACTCACCACCAACATGGTTTCTTCGTAGCTGATCCCGTCTCCTGTCTGTTTACCTATCTCCCATTCCCTATCTTACCTGCCTTACCTCCCTTGCCTTAGGTTACCTTACCTTACCTCATCACCTCTCGCCCTCTTCGCTCACCACCCTCCTACTCCACAGTCCGTCTATTTTCCCGGACGCGGGTGTGTGCGTGCTCTCTCTGTTCACCAGCACCGTTCATGCTCTCCTGAGCTCTACAAAAACGTCTTCGCCATGTCTCTCCCCAAGGACTTTCTGTGGGGGTTTGCTACGGCATCGTGAGTCCCCCGCGTCATATCGTAATATTGGTACTACAGAGTGACTGACGGCCTGTCTGCTATTTTTGGTGCAGATACCAGATCGAGGGTGCTGCCGAGACCGATGGCCGTGGCCCGTCCATCTGGGACACGTTCTGCGCGGTCCCGGGCAAGATTGCCGATGGCAGCTCGGGAGTCGTGGCCTGCGACTCGTACAACCGCACCAGCGAGGACATCGGCCTCCTCAAGTCGCTCGGCGCCACGGCCTACCGCTTCTCCATCGCCTGGACCAGGATCATCCCCCTGGGCGGCCGCAACGACCCCATCAACCAGAAGGGCATCGACCACTATGTCAAGTTCGTCGACGACCTGCTCGCCGCCGGCATCCAGCCCTTCATCACCCTCTTCCACTGGGATCTGCCCGACGGCCTCGACAAGCGCTACGGCGGCCTCCTGAACCGCGAGGAGTTCCCCCTCGACTTTGAGCACTACGCCCGCACCATGTTCAAGGCCATCCCCAAGTGCCAGCACTGGATCACCTTTAACGAGCCGTGGTGCTCGTCCATCCTCGGCTACAACACGGGCTACTTCGCCCCCGGCCACACGTCGGACCGCTCCCGCTCCGCCGTGGGCGACAGCGCCCGCGAGCCCTGGATCTCCGGCCACAACATCCTTGTCGCCCATGGCCGCGCCGTCAAGGCCTACCGCGACGACTTCAAGCCCTTGCAGGGCGGCGAGATCGGCATCACCCTCAACGGCGACGCCACGTACCCGTGGGACCCCGAGGACCCGGCCGACGTTGAGGCCTGCGACCGCAAGATCGAGTTCGCCATCAGCTGGTTCGCCGACCCCATCTACTTTGGCCACTACCCCGAGTCGATGCTCAAGCAGCTGGGCGACCGCCTGCCCACCTTCACCGCTGAAGAGGTCGCCCTCGTCAAGGGCTCAAACGACTTTTACGGCATGAACCACTACACGGCCAACTACATCAAGCACAAGCCCGGCTCGCCGCCCGAGGACGACTTCCTCGGCCACCTCGAGACCCTCTTCTACAACAAGAACGGCGACTGCATCGGCCCCGAGACGCAGTCCTTCTGGCTGCGGCCGCACGCCCAGGGCTTTCGCGACCTGCTCGGCTGGCTCAGCCGCCGCTACGGCAACCCCAAGATGTACGTGACCGAGAACGGCACCTCGCTCAAGGGCGAGAACGACATGTCGCTGGAGAAAATCGTCGAAGACGACTTCCGCGTAAAGTACTTTGACGACTACGTGCGCGCCATGGCCAAGGCCGTCTCCGAGGACGGCGTCGACGTCCGCGGCTACCTCGCCTGGTCCCTCATGGACAACTTCGAGTGGGCCGAGGGCTACGAGACCCGCTTCGGCGTCACCTACGTCGACTACGTCAACGACCAGAAGCGCCACCCCAAGAAGAGCGCAAAGAGCCTCCAGCCCCTGTTCGACACCCTAATCAAGAAGGACTAGAGAGGGCGCTGGTGCGAGATACCTAAGGTACCTAGATGGAAAGAGGGGTTGGGTGGGGGGGGGTCGGATTGTTGTTTAAATGGGATGAATGACGGGTCTTTTTGTGGATATCCCCTTTTGCGCTTTTTACATTGTGTTTCTTTTTCTTCCTGTCTAATAAAGACGCATTCGTAAATGCATGCATGTCCGCCTACCTGCTTGTAGTCCAGCTAGTAGTGGCTGCGGTGACCAAGGTGATTTTCCTCTTTCTGCTCGGACACGGTGATGTTTGTGTGGATACTGCACTTTCACTTCACTTTCACCATTGGTCCGAAGCCACGCTGAAGATCAAGGCAGACAGCTAGATATACAAGTAAATACGCAATCATCGTTGTGTTGCTTCAATTCACAGCCATCTAGAACGAGGGTCTAGCAGCAACATCAATAGCAGTTCTGTATATATGTATGCGACATATAGATTAAAGTTGGTCACGAATACCGTTGCATGCGCATTGCATGCGTGGAAGCCCCCCTGTTGCGAGCTCGCGTGTAAAGAGGCCCGCACATTGGCAGAATTTTTGTGAAAAATCGGCCATCTTTGGCTCAAGGTACCTGGCAGATGTGGTTTCTGACCTAGGGAAATTGCCTAGGAAAAGCCGACTAAAAGTAGGGCTTTGAGTCAATTCGCTAATTCTATTCGAGTGTCTGAATTGGGCTTAATTTTGGCCCGAATTGGCTTGGCAATGTCACAGGTGTCGCAGGTACGAAGGTAGCACAGGTGCACAGGTGCAAAGAATTTGTCGAGCGCGAGATTGACTGTGCGATTTGGCTGTGTGATTTGGCTGTGTGGTTTGGCTGTGTAATCCATGTGTTGCCGTCGAGGCTTCCGTTTTCTGAGTGGTCGGCCGCGCTTCGCCTGGCCGCGGCTTGCACCAATCATAGTTCAGCGCACGGACCAAGAATTTGTCCCTCATTCCCGGTGCCCCGCGTATCAGCTGCTGGATCGCGAGGTCAACTCTTGACGATAAATACTTTCATGCCCTCGGTCCCTCCCTAACGATTCTGCCTTTCCTCCTCCTCTTTTCGTTCCTCTGGCTCTGGCTTCACGTATTATAACCAACAGCAAAAATGCTGCACTCAAGCTCAGACGTGCAACGTGACGCAACGCAACACGACCTGCTACCCTCGTCTGCATTTGACGGACAGATCAAACTCGTCGGCACGAGTCTCGCAAATCTTTCGAATTGATCCGCAACTCTCCCCGATCCGCTGCGCTAGGACGATACGCCTGAATCGGTTCGAGATCCGCGGACTGAGGGTTGAAAGCTGGCGTCTCAGCGAGTAGCAAGAACCTCGGTTCCATAACGCCCGCCATCGAGGACCGGTCAGGCGAACCGCCGCCCAACGTCTGCGCAGCGGATTGAACGCCCGAGCGCCAATCGCGTAGCCGGACTTCTTGACCTACCAGCAAACTCGGTATCTATCAGGAGCGCTAATGTCTGGGTTCGAGGCAATGCTGGCTAGTCACACTAGGACAAGGAGCAGAAACTGAGTCGCCAATAAAAGTTTTGGGACTCCAGGCGTAAGCTATGGAGGGTAAGAACAAAGGAATCCATGCGAAGAGTAGCATTACAAAGAGCGGATTGTGACGAGGTTGAAGACCGCCTTTCTGAGAATCTCCAGCTGGCAAGTCTAACCAGAATGTAGATACCATGCTTCTCGGAGCTGGAGCTGGAGCCGGCACACCCATCGTGGTGCCCTCATCTTTAACTGTTATCCTGTTAACCGATAACTCAGACGTTTACCTATTGATCACACGGGTCGGATTTGTGGACGAGAAGAGCAACCTGCATGAGTGAGCTACGGATTGTGGCTCTGTTCCTCGGCGCTGGTGATGAATGTCCCTGCAAAGAGCTGAAGTGGTTGCGGCCGGTCTTCAATTGGAAACAGACAAGGATCAACAAGTGGATAGGGTGGCGATGGCGACTGGTTAGTTCCTTCCCGACGACAAAAACCTGAATACGAGGGCGCGGTCCAGTAGAACACCCTCTCTGGGACGGAACGGCGTGCCTCGGCCATGTCAGGTTGGAGCAGCGAGGAGTTACCGAGAGTGGGAGAGTCCTGGCAGGTCGCTGACCTTGAGCCACGGTGTGTCTGTCTATTGGCGTCTTTGGTCGGCTCGGTAGATCTGGGTGCTAGGTAACCGATTTTGGCGGCCATTGGGAAGACCATGAGCCCGAAGCCAGCGGCTTGACGAACATAAATAAAGGGGCATCCCCATTAAGATAGCTGAATCTCTTGTCCCCATCCAGCTCTTAACTCTGATCTCATAGTTCTCTTCTACAGCGGCATCACCAAGATGCGCCAGGACAGTGAGCATGCCAGGCCAACAGAAACACATCGCTTCATCCTTGGTTTGCGTGATGCTGGCAAGCTGGTTCGGGACTATACCCAGAACATCGACTGTCTTGAAGAAAAGGTTGGCCTCTCCACCGATTTGCACAAGGGGGCTGGGAATCGATCGTGTTTCTGCAAGAAGTACCGGTCAAGGCATATCCGAGACCACCACCGAGTCCACTACGAGTCGCGACTTCAAGACAGAGGCGTCGATTGTGTTCTCCATGAATCTCTCCGCCGTTTGCGATGCTCCAAGTGTTCTGGCACGCATAGCCGGGACGAGTGTAGTCAAGAAACCGAGACTCTGGCGGGACAGGGGCCACCATGTCCCGGCTATGCCAACATATCCGACGCCAAAACGACAGCAAAGAAACGTACAACTACAATCGGAACGCTTCGACCCGACGTCGTGCCTTACGATGAACTGGACCCGCGGGCTGACTCCATCTCCGCCATCGCACGGCGTGATCTGTTGCTGCGCCCAGATGTCCTTCTTATTCTGGGCACGAGCCTTACAACACACGGGGTCAAGCGCCTAGTGAAGGACTTTGCGAAGGTCATTCACAAACGGGCTGGAAAAGTGGTGTTTGTGACCTCATAGAACCAGCTGAGAGCTGGGACGGCGTAATCGATTATTGGGTCGACTGGGACTGCGACGCCTGGGTACGAGATTTGATGGACCGCCAGTCGGAATTAAGCTCACCAACAGGCTTGATAGACTTAACTGGAGAGGGCGAGCACAGGAGGTCATGGCTTCTTGTGGGTGTGATAGGAGGCAAGGGAGCAGCCAGGATAACCCGATCGACCTCACGCTTAGCTAGATAAACCATCAACGCGAACATCGAGCTCTTTGATTCAATCTGAATGCTGTGACTGAGGCGGGAGATTCACCAATCACACGGTTGCGATGGCGCTCGTGTGTCCGCCGCTCAAGCGTGAGGGTCAAGCAGCCAGCAGCCACACAGCGAGTGGTCCGCCCTCGCTTTTTTGGTGTGGGGTGTCGCCTGAGTGCCGCCTGGGCACATCCCCGCAGAGTTCTGATGTTTACTTTGCCCCTGAATTGGTTCGACTTTCTCGTACTGCAAACACACCCAGGCGGCTGGCTGAGTTTTCTCTCTTTCTTCGTACAGATCATGTCGATCAGCATGCTGGATTTACTCGCCGCCAAAGTCGCTCAATCGGCCGTCCTCCCGGGCAGTAAAACCTGTGCCGTTTGCTACCGCATTCCGTGTGTCGGGCTGGCTGTATTCTCCCTAACGTGGAGCGGCGATTTGATGTTCCACATAGAGGCCGCCGAAATCGACGGCCCCGGCAGCATCTTCTTCAACAGCGCTCCAAGCCTCTGATCTCTTTTCACTGTCTATATACTGCCGGTGGATATTTGCCCAGGTCGAGGGTCACAACGCGGCCCCTTGCGCTTCCATTCCAAAAGCCCACCTCGCAAGGCTGAGGTCAGAGCAACTGTCCCATCCTGCGGGGGGAGCAAGGTCGGAGCTGCCGCTGGTGCCGCGCGGGGGTGAGTCTCTGCTTCTTTGGGAGGCTGCTTTCATGGCGAAGCTCAGAGAACTTCTCATTCCTTTAGTGCCCTCCTTATCTACCGCAGTGGGGTACCCGGTGCCCGTAGTGGAAAGCGAAGAAACTGTCGCATGTGACCCGGCCGGTATCGCCCACCACAACCAACAACTCCCATGGCTTCCGCACCTTCCACAGCTTCCACAGCCCCCATGCCTCATGCTTCATGCTTCATGCCTCATGCCTCATGCCTCATGCCTCATGCCTCATGCTCCAAAAGTGGTACTGCGCTAAGCGAATATTGAGTAATATATGGCCAGGAGCACACTGCTGCAATAATCGAGAACATGCCCACCAGACACCTAACAGCCATCCAGGAGCGCATCCTTCCTACTTCTTCTGCTCGTGCGTTGATAATGAAGAAGGCGCCAATGCTCACAACCAAATGTGGTGCTGAAGTAGCCTATAATACGTTAAAAGCTGGTGGCAAGCAACATACACGACCCCAGCAATTTGGGGCTTTTGGTTTTGGGCGGGTAGCTAGGAGGCAACCACGACTCGGCGGCCGGCCAGCCGGTGATCAACTTTTGGAGTAACTTCAAGTCGGCACACCACAGCAGCGCCGTCTGCGCCGTATTTTGTGGTTACGTCCGTTGAAAGTGTATTATTTAACTTTATAACTTACACGTAAACTACAAGGCTAGTAAAGTAGGGAAATAATCATGTAAAGCGGTCGCTAACTGCATGCTTCTGCGCCTTCACGGTCATCCATGCCGTCATCCGCAGTGAGCTGGTTGCCGGCCACGATGTCGTTGGAACTGGCACTTGCGCTGGCCTTCACTGCAGTGAGAGTGCCGTGCTTGATGTCGTTCCGGTGGCTGAGGTCCTTCCGCATGCTGGGTGGACGGTAGGTGCGCCCACGAGATTCGTCCTCGGCGGCCTTGAGAGCTTCTGGATCTTCGCGCTCCACCCGCTCCAGTTCACCCTTGGTGAGCGCCATGTTCTCGGTCATACGGCGAGAGATCTGGTCTACTTCCTCGGCGCAGTCGCCATATTTCAAGACCTCATGCGCTGCGTGCTCACAAGTGCTCTGCACGTTCTCCAGCCCCTTATCGAGGTCGTCGTAAATATCCTTCTCCAGTGGGTCAGGCCCAGGACGCCCCATACCACCCCGGCCGTACACGTCTCTGGTCCGCATGCCAGCCTGCGAGGACATCGAGCGCGCAAGAGCAGCTTGCGCAATAAGTAGGCCTGGTGATTGCATTTTCTCTTCCCCTTCACCATCCTTCATGGCAGTTGATGCAGCTTCGAGCGGAGCAATGGCGCAATCTGCAGGGCTGGGTGTGCTGGGCTGCGCTTCTTCCTCATCACTCTTCTCGGACATCTCAAGTTCGGCTAGCCGCTTAATCTGCGCTACCTTGACGGCCATCCGCTTAGCGCATCATGTTACGGCTGGCGCTGATGAACTTGACAAGATACTCGAAGAAGAGCTGTGCGTAGCTGTCGTAGTAAACAATAATCATGCTCCGCTCCCGGATCGCGGCCCCCTCGGCACTGATGACCGAGTCGGAACGCTTTCGAGTGTTAGACCCAGGGCTTAGTTGCTTTCGATCTGTTTCTGGAGTTTCTGCTTTCTCTTTCACAGTAGCTTCCGATACGGACGCCGGGAGCCTGCCGGCCGGTGTTGAAGAATTAGAGACTCTCCACCCCCAGAAATGGAGAGAAGGTCGTCTTTCGATGCAGCGAACGTACGATATAAGTGTTCCAAGGTAGCGTCTTCCTTCATACTGCTATGAAAATGATGGAACTTCCGGCCAACGCCCGTTCCGCATAGCATGCTTCTGCTGTCTCAATTAGCATCGGACGCTTTTCATCCCAACGGACTGCCAACCACGGCCAGAGAGTTTGTCTGTAATTTCTGCAACCGCTGCCTCTGCTCAGCTTGGAAGCACTCGTCACTCCACACTCGGGCACTGCTAACTTGAGACTTTCTTGCAGGGCCAACTATCGCGCTTTTCTCGTAAGCGTGCGACAAGCGGTGCGACGTCGGCCTGGGCAAGGTTAACCGGACGAAACCTTTGGCAGGAGATGGCGAATTGAACCAATTCAGGGGTAAGTAAACATCAAGTGCAACGTTTGGAGACATGGGGCAACCCAGGCAACACCCCGCGCCAAGTGAGGGCTGACCCGCATCAAAAGACCCACACCTCCCACCGATTTAGCGGGGCAGGGTTGGCAAACCCCTGTATGGACACGAGGCCTTGCTCGCGTCAGCCATCCTTCTTCGCTTCCATGGTCGACTCATCTACTAGTATGAGCGATACGGCCAATATCTCGAGAGGCATATGGGCAGGGCACCGCCTCGACATCACAACGCTCGCGAGACACCGAGACGAGACCAACGAGATGGGATGAGCGATGCGACGAAGTGGCGCGAGAGGTTGCGGTTATCTGGGGGAGCGAATACGGCGCCGACTGGCGTGAGACCCCTTAACCACTGGTATCAAAAGTACAGAGGATTTTCTCGCCCGGTGTATTAGTTCGGGCACACGCCGTCGTTGAGAGAGCGAGTACACGAGCGCCGAGTTCGAATTCCGCGCACGCGCTCGGGCGAGCTGCTTAGCAAGGCGGGTGACGCCGGGTTTCGGCGGTGAAGGATTCCGATGCGCCATCTCGTCCTTCAACGTTTCTATGCCGGCGGCAATTGGGATTCTCGCATTACCTGCCTCCAACACCACCATTCCCGGACTAACACCACCATCACCATCACCACCTTCTCCTCCACCCCCGGACCCTTCCTCCCGGCCTATTTTCGGCCGAAGAGCTAGACATATTGCGTCAAAAGACAAGCGACATAACCGTACGACTGGGACGATGACGACTGGGACGATGACGACTGGGACAATGCGAATGAGCCGTTCACGCTTTACCGCTTCACTTTTCCTGGTATTTCTACCCACGGAACACGACATTTGTCTGCCCGGCAAGCCGTGGGCTTTGGCTGCTCCGACTTGGACATCTCCAAGGATCCCGCTTTCGATTGAGATACTGCTCAAAGAGGAGACCTACTTCCCCCAAGACCAGCAGTGGATTCGTCGAAACTTGGCGATGAAGCAGTTTGTCCTCGGAAGCCATCGCCCTATAAGGAAAGAACCCCAACCCACACACACGACCAGCGGGCCAAGACCTCACTCCTTTGTCATGACCTCTCACCCGCTGGCCCAAGCACTCCGTCATGTATATAAGCAGTGGCCCTCGTCCCATTCCTTTGAGAGGGCCAGGTTGAAGTCTCACACCAATACCAGTCATTGCTCGCTCCACTCATTGCCCACATCGTGACCACCTTGATCAGGCGTACCTGCCCTCTCTTACACGGGCGTAGCCAGGTTGTCGATATGCGATGAGCACTCTATTCAATCAGTACCAAAAGGGAGAAGCAAGCAACGTATTACAAACCACTCGACTAGGAGGGTCGTCTGTCTGTAAGGGAGCAGGGGCTCCACAGAGAGGGTTGCTGGATTGGTAATAATGAAGATTGGATAAAGGGCAAGCTCCTTGTCGCACGGTAAACACAGTCAAATTGGAATGCTACTCAACATGCACGAGTGCAATGAATATATATTGCTTGCTTGAAGAACCAAGCAAGCCCTGTCTCCAAGGTCGTGGCTGCGGCCATCGTATATGTAGGTTCTGTAGGCCAATAAGAGCCTGACTCTTACTTACCAGGTGCCAAGCCCTTGCCCAGCGCCGGGCACCGCTAGTCTGCCTGGCAGACTCCCTGCCTGGTGCCGAGCTTCGTCTTGGCACTAGGCAATTTCTTATTGGCTGCATCCCTCCGGACCCTGGGGCTGGCCCGGGGCGCCCCGTCCCTGCAGTCACATCACCCCGGCTCAGCCTACGCTCACTATACCCCGAAATTGTCAACTTTACGCGACTTTCAAGAGACGAGCTTCGAGCCTCACTCTCGAATAACCTAAAAGAGGGTTAAGTAGGTAGGACCACTCTTGTCTGCCTCGCCAATAGTAATAGCCTTCAAAATAGGCCCAGAAATGGTCTCGATGGCTTAGCGTATCTACCCTCTGTTTGAAAAGCTTCCGGTTGTTACAGCTATGTCTTATGCCGTAGCTCACACGGCTAGTCACATATATATAGGGCCATGCCCAGCATTTCTATTACATAGGTCTTTTTGAACCAAGCGATTGATCTTCCTCTAATCGGACCACAAGGTCCCAGTGGCGGCGATTTCCGTGCCCTTGCCGGGCTGTATGACTGTGTTGTGAGCGCAAGTAAGTACCTATGTCTACCATGTCCAATGCGTCCTGTATGTTCTATACGTTCCTGCGTCCTTTAGTCTTGCGCAACTGCATGAGGCAGTCGATATCCCTTTGACCGGAGGGACCCAACACGCAAGTGGGCCCGCAGAACGAGCTGCAGGCCACGGAGTGCGTATGTGTGTGGTGTGTGGTGTGTGGTGTGGATTGTGTTCCTGCGCCAATTCAATATATAAGATATTAATCACCGAATCACGGGTTTAACATGAATTTATTTGTTTTTGGCTGCCTTTTGCCGGTTTGAAGATATCCGCTGCCGTTCTCCAGCTCTGCCACCCAAACAGCGGGTGTGAGCATCCAAACTGCGAAGCAAACTATACACCAAGCCACGCAGTCTCTACAGTTGTTATAAAGTCTGCAGCCGCCGTGGTGCTAGATTTGTACGTACCGTTCTTTTTCGGCCTTACCCAGGTCTAGATACCTATTAAATCCACAATCTCTCCTCTACCACTCCTTCTCACATTTAGCGCAATGTCATCATGCACGGCATCGGCGGGATTAAAAGGCTATCCTTTTTCTTATGGTCCTACTCCGGGCCCAGACGTCTATTGGCGTTCAATGCTGCGGACATTGCAGCCAGCGGTGCCTAAATTAGAGTGTGAAGGGACTGTTAAACAAGCTCAAATATCTCAAAGACTGCGTATGAAGAGAATCGCAACAAATCAGGCCATCTGAAACTGCCTATACCCACGCGACGACAAGTGTTAGACTCTGTTGATGTGCGACTGCACACCAAGACAGGTATATTTTGGTTGTCCCAGACGTTGACTAATAAGAGTATCACTCTTCCTGTATGGTTGTGATTTCTGGTATTAAAGGCAGCGTCCTGTGTAGTACACCTAAACAGAGTCTACTCTGATCCGCAACCTAGTGGATTGTCCGGGCTGAAATGCAGCTCCAGCCACCCAGAGTCCAACGAAACAGCCTCTTGATTCCAATCTGAAAGCAGTCCATTGAACAGACACTCGACATGGGTGACCAAATCACCAACCAGGACATCCCAACAGCCTGAAAGCGACGTGAGGGCGGGACGAGTCCTTGAACATTATCCAGGAGGCTACGAAATGGATTAATAACCTATTGAAGAAGAGGGAGGACTATGGGACGCCCAAGGGTAGGCGGGTTATGAGCCCAGCCACGGAAGCATCCCTTCGGCTACTCCTCGGTCGATATCACAAAGCCGCCAGCGCTGATGCAGAGACTCGGGAGCGGCTAACCAGGGAAATCGCTCTTGATACTGTTCGGAGAGAGGTCACCCGTCGTCTCGAGGCAGACGAAAAGTACTTTGATGCGAGGTTGAAGCTAGAGAAGCTTATGAACGATGCCTGGTATCTGCGATACGGGGACTATTACGCCGCTAACCCGTCGGCCATACGAGACGAAGCCAGAGATATCCTGAAGCAGGCTAAGTCGGCAGCGCCAGCGGCAGCGGCCAAAATGGAATCGGATAAAGAGGCCAAAAGATTCGGGGGAAAACCCCCTGAAGCAGCGGAGGGAAGCACTCTAGCAGCGCCACCAAAGCTCACCGATGAGCAAAAGGCGTTGAACCACTTTATATTGACAAGGTGGACAGAACTTGACACTATGTTGGACCTTGAGGAGGAGCACAAGTCGGAGCACCGGGATGAGGAGGGACTCCCTGCCGCCACGCCGTTATCAGATTTACTTCGCAAGCTTGTTGCCCTCATCAACGGGACTACATACAATCAGGCCCGCAGCTATATCAAGCTATATATACAGCGAAATAAGGTGGCTCATACCAGCGTTAACGAACTACCCCGCACAAGGCAATGGACAGATCTAGCGGGAATCCTAGCAGAGGATCTGGCAGCTCTAGATACAGGGCAATACATTACGAACGAGCAGAGGGAGGCGACGAAGTCTGCAATCTGGTATAGCATCGGCTTATACTTTGAGCGGTTCGAAATAGACGAGACAACCCACACAGTCTCAGACATGAGAACCTGGCCTTAAGACGCCAAGGGAAAGGTAATTCCAGGAGCGACCAGGCCACGACCAGCAGAGGGGAGGGTAAAGAAGCAGGTGGACCCGAGCACTGAAGAAGAAGGAGAGAGCGAAGGTGAGGGCTTTGACAGCTCTGTTCTGCATCACACAGCCGCCGAGGGCGCCCGCGCCGATAGCATGATCCACTGGGACCGTCATGAGACAGCTCGTGTCTGCGCGTATAACCAGAACCTGGCCGTTTACTGGGCTCGCCGACGACTTCTCCGACATGTCCGCCAGTTTCCTTAGCTCGCCAAGGCGGGACTTTCCCTAAATGACGACGGCGCCAGACCCAATATTGACGAATCGGTGCTCCCCGATCAGAGTTTACTCGAGCTAGTGACCCTGAGAACTTGCAAGGCCATGATGGCCGCATATGGTGATTTGGCACTTCGTGCTGCCCAGACAGCTGGGGTAGCTGGCATTGGTAATTTTGCCATCTAGGCTCAATGGTACGTCTATACCTTTTTCTGTAAAATTGATGGTGGATCTGGTGCTAATACTATGTCGACAGATATGACTTGGAAGGCAAGTGGTTTTGAGGGAGAGGTCTAGCTAGCTTGGAGGGGGTGGAATTTCAGTTTCCGTTTTTGGTGCCATTAAGTGCTTAGTGATAAGCTTGAAATTGGTGATCTTCTTTTCGGAATTGTAGTTGCGGCACCCGTCCACCCATAAATTGGAGCTGCTATCTTGGTACTTGGCGCCGTCTATCACGATTTGTAGAAAGAAAGGCTCATCCATTTAAGGATAAAGTAACGAGTGATACAGAAATTTGTCACGAGAAAGCGATAAGAAAATGATAATTGAGGGATGAGTGGGGCGAGAATGTGAAGTTAAAAGGGGTATTAGCCTCGGGCCGGGCCAACCCTTTCTCCAACGACTTTCCGGGCCGTGCTTTGAACGCAACCCCTCGGCCTGGGAGTTGTGCCAGCCGCGTAGCCGGCAGGCAAATCAATGTGAGGTTTCCTATCTATTCACGCCACTTCCTTGCTCTCCAATGAGAACGTGCGGGTTGTCTGATCTTGATCCCGACCCCGATGCCAATCCGGCCGGTTTAGCTTAGCTTGTCCACTCAATTTCATTGCCTGCCGAAGCCGCTCGTGTACTCCAGACCCGTTTAGGGAGGGGTAGTGCCGAAGACTTGGCGACAGCCCCTTATACGCATTCTTGCCCAGGTCAACGGAACACAGGATCAAGCATTAGTCCCTAGAACCTCTGTTCAAGACTCCAAGTTGGTAGGAGCTTCCATGCATCGACTGTCGGCAACGCCGCCCGCTAATTGCCTTTACTAGCATGCGGCAACAACGTACTGATTACTCAGTCCACCCATGTTCCAATGCGGCGTTCTGTGCGCCACTGCCTGCCGCACCTAGAAGATCCGTCTGTGAGACTTCTTGTTAGAACCGTTTTTTGCGGTCCAGCCCTTGCAGTAAGATAGAACCCGCTTGGCCTCTAATGTTTCAAGCCTGGCCAAATGTTTTTCGGTCTCGGTCTTTCAGCCCAAACTGGTGGGTTTCACAATCCTCGGCCACCGGGAGAGGTACGCGTGCCCGGGATAGGGGTTTCTAGCAGAGCTCAAGGGGATTACTTTATAATTGCGTTTAGAATGCTTTCCAAGTACATGTACATATTTAATTCACCTCTCGACGCTCAATCCGGTATTTCGAACTTTCTTGACCAACTGGAACATTATCTGCATCTCTCCTGCCCTGGGCATGGCGTTAAAAGGCATCAACTGTGTCTTTATATTTGCGATTGTGGTTCTGACATGTAGCTGAAAATTTGGAATCCGTTGATCGAACTAAACTTGTCGGTGCCGTTCAATTGTTTGGCTTTTTGCTGTACCGCGGCAAATGCCTGTGTCAACCTTTAATGTGTACGTGATGGGCATGAGCCATTTCACTTTTGTGATAAATCTAACTGTGGAAGTCCCTCCTTAAGGCAGCAAGTCTTATTGAAGCAGACGAAATATTATATTATGTCTGCGTCTTGTCAGAAAGACTATGCCCAATGGGATATGGTTGAGGGCAGGGTCAACAGAGGTCCCCGGACCGGCCCTCTCTTCTTTCTGACATCAATCAATATAACACGGTTGAAGGCACTCATTGGGCTACATTCTAGAATACATGACATCTCTCATTCACCATCCGCCCCGTACGCGCTTCTCTCGGAGGGGAGGTCTCCTTATTATAATAATGTTATCGATATATACGGCATTTTTGGCGACTAGCTAGCGGGGTTAAGCCTAGGGTTCCCCCAGGCAAACGTGGCGGCGGCCTCGGGAGAGGATGTGATGTGCGAGTGAGGAGGCGTAAGGCTCAACACGTCAATAGAATGGCCGCGCTAAACCAAATAAGGAGAGGTGGGGGACGGCGCCTTTCCTGAAGCGTGCAGCACCGTGTTCTCGAATACCTGTGTTATTATCGGGGCTGCAGTTTTTGACTGGTCGAAATTGACCCATACGCTAGCCCACCCCACCCAATCAGACCCCTACCTCCAGGACTGACCCCGTTCCTCCGCCAGAGACACCTCGGGAGCCCCACCCCATCCCTCACGCCAAGTATCCTGGTTCCGGGGCTCGGGGCTAATGGCACCTCAGCGCCGGCGCACAGCAAACCTAGAATTCGGGAACAACCCTAAATGGCACCGGGGTTTCTGGTGCCGCACGAGCAGTTAAAGAGAAACCCTACATGCAATACCGGCAAGTGCCGTTCTAACATGAGCAAGATTGCAGGAGGGAAACACCTGAGGGACTTAGCGATGGCACAGAGCTCGGGAGGCTCAAAGAGTCAATGTCGTCGTTTTACGCGATACTGAGATATCAAATGTAAACCTCCAGAGCCGCGTTAGGGGGTGGGATGCTTGCAGTCACTGCTTTCGGACATTTGATTGGTAGAAGGCTCTCGCGATTGGGCATTTTAGAACCAATCACCCACAGCGCTCCCCACGCGAGAGAGAGCCAGACAAGGCTGGCTTGGAAGATCCAGCTGGCCACCCAACCCACCACACTCTTCCCCCCACGGCCCTGTCAATCTCGCAACGTCGTCTTCAGGGACAGAATACAGCGGCTCATCATCACCGCGGATCGCTAAAGTCTTCCCCTACCGCCGATAGCTCCGTACCTCAAAGACCCTCACCATGGATCCCCTCAGCACCGTCGCATCCACGATCGCGCTTATCCAGGCCATCTCTTCGACATATAGGGCCATCCAACACCTTAGGGGCCTCCCGAAAACATTTGACGAAGTGAACCAGGGGCTTCCTCTTGTAGAAGACACCCTGGCTCTGGTCCGCGATCGGCTCGGCGGCATGGACCTAGACGAACCATCAAGAAGGACCATCGGGCCTGTTATTAGCGGTTGCGAAGAGAAGGCTAGGACACTGCGCGACATCTTCCAGGAAGTGGAAAGGAACAAAAAGGAGGGGAATGATCGGCTAGCCCTCGATATCTTCCCCATCATGTCCCGTCTGGGCAAAGCACATCAGTTGAAAACCCTGATGCAGGAAATCGAGCGCGACGTGATGAGATTGGCCACCAACCAGCTGTTTCGGACGGCAACACAGGACCAGTTGGTCAAGTTGGGGGAGGTAACACAGGGCCAAATGGTTAAGTTGGAGAAGGCCATCCATAAGCTATCTCTTAGGGCAGACCACGACACTCGGAGAACAGATATCCTTAAGACCCTCCACACCTCGCCGTATCTGGATAGGAAGAATAGGAATCCAGAGCGGGTCCCGGGGACGTGCGAGTGGTTCGTCAATCACCAGCTCTTTCGGCAATGGCAAGAAAGTAGTTCGTCGAGCATGCTCTGGGTGTCCGCAGATCCTGGATGTGGGAAATCCGTCCTGGCAAGGCATCTGGTAGACTCTGAACTTCCGACTACCACATCCAGAACGACCTGCTACTTCTTCTTCAAGGACGACTTCGATGATCAGAGAAGCGCAAAGAGCGCTCTTTGCTGTATCCTACACCAGCTCTTCACGCAGAGAGAGATCCTTTTCTCCGGCGAGATCGTTAAGCGGTTCGAAACCCGCGAACTACACCTTATTAGCTCGTTCGATGAACTCTGGGAGATCCTTGTTATGGCTTCACAGGATGAAAACGCTGGCGAGATAGTCTGTATTCTTGATGCTTTCGATGAATGCGAAGGCCAAGAACGAGCTATGCTTGCCCAAGCCCTGTGCAAGCTATATCGCACTAGGGATCACTTCAACTTGAAATTTCTTATAACAAGTCGACCATATAGTTCTATCCGACAAGGCTTCCAGCCTCTTGATATACCGGGGCTATCTGTTGTCCATTTGAGTGGGGAAAGCGAGGCCGAGTTGAGCAAGATTGCCCGAGAGATCGATATCTACATACACGCCAGGGTTCGAAGCATCCGAGACAATCTGAAGCTTAATCCGGACAAAGAAAGATTGCTCTTACAAGAGCTCCTACGTATCCCGAACCGAACATATCTATGGGTTCATCTCACTATGGATTTGATCCAAGGCATGAACATAAAAAAACCGAGATACGCGAGGTCGTTTCCTCCATTCCGCAAACCGTCGATGACGCATACGAGGGGATCTTAAATAGGAGCCCCGACCCCGAGGGAGCTAAGAAACTGCTGCATATTGTCGTTGCGGCAGCAAGGCCCTTGACCTTATCGGAGATGGCCGTAGCGCTGACCCTTCAACCGAACCACCGGTCTTATCAAGACCTGGACCTGGACCCCGAAGCTGACGAGGGTTTCCGCGAGCACGTGAGAGACCTCTGCGGCCTCTTCATCACTGTCGTTGGCCCTAAGATATACCTTCTTCACCAGACGGCGAGAGAGTTCCTCGTTCACGATGAGCCTTCGGTAGAGGTCCGTCTGGGCGGCGCAGCAGGTCAAGATAATACACTCAGGTGGAAATCCTCACTCCAGCCACGAGAGTCCCACCGTATCCTTCGCCAGATCTGTATCTGGCATCTGTTCTTTACCGAGTTTGAGACGTACTCTCCGGATGAGGACGGGATGTCATCTCAACGCCTTAATCACGTTTTCCTCGACTACACTGCTAAAAACTGGGCCTCTCACGCCCGCGCATCCGGTATTGAGGACGACGGCACAGTCACGGACTCACTACTAGCAATTTGCGATACCCAGTCAAGGCGTTGTCTGACCTGGTTCAGAATCTACTGGGCAGACATGGGGATAGATTTCCCTCAGAACTTCACAACCCTTATGATTGCTTCCTATTTTGGGCTCGAGCAAGTTGTAAAGTTGCTGCTCAAAGAAAAAGATATGAAGGTCAACTCCCTTGACGGCACATATCAGCGCTCGGCGCTCTCTTGGGCTTCGGAGAATGGATTCGACGGCGTTGTGGGCTTGTTGATCAGGGGCCCTAAATTTCACTTCAAACACCTCACCAGATCATCGTTCTGGAAAGGTGTAGAAGTCGACGCAAGAGATAAATACGGTCGAACACCGCTATCATATGCTGCTTGGAATGGTCACATAACCATTGCTAAGCAGCTTGTCAAGGCAGGAGCTCGTGTCGACTCGATAGACGAAATTGGAGGGACGCCAATATCCTATGCCCTTTGCAGTGGGCACGAAACCGTGGCTAAAAAATTGATGAAGAAAGCCCCGGCCGACTCAGTAGATGTGATTAGTGGGGCATTACTCATTTCTGCTGCCACAAAAGGCCATAAGACTATCGTTGAGCGGCTGCTGGATAGTAATACAAACATCGAGGCGGTGGATAAGCATGGCCGGACACCACTACAGGCTGCTGCTAGGAGTGGGAACGAAGCCATCGTGCGGCTACTTATCGAGAAGGGCGCGAATATCGAGGCGGCGGATAAGGATGGCTGGACACCACTATGGGCGGCTGCTGTTAGGAGTGGGAACGAGGCCACCGTGCGGCTACTTATCGAGAAGGGCGCGAATATCGAGGCGGCGGATAAGGATGGCCGGACACCACTACGGGCTGCTGCTGTTAGTAATTGGAACGAGGCCATCGTGCGGCTACCTATCGAGAAGGGCGCGAATATCGAGGCGGCGGATAAGAATGGCTGGACACCACTACGGGCGGCTGCTGAGATTGGGAACGAGGCCGTCGTCCGGCTACTTATCGAGAAGGGCGCGAATATCGAGGCGGCGGATAAGGATGGCCGGACACCACTACGGGCTGCTGCTGTTAGTAGGAACGAGGCCATCGTGCGGCTACTTATCGAGAAGGGCGCGAATATCGAGGCGGCGGATAAGGATGGCCGGACACCACTACGGGCTGCTGTTAGTAATTGGAACGAGGCCATCGTGCGGCTACTTATCGAGAAGGGCGCGAATACCGAGGCGGCGGATAAGGATGGCCGGACACCACTACGGGCGGCTGCTGTTAGTAGGAACGAGGCCATCGTGCGGCTACCTATCGAGAAGGGCGCGAATATCGAGGCGGCGGATAAGAATGGCTGGACACCACTACGGGCGGCTGCTGAGATTGGGAACAAGGCCATCGTGCGGCTACTCCAATTCCATCATCCTTAACTCCCCTAAACTACCTCGACTTACCCTCCACCCCACCCACCACCGGTTTGTAAGCGCTGCTTTTATAATGTTATTTATGGTAATTCAATAGACTAGAGCCTACGTACGTCATTCGGTGTAGAAATCTATGACGACCTTGCGTCGTCACTTGGGCCGGCGCGGCCCGAAGATGCCCATACGTTGAGAACAGTACACACTGTGCTGCACACTGGGCCAGGGGTGCAAAGACCGTCACTGCAAGACCGAGTGAGCACAATGATCAAGAGGAAGTGCTTACCGTGATCACTGGCGCACCACAGTGGGCACGGTGATCAAAGTACGGAGGTACCTGCTAGACAGTTAGTTAGTATAGATACTGTCATCGCATGCGCGATGGAGCGTGAAGGACTCTGGTTCCTCACGCTAGGAGAAAGCCCGCCTTATGCAGCCCTCCAGCGCGGCAAGAGCCGATGGGGAGGCCACTTCGTAGATGGGTTTGCCATAGTCACGAAGAATGACACGCCGATGTACTAGATTTAGCAATGCACTCCTGTCGATCTTTGTTGGGGACTCTGAGTAAGATCGTTTTGAGGATTCGTCGAGCTTATCGTAATGTGCATAAGCGGGTCTCGTATCTTACGCATGGGGCAATCCTAAGGACACCGAGAATATCATTATCAGCAGCGTCGAAGCCCCAGTTACTAGGAGTCTCCATGGTGCGCCCAATGCTCTGCGAAGTTGCAAGGAGGACATCATTGTATGGGGGGATACCATGTGTATAAACCAACAAAGTCAGGAAGAGAGGTCGTCTCAAGTCAAGAAGATGGCCGCATATACAAGAATGCGTTCGACTTTCTCATTCGCACCACTTCGGGAGCTATATACACGATTGTGCGCGACCCTGAATGCGGGAGATTGTCGTATAGCCCCAAATCGCCGAGTCAGCCACGTCCGTCAACTCCCTCTGCCACAAGCTTGAGGAATCGCATAGCTAGCTGGGAATCCTCCTCTTCCAACCCACTGAGGCGGACCCCGCACGGACCACGAAGCCACGATAGACAGTTTCTCTCCTGAAGCTGGGGGAACTGGCTGAACATGTACTCGGATGCTGGCCGCAATTTTTGTATATGACTCGAGAGTGTGGCTTAAGCTTCGGTGGTTGGCAACCGGTTGCCAGGAAAATCCGCACACCAAAGCCTGCCACGTGACCCACTGCACTAACAAGCCCCCTAACAATTCTACACTTTTCCATCACACCACGCACCACACCGCCAGTTCTACCATTTCCACCACTTCTACCACTTCCACCACTTCCATGGCTCTTGGTGATACGCACATTACTACGCCTGTGACGGCCCGCCTTACGCAGTAGGGATGTCAATGGTTGAAGGTAGCAACGAATGTGGATTTAAAGCTAAGGAAGAGAAAGGAATCTATCGCGGGGTCCGCGCAGGGCGCGGAGAAATAGGTAGTGGTGCTCAGTGCGCACAGGCCACACCCTAAGCACAATGCAGCCAATAGAATCAATCCTGTCACATGAGCCCTATGGCGACCGTGACAACGCCTATCAAGGCACAAGTTCTTGGCGCCATTCGCTTTCTGGAAGGCCATAAGATTCCACACTATAAGAACGATGTTTTCAGCTCTTTTGGTGTAAGCCGCCGGTCAGGCTGGCAGATCCTGCACAACGCGCGCGAACGGCGGCACCCAGAGGTGGAATCCAGGGGCCGGAAGCCGGTCCTTACGCCAGCCAATTTGCTAGTAATGGAAAGTATTATCTGGCAATACGGTTTCCAAGCCCGGGCACTAAGCTGGCAAGGCCTTGCCAAACCCGCCGGCATCTTGACGCCAGTTTCTACACGCACGGTCGAGAGGGCAATAAGTACACTAGACTACCGGAAGTGTATTGCTTGCGAGAAGGGTTTTGTCTCACCAGCGCGCGCCAAGCGAAGGATAGAAGCAGCCAAGCTTTCACTTTCCTATCGCCCTTTGCCTGAGAACTGGCGCGATATAAGATGGTCAGATGAATCTCACTTTGGTATATGCCCTGAAGGGAAGGTCCAGATTATACGGAAGCCTGGAGAGCGTTACTGCCTTGACTGTATCCATCATGCTGAAGAACCTTCTAAAGGTATTGAACGATACCATGTTTGGGCTGCTGTTGGCTGGAACTTCAAGTCACCACTTCACTTCTATAGTGTTCCTACCAACACCAACGGAAAGATGTCCTTAGCTGTATATCGCGATATCTTGGAAGAAGTGGTAGGTCCTTAGCTGGCACGTGGGGATTCTTTTGTTCTGGAAGAAGATGGGGATTCTGGCTATGGTGGAGGAAAGAAGCCTAATATTGTAAGGCAGTGGAAGGAAGAACACCAGCTCAAGCACTATTTTAATACGCCTGGCCCACCAGACCTTTCGCCCATAGAAAACTGTTGGCGTGCAGTAAAACAATTCGTACGTGCACACTATACTATAGGAGCTGAATTGAAGGCACTGGTTTTGGAAGGCTGGGAGCGTGCAAGTCAGGAGAGCAACAATAAGATGGTGGATTCTATGGTAGTGCGGATGGAAGATGTGTTAGCCGGCCAGGGTCAGATGACTGGGTGGTAGAAGGCCCTGTGGTGACTTGCTTGTAGGTAGGAATTTCAATGGCAGTGGAAGTACTGTGCGGGGTCTGGTGTGCTGGTTTTTTTTGGCAACCGCTTGGTTGGGTAGCTGATATCTCTGCATAGAGCTTTATCTGCGAACCCCGCATCCCTCAACTGAAAGCGTTAGCTGTTTTCCCGGGTCGCACCGGGCAGCCTCACCATGGCCCGAACATATCTTCAACCAATAAGCCGTGTTCATCTTCTCCGCCCCATATTGCATGAGTAGCTTCATCACAACCACGATGGGGGAACTCGAAGATTTGCGACGCTTGCGAGCAAAGCTGACGCGAAGAGGCTGAGAAGCGTGCATCGGAGGAGCGGCGCCGACACGAAGAAGAGCAATGGCGACGCAAAGAGGCCGAAGAACTTGCCGAAGCGTCGTAGCCACAAACCCCTCGAGGTGTACGCTGCCCCCGACAATACCCTTCACCTCGTTAACGACCTCGTCGTCGCCCGCCGCGCCGTCCCGCACGCTGCCGACTCCTGTCCCAGCCTCAGCGCCAGGCCCTGAGTGCTCGTGGTCGTGCAAGGCCAAGAGACTGTCGGTAGGTAGAGTCTTCTAGAGGTGGCGGGCATACTGTTCGTGCTGGATGGAGTGGACGCCCCGTTTGATAGTATCCGGGAGAGCGATCCTGATGCACGGTGCAAATCGAGGCGGCCGATGAGGGATTTGACGAAAGATCTGTACTTGCCCTCTGTCCACCGACAATCCCGTGCCCAGGCTGAGCGTCCCACGCAACACCGCACCGATTCGCGATGCGAAAGTCTACATCTACCTCGTAGCGCGGGGTAGCCTGCTGGTAACAACAACGACAACTTCCCGTCTAGTCAGTCATAATAGCATAGAGGCACAGAACAAGAGGCACCTATCAGACCTCACCCCCATCTTTTCCTCTTTTTGGTGTTTTGCAGGCAGCTTATGTTGCAATGAACTTCCCAGTTGCATGCAGGCCCACGGTCAGTCGCTGTTGAAGGAAGTGCATGAGGCAGCTGCTATACGTGATGTACAAGGGTGGTGAACACAGGAATCCAACAACTCCAGCCAGATCAGAGATCGCATGGCGATATGTCGTAGCCGAGAGGGCGTGATGCCTCTGATCTGGAGGAATGAGAGCCAAGCCGGGAGCAAGCAGCCCAATAGCATCATAGCCGGGCACAAGTTACTCGCCTCCACCATCTGTCGACCCCCAAGGCAGATATATGATCTTTATTCATGACCATGCACTGTGTACGGGATACAAATAGCTTCCGGCAGCTAGAGCCTCTTCTCGAAGACTCCGGCCAAATACTTGATGTCGTGTTTGCCTTATTTAACAGTGACGACTGGATCAAGGATCTCAGAGCAATGGCGGAAACAAATCCGGATCACAGGGCGTCTGCAGCGCAGATGCTAGTGAGGCGTTTCAGTGGCGAGGGATTAAGCACCCCACTTAACAGGATCCTACCGATCTTACACCTCCAGAAGGATTTGAAATCTTAGTGCGGTGACGTTGGCAGGGAATTAAACAGGGGATATAACCAGAAAATACAGGGGGCTCGAAGGCACTTTTCTAGCAAGTTCTCACCAAAAAGTCACTGGTGGCTTGATTGTAGTGCACTAAGGTCTCAAATCCTTGTGGAGGTGTAGTGTAAGAGAAGGTAGGTACGCCTGATCAAGGTGGTCACAAGGGGAGCAACAAGCAGGGCGAGCAATGACTGGTATTGGCGTAAGACTTCAACCTAGCCCTCGCAAAGGAAGGTGGGCGAGGGCCACTATTTATATACATAGTTGGGTGGCTCAATCTGGCGGGTGCCTGGGCCGGATGTTTGGGGCCAGCTGGTGGCGCCTGGGCCGGGCCGGACGTTTGGGGTGCTCTTTCCTTACATACCAGAAATTTCGGTCTTCTGGGTTCACGCAAGCAATACCGAACGGTTCCGCTAGGCGTACGCTTCCATCGCGTAAGAATGCCAGGTCCCCGGCTATAACGACCCCAAGCTGGATATATTGCTGCTAGTAAAGAAATAGCTAGAGAAGGAGGACTTTGGAAGGTAGCTTATGGTCATCGACAATGCCGATAACACAGAGGTCTTTTAAAGTCAGCAAGCAGAGCCTACGATTACCGGTATACCTAGTGCCGACGGCAACCTTGGATATTACCTTCCCGAGTACAACCACGGCGCCATTCTCGTCACAACTAGAAACAAGCAAACAGGCTTAATGCTGACATAAGGAAAAGGCCTTATAGAGATTGGGAAGATAGACGAGGATAAGTCAAGCCAGCTACTCCGTATAATACTCGACGAAGTCGACTTCGCTCCCGAGGAACTATCAATACTTTCCTCTCGACTAGAGTATCTACCGCTGGCCTTAGTCCAGGTAACAGCATTCATCCAAGAGAATACTACAACAATTAGTAATTATCTTCAGCTTATAAACCAAAGCGACCAGAATCTCGTAAATCTACTAAGCGAGGAGTTTGAGACAGTCGGCAGAGACTCTGGGGCCCCTCGTACCGTGGCGGAGACATAGATCCTTTCATTTAAGCAAATTCAACAGCAGAATGCCTTTGCGGGCGAAATCCTATCGCTTATAAGTCTCTTTAATCGGCAGGCTATTCCATCGGAATTTCTTCACCACTATAAACAGCAGCAATTAGGAGATCAAAGTGGAGAAATACAGCTCACAAAGGCTTTAGGGGTTTTAAAGACATTTTCTTTCGTTACTGAAGACAGAGCCCACAACTTAAATATGCACCGGCTTGTGCAGCTAGTTACTCGAAAGTGGCTCATCAACAAGGGCACAATACAGCGATTTACGGGACAGGCGCTATTAGTAGTTTCACAGGCTTACCCATATGGCAATTTTGAGAATCGCACAGTATACGGGGCATACCTTCCACACGCACATACTGTGTTGGGGTCCGAAGACGCTGGGTTGAAAGATAAGAGAGTAGCGAGAGCATCGCTTTTCTATTACGTTGCTGAGTTTTTCTCTTATCAAGGTCGATGGAAAGATGCAAAGGAGTTCCAGTTAAAGGCTATAAAGTTGCGAAAAGCAGTACTAGGAGACGAGCATCCCGATACGCTGAACGGCATCGCCAACCTAGCATCAACATACTGGAACCAAGGTTGATGGAAAGAGGCCGAGATGCTCCAGGTACGGGTGATGGAGTTATATAAGAAGGTGCTAGGAGACGAGCATCCCGATACGCTGATCGGCATTGCCAACCTGGCATTAACATACCAGAACCAAGGTCGATGGAAGGAGGCCGAGATGCTCCAGGTACAGGTGATGGAGTTACGAAAGAAGGTGCTAGGAGACGAGCATCCCTATACGCTGAACGGCATCGACAACCTGGCATCAACATACCAGAACCAAGGTCGATGGAAGGAGGCCGAGATGCTCCAGGTACGGGTGATGGATGTAAGGAAATAGCAACCCTAACCCACACACTCCTTGTACTGCGCGCACACCCATGCGCGCCCACCACCTGCCACCAACTAGCAGCGCCACTAGAGCCACACTGTGGCATCACTGTGACGGCCCGCCTTACGCAGTAGGGATGTCAATGGTTGAAGGCAGCAACGAATGTGGATTTAAAGCTAAGGAAGAGAAAGGAATCTATCGCGGGGTCCGCGCAGGGCGCGGAGAAATAGGTAGTGGTGCTCAGTGCGCACAGGCCACACTCTAAACACAATGCAGTCAATAGAATCAATCCTATCACATGAGCCCTATGGCGACCGTGACAACCACGCTTCTACAGCACACACGGGACTTGGTCTCCCAATCATGTATATAAGGAGCGGCCCTCGCCCACCGTCCTTTGCGAGGGCCAGGTTGAAGTCTTACACCATTGCCAGTCATTGCTCACCCTTCTTGTTGCCTTCATTGTGACCACCTTGATCAGGCGTACCTGCCTTCCTTATATTTACACTTTTCGTACAACAGATACGCTAACTAGTATGAACAATCTTGCCTTTACTTGGAAAAGCCAGGGCAATTTCGAAGATACTGTAAGAAAGGAACCCCAGCCCTCACACACAACCCACTCAATCCTTTGAAGCGGGCCTAGACTTCACTCCTTTGTCAAAGGCCCGCCTTACACCCTGTCATGTATATAATCAGAGGCCCTCGCCCCTTTCCTTTGCGAGGGCCAGGTTGAAGTCTCTCACCAATATCAGTCATTGCTCTCTTACTTCAACACCTACATTGTGACCACCTTGATCAGGCGTACCTGCCTTCTCTTACAGATGCTTTGGCATTAATACGGGATTGTGTTACGATCCTGGTTCAAAGGTGCAGAGGGCGCTGCCCGCCTTCTGTGGATTGGCTGGAACAGCATTTAAGGTGGGGGGCTCTCGCTTGAAGGTGCATCCAATGAGGGAGTGCTCAGTGGGGCCATTGCCGAGAGCCACTGAGCGCACTAAGCGGGGAGCTCAGTAGGATCAGTGCCGAGACCCACTGAGCGCACTGAGCGGAGAGCTCAGTAGGGATCAGTGCGTCTAGGACTGAGCACGACTGAGCATGTGAGTCAGGAACTCTGATTGGTCCTCCTTAGATAGATATATACGACGACCGTAGCCACGGTCCCAGATAGTTCTTGCTTGGTTCTTCAAGCAAGCAATACACATTCACTGCACTCATACACTTTGAGTGGCATTCCGATTTGACTGTATTACCCGTGCGATAGGAGCTTGCCCTTTGTTCTATCTTCATAATTACCAACCCCAGCATTCTGTGGAGCCCGTGCTCCCTTACAGACAAGACGACCCTGACAGTCGAGTGGTTTGTAATAGATTGCCTTCATCCTCGGTAACAAATACTCGGCCTAGATTACCCCGATATTATCTCCACTCGTACCACCCTAAGTGACTAGACTAAAAAAGCAATAGAAACGGCTTAGATTATAGTATCTTCATACTAGATATAGTATTTTCACAGTCTGCCTCAACTTCTCTCTTATTTTTTCTTTCATAGCGTGACACAGGAAGGGCGTAGGGGAGCACCTTACTTTATATCTTCTCATGGTTTATTAAGCAAGTTCTAGCCCATTCAAGACATTTCGTTATTCTTCTAGCGCAATGCGCCACCTGCTTTGCCACTCCACCATAGGTCAATGGAAGCGCTGCGCTAAACCAAATGAGGAGAGGTAGGGGAGGGCGTCATTCCCGGAGCGTGCAGCACCGTATACTCTAATACGATAAAAGCTGTCGATACGATAGGCATACTCACCCTCACCAGCCATACCGCCAAGTACAGCTCGCTACGGCCCCGACGAGTCAGCTCGAATTTCGAGACCGTCTGAGCCTGACCTTTTGAGCCCGCCTCTGCTAGGCGTGATCTGATAGTCGAAGCGCGATTCCGTGAATTAACTTGATATAGTCCCTAAAATGATCCAGTATCCAGCTTCACGTCCTTGCACTTCTCATGTCTACACTTCTCATACTTATATATAAGCTGGCCAAGTATAGTCTGAAAGTACCAATGTTCCCTTGTCTCCTACGACCTGTATAAGGGCATAGATATACGAAGCTAGGCAGGTTGTGCCAGACCAAGGAGATTGGGAAGGGTCCAGCGACTTCTAAGATGCCTAAGACCGCATAATGTGATCTAAGACTGCAAAACGCTCTCGAACAAAGCCTTGACTTCCCGCTTCGCCTTAGATAGTCCCAGATCACTCTCATCAACCTCGCCAACCTCCGCAGTAAACATTGCCGCCATAATGACCAAGTAGCCGCTTACACTAACGTCCAAAGTGAACTACTCGATACCGACGTCGCCCTCAAGGCCAAGGGCAGCCTACAGGTTCTCTTCTTTCTACTACCCTATTTCATTAATAGCCTTCAAGATCGCGGCACGGTGCTCGTGTACTGGATGGTCCGGGTTACCGAGCTCCTCGAATACCGCATCCACTTGGTTTCAATACGGGCGGTGAATCACGATGTGGAGAACATGCCAGCGGCGGCCATGGTCAAAGAAGACGATAACGTCGCGTGGCACACCCTTCGAGTGGTCCCAGTCCTAGTCGAACCCACCAGAGGGTTGTGCGACGACCTGAAAGTGGATTTACTTGTAGCTGCTGCCAAGGATTTTCGCCGCCTCCGCGATATAACAGCCTTGGAGAGGCCCTGGAACTACGGGGATACCTGTCACGGCGCGCAACGGCTGTAGCACACTATAACCCACTACAGGTTGCAAGTCGTCGACTTGCAATTCTGGCATCCTTTTGGGGGTTCTAGCGCAGTGGTAGTGGGTGCTGTGAGCTGGCGCCGTCACAATACCGAGTATAGATTGACCACGAAGCCGGGCAATAGCAGCTCTACAAACTGAGATTTGCGCCATCTATATAATCAATTAGTAGACTACACTCTTCACTCAAAACTAAGGGCTAGCCTTAATAGAGCTGAAGCTTGTCGAATGATAGACAGGTGAACAATGCGAGGCCCGAGCAAAGTTAAGATAGGAGACCTAAGACCGCGCTCTCTATACGTGATGGAGAGACTAGCGTTAATGGAACGTGCCGATACAGGGAGATTGAGGCTGGCAACAGCGGCGAAGATGTGCAAGTGCGAGCGGCTCGAGCTCGAAGTGGAGTTGACTGTGGAGGTGGTAAAGGTATGGCGATGTCGTGCCGGAGTTTAAAGCGGGAGACTTGGGAGCGGGCTCTTCGCTCCAGGTAGGTTAGGCGGTGCAGAACGCGCAGTGCGGTGGTTCGGCAGATGTGGCTTGACTACTTAGAAGGAAGCGCTCGTAATCGAGACGCGCAGCCGGAAGGCGCTCGAAGAAATATTTCTGCGGTCGGCAATCGTTGCCGAAACAGCCTGTTTTAAGCGCGCTCAATCGGTGCGACGATTACTGCAAAATTAATTTGACAGATTGATGTTGAAAAAGGATGACAAGTTGTTGGCGGCCGAAGGTGCTCGGCAGGTCGAGGAAGCCAAAGCCATACTTGAAAATCTCAGCTGTCGGGGCACCCTTCTAATCCGGGTTTGTCACCAGCTGCTTCCTCTCCATTTTCCTTTTCAGCAACTCTTCCTCACCCTGAAATGCTATCAAGCGGCCGCCACTCAGCTATCTCAGACCATCAAAGACAAGCCTCGCAGATCCAAAGAGACTTGTCTGCCTAGTATTCGGGATGTCGGTATATGTCGGTGGACGGCGGGCGGGCTCAATCGAGGACATAAGGCTTGTTGAGGGGTCTGGCATCTCGGCATTACTGAAGAAGACGAAACTCTCGGTACGTAAACCTGAATTCTATGTGGCCTGGCATCTTGCTTCTGCCCAGCCTATGGAAGTTACATAGAAGTTTTCACGGCATGGTGGAGTGGCAGACCTGGAAAAAGTTTCAGAGATTTGGGGAGGAAGATATGGTATTCTCTGATCGCCCTTGGTGGTTCTGCTCGGAACTCATATGGCATCTGCGGTACAAATATGCCTGCGGTCAATAACCTACGGTGATGCTGCACGACGCCAGCGCGTGTTCTCTGCCGATCAAGGAAGAGGTGGGGACTCCTCCGTTTGTGAGCACGACTGTTTTTTTTTTCTTAAAAAAAAAAGGAAAAAAAACCGGAATACACTAACAGGAGGGAAAGAGGGACCCGTTTTTGGATCCCAAGAACCCCGGTTCCTGACCCCCTCTACCTCGTAGGGCAAGCTTCTAGGGATGTGACTGCACCGCGGCTACGTTCCAGTCTCAAGGTTTGAGCCGCTTCATATGGCTCGCCGACGTTTCGTGCCTTTTAAGCCCGAAGGGGGTCGAGAATTCCATCTCACAAGTCTTGCAGCGTGGGATTTTTTCTTTTTCGGAGGCTGATTCGTACATTCTTTTATGGCGTATAAGGTCGTAACGTCTGTCGAAGTTTAGCCCACATATATCACACCAATAAGAACGATTAGTTTGGTGGGTTTTGTCGTGCCTTGTAAGGTCGTGGCTTCTAGAGAAGCCCCTTTTGGAAATATTGCACTAGTATCGTTTCGATATAGGAAGAGGCATGAAGGGCTCTGAGTGAGACTCTGCGGAGGGAGGCTTTGCTGTAGAGACAGTGGAAGGCTCGGCGGCAGAAGACGGCTCTGTGAAAGCTGGCTGTGGAAAGAAAAAGAACGATTCTCCTGTGAAGAACGGTACTGTGAATGCCAGGGTGGTTGTGAGAGGACTATAGTGATATAGATGAGACGATATTGGTTCGTAGGCCTCGGATCTGGTCGAGGAGTCAATCGTTGTATTCTGGTCAAAATCAGAGCTCCAATAGGGATCCATATTGGGTGTATAACTCGGAACCGGAGATAAAATATAGATATCTTCGTTGTTATTGTTGTTGTTGCTGCTGCTGCTGTTGTAACGAGGGCTAAAATAGAGAAGAGAAATAAACGCCCTATTATTCAAAGTGGGCCGAACAGGAAGAGAGAATGTATTTAGCCTCTCGTATATATAAGCGTTCTCGTATTTTAGATGGCGGTTAAAATAATTAAAAAATACAACGATGCTCCAGGAATCACCATCAGGTGGAAATTGAGATAATTATCTAAAAATTCTTCATCAGCACGATAAGTAGTAATAAGTACTCTTGACCAGAAAGCGCTTGGTAGGCGCCAGGGGAAGAAACATGGGAACTTGACGTCGTGACTGCCGAATTTCTCCAATCATAGTTTGGTAATTCTCGGCTTCTCAGCGGCTGGTAATGCAGCCGTTCCATCGCGGAGTAAAATGAATCCTCTATAATGCCCTGGTATGCGCGCAGACCAAAATGGCAATTCTAACAACATCCCCATGACGCTCTTCATATGCAGGCTGGACTCAGATTAGAAAAGCGTATCCCGAGGGAGACGGTAGTAGTTATGATTGAATAGATTCTGGGAACGAAGAACACTCCGTCTTGACTATGAACACCAAAAAGCACAGTCATTGTCATTTAACCGCCGAGGTTGCATGGGAAGCGCGCATCTTCTGCAAGGTGGTTGGCTCTTCAGTTGCTCATTCCTTATTAAGAATACGCGGGCACTATCACGCCTCTCGCGGTACTTTACAATAGATCTGAGGACTCACGAAGTATTTGGGCACGGAGGTCAAAAGCCATAGTTACCGTGAAAGAAAAGACAAGGCACGACTACCTAGCGCAGCTCAAGATCCACAAAAATACGAAGTCGCTGCGTTACTTGTATGTGAATTCCAGGCCAACTGACCAGAAAAGCTTTCCCACTCGTCTTGAAACGGCCGTGCCTGGCTCCGCCGCTCATGAACCCCCTACCACCTCCTCGCCCAAAACTCAGTTGGATAGAGACTATGCCTAAATATATCACATGTGATACCTCACAAAAACTTATCATATTTGCCATTTTGTTACATAACCGCGCGCCAACGTTCCAAGAGGTCTCCTTTCATGGCGCAATTAAAAGCGTTGGATGGAGGCTATTGGATGGAGGCTATTGGATGGAGGCTGTTGGATGGAGGCTGTTGGATGGAGGCTATTGGATGGAGGCTCTTGGATAGAGGCTGTTGGGTGGAGGCTGTTGGGTGGTGACGGAGGCGCAAAAGATACAAGGACGCGCAGCTTCAAGTTTTTCACTGCTTCCTCGGTGGTAGAAAGAGTAAAACAAAGAAATGGCTACTCGAACGCGACGGGAAAAGAAACCCAAGCTGAATAATGCCTAGAACTGGCTTCACGATAATGCAAGGATAGTTACGCGGACTGTTATTAGTTCGAAGGCACCTAGGTCGTGCCAGGTGTCGTAAGACTAGATTGGAAAGGTTGTAGTTGGGGGGATATTAGGAAGATATATAGTTGCAAAATGCCCTGCGATTGTGCCTCCCCGGCGGCTGGCATACCTAGTGTCGAGTGTGGTCGGCTTGCGTGGGAATGGCTTCATTCGCGAGCCAGCCGCCCAGGGTGCCAGAAGACGCTCTCAACAAATAAACGGTCCTAGCGACAGGGAAATTTCGATAATCACCAGTCGCGCCTGCTGACACCGTCTCGAGAAAACATGGGCGGTTGGGTATGTAAATTCGTCTATTCCATCGAAGTATCTTATTATCGATCACGAAAAGATATCACAGACAGGGAATATTACAGGGTTTTTTATTACTCCCGGTAAACTATTTAGTAATTACTAGAATCTAAATAAACCACCTTTCTCTCTTAGCATGGAAGAAGGGCAGGATCGATCGGGATCACAGTCTTGCTTTGGCTGCTATTACTTGACCCACCACCACTCTTAAAGTGTGTATAATATCGCCCAGCCAAAGCCGCCCGAGTCCGGTTTTTCTCTCGAAAGTCCTCTGCAAATCGCCGATGAATCATATCCCAAGTTAGTCCCTAGGTTCTCAAAAGGATGAGAAGGGTGTCCTCTTCGCGAGTCCAGGGGCCATTTTTCTTTGAACGCCGACTTTTGACCGGGGAATCGGATAATGTTGGTCTGGTGGAAATTGGCATCTTGGCTGGGGAATTGTATTGTCGGCTTCTAGCTACGCAATTCGTGCAAGGCGGCCAAGAGAACTGTAGCTGGATAGTTGCTATGCCATCCACGATCACGCGTTTGAGGACTGCATCCTCAAGTGGCCACTCATCGGACTCCCCCGCGGAGCTTTGAAAGACAGGTCTATCATCGACGGCATCGAAACCTAGGCTCGGGCTTCCTAGTAAGGGAATTAGCTACGAGAACGCCCGGTCAAGAATTCGAAGAACTGACCCAAATCGCTGATATTACCAATGCCCGCTTGCAAAGGAACATCGCAAGTATTGTCAGGGATGGCCTGCTCGGCCGCTGATAGGGCGGGCGATGGACGCGGCGGTGTTTGGGAAGGCGATATCCATCTGGGCTGTGGAGAGAGCTCGAGAAAAAGGGGTGGCCAGCGCAAGAAGAAGACATGACGATATCACACGCACGGTATGGCGACAGCATATTTAACAACGGAATGAAACCAGAGGGCGGGGGGGAAAACGGGGGGTGTTTAGTTTATCATGTCCTCTACTGACTGCTCAACTACGTAGGCAACTAACCGACCAAAACAGCAGTGATAAATGAGCCCAGCATCCGCTTAAGCTCTATTCACACTCGAGAGAGCGAGACGAGGCGGCCAAAACGACATGACAAGACATACAAGCAAGCAAGAAACACCCCCGTACGCTAGCCAGTCTCTGTGATGATCGCTGCTTCCCTTCTCCGATCGCCCATGCACATCACTCGTTTCTCGATTTCCACGAGAATACCGCCGCCGTCGCCGTCGCCGTTACCGCCGAGCCTGCCCCTGGGTGCTTCATCTCCGACGCACCGGTGGGGCCTGGGCCTGAGCCTCCTGGGCATGGGCTTCCTGGACCTGAGCCTCGTTGCGCAGCTCCTTAACCACGGACTGGGGGAGGTTAGTGTCAGTCACCAGTTCCGGATGAGGGTGTGGTTTGAGAGTACATACCGCCAGCGCTTCCGGGCTCACGCCGTTCTCGATCATAGAGATGCAGATGGACAGGGTGCGGCGGTCGAGGTGGCAGTTCTTTTTATTTAATAATTATAGGGTACGGTTTAGAGCAGCGTACTCACCAAAATGGTGGAGATCTCGTGGAGGATGTCGACGGCCTGTTGAGCCGCGGCCTGCTTCTCGCTGCGTTCATCCGGGGGCGCCATGGTGGCGGCTACTTCATTTGGTGCTGTGGAGGGGCATACGTTGAAATGTCTTTTTGATAGTACTTGTTGAGAGTGGTTGCACTGAATTGTCTGAGTGATGGCGATGAGGTGGGATGGGATGCAAGGAACTGCCCCGCGACGCGACGCGGTTCGCCAATCAAACTGACGGTTACCCCTAACCCTAGGTATCCCGTACCCAAAGCTCTTTCCTGGCATGGCATCTAAACCGCATCGTTGCCGTGAATTGAGATTTACAGCACAGATACGTAGGTTATTTGGTCCTGGCACACTGGACGGAAGAGCATAACAATTGCACTGCGGCTACGACTTGAGGGCCTCGACAAATAGCTCGCGCATGCCCTTGAGCAGCACGGCCAGCTCGCGCGTCTCATTCACGCGCTCCAGCACGCGCTCGACCTTGTCCTTCTCGAGCTTGGGGCGGCAGTGGCGCACGTCGTAGTCGCGGCTGCCGGTGCTGAGCTCGAACCAGGCCTCGCGGTCCCAGCTGCGCTCGTCGACGTGCGTGTAGACGAACTTGAGGCGGTCCTCGGCGCCGGCGCCCTCGATGCGCAGGCACAGATTCGTCACCCAAAAGTCCAGCTCCGGTACGTTAAAGCGCGCCTGCGCCTCGAGCCGCTCCGCGTGCGCGCGCTGCGCCGCCAGTCGCCCATCGATCTCGCGCTGCGTCGCCGCCATCTGCGCCCGCAGCCCGTCGCGCGTCGTCGCTTGCGCGTCCCGCTGCGCCGTCAGTGCCGCGATCGCCCCCTGCATCTCGCGCGTCTCGGCCGCCTCCTTGGCCATGGTCTGCTGGTGCGTGCTGGTCTTGAGCTGCAGGATCTCAATGTCCTTCTTCTTCATACGCTGGTCCTCTGTTTGTGTTGCGTTCATGTTAGCGAGGTCTGCGCCTGTGACAACTCTTGCTTTCTCGCGTACCTTGCAGCTCCGTCACGTTCATGCGGAACTGGTTCCTTTCTTCGAGCACCCGCTTGCGCCCCTGCTCGATGAAGGCGTCGAACTTGACGGTGAACTTGGCCATGCGGTCGCGCAGCTCGTCGAAGCCAAAGTTGATGCTGGGCAGCGTGTCGGCCATGGACGGGCCCGTGGGCGCGCGGCTCGTCGAGAGCGACGGTTCGAAAATGGAGGCCATTCTGTTTTTGGTGTAGTGCGTATATCGTATTCCGTCGTGGATCGTCAATCGTGAATCGTAAATGCTCAATTTGCGCTGCTGTGGTGTGGTGTTGAGTTGCGGCGGCTGCGGGGGAGACGGGATGACGGCCTTTGTTTGTATTTCCCTAGGGTGGTTTCCCGGGCACCCACCAACTGCTGGCGAATAGTCTCCAAAGCACGGACCATCTCTCGCAGCAGCCCGCTATTGGCCACCGCCGATAAGGCCGCTCCCAACTTTCTGACATTAAGAACCTTGAGGACTCTCTCACCGTTGAAACGGTTGCAAGCAGTGGCGTTGGGCCTGTCGACGCCCGATTTTGTCGCCGCTTTCTCTGCCTGGATTTAGACCTGAGGAGAGAAGCTGATGCGGACCTGTCGGTAATCAGCAGCTCGCTCGGGAAGAATGATAACGAATGATGGCGCATTCGTCTCTCTACAACCAAATGGCTGACCCATTTGCGTCCGGCTCGGGCGAGGCTGGGCAGAGTAAGTCTTGCCCTCAGTCCCAGATACTGCAGTGCAGATAGATCCTGACAGCTCGCAGCTCCCAATTTTCAGCAAATAACGCCCTTTTCGGAATGGTGTCCCCCTGTCCGCGCAACTGACCCCCCCGCCTTGGCGCCTTCCCAGCTGCCCCCCTCGCGCAACAGCTGGCTGTTCAAACACTGCCCAGAGGCCTGCGTCGGCGATGATGAAGTCAAGGCCATCCTCGCCGACGAGCTCGGCGTTAAGGGTAGCGCCCGGCTCGCGCCTCCTGCCGAGAGCTCGGCCTGCCTCATGGCCGTCGGCGAGATCTCAGACACTAGACACTCGGGCAAGGCCACAGGCCATGCGGCGCTGGCTTTTGCCTCGGGCGAGTCGGGCAACGTGCTTTGTCTGCTCGGCATGTCCCACGAGGACCGGTCCTGGGCTGAGGAGCATGTCACAGTGCATCTAAATACCCCCGACACGCGCCTCGACGGCGAGTGGTGCCAGGACAGCGCGCCCATCTCCTTGGTCAAGTTTGCCTCTGATCCCGATGCGAAGACCCCGATCCGCTGGCTTCTTGTCCAAAAGGCGGCTTCGACGACCATCTGCGCCCCAGAGCTCAGAGAACTTCCCTCGAGACATGGAGAGCCGGCCGGGAAGGCGGCAGGGGGCGCTGGGCTGGCGCAGATATTTGTAAACCCGCTAGCCACCATACGCTGTGAACAGACTGGAGGCTTCTCGCACTCTGATCTCGCTTTCAGCCCCTCCTTCGGCGAGGATGCACCTCAACTCGCCATAATCGACACGGCCGGCTGCTGGAGCGTGTGGGACATTACCAGCCACCGCTCTGCTGGCCGGCTCAAGTCGCTGAACCCGGTCGTGAGAATGTGTGGCAGCATCTCGCTAGGCTCCATTCCCGACTTTCCCGCAATAACCGAAAGCACAAGTGATCGAGACCCACATAGAATAGCGTGGCTACTGCTGGATGCGCATGAACGTCGCTCCAAAAGTCGGTCTAGAAGTCGCAAAGAGAGTCGCGCGAGAAGCCGCAAAGACAGCTACTCGAGAAGTCGCAGAGGAAGCTCGTCGAAGCAGCCAAGCGGGTCAGTCGAAATCACGAGCCCGCCTTCTCCGTCGCGGCTGCTTCTCATGAGCACAACCAATGCCTTGTCTCTGTTCGATGTCGACACCGGCAGGTTTCGGTCTGTTTCCCGCAAGGTCCTGTCGGAGAACCAGCAGATTCTCGACGTGGCCCCGTCCTTGCTGGACCGCTCTCAGGCGTTCATCCTCACCGAGTCCAGCGTGGTGTGGGTGGCGACGCGGGAACACAGCAGTGGCAAGTTGACTCTCGACGTTCTTGCCTCTTGCCCCCACGAGAAGGACAACACAGACCCGGAGCTCAAGCTTAATGTGTCTCCTGGCGCCTACGTTAACGGCCGCGAAGCGTGTTTCGTCTGCGTCCGCTCGACCAGAGACTCCCGGATGGCCGTCATCTGGTGTATACCGCCCGAGCCTGGCGCGGCAGCCCAGTGCCACCGCGAGCTGGTTTCGCTGAATGTCTCGTTCAATTTCGTGGGCATGGACATGCTCCTGGTCTCTCGCAGGACAGGCGCAGGCAAGACGGAGGCGCCTCGGCGCAACGCCCTGACCGAGGCGAAACCAAGATTTTTCCAGATCCTGACCATGGGGCCCGACCTGGCCGTCCACAGCTCGCTCTGCGCCTGGCTGGACGGCCCCGACCTCCGTCTGGAGCCTCCTGACACACTCGTCGATCGGACAGAAGCTGAAGGCGAGAGGGTGAAGCCCCCAAAGCGTCCCGGCGACGCCTTTGCGGTCCCGGACGGGTTTGACGACGGCGTCAGTCCGCAGCCTGCCGGCGAAGAGCCGGCGCAGGATGACTCCGGGGAAACCGCTACTCTGGAGCTATGGCCTCTGCCGGCATACAGGGCCGACAGAGGGCGTTCGAGGCCTAAACTCGGAGCCTTGGGTGACGCCATCGACGACGCCGTCGAACGGGAGAGGAGGGACGGGTACATGCCCAGGCGCTCGCTGTAAGTTGGCCGGAATTACCTGTCTAGACTCTGCTGACATGACATTCTGTTAGGCTTGACCTGGTAGGGCGCGGACGGACGGTCGAGGAGCTCGCGCAGCTCTCGACAGACTGGACAACGCATCAGAGAAGCCTAATCCAGGATGCCGCCGGATGGCTCGAGGTGCCAGCAGCCGCAGCCCGCTCACCCGGCCCCAACCTGGACGCCGTCTACAAGGACCTCAAGAACATGTTCCACCCGCTGCAGCGCACATCCAAGCTCGGGAAAGCCGCCGAGCGGCAGCGAGCCGCCCTGGAGCGCATGACCGCCGAGCTGTTCCTCGCCAAGATCGGCATCGCGACCCCGCCGCACCAGGCCAAGTCCACCGACAGACACTCATCGCAAATTCCCGCCTCAAGCCCCCCCCTGCCCTTCCGCAGCTCGCCACCGCTCCCACTGCCGCAGTCGTCGCCGCCCACGGCCCTGGACGACGGAGATGACGTCGACGACGAGGTAGTCCTCCGGCTGCGCAAGTACGCCACCGTCGGGCCGAGCGTAATAACAAGCGACTTCCGCGACAACCCGGTGCTGGCGCACTGGCGCGTCGGCGAAGCCTCAGGCGACGAGACTTCCCACTGGATCTCCGGCGAGAACGAGGAGGAGCTCGAGCAGGCGGCCAAGCAGCGCCGCAAGATGGACACGCGCCGCCGCCGCGCCGAGAAGCACGCCGCCAAGGCCGCCGCCTACGGTACTACCGGCCTCGACTACCGCCCTGTCATGTCCATGCCGACCGCCATCATGTCCAGCCAGCCGCGGCGCGTGTCGGCGGCCGGTTTCTCGCAGATCCGCTCGTCGCAGGTCGTCCGCTCGCAGGTCGTGCCTGGTGCGTTTGGCGGCCGCACGCTGCTGCAGGCGCGAAAGCCAAAGGTCAAGGAGGGGTTCAGGTAGCGTGAAGGTGGCGTTGCTTGTCTGGTGGGGTGGTTAAGGGGTACTGCTTCGGCAGCAGGCACGGTTTCTGAATGCAGCATTTTTGTACAGCATGGATGTGTGTAATTGGCGATTTGCGCTTAGTTCAGGCAGGCAGGCATCCATTAGCATCCATCCATTGGCAGGCATGGCATAGGCATAGACATGGCGTAATTTCAGAATACCTTACTGAGGCGGAAGCAATACAAAAGCAATCCATGCTGAGATGTACAGTATATACGTCCATGGATAGGTACTTTCTTTCGTCTACTCTTGCAAGCGGCGAATACTGCACACTCACTAGTAAAATACTCTACCTCAACGGCCCTTTGTCTTTCTTTCTTTCTTCTTTCTTTCTTGCCTTGCCTCCGGCGGCCCTCCAGGGGCACCTGAGGCGAACTGCTCGCTGCGCTCGAAAGTCGTTCCTTACCTAGGTAGGCATATATGTATATCCAGTACTCTCTAGATTCTAAACTGAACTAGTCAATACCTACCTACCTTATTACAACCTTATTACAGCCCGTAGGCCTTCATATTCACAACCGACTACGGAAAGTATTCCATTGGTATGAAGAAAGGAGGGAATCCTCACAAAATACAAATTCATATCGTGTATTTTGATTGTTAATGCGGTCAGTTATTGGCTCATTCCCCTGCTACGTAAGGTAGTCTGGTTGTGCATTTCGTCTCGTGTAGCCGAGATGGAAACTATCGGGCAATTGGAGATGCGAAAGATGGTTGGCCGAGAGAGGTTGTAGTGTAGAGGCTTAAAAAGACCCCTAACCTAACCTAAACCCTATGCTCGAAAGCTAGGCCAGCTGGGCGGGCCGCGTGGGAAGTGCAAATAGTGCTTATCCGCATTCGGCAAGGAGCTCCCACCGTCTCGCAACGTCCCGTCTCGCAACGTCACGTCACGTCACCTCGACAAATGCTCGGAGCTCTGTTGATAAAACCAGCACTGCGAGGAGAAAGGCAAAAGGCAGATCCGTCCAACATCCCACCACCTTGAGTAATTGCTTCGTTTCCCTGTGGCCGTTGACGCCGATGACCTCAAGGTCGTCGTGGCCGTCGTCGCCACTAACGTCAAGGTTGTCGCAAAGCAGGAGCCTTGCCAAGTTTCTGGCTGGCGGACGGCGCGTCATCGGTCTCGCCGGCGGCAGCTGGACGAGCCTCCAGTGAAGGGTGAAGACTCTTGGAGGGCGACAGCGAGCGGCGGAGGCGTCTACCAATCGTTCTCAGCCAGTTGTGACCCTTGCGCCGGACAGGTATTGACTTGACAGCACGGTCGAGATGAAACTGCCGGATGCTTGCAACGAATTCGCAATACTTCTCTATCATCTTGTCCGTGTCCTCCTTGGTCGTGCACGTTTTGGCGATGGCTGTTGCGATGTAGTTGAGAGGGCGATAGAACACGGGCCCCTGATGATCCGCCGGGTGGATCTTGGCGCCACCTTCCAACAATGCTTGCCATACCGGGGAATAGCGTGCCCCCCATTCCTCCCTGCCATACTTTTCGCTCGGAGCCCAATAATCCTCTAGAGTGTCCCACCGGAAGGAGATGATATTGGCGACTTCGGAAGCAGACGGTGCGTCAGGGTCGCCGTGTAGAAATTGAAAAACCCACCCGCGACGGCGACATTCTGTCCTCGGTTCCAATCACCAGGGCAAAGCTTGTCAAAGAATAGTCTTGCCATACTGGTTATTCGTGAGTGCACCATCGCACGCGTCATATCATCGATGATGGCGTCAGTATCAGCGCCGCCAGTGAGATGGGTAGTAGCCATGGTATCATCGTCGGTGTCCGGCTGCCTAGGGTATATTGCCAATCTTTCCCAACGCTCTTTGAAATAAGCTAATGGGATTCCTGATCTTCTAGTCCAAGAAAACTCCCAATCGTCATTCTGCGCGCTGAAACGGAAGTCCTCAGATATAAGGCGAGAGAACCCCGAAGCTCCAAGCACATTAGTAACCGTACGACAAAACTCGTTACATGTCTTTGTCTGTAACTCGGTAGGCTCCTTAGGTTGGAGGCAGGTATCGTCTGTACCTGGGATTTCCGAACGGCTGCCCTGTTCTTCCGCGCTGCTGTGTCCAAGTAGCGGTGTGGAAGCATCTGAGAGTGCTGAGATAGTAGCTCCGGCAAATACAGATCCGCAAGCTCGCCCTATGCTATTTGACACTGGCCACGAGACTGATTCACCGTCAGGCGTTGCGGCAGCCAGTGTTGTGATATTCAGCTCGGGGGTGATAGCCCAGCCTCCAGAGAAACAGGCTGTTGTGAATAGGGTAACGAATACACCCGGCTCCAGGGCTGCTTTGAGGCGTACGATGCTGAGACCCCTGCGTCGGTCGCCATTATCGAGGCATAGGTAATGGCCCTCAATTCCGTGGCAGAATACGATGAGAAGAAGGGGGGATCCGGCCTTAGCGCGGAGCGACGCTTTGCTAACCTCATCGAGAAACCTGTCGATCATCCCCGCAGGCTCGACAAGGGTTATTGGAGTAATGTCTGAGTCGAGGAGGTCACGACTCAAGACGACCTTGCGGCCTCGATGGGGGTAACCATGGAGAAAGTCACCGTGCTTCTATAGCAGCCTCTCTGGCTTGGCAGCTGTGAGCCAGGTTTGATCCGCGACAGAGCCGTTGAGCAGGTAGTTGAGAGCGTAGAAATCGGACAGAAACCATCCATCCTTTTTCTGGTCGCCGGTTTGGACCGTGGGATGGGTCGCCGCGACGACGATGGTATTTTCGTGAATTAACGGGATAGTGTGGGTGAGGAAGGTGTCGGGGTGCGAAGACAACCCCTTGTGCGTGCCACCAGCAACCAGTGGGTTTCGCTCCGCCATCTACAGCGAGTCAGCAACGGCAGGGTGCGTAGTGTAGAGATGGGTAATTCCTACGGCGATATCGTCGGCGGCTGATGGCTGTAGGAGGAACCAGCTGGAGGGATTGACGTTTGTTGGATATAGGAGGTACCATCCCCCACCCCCCACCCGATCACCCCTTTTACACCAAAACACTACATATTCGAACAACGACAGCATAGTCAATTGTGAAGCTATTAGCAAGCAGGGAATTGAGCTAGTTAGGTAATTGCATATAGTTTAAGCTTAATGTGCATTTGTCAGCCCACAGGCCCTACAAATTTTACTTGATCGTCGCAAATTAATTGCAACTTAGCTTCTTTGTGCTCCCTTGGCCCAACCTTTGGGTGCGTATTCTATTGTGCTGCCGCAATGCCTTCCTATACCGATGAAGGTATGGGAAATGCCTACCTAGATGTTACGGATAACAAGCTTTCTACTCGCCAGGCGGCTCAAAAGAACGGCGTACCTTATACAACATTGAACGACAGGCTCAAAGGCATCTCCTCCAAAGAAGAGACTCTCTAGACTCAAAGAAGGCTGACAGAGCCTCAAGAAAAGAGGCTCGTTGAGTGGATCATCAAGCAAGAAAGCCTCGGTTATGCTCCTACATACTCAGCAGTTCGTAGCATTGCTGCAGCGCTCTGTAAAGAAGTAGGGGATCTAGACCCTATAGGGAAAAACTGGATTACTGGCTTCAAAGCCCGGAATCCCGCCATTCGATCCAAAGTCGGCAAGAAAATGGAAGCCGCTCGCTTTAACAGCTTTACTCCAAAGGCTGTTAACTGGTATTTTGATATCAGGGAGAAAGAGTATGGCTGGATCAATCCTCGGCTTACCTTCAATGTCGATAAGGCCGGCATTATGGCGGGCTTTGGTAAGAAAACGACGTTTATTGTCTCTTCTATTACTTATTCTATACAGGGCTTGATTCATTGGTCCTAGGGACCGTAGAGACGAAGAAAACCTATCTCAAAAGTGACCAAGGCCGCAGCTGGTCCACCATGATCGAATGCATCGGTGCTACGGGTACTCTACTTAACACAGGCATTATTTTTAAAGTAAAAGACCTTCAAACCTCCTGGTTTGAGCGGAAAATGCGTGAAATCGTGCCCTGGCACTTCGTTACTACTGAATAAGGGTGGACTGACAACCAGATTGCAATCAGCTGGCTTGAGGATGCTTTTCTTCCACAAACCGACCCCCTACTCAAATACGACAGCGAAGCCCGGCTTCTTCTTCTCGATGGCCACGGTAGTCATAATACTGTAAGAGATAAGTCCTATACGCTCCTTGGTCTAGTTATCTCATAATATATATATAGGACGAATTTATGACGATATGCTTCATCAACAATGTATATGTATCTTCCTACCGTCCCACACCTCTCACGGCTTACAACCACTTGACAACGGACCTTTAAATGCCGTCAAAACTTACTATAGACGTGAACTAGCCAAACTAGCTAGTATAACTGACGCGGCACCAGTTAACAAGCTGAACTTCATTCGTTGCTACAAGGTAGCAAGGGAGGAAGGATTCACCGAAAAGAACATCAAATCATCGTTCCGGACGACCGGTAATTGGCCTATTAGTAGGTATAAAGCCCTCAACCACCCAGAGATCCAGAAAGACAGGGAAAAGACCCCTGAGACCCCTGTGTTTACCGGAGTCCCTGAAGTCCCTGATACCCCGACTACAGGGCGTCAAGTTATGGATCTGAGCAAAGGAAGTAGCCCGAGTACTAGAAGGAAGTTCCAGAAGGCAGCCCGGGCCGTTGACAAGCTTCAGATGGACCTGGTTCTCAAGAAGGCTCGTATTGAAGCCCTTGAGGCTGAATTGGAGCGCATCAAGCCTAAAAAAGAAGGAAAATTCCTAACCCGAATAAGCGATTTATGGACTTAGGGACTATTTTACTAGGTGGCCAGGTTGACGCAGAGCCGGAAGCAGAGCCTCAAGCAGAGCCACAACCTGATGAGATGGAAGAGGAAGAAGAGGACGAAGATGATGATGATGACGAGGCTTTGCCGGCAAGAATGACCCGATCTGGCCGTGAAACACAAAGGCCGGCTCGCTATGATGATCGAGCATGTAATTGCCTATATTTTGCTATATTTGGCTCGCGAATTGCTTCAGAATTGACTGCACAGTCGTTGTGCAGATATCTACTATTTTGGTGTAAAAGTGGTGATCGGGTGGGGGGTGGGGGATGGTAGAAGATGGTTGTGGGAGGAAGCAGCGGGAGGAATTGATGTCGTTGGGTAGAGAAAGATAGTTTGAGGAGGGAGGAATCAAGAAACGGCAGGAAATTGCTGCCGTGTGCCTTTTAAGCTTGTGCTAGGAAAGGGCAGGGTGAGAAAAAATGCGCTTTCACATACTAGGGAAAAAGGCTCTTTCCCTACAAAAGCTCCCACACCACCAAACTCTACTACCCGATTCCGCACAGCCAAGCAATTCCCATATTAATAAATATTCCGCCCGCTCTAATACGCTTCGATTAGCCATGCTCAGCTCTACCGTAGACGCAGGCGCCGGCGCTGATTATACCGCCAACCCTATCGTTGGCGAGAAAATAAATCGCTCCCTCTCCGTTGACGAGATGATAATGTCAACGAAGATGGCAGTAATAAGAGCTCGGCCCCAGTAGAAGAGACGAGCAAGACCTGCGTCAAGATCCTCGCAAAAATGGCCCAGAATTGTGAGCATCGTGTTGCCATGAGGGATTCACGGTTGGCGTTTAGATTCAACGTTGGGCTGTCTAGAGTACGCAGCATCTGGCTGGTTCTGCACTCAAGAGTAGATAGAAAGGTTTATAAGTTGATATCCGCTATCTGTCTCTGTAAGCAACGAGCAGCTTCTCATAACATTTCACGGGCGATAAAGAGAACTTGCCATACCTGAAAAAAAGTGTAAAACTTTGCTTATGCGTTCTTATTATTGTGCATTCCTTGTTTACCTCCCCCTCCCCTCCAAGGACCGCCCCCAAATCCACAACCTCGAACAATCTCCGACCTTCAACAACCCCACAACCTCGATCAATCTCCGACCTTCTACAACCGCGATCAACCTTTGGTCATTCCACCTCAACCAATTTTCGCCTTCCTCACTACACCACTCTGACGCCTCCGCGACCACGATCACTTTGCCCTATTCGTTCGGCGCGCAGTAAGAGAGTCACGATCGCGTGTTGGAGAGAGCCAAGACTGCAACTCGAGACCGAGTACGCATCCCTCGGAATAGCAAAATACACATCATCCTACTCGCCGTACGGCCGGCGGCCGCGGCGCAGCGGCGCGCTCGTCACGCTGTGGATGTTCTGTTTCGTGTTCATCGTCGCCGCCACGTGGTTTATCCGCACGCGCTACGCCGATGCGGCGCGGGGCTATGCGGCGCGGTTGATGCGTGGTCGGGGGGAAGGTGGTGTGTGTGTATGTGTGTATCAATGTGTATTAATGGGCATGACCGGGTGGGGTTGCTTGAGTCATGTGACATACTGTGTTCCTGTGTTACTACGAGCTTATACAATATAGGATGGGACGGGGAATCTACAAAGTTGTTTGTTTGGGAGACGGAAAGGGGCTTGATTATAGACTGCGCGGGAAGCAGTCTGGGCAGCTGTCTGTTGTGAGAGGTTTCTATAGTGTATGTATATATCTTTATTGTATTGTCTTACCATTGCTAATGAGAGCGTGAACGTATCAAACACAATTGGTGAGGGTTAAGGGGCTGTGATTGTTTTTTTTGTTTTGTCTATTTTTCCCGTTTTTTGTTCGGGTTGAGAAAAAGGGTCGGTTTGAATAAGCGTGCACACACGCGGGCTCAGTAGGAATCGTCTTTGAGTCGTCGGCGGCTGCACTGAGAAAATAGACCAAGCGATTGCTGTAGTATTGTGCACACTGTTGTGTTGGTTATAAAAGAATGGGTTGTTGGCTTCGACGAAATTCGTCTGAATAGCTTCATTTCACCACCACCACCACCACAGCACCCTCCCGCTCCCACGGTACAGATAACAGACCACTACTTACTACCGACCATCATAAAATACCTACCTACTTATAGACAGCCTCCCTGTCTACTCGACATACCCCAGGAATCTCTACAGTCAACCACGAACACAACTAACCCCCCCGGCAGGACTACATACACGACAATCCCCCCCTTAACTGTTACATACGACCATACCTGGTTGAGAACTCGGGATCCCGTCCGCTCTCCCCTCGATAAACAGCCAAGGGCTAGACTAGTAGTTGGGTCGGTGACGACCAGCGAATCCCTAGTGTTGTATGTTCATTTTTTCTTTTTACTCTACGGTAGATTGTTTTTCCTTTTTTTTGAATTTCTTTTTTGGTCCCGCCCCTGTTACACTAGAAATGCTGCCCGGGACCTACTAACCTGCTGTGTGTGTAGATGGCACTTCAGTGTGTATATGTGATTTATTAACCTCTCTCTGTCACCTACGCTACCCAAAATAACAAGAAAATCCAAAGACTCTAAGAAGGAAAGACGACTTTCGAGCGCAGCGAGGACAGCCCGCAGCAGCGCCCCCGGAGGGCCGCCGGAGGCAAAAAGGAAGAAAGAAACAAAAAGGACCGTTCAGATTCTATTCTTGACTTGCCAGGTAACGTATTTTATACACCATGAGCTTCTAATGTATATGTCAAGTTTTATGTTTGAGCTTTGCCGGGGTGTTTTTTTTACTTTGCTTCCAAGAGGCGACTTCTATCTAACCATCCAGCCCGTTTCTATAGCTAACACAAAGACAGCCACGAAGAGCCTGAGCTGCGTCTTGAGGCAAACCACAGTCAGCAAAAACTAACCAGGCTGCTAACGTTCTCACCAAGTTCACGAGACAGCCAACCCAGTCGCAAGACTAGACTAGACAGGGGGAGCAGGGCAGGGCACGGTAATTGTCAAACTGCCGTTGCATTAGATGGCTACTTTTCGGGCTTAGTCCGCAGCTTATTACACACTGTGCATTTTACACAGACATGCTACAAACTACAAACTACATCCTCCAGCTGGTCACGTCAGGCTTTAAGCAAGCAGGCAGGCAGTATACCTTCAGGGGGCCGACGGCCCAACACTACAGCTACATCGGGACGTGGACAGCAGGTCAAAGTCAAAGTCATGGTAAGGTAAGGCAGCCATTTGGCGTGAGACCAAGGGCACAGAGAGCAAGAGACCCTACCTTGCAATGCTGGAAGACAGACTCATCCGTGTCAGTGGAACCTTGATAAAAATCATGATATTTGGTGGAAGAAAGAGGGTGGAAGCACCTTGGAAGATCTGCCCAAAAACCCCAAAAACGCCAGGCAGCCCGCCAGTCTATGGCATATCGTATATCGCACAGCACATCGCAATCGCACGGCTCAGGCGAGGCGCACACCGGCCTCCTTGCGCTTCTTGCCCTGGTGCGAGGCGGCGGTGCTCATGCCGACGTTCTGGCTGGCGTCGAGCATGCTCTGCGCCATGCGCCGCTTCTCCTCGGCTAGCCGCTTGAGCCGCTTGTCCGTCTTGCCCTTGCCGCTGCCCTTGCCGTGGAACTTGTGCGACAGGTCCTTGAAGGCCTCCTTGGCGTCGAGGCTGCGGCCGTCATCGTCCACGTACCGCAGCTCCACGTTGGGCCGGTACCCTTCGCGGAAGAGCTGGTCCATGACGCGCGACTGGTGCTGCTCGCGCATCGTGTTCTGCTGCCGCGAGATCTCCTCGCGCTCCCGGATCGACAGCTTGTCGAGCCGCCCGCTGGCGCGGTCGCGCTCACGCTGGTGGCGCGCCTCCTCGTCGAACAGCGTCATGCGCCGGTGTAGCTCGGCTAGGAACTTTTGCTTCTGCCGGAACTTCTCGTTGAGCTCGCTGCCGTTCGTGTCTTCGATGAGGTGGCGGTCCTTGAGGAGTCCTAGCGTCGCGGCCATGCCCTGGCCCACAAGCTTCTCCTCCTCCACGCCCGTCGATATGTCGGCGTGCGGCGTCCTGTCCCGGTCAACAGACTCGCGCTCAGTGTCGGCATCCGCCATCTCCTCGTCGTCCGACGATTCGTCCTGCATCTCTGTGACAGCTTTCGCCTTGGCCGCCTTCCGCTCTTCCAGTCGCTCAGGGTTCAGGGCATCCACGAATCCGCTAATCTCGTCAATGACCATGCCCTTGTCGCCCTCGAGGAATTCGGGCTCCAGAGACTGCGACCCCTCTTCTCGGAGCTGCCTGGCAATGTCTTCGGGCCGTGTCTTCTTCCGTTTCTTCAGGGCCTCCTTCCTCTGCATGGCGAGCGACGCCTGGAGGTCCTCGTCGTCAAGCAAGTTGTCGTCAAAGACCTTCTTCTTCTTGGTGTATATCACGGCGCCAGAATCGACGTCCATTTCTTGGTCATCGCCAGTGACACCCAGGTCGCCTGCAAACAGGGCATCCTCGTCGTCTGCGCGGCGCTGCCTCGTGGTTTTTGACTTTTTCTTCTTGGGCTTCTTGACCTTGACTTCCGAGGCATCGAGATAGTCGGGGTTTTGCGGAGGGGCGTCTTCTGTTTGAGTCCTGGTTAGAATATGCGCTAGTAAGGCTGTGACAGCATGCAACGTACCAAGCACTTCAATCCCTGCAGCCTGGCGCTTCCGCCTCTGAACTGGCGCGTCAAGGATATCGGCCAGCTCTGTCGAGATTCCCGCCCCCTCTAGGGTGAAGACTTTGCGCTTCTTCCCGTCAATCTCCTCGTCGTACTTGGATAAGATGACGTGCTCGGCAGTCTCGTCAATGTCGTTGGGGTCGTAGAGCGGCTTCTTCTTCTTGAGGTCAAGCCTCTCTTGCAGCTTTTCCTGCTCTCGCAAGCTCAGATTCTCGAGCTCGTCGCCCTCTTCCTCGTTCTCTAGGACTCCCGTGTCTTTGAGCGTCAGGATCTGCTCGTTGCCGTCGAGGAAGCTGGCCATGTCGTGGGCGACCTTGACGCCGGCCAGGTTGTCGGCCGTGTGCTGGGCGGCGGCATCGGCGGCAGCCTTCTCCTCGTCAAGCTTCCGCACGGCTTCGATCTTCTTTTGGCGCTTCTTCTGGGTCTTGAGCCACGACTTGGCGTCGAGGTCGTCTTCGTCGTCGAGGTCGGCTAGGCCCCTGCCCTCGAGGGTGGCAAAGCGCTGGGCCTTGTCGCGTGCCTTCTTGACAGCGGCGGCCTTCTCCTCGCGGCGCTTCTTGGCCTCTTCTGCCTCGCGGAGCTTTCGGAAGTTGTCGTAGGCGGCAGCCTCGCGGGTTTCGAGAGTGCTGGCGATATCTTGGTCCTTGTCGGGCGACGGACCTCGTGGTGCGTCGGTGGCGCCGGGCACGGGCAGAGGCTTCATCCCCATTGCCCGGCGCACCTTGTTGATTTCTTCAATCGAGGCAGCATCCATTTTGGCAGATTTGGCGATGTGCCGCGTGGAAGAGGTCGGTGAGACTTTGCGCTGGTTGATGGATCAATCCATCCTCAGGAAAACACAAGATCAAAGTCATGCATGGAACAAGCTTGCGCCCTGCTGCAGCGACGATGAGGCTACTGTAATGGTCTTGGCGGGCCGCCGATAAGATAACGACACAAGCCACAGCTGCCAACTGCCAAACACGGGTTCCACAGCCCACATGAAAATTGCCAAATTTTTATTTATTTTCTACCAACGCCCCACCCACTTCTGCCTACAAAATGCGCCGTTCTTCCTCCTCTTCCAGAATATTTTCGAACCCATCTCTCCAACAGCAACACAGCAGCAGCAGCAGCAGCAGCAGCCAACATGGCTCGGGGTCTTGCAGATTGGCTGCGGACAGCCTCCCCAATCCATTCACCCACACTAATGGGTCGCAATACTCTAGACGGGGAGGAAGGTGAGAAGAATCTGCAGATATTGCCTGTCCACTGCCAACCTCGAGCCGGGCGAATATCAGCGACATATGCTCCAGATGCGTTGACTCGCAACTGGCCGCGCTGCTCGCTGTTGGGAGATGAATATAGATCTCCTTAGCTCGACACCTACCACCCCCCTCTAGCTCAAGCCCATCTCTTGAGCTTGCCCCCCCAACACAAACACAATGGACCTGTGCCCGGCGTTCCTCTACTCGTTAGGGTTGAGCGCTGATGCAGCTCGGTAACAAAGGAGTTGGTGCACTGCGTAATGCCAATCTTCCACCGACAGGCCCTAGATCAACCGAATTCTAGGGAGCCAAGTTCGCCGCAAGGCTTGAGCTTGGTGAAGCAGATACTAGGGGAAGTCATATTCCAATCCGTTCGCCGAGACCGTCGGTCTATGAGGCTGGGGGAAACCATGACCATTACTACATTTATTCCTGGGGCTCTTCGTGACTGCTGTGGATGTTAAGGATATGCTCATGCCTTGTGACTTGGTTGCCCGACTCTATGGTGACTCGGCTAGCTAGATTTACTTGCCCAGACCGTTCGTCGTGAAGTCTTTCTGCTCTTTTCGCTGCATACTGCTCATCTCCGCCTGCGTTCTCTGGGCTTGAACTCCTTCACGCCATGTCGAGAAGGACCGAGGCCTTGCAGACAGACGAGAATCCTGTTGCAGTCGGTGGCTTGGAGTTGCGCCGCGTACGCGAGCTGAACGAAGCTGCTCGGCGTCTTTCGGCGGAACCAAGGCGGGCTCAAGTATTCACACTAGCTAGTGCTACGCTGGGAGGTTTAGACGCCTGGCTGCGATTCCGCGGAGCATATTATGTCAGCATATAGTATACACACGTGTGTCTCGTGCCTGTGTATCACTGCAGAGAACGAATGCAGCGACATGGAGGGTTGGATGGGTGCTTGGCCTCAGCCCTGCTCGGCCGGCGCGAGCTTCCATTCTCGTTCTAGGGGCCGGGGACCCCACAAACCGCCATGATCCGGGTGCCGCAGTGCCAGTGCGGGGGACGTGGGCTGCCGAGATCGATGCATCTTGACGCCCTGGAAGGACCGATTGTGATCTGGTCTAGGCGAGGGGCTCGCTGTTGGGACATCCATCTATGATTCCATTAATAATGGCTAGCTAGTGAACTTACCATTCCTGCGGATACGTGCGTCATTGACGCTGGCACCCAAGCACAGTCGTCTGAAGTCTGAAGTCGCCGTCTGAAATCTGCGCAGTACGGACTACGGTACAGCGAGGGAATGAGATCAAAGCAGAAGAAATGACAACAATCTTGAGTTGGAGACCCTTTATGCAGTGAGTGATGCTGCTCCTAATTTGGCCATGTGGGGGTGCTTCAGTACGGTACGTAAGTTCGAGTTGTAAAGTGTAAATCGAGAGGTCTGGAAGCCCCAATGCTCCTTCCAACAACAACAACTTTACTTCCTCGACTGTGTGTGCCTGTTAAAATTGGGGTTCTATCGAATCTGGGGAAGAATAGAAGCATCACAACCCAACAGCTTCTTCCAACACGCATCGAATGTCTCGACAACCGAGGCAGCAAATCACCAGCGATTCAATGACGGGTGTGGCGCTCTGACCCCCTGCATCGGCTCCGGCAAGACATCGGTGCTTTTCCTGCGCACGCGGCGACGCGATGACCTCCAGGCTTGCCCAATATATTGATTGAACCGAGACCCAATAGCCCAATCCCTGCGCCTGGTGCGTCGACCACGGCGTCGACAGTCACACTAGATCGATTTTGCCAGACCTGTGGGGCCATATAACAGCCAGCTATGACTACGCAAGTTCTTGGTAAAGGGGTATATACGTACAGAATAGTATGGACGGAATAGCCCCGAGCTTCAGTCCCATAATAAATAATAATGGTGTTCGTGGTCGGCCCTTTCCCCACACCACGATACAACACGGCGCGGAGCCGACTGATGCACCCCAGCGAAGCGCAAGCCGAGCCTGCACCCCAGCCCGGCTCCAGTCCCAGGCCCAGGCCCACTATCCGTCCGTGTTTTCATGCTGTGGTCGTCGTCCAGGGGTAACAGCCGCCAAGCCATGGCGGGAAGGGGAACACAAGGTCGACTCTAGAGAGAATCTACAAATATCGCCATGGCCGCTCTCTTTGCCAACAGTCTGGCTCTGCAGCCCTCAGCCAACGAAACCGGCCTCAGCAGCTCACTCTTCCTCTACCAGCCCGCCATGTATGCCCTATCGTCGCTCCTGCTCGTGGGCGCCTGTGCCGTCCAGGCCGTCCTCGGCCGTCACGATGCCGTCCGCGCCCGGAGGGAGGCCGAGATTGTCAAGCGCTCAGTCGACTCGTTCATCCAAACCGAGACGCCCATTGCTTGGAACGCCCTGCTCTGCAATATCGGCACCAGTGGCTGTGCTGCTTCCGGCGCCGCCTCGGGCGCAGTCGTTGCGAGTCCCTCCAAGAGCAACCCCGACTGTAAGTCTCGTCTTGCACGCCCCTCGGCAAGACGCTGCACGCCTGGCTGACACCGCGCCCTCGCAGACTGGTTCACGTGGAGCAGAGACAGCGCTCTGGTCTTCAGGGGTATCGTCGATGCTTTCACCGAAAGCTACGACCCAAAGCTCCAGACCCAGATCCAGAACTACATTGCTTCCCAGGCCAAGCTCCAGGGCGTCTCAAACCCCTCGGGCTCCTTCTCCAACGGCGCTGGTCTGGGCGAGCCCAAGTTCAATGTTGATCTGACCCAGTTTACCGGAGCATGGGGACGTCCCCAAAGAGACGGCCCTCCGCTCAGGGCCATCGCCCTCATCGGCTATGCCAGGTGGCTGATCAACAACGGCTACTCCAGCACCGCCTCGAGCGTTGTTTGGCCTGTCATCAAGAATGATCTCGCCTACACCGCCCAGTACTGGTAGGCGCCCCCGAAAACGCTTGTTCGGCGCGGCTGCTAACTTGCTCAAGGAACCAAACCGGCTTTGATCTATGGGAAGAGGTCCAGGGAAGCTCCTTCTTCACCATTGCCAGCTCTCATCGCGGTTAGTTAACAAACAACTCAAGTTTGCTCAAATCGCACGCTGACAGTGCCTCCACAGCGCTGGTTGAGGGTGCTGCTCTTGCGTCGCAGCTTGGCACCACGTGCGCCGCCTGCACCACTGTTGCGCCCCAGGTTCTGTGCTTCCTTCAGCGCTTCTGGTCGTCGTCCGGCTATGTCGTCTCCAACAGTGAGTAGTTGTCCAAATTATCATGCTACACGGCGGCTATTGTAGATTCCCAAACTGACCACGGGATTCCTAGTCAACGGCGGAGGTGGCAGAAGTGGCAAGGATGTCAACTCCATCATCACCTCGATCCACAACTTTGACACAACCGTTGGTTGCGACGTGAACACATTCCAGCCGTGCAGCGACAAGGCCCTGGCCAACCACAAGGCCGTCACCGACTCTTTCCGGTCCGTCTACGGAGTCAACTCGGGTCTCGCCCAGGGTGTTGCCGTCGCCGTTGGCAGATATTCCGAGGACGTCTACTACAATGGCAACCCTTGGTACTTGGCCACTCTTGCCGCGGCCGAGCAGCTCTATGATGCACTCATCGTGTGGAAGCAGCAGGGCTCCGTTACCATCACCTCGACCTCGCTGGCTTTCTTCAAGGACCTTGTGCCGTCGGCTGCCGTCGGCACATACAGCTCCACCACCTCAACATACACGTCGGTCATCAATGCCGTCCAAACATATGCCGATGGCTACATGAATGTCGTCGCCAACCGCGCCCAGTCGAACGGGTCCATGGCCGAGCAGTTTGACCGGTCGAACGGCCAGCCCGTCTCTGCTCGCGATCTGACCTGGTCGTACTCTGCGTTCTTGACTGCTGCCGCTCGCCGCGCTGGTGTCGTTCCTCCGTCCTGGAGCGCCTCGTCTGGCAACACGGTTCCGGGCTCCTGCTCGGGTCTTTCCGTTGCCGGCTCGTACACCTCGGCCACCTTGACTTCCTTCCCGGCCTCGCAGACTCCCATCTCGGGCACGCCGACCCAGACGGGCACCACGCCGACGCCTACCGTCTGCGCCTCCGAGGTAATTGTGACCTTTAACGAACTGGCGACGACCACTTGGGGCCAGAACATCAAGCTTGTCGGAAATATCGCCGCCCTCGGGAACTGGAACACCGCCAGCGCCATCGAACTCTCGGCGTCCGGGTACACGAGCAGCAACCCGCTGTGGACCGCCTCGGTCGTCCTCCCTGCCGGCCAGACCATCCAGTACAAGTTCATCAAGGTGCAGCCGGACGGCTCCGTCGTGTGGGAGTCGGACCCGAACCGCAGCTACACTGTTCCGTCTAACTGCCAGACGACGGCTTCGACGTCTAGCAGCTGGAAGTAGTGGCTTCTTGGCGGCTGAGATTTGAACGTAATGAGCCACGAGTTTTGATAAAAGGGGGGCGATGAGTATCGACAAATAGGGGGAGCGACGAGGCAATGAAAAGGGACTCGTCAGAAACATTTCATCTTTACACCTCGTTCTTGGATACTAAAATCGGTCACACACACACACATGGACATATATCCGATATTTTTCTTTTCATCTGCCTATATTTAGTTTCGCATATCACGCAACTTTCTACCTGTACATATTGGAATATATTTAACTACTTTTACATTATCAAGTGAACCATATTTTACATTGTCATCTGCGCCAAGTCTCCCGCTCTCTATGTAAGTATCAACGCCAAAGCCTCGCCACTTCCATCCCCACCCAAGGTATTGATTAGGAGAACGTCTGTTCGGGCTGTCAAAAACGTCTGTCTACACTATGTATAGTACATATAATACTAGGACCTAATACGACCTTAGCAAAGAATACCGGTATATATTTGGAAGGATAATATAGGGCTTTGGTTATTTATTTACACTAGCCCTAGAGGATTCTACGCGAGGCCCTCAAGGTTCTCTATCAGAGCTCTAAACTTGTATAGCAGGGCTGAAGACTTCTCTCCTTACACAATCAATCTAGCGATCGATAGATCGCCAACAGATTCAAGAACTAAGATAGCTCGGGGATTTAGCAGAGACCACCGACAAGACTGAGTTGGCTAAGTGCTTGTGCTACGCCTGTAAAGATATTTTCGTCAAGTTTCTCAACGACTTTACGGCGACAGATTCGTCGAGCATCCAATTATTAATTATCTAATTTCAAGCTGAACGCTCGCCCCTCTTTTCACTTGGCTCGTCAGATACTTACTTCCGGGCACAGAACAAAAACAACATACATACAGCCAAGGTTTTTCCAGCCATGGAAATAACGTCACTGACCTCGCGCTGCGAAAGTCCATAGGTATGCTGAAAACTCCTTGTTTCCCGACAAAACGGACGGATCACTTCGAACGGTTCACGGCTTCAGGCCCCTCAACGCCGATAACGACTAAGGAGGCCTGGGCCAGTCCATGACGTCGATACAGACATTGATGACCTGGCCATCAGTCGCCCCACGTGCTATTCCAAAAGTTTTGGACTTCATTTGCCAAAACCCGATAGTCTGTTGGGTGTCAAAAAAAAAGCTTCTAAATACACTGTTCGAGCGGGCCTTGCAAGTTTACTTGGTAGTTGCAAATTGCTAATTGCACTGATTGATTTCAGCCATCCTTGCCCCTTTCTCAAACAAGTAACCGAGGTAAACAAAATATGACAGGCGCCCAAGGTAAGTGTATAGACGGATAGATAGGCCGACAGGTAAACCAGGGCCCGACTCAATCGTCTAATTGTCGTGTCGAGGACGACCACCATTGCGTTACCAATTGATGATAATCTTGCCACAGCAGCCGACATCTTCACGCCGTCTTCTTTTTGCAATTAATATAATGTAATGTGATTATTAATGTTGGTTCTCGAGTCTATTATCTATTTCATGTCGTTGGAATGCAGACAATTAGGTGCAATGCGGAATATGCAACGTAGGCAGGTACTGCATGGGCAGCAAGTCAGGTAGGGTAGGTCAGTTCCAGTTCCCAGGGCTAATGCTCCTCTTTCTCTTTCTCTTTCACTCCATCTCCCGTCTCTTCTGTTCGTGGAGAAGGGCATGGGCAAGCAAGCCGCTCCCGGTCAGACACACGGCTGGCGACAGCCGCCAGACCAGAAAACCCATCAACTCGACATACCCAACACAACCTCCTCGAGCTTGCGCATCAGCGTGTCGACGGCCCAGTCGAGGATGTCGGCAAAGTCCACATCCACATCTACGCCCCCATCGCTCGCTCCCCCTTCACCTGTGGCAGCGACGCCCTGCTGAATGCCAGGCACCAAGATGCCGTAGCGCGCGGCGGCGTCGGGGTCGAGCACGCCGCGCTCGACGTCGCCGCCGGCAAACAGCCAGGCGTGGGCGGCGGCGTAGTTGGGCCACACAATCTTGTCGACGTAGCCCGGGGGGTCCTTCCAGAAGCCCTCGAGCGTCACGTAGCCGTCGCGGGCCTCGCGGCGGCGCGTGGCCTTGGCGCGGCTGACCAGCAGGAACAGCTTGATGTCGATGGCCGACATGATGGCGCGCACCGCCGTGTCGGGCGAGTAGAGCAGGAAGCCGTCCAAGAGGCAGACCTTGGGCGGAGGCGGCGACGGCGACTTAGATGATGTAGGTGGGGAGAAGACGAGGGACCCGGGCTGGCCGGGGCGCAGCCAGGCTTGGACTCGGGCGGCGGCGGCGGCGATGCGCTCGGGCGCAGCCGGGCAGGCGCCGACACTGTTCTGGTCCTCTTTGGAGTCGACTAGGGCTGTCTGCAGGGCTGGGGGCGAGGGTGGGAGAGCGGTGGTGAGTGATGAGCTGGCAGGAGTAGCAGTAGCAGTATTCAAGGGGGTGGGGGGTGGAGGGCAGCAGCCGTGGTCGGCGCGCTGGGATAGAGGGGGAGAGGAACTCGTGGTGAGACTGACTGGGAAGGCACCCGTGGAGCGGATATGGGCCAGGCACTGCTCCATGTCCGGCACCGATATGGCTTCTGGGCAGTCCCAGTCCAGGAGGCCCTCTTTCATGGGGAGTCTAGGACATGTGAGTTAACACGGGAGAAGTGTACAGTAGCTAAAAGGGGGAACTCACTGATCTTCGGTCTTGTAAAAGTCATCTTGGTGGAGAATAAAAGTGCCAGGAAACATGTCTCGCAGCAGCCTGGCCAGCGTCGTCTTTCCGCTCGACGAGCAGCCGCTGATGCCGACGACAACGGCGCGCTGTTGGTCGTCCATGACGGTTTGCCGTGTCTTCACGGCGTGGAGGTGGGGCGATGCGAGGTTATTATTTGGATATTTATTACGTTAGGTTAAGGTAGGTTGGATGTCGGTTGGTTTTCCGGCTGGCGTCTAAGTCGAGCCTGTGGAGTGGACTCGTGCCAAGCTAGGACTGGGGCCGAATCTCTAGCGCGGCCGAGATCCGTCTGATTGATTTGTGTTGCGGTTCGCTTGAATAACTGTGCACTCGAGGGGAAAGTGCTCTATGTGTGGGAGGAGTGGCCTTTGGTCACATGTTGATCCACCTGCGGATTTGTGAGACACGATGGATTCAGTCCATCCGGCGAAGCAGGTTGCAGGTGTTAGCGGCAGGGTGTATGGCAGTTCAGAGGGTACGTACCCCGTGCCTTGCAGATTGAAGGCTTCCAGACTAATACCTACCAGGGGCCCGGTCTAGCGCCAAAGCCGGGCCTGACTGGCGGCAGGCGGGCTGTGTTGCGTCATGCCTGCCCTGCCGCTATAACGGTGTGGTGACTCCCAAACGAACGAGTCTTCCTAATGCTTTTTTTTTTTGGCTCCGCTTGTGGATTTACACTCACCCACACTCGCCCGCCGCGTTCAATACCCCTCGATCTCAACTTTAAAAAGAAGTTGGAAGGAATACACGACTCTGGCACCGTCCCAGCGTGTTTTTGACAGTAATCACAGCAGCCCCCCAACCGCAATTGCCCACGCAGCAACAACAACAGCCACACACGCACTAATGGCGGATCCGCAATCGACAGCGGTGGTGTCAACCGCCATGGTGGGGCTCCTGTCGGGCTTCCTCCTCGGCGTCTACTCGGTGCGCGGCTACCTGATCTCGCCGTCGCTGGCCGAGGAGCGGCGCGCCAACCTCGCCGACCCGCTAGAGAGCGAAGAGTCGGACGTCGACGAGGGCGACACGGTCCTCGACCACGCCCCGAACTGGGCCAACGGCGAGGAGGCGGACCGGCGGCAGGGCTTGCGCGCCGAGGCCGGTGCCGGTGCCAGTGCTAAGGATTCTAAGAAGAAAAAGGCCGCCAAGGCCGTCGCCGCCGAGCCCAAGGGCAACGAGGAGTGCAAGCTTGTGCTGGTGGTGCGGACGGACCTGGGTATGACCAAGGGTATGCACCTCCCCCTTAACCAACTACGCAGCCGGGACTCACGCAGCTAACCACACCACGCACCCCTGCAGGCAAGATCGCGGCACAGTGCGGACACGCGACGCTGGCGTGCTACAAGACGCTGTCGCGAGCGGCGCAAAAAGATGCGCAGTCGGCCGAGGCGCGGCTGCTGCGGCGGTGGGAGCGGACGGGCCAGGCCAAGATCGCACTCCAGATCAAGGGCGAGGACGAGCTGCTAGAGCTAATGGCGCAGGCGCGCAGCCTGGGCGTGACGGCCGAGGTGATCCAGGACGCCGGGCGCACGCAGATCGACGCCGGCAGCCGCACCGTGCTAGGCGTCGGGCCCGCGCCCAAGAGCGAGGTCGACAAGATCACGGGGCACCTCAAGCTGCTGTAGAAGAGGGGCATGGCATGGGATCTAAAAAAATAGAAGAGAAAAAGGAAAAGAGTAGAATGATTCAAGAGCAGCTGCCTTGCTGTCTTATGCCTTCGCGCAGGGAAAACAGCCTCCAGGTCAGGGGTTGATAAACGAGGCGACTGGAGGATGTGGGTTTATCTCTCTGTCTATTGCATATCGCATATTTGCTCAGGGGTAGGTCTGGCGTTGCGTCATCTGTTTGCACGGGGAGTTGGGGCACTGACATTGCCTTATTTATCATCAGCGAGATACCACGTCCGCATATCAAGATATAATTACGCCACAAAGATATTCATACATACAGGCCATATTACATAGCAGACAGCCATTGGCAGAGCGCATGCGCTGTCAAGGCCTTGATTCATCAACAAACAACCGACGAAGCACAACTGGACTTTCAAGGAGGTTGGGTATCATGTTCTCTCCCGTCTACATCTAATCCTTCCTGGCAAACCGTGCCAGCGCCGGACCCAGCTCCGCCTTCTTCTCCTCGTGCTTCTCGCTGTTCTTGTCCTGCAGGGCCTTCATCATCTCCTCGGCCTTGAGCCGCGTCTCGTCTATAATGTTCTTCTTCCGCTGCTTGCGCAGGTACTTCTTCAGCGCGCCGCTCTTGCCCCTGGCGCGGTGCCGGAGCTCCTCGGCGATGCCCGCCACGGGCGTGTCGAGGTCCTTGTCGGCCTGCCGCTGCTTCTCGGACCGCAGGTCGAGGTTGCCGATGAAGTTGGGGTCCAGCGCAATCATTTCGGGCTTCAGCTTGTTCAGCAGCGCTTTAACCTCACCCTCCTGCCGCTGCTTCTTGGTCTCGTAGGGGTTGACTTCGAGCGCGTCGAAGTTGGCCTCGCCCGCGCCTGGGATGATGATGGACGAGAAGCCCTCGCTGTGGCCCAGGCCGAGGAGATCCTCAAACGGACACCACCGCACGCGCTCTATGGCTTGCCCGTCGCCTCCCCACGCCATGTACGGGCTCTGCACCTTCTCCTGGGTGGCCCTGTCCTTGGAGAACAGGCCCTTCCACACCGTCGTTCTCGTGCCCCAGCCGACGGCCGTCAGGCCCGTGTCTGATATTGCCACCGACGACGCGGGGGATCTGGTGAAGTAGTTGTTGACCTCCTTGAGCATGCGGATGTCCCAAACCGCCATCTTGTTGTCCTGGCCCGCCGACACCATGTACCGGCCCTCGCGATCTATGGCGAGCGACCGCACGGGGCCGCGGTGTGCGAGTAGCTTGACCAGCGGTTCTGACGAGTTCGGCGACCATAGTGTGACGGTGCCGTTCTGATGGCCGACATGTAGCACGGCGTTGTAGGGGTTCTGGGCGAGTGAGGTAGGGGTGCCGAGTTTCGTGGCGATCTCGGTCACGAGCTGGCCTGTGGATGTGTCTTGGTACTTGAGCTGGCCATTGATTCCCTGAGGCGGTTCCGTTAGTTTAGTCTAGCCCTGTAGCATGTCCTAGTCCTCCAACTCACCAGCGTTGCCAAGAGAAAATGGTAGGGGAGAAACTCCATGTGTGAGACTTCGACATGCTTCTTTAGACAGTGGAGCTCGACACCATTGGAGTCGTATATGTAAACGCTAGTGACGCAGTTAGTTCTCGCTTCCTCTGTTCTTTCCAAGGAAGGGGGGCACACTATTTCTTTTGAGCCACGACGAAATAGTTGTTGTTGTGTAGCCAGCGGGCATCCCTTATTGTCTCGCCCAGCTGCAGCTCGCAGCCGAGTTTCCCCTCGCGCCAGTCCATGGTCGCAATATGGCCTTTCCTCCCCGCCACGAGCAAGTCCCGCCCGTTCCTGCTATATTCGCACACATAGGGGCCCAGGGCTGGCAGCTTCAGCTCGAACTTGCCCCGCGCCGCCTCGATTGCGACCTCGGACTGGATGTCATGTTGGCGGACCCTGTAGGTGCGCTCGAGCTCCGTCTCGGCCTCGATGAAGCCGCCCGTGTTCTCGAGCAGGATCTCGGCCTCCTTGGCCTTGAGGGCAGCCGTCTTGAATTTTGTCTCAAGATTGGTGAGGTTGCGGCGCAGCTTCTTGTCCTTGACGCCCTTGACATCGATCCTCCTGCCGCGGCCGTAGTCCCTCAGCGCGTGCTTGGTGCGGCGCGCCTTGGCTAATTCCGTCTTGGACTGGAACTCGGTTCGGGCCCCCGTAACAGCAAGGGCGCCATTGGCATTCGGTTGCTCTACCCGGGCTAGGGGGGCGTCGGCAATGTCTGTGGCCTCCATTTCGTGTCGGCGGGTTTTTCGTTTCCGAGAGAAAGCTGTCAATGAGGGGGGCGGCGACGCTCAAGCTGCCCATCTCAACCATCCAACTTTTTTTGAGGGGCGGCCCACTAAAAAGTTACGGCCTCCTTATCGATTTGCTCACAGAAAACTCGATAAGAAGAATTCAGCAGGCTGATAAGCGCACAACTTGGAAAAAACATGCCCCGCCATCGTCGCCCCTCGATATTGAATCCAATTCAATACCTACTGTGTAACCCCCAAGCGACCTCTCGAATTTCCAGACAGAGACAGCTCGGCTTCCATCGCTCTCCAAAGTGGCGTCTCTTCCCTTCCGATTCAAATCCGGCGGCGACGGCAAAATGCCCGCCCTCGTGAATAGCGGTCACTCGCACCGGCCGACGACTAAATCGTCCAACAAGCCCTTCAAGTCGCGCAAGGCCAGCAAAGGTTCGCTGCGGAATGCTGCCAAAGGTATGAGTCCCACCGGGCCGCTCAGTTCAGTCCCAACCTTAAACATCCAGCGAGCCATTTGTAGAATGGGGGGAGGACAAAGGGCTTATAAATGAGTGGCAAACCACTGCTTGTGTTCCCAGGCTGATCCAATTCCGCTCCAAGGCAAGGTCGCCGACGAACGAGGGCTGCGCAAGACACCGCACCAGCAAATCATGTCTAAAATCGACCGCCGAAACCAGGCGAAGCAACGGCAGCTGGTCAAGCTCAGAGAACACCAGAACGAGACGTCTGTCTTCTCCGGGAGAGACGGCGCCCCCAAGAATGTCGCCGTCATTCCCCTCTGCCGCGACGGCGACGCTGCCGCCGCTATTACGAGTCTGAACGGAAGCATTGATCTCGAGGCCGAGGTGCCCGAGACCGGCTGCTTCCGTGTGCCAGTCGACAGATTCAAGCAGAAGCTGCAGTACATACCCCTGACGAGGGACCTCACGGCATGTCTCGATGCTGCGAGGGTCGCCGACTTTGTGGTCTTGGTCGTGTCGGCGGACGAGGAGGTGGACGACCTGGGCGAGCTGATCCTGCGGAGTGTCGAGAGCCAGGGGTTATCAACCCTCTTCACCGTGGTTCAGGGCCTCAACAAGATTGAGCCGGCGAAGCAGCGCCTCTCTATTCTCGGGTCGCTCAAGTCCTACATCATGCACTTCCACCCCGAGCAGGAAAAAGTCTACAGCCTCGACAACAGGCAAGAATGCTCGAACCTGATGCGCTCGCTCTGCAATACTACACCCAAGGGCATCCGGTGGCGAGACGAGCGGAGTTGGATGCTTGGCGAGGATGTCAAGTTTTCCACCTCGCGGTCAGAGTCGACTATTCTCACTGGCGTGATCAGGGGCAAGGGCCTCAAAGCCGACAGACTCGTGCATGTTGGAGACTGGGGCACGTTCCAGATTGAGAAAATCACGGCGGCGCCAATCGCAGTGCGACCCAAGAAAGGCGACAACGCCATGCCTGTAGAGGAGGCCGCGGCGGAGGAGACCCTCGACCTGCCAGGCGAGGATCGAGACGACGTTGACGACCTTGCCCCAGAGGAGGCTTTTATGGCCGATGTTGAAGAGGAGGAAATGGCAACCGACGACGCTACAGTTGCTGGTGTTTCGTCGAAGAAGGGTGTCTTGCTGGATGATCACCACTATTTCTCAGACGAGGACAGCCATCCTAAAGTGCGGAAGCTGCCGAGGGGCACCTCTTCGTACCAAGCTGCGTGGTATCTGGAGGACGATGTTTCAGATTCTGGCTCCGACCTCGACGACTTTGAAATGAAGGATGTGGACGATGCCGAGGATGCCGCGCAGCCCCAAGACGGAGTCGAAGGGCATGCCGCAAGAGAAACCCAGACAGAAGCCGGCGGATCCGAGTACCCGCAGTCGGAGATGTTCATCGAGCCCGATGAGGGCGATGATGCCATGGAGCTTGAGGCGTACCGGAAAAAGAAGCGGAGTGATGCAGAGGACGACATGGAGTTCCCTGACGAAATCGAACTCCACCCACAAGTCCTCGCTCGCGAGCGGCTTGCGAAGTACAGAGGCCTCAAGAGCTTGAGGTCAAGTCCTTGGCAGGAAGACGAAGACCGTGCACACGAGCCAGAGGAGTGGCAGCGGCTGTTACGGATTCCAGACTACCAAGCGTCTCGGACCAGGTCGTCTCGCGAAGCTCTTGTAGGTGGTGTGGCTCCTGGAATCCGCGTGCATGTCCACCTCAAGGGTGTACCGGCAACGGCTCGGGAGTCTTACAACCCAGCCAGACCCGTCACTTTGTTTTCGCTATTGAGGCACGAAAACAAGCGGACTGCTGTGAACGTGCTCATCAATCTCAGCTCGGACCATCCGACCTCGCTCAAGTCGAAGGAGGAGCTGATTATGCAGTGCGGCCCTCGCCGGTTCGTCATCAACCCTCTCTTCTCCCAAGGTGGCAACACGCCCAACGACGTGCACAAATACTGTCGCTACTTGCACCCCGGCCAATCCGCCGTGGCGACCTTTATGGGGCCCGTAACATGGGGCGCCGTGCCGGCTCTCTTCTACAAGAGGACGGTCCCAGCAGCGGCCGGAGAGAGCTCCAACGGCTCTGACAGCTCCGACAGCGAGGCCGAGGAGCAGTCCACTCTGCCGCTAACGCTTGTTGCGACGGGGACAGCGCTGGCCCCTTCGACATCGCGCGTCATTGCGAAGAGGGCCGTCCTCACAGGCCACCCGTATCACATCCACAAGAAGATTGTCACGATCCGCTACATGTTCTTTAACCGCGAAGACGTCGAGTGGTTCAAAGCGCTGCCGCTGTGGACCAAGAGGGGCCGGTCAGGGCACATCAAAGAGCCGCTGGGCACGCACGGGTATTTCAAGGCCACGTTTGACGAGCGGATCAACCCGCAGGACTCTGTCGGCGTCAGCCTGTACAAGCGGGTGTGGCCCCGCAATGCCAGGCTGCTCGGCGGTGGCTTGCCGCTTGACGTGGGCGAGGTCGTGTCGGCGGAGGTGCCGGCCTCTGAGGCCATGGATGCGGAAATCTCGTAGGGAACAAGAAGCTTACTGATAGATGATAGACACGTTTGCCCGCCAGGTCGGGTACTTTTTATGAACCGGCTACGAGGAAAAGAAATGAAATCACACTAGCTTGCCGGTATATATAAATATATAAATATATGACTTTGGGTTCATGTTTGATTGCTTTTCGATTGGTCTTTCTGGCACTCGTTTCGGCATAACAACGCTCAGCTATCTAAAGAGTGCCATAATTCCTCGTAGATAAACGATCCAAGAGCCAATAGAGAAAGGTGAATATAAATGGCCGTAATTTCTTTTGCTTGAGATATTATTCCCGCTCATCCGCCCCTCCGCGCCCCCCCCCCAACCTCATACACCCCGTCTTCTTCAAGAGCTGCCACTCGCGAGCGCATCTAGGCCCTCGGTCGGTCGCGGGCCCCCGGCAGTCCTGCGCGCCTCCTCGGCGCCGCTCGCCCGCCAAGCACTCAAAATGAGATTAACAATATGCTCGACGCCGACGCCCTTCTTGACCTGCGCAAACACGGTCGGGCCGCCGTCGCGCATCTTGCGCGCGTCGCGCTCCATGACGCCCAGGTCTGCGCCCACCGCCTCGGCCAGGTCCGTCTTGTTGACCACTAGCAGATCGCTCTGCGTGATCCCCGGCCCGCCCTTGCGCGGGATCTTGTCGCCGCCGCTCACGTCGATCACGTACACGATGAAATCCGCCAGCTCCCGGCTGTAGTTCGCCGCCAGGTTGTCGCCGCCACTCTCGATCAGCAGCAGGTCCGTGTCGAACTCGTCGTGCAGGTCTTCGAGCGCCGCTAGGTTCGCGCTGATGTCCTCGCGCACCGCTGCGTGCGGACACCCGCCCGTCTCTATGGCGGTGATGCGGTTTGCTGGCAGTGCGCGCTGGCGCGTCAGGAACTCGGCGTCCTCACGTGTAAAGATGTCGTTCGTCACCGCGGCGAGCGACACGCGCTCGCGCAGTGCCAGGCACAAAGCGAGCATCAGTGCTGTTTTTCCGGAGCCGACGGGGCTTTCCCAGGGGGAGATGTGTTAGTTATACATGTAGATGTATAATACGTGTGTGTGTGTGTGTCTGCTTAGGGAGGGAAGCTCACCCGCCAATGCCGACGGTAAAGGCGCGGTCGTCCCAGTTGCGCCCCTCGGTCAGCGGCATCTCGCGGCCCAGGTAGCTGCCGGGCCCGTCGAGGATCTCGTGGCTGTGGCCATGGTCGGCGACGTACTCGTGCGAGGCGTGGAAGTTGATGCCGTCGTGGGAATGGGTGGCCGGTTGCTCGTGCGAGGCGTGGAAGTTGATCCCGTCGTGTGAGTGCGTTGCCGGCTGCTCGTGCGAGGCGTGGAAGTTGATCCCGTCGTGCGAGTGCGTTGCCATGGTGTCTTTGTATGCTATCTTCACTTTTTATAAGCTAGGGTGTCTGTGTATGTCGAGCGTCGGGTACGTGGGGAGTGACCGAGACTAGGGTATGCCAGCCTAGCCCGAGTTGCCAGGTTAATTGAGCTTCCGAGTCGACTAGAACACGATGACAAGTAATATCTTTTCGCGGTGGGATAGAAGAGACAAATCAGTCAACTCAAGCGAGGCAAGGTGATGTGCTATTCGCGAGGAGGGGTAATAAGCTCGCGAACTGCCAGTTGGTGGTAGGAGTACCGCAGGGAGGCCGCTTATCGGCGGGCTCTGCAATTGCACCGCAGCCGCTAGGCCCCATCCGGCCGCTTACCGCCCCCCTCGCGCGCCCCCGCGCAATGCGCCCCTCACGTCGCGATAAATCCCCCGCGGTAAGCCGTCGAATTATCAACCAGCCTTTACCACTCAACTTCAACGTACGTTACCACTCATCCTGACCCGCACCCGCGCGCGCGCGCAGCCCTCAATTTACCACGCCACTAGCTATTTGACTCGCGCCATGGCCATTACGCGTCGTACAGGGGCCAGGGGGGGGCGCGCAGGCCCCCTTTCCGGCCGGCTTGCCTGCTACGGCTGCTGACGTCCCGGACGCGGCTGCCGACAAGCGCGCGCGCACCGCTCATACGGCCGGCCTACAAGCCAAGAGAGACGAGCAGCCGAAGAATACAATGCGCAGCTATGCATCCAAGCAGAAGCAGTGGAGGGCGTGGTGCTTGACGCCGCGCCCCAGCCCCGATGGCGTGCTCTCGGCGTAGTCAGACGGCGAGCTCGTTACCCCTGATAAGCTGGCCGCCTGGCTCAGCGAGGACCTCCTCCTCCGCCGCGTCGCCGCACGGGGGCGGCGCCCGGCCAACCAGCCGGCCCCTAGCGCAGATGCCGGCCCGGCTGGCCCGGGGGAAAGCCCCCTCGCCAAGGCGGAAGCCCTGGCCGAGACGCTGCGCGTGCCGCTGGCCGAGGCGGTCCAGATCCTCTGCGACGACCAAGAGGGCTACGAGCCGCCAGAGGATATCGATACCGAGGAGGGTGCTCCCCTAACTAGGGCCACCCTTGACGCCTATATCGCAGCCGTCATGGAGCTATGGCGGCTGCAGGTCGCACACGGCAGCAAGAATCTCGAGAACCCTCGCAGCAGTGCCGTACGCGGCTTCCTCGAGCAGCGGAGCCGGTAGCGCTCGCGTATCGACCGCGCCGCTTTTAAGGACAGCGGTAGTGAGGGCATCCAAGCGGGCTACTCTACCGCAGAGTGGTCCGCCATTCAGAAGCACCTACTTAGTACATCGGCCGCCATGCCACAGAACTTCCGTACGCGTATGGATCTACTCTTTAGCCACTATTACCTCTTACGCGGGGAGAACCGCCGGAAATTAGATCTGGCCGATCTGTTCATGTTAGAGTACCCTCTTACAGAGGACCCTACGCCGTGTGGGTGCCTTGTAGCGCTCCTACAAGATGGCAAGATGAATAAGACGGCCCAGAAGAAGTTTATGGGCGCGCTCCGCCACCGAGACCCCCTCCTCTGTACGCAGGGCGCCCTCGCGCAGCTACTCTTCTGGCGCTGGCATATCGCCGGCGACCGCCGCCGACCTTCTGCCGCCGCCAAGACTGGTATAATATTAAGGTCCTCGTGGGCTCTGACCGTATGCAAGAGCTTTCCTACCGTACGCAGCTCGAAGAGACGTGGAAGGTCTTTGGCGCCGTCGGTTTAACGGCCAAGAAGAAGACCCACCTACCGCGGCGTGCCGGCGCACAAGAGGCTGAGACGCACGGCACATCGCTCACACAGATCTCGCAGGCAGGGCGTTGGAATACGAGCGTGCTATACAAGGCGTACTTAACCCACCTACCCCGGCAGTTCATGCGCATTGTAGCCGGCTTCTCAGGGACCGCTGGCGACTATTTCCTTACGCGCGCTGTACACGAGCCGCCAGCCGCCCTGCAAAGGCAGCTCTGGCCATGGATCGAGGCGTGGGAGCAGCGCTTTGAGGCGCGCGCGCGCCGTAAGCGGTGGAGCGAGGGCGACCTTGGCGACGACGACCTTGCCGGTGATGGCTTCCTCAAGCTCCTACGGCGCCTACGGGTAGTGCTCCTGCAAGACCTAGCTGCCTTGCAGCCGCAGTTCCCTACACTACCCTTCTTCTCATATGCCCCCCTTCGCGGCCCTGACTGGGCCACATTTGCAAAGAGCGTACAGGCTAGCGTTGATGATGTAGAGGAGCCGGCATCGCTGCTTGTTAAGCGGGCTCTCCCGGAGCTCCATAGCTTAATCGAGAGCACACGCAGCGCGATCTTATATAACACCCATCAACTACATAGCCGACTAGCTAGCGAGTTAGCTAGCCAACTCGCTATACAACAGCAACAACTTGACCGGCTATTCAATACCAAGATCACTATGACTAGCTATTTAGGCAGCGCCACCACCACTACCACGCCGGTAGTAGCGCCAGCGATAGGGCTAGCACTGGAGCCAGCAACGGCGCCTTTGCCTACGCCTACGGCAGAGCCAGCAGCAGCATTGGGGATACCTATCATTACCTACCTCCCAAAGGTCTATACAGTGGCGGATGTATGGCGCAAGTGGAAGGCAGGCGTGGCCGGCGGGCCGGCCATCGAGAGCCTTGAGGAGCAGTACGGCCACCGTTGGCGGCCGGGCAACACCATGACTGTGCAGTTTTGCCGCCGGAAGGTAGTTTGGGATGCCCTCAGGGCCCTTATAGCTCGCGGGAGGAGCGAAGAGGAGGCTTTGCAAGAGTTAGAAGCACTGCGAGACGGCCAGAGCCTTAATAGGCTACTTGACTTGCTCCGCCAGCGGCGCCAACGCCAGCGGCATCGTCAAAAGCGGTAAAAAATATAACTTAAGGAGCACTCGCAATAGCAAATCTTATCTATCCCTAACCCCGTAACACCTGAGCCGTTTCAAGGTTCAAGTTCCCAACCATCTGACAAGCCATGGCGCGCACACGAGGTCTTAAGAATTGATCTTGAATAGAGTCGTAAAGCAGTATAAAAATTTTACGCAGAGGATTGTCTAGCGCTATCTCTTCCTATTTATCATTTTAATGGAAATTCATTTTGGAGCAGAATTCCATGTTGGAGAATCTTGAAAAATAGAGGGAGGGAGAAAAAAGGGCCTTCTTTTCTTCACCCCCGTATCCGTACCTTTGTTCCCTTGGCCGCGCGCTTCGCAAGGTCGGTAAGGGAGTAGAGAAAAGAAGGCACATCACGGGATTGAACGCGGGACCTTTACGATACAAATCTACGGTTTGCATATTATACTATGAGCAAGATTTAATTTATAGATCACGGGTACGCGCGTAAAGCGAGGAAGATCACATAGGAATTGGTGAGCGATAGAGCGCGGGCTAGGTACGCGGCTAAGATGGACTTGAAAATGAAGAACTTCCACTAGGTAAAAAGGAAATCAGTTCAAAATATACTACTGGGGTTCTCTTAGACGTACCCAAATGCTTCTATAGTATAGAGATCCTTTTCTTGTTAAAAGAGGATTCCCCGTCTTGGTAGCAATGAAGCTTCTTTCACCACAGTACGAGTACGACAAATTCACCACAGTACATACATTGTCGTTTTCTGTGACAAGGTATCTAATTGCCAGCTTGACAGCTTGGTTTTCGCGTTCAGCTCCTTTGTTCGATGGCGAATGTGTCGTCTGGAATTGACCCACTTTTCATGGAATTGGACAGGCCCTGGTTGACATGCCTTTGAGCTTCCTTCATTCTTTGTTATTTCCTTCATTCTTAACTCGGAATGTCCTCATTTCATTCGGAATGCCCTCTTTCGGGCTGATTACAACGCCTCCCTTGCCTTCTCTCCACGAGTATAAGGAAGCGTTCTTTTCTGTACTTTTAGACCTATTGAGCAGACAATTCAATGCGCTGTCAACTTCGATCGCGTGCAACAGAATGCTATGCCGTTGTGAACGATAGGTCTGATCTCAGCTCTTGAAAGAGAGCTTGATACCATGTTCCAATGAACTTTCCGTCTCTGTCCGAGATTATGATCTTTGGAAGTCCCCAGTCACATACTAACATGAGCATGGTCAGCGTTCGAGATCATTCAAGAGAAATTGAGCATGCAGGCCAACCTTGTTCATCACGACCCTGACAGGCCGACATTCCTCGAACTAGACGCATCAAAGCAACGGGATTTGGTATATCGACGTTTTGAGCGATGAGTCAGACGAGAACAATCCCCCTGCTCCCCTTGGCGAGATGCATAGCGTCATTACGGCGAAGAGAAACGAGCAGAGCACTGAAACCACCCCAACGAAACCAGCGCTCCGAGAGGATGTCTAGCCATGGTAGGTACATTAGGTATTAGCGGGGGACTTTCCAAAATCTAAAAGGCCTCAATATTTTACGGCTCACCTTAAGGTTTTTCGCCAAGGCAGGTATAGCTATTCGTAAGTCTATTTTAGAATTCTAGAGGCCTATCCATTCTCTAGAAATACCTATTACCATAGTCCTTTACTCCTTTCTAAGAACAAGGTCCTACAATACGCCGAGTTGATGTTGGAAGCAACCCAGACCGGACGCGAAAAGGCCGTTGAGATGGCCACTCAGAACGAACTTGAAGCCAGCAAGCTCAAGCATGAGCTTGACATCGCACGGGAACAGCTCCCAATTCACAACGACTCAGCCTCTAACGCAGAGTTAGGTAACGACAGTTTTAAGGCCCTCACAGCAGGGCATACAACTGCAAGGGATGAGCTCGGTGGCACTGAAGCGCACAGCTGAGGAAGTACTTTTCAGGACAGATGGACCTAGCAAGAGGCTCAAGCCGCCAAGTTTGATCAGCCTCGAACCGTATATTGGCGAGAAACTAAACGAACTCTCGAGCGCAGCTCAGAGTATGATTCTCCGCGAGAGGCCCGCGGAGGTCTACTGAACCCAACACACTTCAAGGCGGGGGGTCAAGGCCTCGTATACATCACCGAGCTCGCCCTCGAAAAGGCAAGACTTCTCAAGGGGAGCCCGTCGCAGGGAAAGTTGCATGACCGCTAGGTTGAAGAAAAGACTACCGAAGCGAACAAGAGGGTTGGAGATCTCATACGCAGGGCCGCCTTCAACAGCGACGGGGCACACGAGCCTCCTCCTACTTGTAACCGTAATCTAGTAGTAGCCAATATTCATAGGGAACTTGATCGAGAGTCTCCAAGAGGTCGAGGCTGCGACTCGGCCAGTCATTGAACAAATTCATATTGGACGAATACATAAAGGATTAGAAACTATCGAGACGTATATAATCGCAATAATACGACCCTGAACGCATCAACACAGACCTGAACGCATCAATACGAATCCAAAGCGCATGGAGATGTGTCTAAACGCTCGTAAAGGAGATTATTCTACTTATATTTAAGACAAAAGTCATTGTGTCTCCTTCCGCCCTAAGTTAGGGAATTTTTTGGGGTGAGGTCGGTATCGAGTGGACCTGCGCCTTCAATAACTCCCTCTCGAATTTGGCGGGATCCGATGGTGGCAGAGCGGGAGTGACTGCATGTCGCGAAGCGAAAGAAGAGAGGCGATGAAGAGCACAGAGAACAACATTATCGACGACCTGGAGTTCATATATTGCCATTATCGGGACGCCTAGAACCTTTGCCTTTCAATCGCGATCACTCTGGTACCCGGATGCTCCTTTGTCGCACAATTTCGTTGACATTTGCGACTTTTACTCACAGCTCGTAGAAGAGGGAAGAAAAATTAGGGAGGATAGCAATATCCCCCATCAACACCTCGTAGCTCCTAATCGCGATCACTCCGGTGCCCGGGACCCTCTTAGTCGCAATATTTCGGGACATCTTCATGTTCTCCTCACAGCTCGCAGAAGAGGAAAGAAGAATGAGGGAGGATAGTAAAACCCCCCGTCACTACCTCGTAGCTCCCCGTGGGACTGTAAGATATTTTTAGAGAAGGGACAGGCCTCTAAGATTATAGAATAAGCACCCCAATAGCTATTGCCTCCCTCGGCGAAAACCCTTTAGGGCGAGCCGTAAAGTGCTGGAGCCCTTCAGACCCTGGAAAATCCATCGGTAATTGCCAGACATTCAGGGATTAGACTACACCTACCTAGGCAGTTAAATAGTCAGCTCAAGAACTCTTCAGATCATGTCATTATTGTGGCATCAGTATTCCAATCAAGTCATTTCATTACGGGTTTATTACCTGCTGTCTGCGGAGCCCGCAGGCTCCTGGCATGATTTGAAATGTTGGTCATCTGCGAGAAATCAAACAATGTGAATCTTCCTCATATGGTCTTTTCTAGCCCCAAGATATACCGTAGGCATAGAGTTTGCTTGCCCTTATCCACCGCTAGTCGTTGCATTAGCTGCGATTAGCATAAGCCCAAACCAAAGCACAGAAAGCAGCGAGACAAGAATACAGAATACTCTGACATTATGACGTCAAATTACATGTAGAGTGCTCAGACCTTTCCCCACCTCACCCCACCCCTCGCACAGCGTCAGCCCTCAAGAGCTAATGTGTTATCCACCCGCCGCCGTGCATCAATATGTGCAACCTGTAGCCTCGTCTATATTAGGGTAGATGTGCACCTCGACATTTTTTTTTCATTCATTCTGCTAACAGCACGCCTCAGCAATCCGACCAGTTTCCTCGCTGTACCCCCTTCCATACATGTTTTCCCTTTTCCGCAAATGGAGCAGACTAAATTTTGAGAGGATTGTACTTGCGCCAAGAAACTTGTAGAAGCAAGAAATTGCGATAAAGACTGGCCGATAAAGACAATAAAACAAGGAACCACTCTTCCATGGTAATTAACAATAAAAAGCGAAAGACCAGCAGGGTTGAATGAATAATACAGAGTATACCTGGGTCGCCCGAGTAGGAGAAGACATTAAGGTCTTGCGCTTTTCTTGGCCTCAGGAATGTTCGATGACGCTGATGACTAGGCAGATGAAACCGAATCTTTGCCGTCGGAACCTCCCCTTCCGATCTTGAAGAAATTGAAGATATGCTCCCAGCGCGTGACGTTGATATGCTCGTAGCCACGGCCCTCGGCGAGCTGCTCGCCATACCACGTCATGGTGGGTGTGAAGGTATACTTCATGTGCGTCGCTTGCGCGGCAGCTCCGCGTGCCTTTACTAGACGGGCATCTTCGTAGAGCTTATTGGAGCACTTCGAGCGCTGACCGGGAATCATCTTGATGCCGCGCGGTGGATGGAAGATGATTCGTGTGTCTTCGTCCTCCGGCCCATCGTCGCCGTCCATGCTGTCGAGGTCCATAGCAGCGCTCTCGGATTGCTCGAGGTTTGGCGAGTAGTCATCTTTGTCGGGGGCTGGAATGGCCCTGTCGCCTAGCACCACCTTTCTGTAGCCTCTATTTGGCATCTCCCGATCTGGCGCTGGCAGAAACTTCTTAAGGTCCCTTAACAAGTGCCAAAGGAATTTCAATGTCGTATCGAACGGGTACTCAGGGTCGCATTCTGGCGGGGGGTCAAATCCCCCGAGCCAGACTTGTTCAAGATAGGTTCCGGGATTTTTCTCTGACCCATACTCCCGGACATACTGGATAACCCGTCGTTGCATATCAAGGAGCCCCTTCTCAGTTGGGGCATTGTCGCCAAATCGAGACCTTGCCATAGGATCCCAGATAATGACCTCGCACTTGGTGAACGGCTTCTTATGCGGGTTCACTGGCCGATAGATTGCAAGCCATGCGTGTCGCTTAGGTTTCGGGTCTTTTGGAATGGCCTGCGGGTCCCAATCTTCAGTAATAGTGTAGAAGAACCCCACGTACGTGTTATATCCGGAGGGGCGGCCTTTCTGGTCAATGAACGACCAAGTGAACTTAAACCAGTCGCTGATTCTGTGATACTCGTTTCTCCAGTCCCCGAAGTGGTCGGCCATTTGCATGTCAGCCCATGAAACTGGAAACCGGTACAGCGTCCACTGAAATCTGCCAGGCACGCTCGCTGTGATTGAGAGGTGGTTTGTTATTTCTTGACTGTCGTCGGTCCGGCAAACCTCGCTACGGAAAGACCATGGGGTTTCCTGAGTAGACATGTTCGTATCAAGTTCGTTATCGAGAGGCGGCGCATCCGGCAGGCTGCCGTTGCCTTCGACAGGTGACCCGGCCAAATCATCACGGGCCCTTTCTTGGATTGTCTGAAGGACAAGATCGGGATCATTCAACGTGACATGAGAGTAGCGCGGAATACGAATGCGCCGCTCGCCTCTTCTGCACCCTTGGTACTCGATACTTTCACTTGAGCCGACAACGTGAAATTTTTGAAATTGGTCGGCTCGCAGACTCGACCACCAACCAAACCAATTGACAAGGCTTTGCTCGTCATTTGCGTCAATGGCTTGATCCGCGTAGACTAGCGAGCTGTTGTCTTCATCCGCCCCATACGGGCCCGTTCTTGACAGCCGAAGATTGTGCAGCTCTGTGGCTACAGTTGCGGCCTTGAATCTGTTCTCGCAGTCAACCGAGGTCAACCCACGCAGGTTTGTGCCCAGCTGGAAATCAATATTGGAGATTTTGTTGGTCTTGCGATCCCCCAACATCTTGTCGTATGCATCTGATTTCTCAACGGCCAGTTCTAGCAGGTATTCGTGAATGTTCCAAGCCGCCACGAGCCGGTGAGTGTATCCCTTTCCCCACTTGGTAAGAAACCATTCCAAGATTTCCAGGGCGTGTAGAGGCTCAGAAACCAAGAAACTCGGCGTCAAGAAGATGGCCGTGCGTGCAGGAAAAAGTCGCGTGAGGCGAAGATCGCCTGGGGCCGCAGGACCATTGGCAAGCGAAATTGATGGGTACAAGGGATACGCCTGATTTGGCTCAGAAAAACACCAGTACTGGTCATATCTGCTGATGAGATATTTGTGAAGTTCTGGAAATCGGTGAATATTCCATGCAAGTGACTCGTGAATAATTATTACCCCGGGAGTCTTCTCTCCGACTGCCCAGAACGCAGCCCAGCTGCCAGCGTGGTGGCTCGAAAAAATCTGGCACTTTGGATTGCAGGCGCGCAACCAGTGATACAGTGCCTGCATTATTGTTCCCTTGGACTGGGGGAACGCAAGGAAGAAATTGTGAACCGTAGGCCGTTTCGGAAATGCCGGAAGAAGTCTTGTGTAGCTGAAGTTGAAGAGCCGCCTCAAGATAGCCTCTCGCTCAGACTTCGGGGCGTCGGCCCCTGATTCAGCTGGTTTGTTTACCGGAGTTGTCACTTCGGTTGCTGATTTCAACTCGGTTGTTGATTTCACCTCGGTTGCTGATTCTGGCTTTTCAATCGGCGGGAAAATGTTAATAGGCCGGAGCAAGCTCCCGCAGTCTAGCTCCGAGTCAAATATCAGATATCGAAGTGAGATTCCTGCGGGACTTGCTGGCTCCTGGCCTAACGAATCGACCCTCCATTCATCGCACTTCGTTGGGTATATGATGATATTGTACTCGGGCTGAGAACAGAAGAGTCCTAGCACGCCAGATCTCAGATATTCGGCAGCGTTGGTGAGAGCCGATTCATTCGCCTCGGACGTGATTGTTCCTTCGGCTAGATGGCCCCGAACGAGCACGTCCATTTTCAAAACCATTGTCTTAGCAAAACACTGGTAGTGGAATTCGATCGTCTCCTTCGCCGTGAAATCCGCAATCCATGTCTGCTGTGGATCGCGAGGCATATTATTGAAATCCACCTTGATAGCTGCAGAAGTTCCCAGGGCCAACATCTTCCCCAAGCTTTGTGTCAGAACTTTTGACCTATACGTAGCAAGGGAGAGCTTTTTAGGCCCAGGAACAGGGACAGGAACAGGAACAGGATTTTCAGCAGGCGGAGGTGGAGGGCTGCGGAGACGAGATCGCACCAACATCCCCCTTGGTGCCGTGGGCGATCCTTCATTCGTGGGCATATCAATGTCAATCGGCTCGGGCTCCTGAACCAGTGCAGGGCTGATATCATCGTCATCGTCTAGGAAGCGGACAGATTTGTGCTTTTTTCTTAGCGGTATTTCTTCTTGTGGCACTGCTGCGGAAGTCTGTTCCGGTACGGGGAATTTTGGCTGTACTGGCGGCTCTTGCAGGCCGGGGCTCAGGGTCGCATCCATCGACGATTTTCTCGGGAGTGGCCCTTTCCCAATACCAAAGAAGTGCAAACTTGATATATTGGGGGCTAAGTCTTCCTTGTCCCGTGATCGCTTCTCGGCCAGTCTGCGCGTTCGCAATTTTCCAAACAACTTTGGCTCCTTCGAGGGGTCGGAAATGCTGTCTAATAAGGGAGCTCGCGTCTTCCGCATAGTACCACCAGAAAATATATTTCCACTGGGCCGCTTATTTAATGCACTTTTCTTGGCAGTCAAGTGGCCCTTTTGGGTGTCGCTGGCCATACGCGCAGACGAGGCTGCCCCGCCTCGAGTAGAAGTTTGGGTCTTTGATTGACCAGCGGCATTCCCACTTGGCGACTTGGCTGCCGCCTTTCGGGCAGTGCCCTGATACCCAGTGAGTGAACGGCGCTCGGCAAGGGTTTTGGAGGATGCGGGCGTCGCCCTTTGATTTGACGCAGCGGTCTGCTTCGCAGCGCTTGGGCTCCGATTTTCGATTTGGCTCTTGGAACTATCCGTAGTAGAGGCTAAGGTTTTCGAAGACGCCCCCGAAGGTTTTGCAGAACCTTTGGGTGTCTTCTCTTTAGGTTGAGCCTTCGACTTTACTGATGTGCCCGCAAAAGATTCCTCGCCGTAGACATCCTCGCCATAGACATCCTCGGCCGCGTCGTCCTCGCTAGAATCATCCATGCCTAACCCTTGAGGTTCTGGTTCCGGGAGGGTTGAAGTCAAAGACAGCCTTTTCTTTTTTCGTTTGGCATTCCGGCGGCGATGTCGCTCGGCTTTCTCCTCTTTGGCTTTTGTCTGACTTGCATAGAACGCTTCCAGGTCAAAAGGCTTTAGCTCGCCGCTTTCGTGCTTACGCTTAGTGTCTTCCCACATGGCCCTCAGCTCGTTTCCGAGGTTCATCTCGGGTTCCCAGGTGCTCTGATGTTGTGGGAAGCCCGACCACTCTACGAGATAGTGAATCTCGCCATTTTCAACCTGCCGCTCGGCTAGGATATTCTCGACACCGAACTCGTCATCGGAGTCGTGCTGGTCGTCGGCGGTCGATGTAAGCGAGATGTCATCGTCGCTTCCGGCCGCATCCTGAGAAGTAGCGCCTGAAAAGGCCTTTTGGCCGACATTCTTGAACATGGTGATTGCCTATCGCCAGACAAGGGCCCGACTACCCAAGCGCATTTGCGGCCTAGACAAGCAGGGGAGCAAGCAAAGGCCAATCTTATATGTCCACGCTAGAAGCTAGAAGCCGCTAGTACGACACAACTGTCCCTAATGTTTCTATCACAAGGAGCCGGGAAATCCCTGGCGTGATATGCGGTGTATCGTGTTTGTATGAACTGAAATTTGATTCTTGCTCGGCTCCTCGGAACCCTAGCTGTCCGCTGCAACGTTCTTGTGTGTTATCATCCAACGCACAACGACAGTACGGAAAGTGGGGAAACACGAATGTCTCTGCGGAAGTCGATGACTAGAAAAGTTGAGAGTGCTGATTTCTAGCTCTCGCGCGGAGTCAAGGGAATTAGGAAGGTGAGAAGACAGAGGCGGCCACAAGCAGGCAATTAACGCGCCGACCGAGCCCAAATGGCAGGATTCCCCGGGACGTGGGATCGTAATAGACGATGCTGGGCGTGTTTGTTTGGACAAGGCGTGGTTAGATTGGGTTTAGCTAGCGCCTTGTGTTTCGGTCGGAAAGCAGAAACAAACAGCCGTGGCTGAACCACAGTGGGCGTGTATCGTGCGGGGACTTTTTAAATCGATTGAGGAGACCGGTGATGTGGCGGATCTGCCTAGGAAGAAGATGAAAAAGGGAAGACGGATATGTACGAAAATTGCTGTCAAGACGCTGGTTGACTTTTCAGGCGATCAGAAGAGACGCGACACAGGAATGCCAGGATGCCAGGAGCTCGAAAGGCGATTCATTCCAGTGTGCGCAACTGGTCCGTGCGAGACGTAGACGGCAGGGGTAGAAAGGAAAAGGAGAACGAGTTAGATCAGCGGCACGTGATACCCGCTTCTGTCAGCCTGAGATTGAATTTTTCATGCAAAGTTTGCAATTTCGGAAAGGTTGCGGAAATTTCATGAAAAAATGAATGGGGCTTTCAGTCCGTGCGTCATGCCCCCATTTTCCTCCCAATCTGGCCAATCACAGTTAGTTATGTAGCTCCCAATCAACCAACTTGAACCAGGTCAGGAAAATCGAACACATAAAAAGCTCAAAAACGCAATAAAAAGCTCTGAGAAGTAGTTTTGTTGGATTTGCTATTTGGGCCTAGCGCCGCCCTCGCCCTCAGTTCAAATTTACCTGCCCTGGCCGGGCGGGCTGGGAGAGGATTTTGGTCATAAATAACCCTAACCCGAAAAAAATTCGATTCTTTCATGAATTTCATGAAAAATTCGAACTTTTTCCGACATATGGTAACACTAGAGTATACCTAGCCTCCCTAGGCGGCTGCCCGTCAGTTGGAACTTCCATTTGGGGGTGCCAAAGCACGCGCGACCTGTAGCAGCGGCCACCTCCCGATCCTGGACAGTGAAACTCCCGTCCCAGCAACCGGACCCTCACCCCAAGCCCTCTTTGGCAGCAGTAGTGGTAACCAGTTGCCCCGGCGGCTTTTCTCTCCATTCATCTACCCATCCATCCCCAGAATCCCCAGATCTTTAACTCCGTAGACTGTCATCCATCTCGATACCCTGCTCCCACCTGCCACCGCTGCCCCTGTCTCAAGGCCCCCAACACCGCCACTCGGTCGTCAGCTGCCCATTCCGCTAAAACAACGACCCACATCTGAGAGCCGCACCGCTCCCCTCTCCAGGCCTGTCTCCCCTGGACATCGACTTGGCCTTTGTGCGCAGCTCAGTCAACTACCATCGCTATCTGCCACAGACTCTCAACCAAATTACGTAGCGATTCCCGACCGCAGCCATGGCTAACGACGAGTACGATGTAAGCAGCTCTCTTCTATTGCTTCCCAGAATTCCCTTCTCGCGCCCCTCTCTCCAGGCTCGCGACAGTGCGCTGACGACAAGCTCCGACAGTTCCTATTCAAAGGTATCCATCTACGTGCCCCATCGTGAAGGCTGGCGAGGCTGTGCGCGCGTCGGCGTCGGCGCCGGCACACATGCATCGGGCCCGGCTAACTCGGCCTCCTTTTATTAGTTGTCTTAATCGGCGACTCGGGCGTCGGAAAATCCAACCTGCTCAGCCGTTTCACCCGCAACGAGTTCAACCTCGATTCCAAGTCCACAATCGGTGTTGAGTTTGCCACCAGGTCGATCCAGGTCGACGACAAGACGATCAAGGCACAGATTTGGGACACTGCGGGTCAAGAACGGTATCGCGCCATCACCTCTGCCTATTACCGGGGCGCTGTCGGCGCCCTTCTTGTCTACGACATCAGCAAGGCCTCGACCTACGACAACGTGTCGCGATGGCTCAAGGAGTTGCGGGACCACGCCGATACGAACATCGTCATCATGCTTGTGGGCAACAAGAGCGATCAGCGACACCTGAGGGCTGTGCCCACAGAGGACGCCAAAAACTTTGCTAGTGCGTCGAGCCTACACCGCTTTCTCCGAGGCGCGCGCCTTTGATCCCCGAGTCTACAATCGGCTAACCCGTGCGGCTGCAGGCGAGAATAACTTGTCATTCATCGAGACGTCAGCACTCGATGCCACCAACGTCGAGCTTTCCTTCCAAAACATCTTGACTGGTATGTAGTTCCCCGACGCTGATGTCGGACTTTCCAGTATCGTATGACTAAGAGTTGGCGTGTGTAGAAATATACAGAATCGTGAGTAGCAAGGCGCTCGACCAGGGTAACGGCGCCGACGGCGACAAGTCATATAATTCCAGCGGACAAGCCCTCGATATCGGGAAATCGAATGCCGCACCAGACGCGCAAACGAAGGGTTGCTGTTAATCGGGATGAATGCATGGCGTCATAAATGTGTTTTGTGTGAGGGGCCTTTAAGCAGAATCGGGATATGGATCTGCCAGCTTCGATCAGGTTGTTATGCCTCTGGGGGGGATTTTAGGAGTCGTTTCGGCCTTCCTTTTGCTCTTCTCCTTTCGGTCGGGATATCGCAATTGTTTTTTTTTGGCAATAACTCGTTCATGACTACGAGGCATTCGGTCAAATGAACTCTGGGACAATACCGTTTTCATACCTTCATGATTTCATAATTCTATTTTGCCAATCCCGGTGCTGTGTATGTTCGTCATGAGATTGCAAAGGGTGTGTAAATTATAGGCCGGTCGCGCGAGAGATGAGAGACGAACTAAGATAGCATCAAAACCACGTTTCTCATGGCTCTCCATTGGTACAAAGACCTTTATCTACCTGCTGATACACTAAAAATAACGTACATAGCGGGTCACGAGCAAAATTGGGGAGCTTGAGGGTCTTGTTCGCTCTTCTGGGGACATGGGGGCTTGGGGGACACCGCCTTTGGGAAACCTGCTAAGATAACGCGCTTATCTGCAAGTGGGGCATAGGCAGATCGAGAGCAGTTCTCGAACTTTTATAACCCCCGATTAGCGCCAGGACGCGCGCTCTATAGCCTCTTGTATTTGAATTCCTCAGATCCCACCAGACAACATGGCCGCCGTATACAAAACCCTATCCAAGCCGAGCGAAAAGGATGCGGATGGCGACAAGAATGGTAGCGGCACCCCGGGCGCCAAGAGAAACAAGCAGAAGGTCCTCATTCTCTCGTCCAGAGGCGTAACGTACAGGTTAGTGTTGTGCTGCGAGGTTTCTCTTTCCCTTCTCTCTGTCTATCTCTTCACGTACAAGCGCGTCATGACGAGTGTACTGTCTTTTTCAGGGCGTGATAATTGATTGTTTGGTTTGCGCACGCAGACACCGCCATCTCCTCAACGACCTAGCAGCGATGCTCCCGCACTCGCGCAAAGATGTCAAGTTCGACTCCAAATCCAAGCTGTATCAGCTGAACGAGCTAGCAGAGCTCTATAACTGCAACAACGTCATGTTCTTTGAGGCGCGCAAGGGCAAGGATCTCTATATTTGGTTCAGCAAGGTGCCCAATGGTCCGACGGTCAAGTTCCACGCGCAAAACTGTGAGCCAAAGCTTTCTCCTCCTCGCCCTTTCGGGTTTGCTTTGCTGTTGTGGTTCTGTTTTGCTGACTAAAGCGCGCGTGCTTCCCCTAGTGCACACGATGGAGGAGCTTCACTTCACAGGAAACTGCCTCAAGGGCTCAAGGCCAGTCCTCTCGTTCGACCTGGCGTTTGAGCAGGAGCCGCACCTCAAGGTGATCAAGGAGCTGTTTTTGCACATGTTTGGCGTGCCACAGGGGGCGCGCAAGTCCAAGCCGTTCATCGACCACGTCATGGGCTTCAGCGTGGTGGACGGCAAGATTTGGATCCGGAACTACGAGGTCAGAGAAGTAGAAAAGACCAAGGGCGAGGGCGAAGACGAGAATGAGGCGGACAAGGCGCGCAAGACAAAGGCCGGAAGCGAAAAGGAGACGGACGTCAGCCTCGTCGAAATCGGGCCCCGGTTCGTGCTCACGCCCATCGTGATACAGGAAGGAGCCTTTGGCGGGCCCATCATCTACGAGAACAAGCGCTTCGTCTCGCCAAACCAGGTCCGCTCAGACCTGCGGAGATCCAAGGCCCGACGGCACAACGCGAGAGCGGAGCAGCAGCGGGATCATCTAGCCAAGAGAGGGAACTTGGGCCTCTTGCCGAGTGGGGCAGCGAAGACTGTCGACGCTCTGGATACACGGGCTGTGTTTGCTTAGATTTCTTGGTAATCAAGAGTGATGTGTAGTTATGGGGTAGGTCGGTGACCTTGCTAGAGGAGCAACTGACCGGCTGCAAGTGGGAAAAGAGAGTTAGTTCCTCCGTGAACAAGGTCAATATACCCCCAAAATTTTCGTCTTGCACGAGTGTTCACTGTCAAGCCCTAATCCTATTCTTTGCGGTTCGAAGACATGACTGGGAGTTGTGTTTTATTTCAGTTCAGGGGCGAGACACTTCGTACGGTCAACGTCCTTATGAGGTCATATGGGTTTGAAGATGAAACAGATCTACCTATTTCTTGACGTTTTGGTGTTTTAAAACAACATCTTATCGATTTCCTTGAATTTTTGCCTCTTTAGCAAGTCAAGGAATTGAACTTAGACTCTGGAGAGGAAAGCCCAAACAATTGGCAGCACGATATCTTGGCGTTGACCCCAAATTGGTGTGCAACGAAAGCACGGACCCCGGAAAAACCCAGGCGCGCACCCATGGCTGATTCATTTCCGGGTCTCGCCTGGGGGATCGAGATGATAACATTTGGCTTACGTAGTATGCAGTAGCCCGGAACGCCATAAACAGACGTTCCTCCGTTCTTCCTTCCCCTCCCTTCCAAGCATCACCAAGGCTCAAACACCACCTAGCATGGCTCAACCACGCCTCCGACGCGTCTCCACGCCGGCGACAATGGCGACCAAGTCAGCAACTCCAAACGTGCTTTCGATGCCTCGTGGCACCGTCTGCAGCACCACCACCACATACCACTTCTCCCCTTCTCATAATAGCCCCAACGTCGGGGTGGATGCAGCTTAGAGTCTCGCGGACGTTGACGCCTTAGCTTTCTGGTGTTGGTGTGAGCTCTGGTAGACAGAATTAGTCTCTACCGGCTCCCCTTTGCTGCCGCTGAGGACCGATTCTCTCCCATTTGAGGTGTGAGAGTGTGTGAGTGAGTGAGAGCCAGTGACAGAAACCAAGTATCTGTCTATCTGGCTGGCTGCCAGAAGAAAGACAGAGAAACGAAGCATCAAAGGACGCCCCTTTAGACTTTAATATCGTCCCCCGGAGCACGGGCGACGTGACGGATTAAGTGTGTTGTTGGCAGACTTGGTCTGGTGAGTCACCTCCCTTTCTCGGTGGATGTTATGGGAATGTTAGACCAGCAAGGCAGCAAGCTTACTCGTAATTCAGACAATATCCATCCCATCTAACGGCTTGCGCTTCACTGTGCAGTGCTGTTGTTTGTGCGTGTGCAGCGCGCATATTAGGTGCTTTACAGGCAGGCTCGACTTGAAGACGCGAGGACGCGGCCAGACGGCCCCACACGCGACGTTCACGTACCTCCTTCGACACCGACACTGCTGTTTGGACTCTTTGTTCCTTCCGCATTCGAGCGCCCTCCCTCTTCACACACGCACCCGTGTCGACGAAGCGCCGTCGTCTTCTGCCTCAGCCCGACTTGTTCCACGACGCCTATTGGCACAACAGCCAGGTAACTTGCTACTTTATTTCTTCCATTCATTCCACTTTTCTACTAGATCTACCGTTATTTATATGGGGACCGGAATTTCAGTATTTCTCATTTTCTCTAAATCTTTGGGTCTACCTCGGTTTCGACGGCCTGAGCCTTAATATTTCCTGTTCTCGTACTACCCGCAACAAAACCTTCGTCCTCACTCATTATTTCGGTACACCCATTATTACCTACACAAACAAAGCGTACCAAGAATCAGGCCATCGTCGACGAGAGTCACGCTCTTATCTGTAGAGCTTCTGACTTCCGCGAACTTGGCCCTGACTTCACTTGTGCCTGGGCTGCGGATTTGAGCCTGTCTTCCTTTTTGTAGGATGCGATATCTTCACGGATCTAGACACCAACCTCAACTCTCTTGACAATTACCATTGTGACAAGCCATCTTTACTCTATCCTTCATGACCTTATTGTTGGTTTCCAAGCAAGCTCTGACTAGCGAATCTGTCCCCAGAATCAGCAACACCAGCTTCCACCATGTCGGTACCTGTTATCGAAGATCGGCAGATGGCCTACTCTGCCAGAACCTGCACCCTTGAGGCTCTCCCCGTTGAGACTATCAATGAGATACTCTCGAATGTGGATGACGACTCTCTGATCCAAGTGATGCGTGTCAGCAAGTATCTCAGGAAGATCGTTCAAACCAATTGGGCCGACATTCTTAGACCCATCATTGAGCGCGACTTCTCGCCAGCAGAGGCGTTTTTCCGCGTCTTTGACGTATGCTCTTCGAACTTGGTGTCCGCCTTTGACCTTTTCCACGACGGTGATGTCCGTTTCGGCGGCCAATTGATGTGCAGGCGTAGTCCTGAGGTCGTTCTGCCAAGTGCTTGCAATGACAGTTCTATCCACCTCGTTGGAAGTGGCAGCAACGACGACGGGGTTCCTGACCGTTGGACGACAAGCCTGTCTCTGAAGGAGGGCTTGACGAGAGTGCTCAAACTATGCCGGACCATCAAACAATGGGAAGTCGAGTTTCAGCGTCTGCGCTTCGTTTACCATCCACAACACAGTCGTACGCTCCGCCCCCATGAGCGCCAGCGCCTGCGACAGGGGTTGTACACGTGGTGGCGATTCTCCCGCTACTTTCATAGCAGCTACCACTTTGAGGGCACAGAGGACCTCCATCGCTTCTGGCTTAGGCGCCCAGAGAGCCCGGATGTGAGATGTAACTTTGTCCGAAAGTTCTCGACGACGCAGCTGCATGAGCTTTTTGACATGTGGCAGACTATCCGAGCAGCTGTGAGCATGGAGATTTGTCCTTCGATTGTCCATGTTCGGGAACAGTCGGTAAGTGTCCCAGCGTCCTGGTGCCGTAGCTCATCGTTGATCATATTCTAGGGTAATAGGCTGAGCAGAGCCGAGGCTGCTCGTATTGGCTGGGGCGACCCCATTGAGAATGACCATATTCTCGCCACCATCATGAAGCTGTGCCCAGAAGACATCCTCCACCTACTAGTTCACCGGCACCGGTACGCGACTAAGACGAGCGTTATCCAGTTTGTCCGGCTCAGTAACCCGTTCATTGAGGACTCGATCGAAATGTTCACCCAAGCGATCGAAGTTGTTCTCTGGGAGCGTGAGAAAATGCTCGTGGCCGAGAACGGAGACGATGCACTCGAGCCTGACATGTATTTCCCTTCATCGTCTGGCTTCCCTCGGCGGTACGGGGGCATTATTGATCACAGAAAGGCTGCAACGGAAAGACTTCGAGCCACATACAGTCACGATGCTGGCAAGGGAACGCATCACTTTGTTTTCCCCCGCGCAATGTACATTTTGGCGACTATCCCCGTGGGAAGGCTGGTTCCGAATTCCTGAGCACGGCTCGTCTCCCTGTTGAGCTCGTGGTTGTGTTCAAGACGGGATATGAAACGGCGTGAATATGTCAGATTTGACGAGTCAGTATCCAGTAAGTCAGGACTACTGCTCGGTGGCGATTGTGTTTGCGTGTTTTTTTGCACAGAGTACAGAATATAAGGAAGGAAATGGGCTACGATGTTCGGGCAAACACCCAGACACTTTCGATTCTATTTTACTTCTTTTCTTTAGAATAATTATAATGATGTACGTATTATGTAGCATAAAGTAGATACCTAGCTTATAACATCCATCCTGCTAAAATGCGCCCGTTTTCGTCGCGCTATAAATTTCCTGGAAACGTGACCCAATTCAGTCCTTGGACATTGGAGGAAAGGGAACGACGATGGGCGTCACTCTTAATCTTAATAGTAAAAAAGCTTAGGAGTGTTTGTTTCTGCAAATACGCCGTACCTTTGATATACGTCGTCCCTCGATGCTGTGCTGGGCGCTCGTCCACGGCCAGTGGGGACTGGCGGGATGGTGAAGGTCAGGCGGGAGGCGACGTTTTTGCCGCCAACCAAATGGCTGGGTTAGCTTTGCCTTTCAGGGACCTTGTCGCCAAACATGCATTGAATGCAATTCAGCCCAGGCTCCTTGGCACCCATCAAGTCAGCTCCATTCAACCTCCACAGGAATTAAAGCACCATCTACGGAATACACCTTCTCAGTCCTCGGACCAGGCGATGGTGCCACGCCAACAACTCTGATTACTTCGCTAGCTCACGGTATGCAGCTGACTTTTTTTTTTTTCTTTTTTTTTTTTTGGCTTTCTTGTCAATCAATGGACGGTTCGGCCTCCGTGTCGTGCGTGGGGTGACTTGTCCACTCGCTGTTCTCTCTGACACGAGCACGAGCACGCAGCATGCATGCGGCCAAAGAATAGGAAGTCCTTCTGCTTTGGCCGACTGCGCTGCGTGTAAATATAATACTATCTAAACATGGGGGCTCGTCACATTCACCATTCTGCCCTTCTCTCTACCTCCCCTTCCACCACGTCCCGCGCCCGGGGGCGGATGTATCACGGCTCGCGTCCATCTCTTCCATGTCCCGTCCGTCTAGTCACGCGCCCGGCCTGGGTGTGGTGCACATGGCGCTTGCGACTGGCATCTCTCCCAGCCCAACTCTACTGCTGCTGGGCGCATGCGCGATCGAGGACGGAACGAGACTGGGCCGGACGAGGAGGGTCTGAGGTCGGTAGGGAACGCTGTCTCTGCCTGCCTCATCCTGTCCGTTCTCTTCCCGGCCAGAGGGCATGGCAGGGCAGGCCCAGCCGGCCAGGAACCTCAGCTGTCGACCCGCGTCCGGGACTTTCTCATTGACATGGCGGATCCGAAGTGGATACCGGATCGGGTGTGGATTGTGAGCGTCCTGAGGCGTGCGCGGGCCATGGACGTGGTTTCAGTCTCACGTTAGCTCGCGTGTCTTCGACTTCGCCAGCACAGCACAGCACTGCACTGCACACACCGCACCTACCCTACCTCATTACACTCTCACTCCTCGTCCCAGTTAACCTAGGTGGCTCTTGCCGGCGCTGCTACTTCTCTTTTAGATATATTATTTGTTTTTGCGACCACGACCCGCTTTGCGGTCCTCTCTGCTTGCGAGTTGCTCCGGCTCTCTCATGAGGACCTCACCCATGTCATAATCTGCGCGCACCCGGATTCTCTTCTTTGTTCTATTTTTCTTTTGACCGGCCTGTTTACTGTTTTGCCTCAAGCAAAGCTGCCCGTGCTGACTAGAAAATAGCGCACCGTGTGCCAGAAGCAAACGCTTTCAAATCCCTAAAAAGTAGCTGGTCCGCCAACTGTAAGGTTCAATGGAGGAGCCTGATACCGACATCGTCATGGAGGGTGAAGACCACCACATGGCCACAGTGGACGGCACTGCGGCCACGAACGGCTTCCTGGACCCTGCGGCACTAGAGGGGTCTGTGATGACGTCGAATGGGCAGAGTCTAGACGACGATGCCGCGGACGAGGATGAAGACCTGGGGCTCATAGGCTACCAGCCAGACGTGCGCCAACGGCGACTGCTCCCGACAGGGTGTTGCTACGATGACAGGATGAAGCTCCACGCCAACGCCGACTTTGGGCCACACCCCCACCACCCCGAAGACCCGTCGCGGATCGAGCACATCATGGCCACCTTTAAGAGGGGCGGCCTCGTATATACAGGCTCAGACGTAGACCTCTTGAAGATCACCCAAAACCAACCGACAAAGTACATGTGGCGCATCACCGCGCGCGAGGCGACCAAAGAAGAGATCTGCCTCGTGCATAGCCCAACCCACTTCACATGGGTCGAGGAGCTTTCCCAAAAACCAACAGAGGAGCTCCGCCGCATCTCGACTGTCATGGACCAGGGCAGGGACTCGCTGTACGTCGGCAGCTTGACTTTTGAGGCTTCGCTCATCTCGGCTGGCGGGGCCATCGAGACATGCAAGAGCGTCGTTGCCAGCATCGTCAAGAATGCCTTTGCCATTATTCGTCCCCCGGGCCATCACGCAGAATATGACGCCCCCATGGGGTTCTGCCTCTTTAACAACGTCCCTGTCGCGGCCAAGGTCTGTCAGGCCGATTTTCCCGAGCTGTGTCGCAAGATCCTCATCCTGGACTGGGACGTCCACCACGGAAACGGCATTCAGAACATGTTTTACGAGGACCCCAACATCCTATATATATCTATCCATGTATACAATAACGGCACATTCTACCCCGGCAAACCCGACAACCCCATGACGCCAGATGGTGGCATTGAGAACTGCGGCGCGGGGGTTGGCCTGGGCAAGAACGTCAACATCGGCTGGCACGACCAGGGCATGGGTGACGGCGAGTACATGGCGGCTTTTCAGAAGATCGTTTTGCCAATCGCCCAAGAGTTCGGCCCGGACCTTGTCATCATCTCGGCGGGTTTCGACGCGGCCGCCGGAGACGAACTGGGGGGCTGCTTTGTGACGCCGTCCTGCTATGCCCACATGACTCACATGCTCATGTCTCTGGCGAACGGAAAGGTCGCCGTCTGCCTGGAGGGCGGATATAACCTCGAGGCCATCTCCAAATCGGCCCTTGCCGTGGCCCGCACGCTCATGGGCGACCCGCCACCGACTATGCATATCCCGAGCATCAATAGAGACGCCGCTCGATTGCTGGCTAAGGTCCAGGCTCACCAGGCGCCCTATTGGGAGTGCATGCGGCCTGGTGTTGTCGACACGCATGACATGGTAGGTCAGGGAGCCTCACGCCTGCACGATGTCATCCGCAATGCACAGCGCCATGTGCTCTCGGAACGGTTCGGCATGGTTCCCATGTTCATCCAGCGCGACACCATTTTCAAGTCGTTTGAGAACCAGGTCTTGACCACGAGGAATATACACTCGTCCAAGAAGCTAATAGTCATCATACACGACCCGCCTGGGCTGCACGGACAACCAGATCCTCTAGACAACTCGATGGACCCACAGAATGTGTGGATGGCTGATGGAGTCCTCCAATATATCGAGTGGGCCGTCCCCCGGGGCTTTAGTATCATGGACATCAACGTGCCCCACTACATTACGCGTCCTGAAGTATGTTGTGCCACGAGTCGAAGACGACGCAACCTTTAGGCCGTGTACTGACCTTGACGATAGGATACCGACGCGTTCACGCCCCGTATGGATGAACGCGAATTGCAGTTGCAGGTCCAGGAGCTCATGTGCTACATTTGGGACAACTACCTCCAGCTGTACGATAACGTAGACGACATTATACTGATGGGCGTAGGCAATGCCTACTTGGGGGTTAAGGTTCTGCTGCTCAACAGAGGTATGTGTTCCACCATGAATATTCCAGTCGCCAGCGCCACCGCTCTTGCCATTGAAGGGTCACTTATGCCGCTAGCGTACACAGATATCAAGTCGCGCGTCTCAGGCGTGCTCAACTTCGTCAACGGTGCGCTGCGCCCGGTCAAGTCGGACGTGGACCACGACCTCTCGGCGTGGTACAAGGACAACTCGCGCGTCTACGTGGCCAAGGACCACGCCTGCTGGACCGACCCGGAACTCAAACGTAAGGTGATGAAGCGTCGGTTCGGCAACGTCGTCCGTAGCAACGTCGACGGCTTGACTAGTATGATGAACCAGCATGCCCGAGACGCACAACAGTGGATCCTCGACTGCGTGGCCCAGGAGCATGGCGACACCACAGAGGACGACAATCGAATGGCTTGAAAATGCCGGCACGTAAGTACGTAGGTGTAGTGCGGGATCACCTCAGCTGGCCTTCGACGTTCGACGTTCGACGTTCGACTTAAGCCTGGGTTTGGCTTGGTTCGACAGATATAGGGGTAATGGGGTAAACTAAAACTCAAGGAAAGAAAAAAAAATGAGCCGCTGGCTGTATAGTATGAAAAGGCAGACTTGGTATTTATTCTTGGGGGGTCCGTCTGTTATTCTGGTGCCCTGCACACTTCGGCTGTTGTTCTTGTCGTTGGGATGTTTCCATGGGTGCGTTACTTGGAGCTATGTACAGGGAGGGGCCCGGGCCGTTACGGGTTGCGCTGCGAGTATGATGTTCATGAGACTTAACTTTTTTCCCACCCAAGTTCTTTTTCCTCAATTGAAAATGTAGAACTGGTTTGGTTCTGTACCGTTGCGTGTTGCGTGTGCGTTACGTATCAACTTCCATGTTTGTGTATCGATGCTGGAACGGTGCGTAACTCAACGGCCTCCGTAATACTGGAAGTTGGTGACCACGGAGTACCTGTCCGTATTCCATACGGAATACTGAATATCCGTACTGATAAAGGACGATAAAGAAAACCGGGTAGCTGATTGCAAGACCCTAACCCTAAGGTAGCGCGAAGCGCCACAAAGCAACGTCCCGTCCCGTCCCAGAAACCCCTGGTCGCGTTTTTGGCCCGGCCCAAGGCTCTAGGCGCGCTCTCAGCCTCTCCTCACATTTTCTTCGACAACTCGTCAACTCAACCTCCACGCTAGAAACGATAGCTGTCGCCCACGACCATACTGGACAGGAGCACACCAAAATATAATGGACAGAAGTAGAAGGTTAGTCAAGTCTGTCTGTATGACATTATCTCAAGTGAGATTTTCCATCATGTCCCTGTCAATGCAAAGTGAGTTCGTTGTGAAAGTTGCCGGCCTCCGGAGCGCCTCGCCGACCGCGAGGACTGGACCTGGAAACCTCTCGCCCTCACGAAAAACGTGAACGCGTCTGCTCGGCCCGATTAGAACGCTGCCCCGCGACCTCGCCCTCGCCCAAAAATAAAAAACGGAGTGCAACACCTCAGTTTTCTCTGCCCCGCGACCCCCGCGCCTCGACCTTTTCTTCCTTCTCCCGACCGCGATCCAACTCTTCCTACGCGTGAATGTCGCCGAACACTTCACCCCTCTTCACGCCACCGCAGCTGCACGCTGCCTGCGAGAAACATATCCCTACTACATAAAATTCTCGCACCACAATGGGCCAGGCATACTCGGCCGCGGTACCAACCGCCTTCCAGCGTTCCTCGAGGCCGCCGCCCTCGATGTCTCGAGGAGCAATGGGAGCGCGCGCGGTCGGCCGCGCAAACATCTACCAACCCGCAGCCAAAGCTGCTCCGCTCTCACCTATCTGCACTGGCCAAAGTGCCAGTACCCTTCTCTCTCCGCGCTCCCCTGTTCTCGACAAGCACGTCGATACCACCAACTCCTCTCGGCCAGCCGAAATGGTTCGCGTCCTTCCTCCCACTCCCTCCCCCGACACGAACCGACCTCCGACAGCGTTAAGTTTCGTGGCAGCCATCAAGAAGGCCTGGAAGGCCATCAATCCGCCTTCCTCTCCAGCAGCCTCGCAGTCTTCAGGCGCCAACTCTGACGCCGAGCGTCGGAAAGTTTTGGTCGAAAAGTGGGAAGAAACGCTTAAGGGGTACTATGGAAACTCGCCTGACCCGATTTCCAACTGGCTCAGAGTTCTCGGCAAGGACGGTTTCTGGAAAATTCCCGATAGTCTGTTCGAAGCCATCATCGGACGGAGACGCAAGGCCATGCCGCTGGACAAGTGGTCCAGGTATGAGAAAATTATAGGACCCCCTACTAAAAAGGAATATCGCCAAGCACTCATCAACGAACTTGGGCGCCTTTGGCGATCGAAGTTTTACCCAGCCGATACCATTTTCCAGCGCAGAGAGTGGATCGACAAGCGTAGGAAGCACAAAAACAAGCAGAAGCGCAAGAAGGGAGGCCCGCGCAAGTTTCATCGAAAGCCCACGCCGCTCCGCAAGGCGATTGATTCCGACGGGCTTGAGATTTCGGTGCCGGCGATTATTGAAGAGTATATTTCTAAAGAAGACTCCTTCTCTAATGACGAAGATATCGACATCAACGAGGCCGAGCTAGAGGCCATGCTGCTCGCCGACATGGCTGCCAATGATTGTGTTGCCAGCGAGCCAGAGATCAATGTCGCATTCGACCAGCACTTTGCGAAGACTAATCCTGCTCGGTGGGCTCTGATCCAACTTCAACGACACGAGGCCCCTTCACACGTGCCTCGCGCGACTTGCCCTTTTTGTCCTACTGAGGCAGATATGAAGAAGGAGCTGGCTGTCGTCCCGTATGAGCCTTTTACCCAAGTCGATGCGTCTTGTGCTGGCGACAAGGTGGAAGAAGTCGCCGCTGTCGAGTCGCCACCAGTGGCAATCGAGGAAGAACCCGTTGCACTTGCCGACGTGCCCTATATCAGCGATAAGGTGGAAGATGTCGCCGCCGCCCAGTCTCCACTGCTAGCAATCAAGGAACAACCTATTACACTTATCGATGCTTCATGCGTCCAGGAACATTGCGTTAGCGAGCCTAATGTCAGCGAGGAAGCCGACCAGACTATTGCAATCAAGGAAGAATTTGTCACGCTTGTCGACGCGCCATTCGCCCAGGAGCACACCATGAGCGAGGCAGACGTTTCCAAGGAAGCCGACCAGGCTGTTGCAATCAAGGAAGAATCTGTCGCGCTTCTCGACGTGCCATACTTCCAGGAGCATTGTGTTGGCGATTTAGATGTCAGCAAGCAAGCCGACCAGACTGTTACAGCAGCAGTTAATATCGACATCGAGGAGCAACCGGCAATCCAGCAAGAACGCACCTGCACTATCAAAATGGAAGATGCCGCTTCCGAATCTCAGCAACCTATCATCGAGGAAGAGCCCGTCGCTCAGGCCAACGACCACTCCGTCAAGGATGCAGAGGACAAAGAGGAGAGCATCAAGTCCCACCAGATTGTATCAGCGGCAATTAATATCAATATGGAAGAGCAACTGGCAGTCCTGCAAGAAGAGCCTTGCACTATGAAAATTGAAGAAGATCCCACTTCTGAGTCTCAGCAATCGGAAATCGAGAACGAGCCGACCACGCGGGCCGAGGAGCAATCTACTGAGGGAGAGACCAGCATCAAGGTCGACCAGAATGTGGCGGCAACAGTCGCGATTAGCAAGGAAGAGTCTCCTACGGTTGACGATGCGTCCTCCCCCAGCGAGGCAGAGGACTGCATCAAAGTCGGTCAGACGTCAACCGCAGCAGTTCTTATCAATACAAAGGAGCACGAAGCAGGGCTCCTAGAGTTTCCCCTGGCAGTTGATGTGGCCTCCACCAGCGGAACAGAGGACAGCACCAAAGCCGACCACACTTCGGTGGCAGCAGTTGACACTACCAACATGGAACATTCAGCAGCAGCCCTAGAGTCCCCTCCGGTTGTCAATGTGCCCAGCGTCAGCGAGGCAGGCCACAGTTCAATCACCGCTCAGAATCCAGATGGCGTTGGCGAGAGTTAGGATCTCGTCGCCAAACCAGAAGTAATTCTTGATGTGGCCAGTACCACCAAGAGCGGTAGCTCCGCAGCCAGGGTTCGCAAAGTTGCCAAACCCTCATCTTGTCCTCTTGCTCGTCTCAAATCATATGGAGACGACTCATCGTATGAGGCCGCCCGTCAGCGGATGAAGGCTAGCCTGAGCCAACCCATCGACACCAATATTGCCCCGAAACTCGCCTACATGGAGCTCCTGGGACTCGAGATTGCGCATAACAAGAAGAGAGCTCTGAAGAAGAGACTGCGAGAAGAAGAGTTGCAGGCGCTGGCGTCGAAAAAGTCGCGACTAGACGACAGCAATGCCGACTGCTCTTTTTCCAGCATTGGCCAGATGGATGGAATTTATGATGCCACGCGCCCTTCTCCACCGCCTTCATTTTCACCTCCGAAGAGAAAGCGGGAAGGACCCCAGTCGCTTGCGTCCAAAATGCCGCGACTCCACGAAGACTCTACTGATTGCTCTTTCCCTCATGTTGGCCGGATGGATGGAGCTTATAATGCCACCAACCCTCCTCCGCCGCCGTCGACCCCGCCGCCGTCGTCGTGGAGCCGCCCCCGAAGGATCCTTCGACCCGTTGGTAGTAGCCCCACCTCACAACATGGCGGACAGGGATTTAACTATTCCGGCGCCTATGTTCTGACTGGGCCCAACTCTATCGCGCTTCCATTCCGCGGCCGTCCTAGTGGACTGGCTGCCACTGGCCCTTGCGACAGCGTTGGAGACTTGCACCAGGCCTTTGGGCAAGAGACTAATCAGCCAAACCCCAGATATGAGGACGGTGAGGTCCGACGCTATGGTGCTGGCGAATCTTACCGGCCCTTCAACCGCGACCGGTCGCCTCGCGCAGGGCCCCGAGACCGCTCGCCTCGGCCTGCTCGAAGCCCTTTGAGAGACAGAGTTCGTTCACCACCAGGAGGCAGCGACAGCTATGTTCCCAACAGATCGCCTCGACGCCGGTCTCGCAGTGCCGATCGGTACAGGCGCGAGAGGTCGAGAGAGGCCGAGACGTGGCGGCGGCGAGACCGTAGCCGCAGCAGAGCTCGGTCGCCAATTCGTCGCCCCTCGCCCAGACGTAGCCCTCCGCGGCGGAGCCCACTACGATATGTGTCACCGAGGAGAGATGACCGGAGCGAGCGGGCACGGTCGCCGCGTCGAGATTACGATGCCAGAGATAATCGGTATGCACTTCCCAGCTTCCAAGTTCTGAATCAAGTTCACGCAAGCTCACCCGGGTTCGCGTTGTCCCTTAGACGGAGATCGCGGTCGCCGTTTGACCGACCGCTTAGGAACCGGTCGCCGCTGCGACGCTCTCCCCCATCAGGACCACGTGGTGGTTCATATCGTCCTCGGTCGCGGAGCCCTGATCGGCGCGATCGAGGAGATGACAGATATGCTCCAGGATCGTCGTACAGAAGACAGTCTCCCCCGCCCCGAGACTCTGTCATCAACTCTGCGATAACCTCTCGTTCTGCCTCGGGTAAATCCTCGCCGCGTCCCAGCTCGCGACGAGGCCAGGAGCGATCTCGTCCCCAGTCTCCAGCGCCTACAAGGCCTACGCCTGCGCCAGCACGGTCTCCCATTGCAGCCAGTACCCCTGCGCCTGCACCCCCTCCTACTCCAGTAGTTCGCGAGACTCCCAAGCAGCCAATCGCTCAGGACATCACTAGCCCGACCCTAGCCAAGTCGCCACCCAGAGGCCCTGCTGCACTTAGGGCACCGCCGACAGGTCCCTCGGCTACGAGGAACTTTTCGACTCCTACGGCGCAGAGCACTCCAAACAGACACACTCAGCCTGCAAGCGGACCTAGCCGCCTAGACGTCACAAGCCCGACTATCCCGCCAGCAGGCCCGCGAGGCTACGTGCCGCCCTCCCGAGGCAGCTTTGCGCCGCGCGGTGGACGAGGCGGCTGGTCGACGATGCCGCCTCGACACATGCCTAGCGGCCAGTCCGTCTCCCCAACCATTCCCCCGACGGGTCCTGGCGGCATTCCAACAGGACCGAGAGCGTCTGGAGCGTCATCAGCGGCAGCTGCCCCTGGAACGACGTCGGCCTCGTCGCCGTCTCTCGGCTCCAAGCCGTTCAATCCTCCTACAGGCCCAGCCGCGCACGCGCACGCTCACGCACACAGCGCAGCCCCGCCGCGCCCGACGCTCGCGCAGAACCTGCTGGCGTCTATGCCACCCATCATCCCGGGCGGCAAGATCGACCCGGCGGCCGTGCCGCTGACGACGGGCGTGATTCGCGAGCTCGACGCACATCACCGCAAGCTTAAGGAGGACGAGGAGCGCATCCGCGACGAGATGAAGATGCGCCAGGAGAAGTTGCGCAAGAGCCTACGCCAGTGGGACAAGATGGAGCGCGAGAGTAAGGCTTTTGAGCTTAAGAGCGACCTGAGCGAGAAGAGCCTCAAGAACCTGGCGGGCGAAGGGCTGGGCGGCGCCGCGTTTTGATTCTTTTTTTTTCTTTGCGTGTCACATGTCACGTCACGGCAGGCATGGCACGATGCGTCCATGTTTGGGTGGATGCACGTATGGAGAGAGTATTTTGTTTTGCTCTCTACACCACGCCGCACCGACTACAGAGATGTGTACGGCAAGACATTGTGTTTTTGCTTCCTTCTTTGCTACGGGTATGCTTTACTACCATGCCATGCGGTGCCCTGGTTTCCGCTGGCCCTCTCTATATAACTAGGGGAAGAAGAAGAAACTACGCAAGGAAGATGAACTCTCGAGAGTGTGGCGAGCGGATGCAACGCGACACAGCAACGCAACGCAACGCAGAGCAGAGCAGAGCAACATCAGACTCTGCAGATTTCACCACTCTAAATCTTGATTCTTTCCAGTCTCCTTTTCCAGTCTTCTCTCCTCAGACAGTTGATCTCTCAGTCGACCACTCAATCATCTGTCACTCAATTATCGATCGTAATCATCAACCAGTCAACACATACAAACAAACACACATACATAATACTAACCCGGGCATGGCGTCAACAGGGAAACGGCGTCAACGGGGAAACAAAACAGAAAAACGATAAAACTCGACCAAAAAGAATCACCACTTTTCACCATTCCACTTACTTGCTTCCCAACATATGAAGTGAAGCAAAACAGCTATCCATCTGGTTAACCATTTAGTTAGTTAACCGTTTCGTTGGTCAACCTGTTGCTTGCTGGTTGGTCGGTAGACAATCATGACATAGAACATGGCATAACCATCCCGGGCTTGAAACTGGGATTTCCTCTCCCAAGTGTGAAGGCAGAGGCGAAGTGCGTCGTTCGTTCGTTTAGTTCGGTCCGGGTTGGTTTGGGTGGTCTGCTCTGCTCTGGCGGGTTGTTGTTGCTCGGCGTTTGGCGTGGAACTTGTGGAACTAGCAGTGGAACAAGGAAAGGAGGACGAACTGTGGGAGGTAGCGGTCGAGAAACGAGAGACGGGGGGGGTTCACACCTCATTATAGCACCACCATCAGCCTCTCGACCCTCTCTAATGTGTTGATTATGTATATTCGCTCGCCCCTCTTGCTTAGCTACAGAAACTGGAAAGGAGAGGTGGCAGGTCATGGAACCGGTTTGGCCATCCGTCCAAAGCTTGGCGGCAGTATGGATGGGAGGCCAACGTAGATACCAAATTCGCCAAAATTCAAATTCACTGTAAATGTGCATGAAACTTCAAGAGTGAACACGCATGGAAACTTCAGAGTGAGAGGCGACTTCCTCAATTTGCCTATAATTCTCACGGTATCTCGCGCTATCTTAGACTGCCCAAAACCGTCCAATTACGTATCCGTTGTGTTGACATTTTCTAGGAACAAAGAGAAGCCAGCCTCCACGGACCCTTCATGACGCTGTCACAACCATTTACTGGTTGCCGGCATCGACCTTGGCGACATAGGCGATCAGGTCGAGCACGCGACGGCTGTAGCCCCACTCGTTGTCGTACCAGCTGACAAGCTTGACGAAGTTCTTGTTCAGCGAGATACCGGCCTTAGCATCAAAGATGGACGAGTTGGGGTTGCCGTTGAGATCGCTCGAGACGAGCTCATCCTCGCTGTAGGCAAGAACGCCTGTTTTTTATTAGCACCCTGTAGTATTGGTAGATACTAGAAAGAAACTCACCCTTGAGGGGACCCTCAGCGGCCTCCTTGACGGCGGCCTTGATGTCCTCGTACGAGGCATCCTTCTCGAGGCGGACAGTCAAGTCGACAACCGACACGTTGGAGGTAGGCACACGCAGGGACATGCCGGTGAGCTTGCCGTTGAGGTCGGGGATGACCTTGCCGACAGCCTTGGCGGCGCCAGTGCTGCTGGGGATGATGTTCTGGGCAGCACCGCGGCCACCGCGCCAGTCCTTGGACGAAGGTCCATCGACCGTCTTCTGGGTGGCGGTGTACGAGTGAACCGTCGTCATCAGACCCTCGATGATGGTGAACTTGTCGTGAATGACCTTGGCGAGGGGCGCCAGGCAGTTTGTGGTGCACGAGGCGTTGGAGATGACCTTGGCGCTGCCGTCATAGGTCTTCTCGTTGACGCCCATCACGTACATGGGGGCATCGGCCGAGGGGGCAGAGATGATGACGCGCTTGGCACCGCCCTTCAAGTGAGCGCTGGCCTTCTCGGTCGTGGTGAAGACACCGGTCGACTCGACGACGTACTCAGCACCGGTATCCTTCCAGGGGATGTTGCCGGGGTCCCGCTCTGTATAGAACTTCACCGTCTTGCCATTGACAATGAGGTCGTTGCCCTCAACCGAGATGGTGCCCTTGAAGTTGCCGTGGGTAGAGTCATACTTGAGCATGTACTCCTGCACGAAGAAGGCGGTCAGTTCCGGCATTGAAGAGGGGAGGAAGATATTGGCGGGGGCTGCCGGCGGCTTCACCGCGGGGCAGCTTTTTTACTTACCGCATACTTGGGCTCAATGAAGGGATCGTTGACAGCGACGATCTGGACATCGTCGTGCTCGATGGCGTTGCGGAAGACGATACGGCCAATGCGGCCGAAGCCGTTGATGCCGACCTTGATAGCCATGGTGACTGGTGCAAGAGGTTCCGAGTAAGCGATCTGGATCAGACAATGGGACAACTGCGGGGTCGTTGTCTGGAACGGAGCTGCGAGGAGGGCTCAGGAATAGATATGAAGGGAAAATGTTGCGAGGTAGATGACAGCAGAAGGACGGGGAGGGGAATCGAGCGAGAAGACAAAGGGTTTTAAATCCTCAGACCCCGAGTGCTTCGAATCGTGCAGCCCAGCCATTGGGAAGGCAAGGAAGGGGGATGATGCAGCTCGAGAAGGTCCGATGGCCGGGCAGAGGCAGGTGCGGGGTTGACGCGAAGCTTCCTGCCATTCCAAGCAGGTATCTCATACCACTTACCACTTACCTGGTATTTGGATTGAAAGAGGGTTTCAAAGTGCTCTAGTCTGTACAGAAAGGAAGATTGGATCCGAAGGCTTGAGAAAAAATCCTAAGATGTCCCCGAAGTCACTGGTGTGGGATGGGAAGGAGGCGAAGGAGGGGAGCCGTATGTTGGTGGCATGAGCGACATAAAAATGGTGAGCAAAGCAAGGTGGGGTGCTTTTTGCTCCCACCACCGGGCAGCCAGCAGTTGCACCCAGATTTCCCGGAGGGTGGGGCGAATGCCGCCGCCCGCATGTCTTGGCCTGCTGTTGAGCTGATAGTGCGCGACTTTCGAGGCTATCTCTGCCCATGGCTGGCCACGCCGCCCGGATCGAGGCCCGAGGGAGGGCTGCGAGGGAGATATAGGGCTGTGCGTGAGGTATTTTCATAGCTAGGGTCGCCAACTACCTCGTCGCCACAATCTTCCAAAAACAGGTCGCTCCGGTGACCGCAAGGAATGTCCTTCTGTGCCTGATGGAGTCGCGCAGCACCAAGCCTAACGACCGGACCTGGGCGCGCCTTTTGCTCGGTTCTTCCGTGCCGTCAGGTTGACGTGAAATTATGGCACGTCAGCTCGGTCTATTTTACAAAATTTCCATTTGGCTTTCTTGTTTGGGGTGCTGAAATCGCTTATCACGTCCGTCCTCGCAGGAAAACAAAATAATGCGTTTAAAATCACTAAGACAATTGCCCAATCGTTGTCGACCTGTGATGCTCCCATGCCAAGCAAGCTCAACCTCGAAACGGGCGCGAGCGCGACGTGCGGTTACTCGACAACCGAGCGTTTGCCACGGTATCCTCGGCCTCTGCGTCGACGGTCTGCTTTTCGTAGCCCAAGGTCTAATTTCGGTTCCAGAGACAGTAGGCCGAGCAGACCCGAACCCGAGAGACTGTCGGTCTTCCCATCAGTTTGGCAGCACAGCACAGCACTCCAGCCCCGTCCTGTCTCTGACCGCCGGGCTTGGCACTATATGTCTTTTGAAACCTGCCGACCTGGAAGCTGGAAGCTGGAAAGCGAGAAGGCTGGCGCGGTAGGCAGGGCATGTACCTGCTACTAGCCGCGAGTCCCGTTAATGTCGGACCGGGAATTCCTTTTCTCGTGCCACACGGTTACCTCTCGGTAGCAGCAGCAGCAGCTTGCTGGCTAGGTTTTCTAATCAACCCGTGGCTGTGTCTCAAGCACGTGTTGGCCTGACAGGACGAGATCCGAACCCGGATTCCCAAAGACACTTTTTATCCAATCGTGGCGATGTCAGCGTGTCAGGAGCTCCGGCCCGAGTGCGTGTTTGCTGAGTTGGTAATATGGAATTTAGTAAGCGTGAAGCAGTGAGAGTCATACGCTGCTATGAAATCTATCTGGCATCGCCATCCATTACCACATCTTATTTGAGCCCTGTGCATACTACGTACTATTTGTTCAGCGGAACTCGCGGGTTTGTGTGGTTGACGTCACATTACTGTTAGAGCGTGGAAAGCCACGTTCCCGTTCTGCAAGCCGCCACACTTCAGCCTTTGTCGTATTGCAGGCCTCGAGGCAACATAACAATTATTTGACTGAAGTCGACATTGTAAAGGGGCTTTTAGAGTGAAATGAGTTACGGTGGTGACTGACAGCATCGAGCTGGCTCCCGTCGAGGCCATGCGCGTTAATTAGTGATAGCTCAAGCTCTAGAGCTCTCGAGTCTTGGGAGCTAAGGTAGGGTACATAGCCGTAGCATTGAGCATTCTCGTATAGTCATCCCAGCAGGCGAGAAATCAAGGCATAACAATGGGAACAACACTTAGCTTGGAGCCCCATGCAGCGTCCAACGTCACTGCATGTCTGATGTTGCTAATCGTTAAAAGGTGGCGTGATATTCTTGTCTTCAATGTTGTCGGAGGAAAATACCCCCAATGTTCCTTGCCCAATCAAATTCGGGTAGGCCCGTCAGTTGCAGGAACGGAAAGTGGGGAGTGGCAGTTCCCCTTTTCCCAGACTCGTCAATCAACCACAGGTCCAGCCCAGTCGTTTGCCAGTGGCTCTTTCCTCCTCTAATAATAAACCGACATGCAACGAGGGCAAAGCCCTTCAATGGGGACGGGAAGTCTGATGTGGGTTCCACAGACCTTGAGACGAAACGGTGTGAGGTGTCCTTGGTATTGTTCAAAATGTGCCCAGCTCTCTTTTTCGAACAAAAGAGGGCCCCATTGACGCCCACATAATCTACAATAGAGGATCCAGGTTCTCACATCACGACTTGCAACAGACTGACTGCCAAGGATCTGCAGATTGTCCGGACACTTTTATTTCCTATTGTTCAGGATGCCTACTGAGCTAACCTTGGCACCGAAAGAAGAAGACGCCCGAAAACCATAAATATGAAATAGTTCCTGATCAGGAAAAAGAATCCACTTTCTCTTCTCTTCACCCTTCTTGTGAATACCTGAAGTAGTAACGACCTGGAAAAAGAAGCCAAGCTACCTAATCCTCCGAGTCCAACTCCGTCTGGGTATCATACCGGGCTGCGCCAACTATTTTGCGCCGGTACCAAAGGCGGAAGAAAGCGTCATTAAAATATATAGTCACCATCGTCATCGCCTTGTTCGAGACGATTTCCATCAACTCTCGCCTCAGCCGAGAGTCATCGCCTTTTTTTTTCTTTTCCTCGCTCTCGTCACATGCAACCACGATCCCATTCTTCCTCCCTTGCGGAAAGAAAGCGACACCAAACACTAGTACTTGCTACGACAGCCTCTCTGTCTCTCCAACTGAAGCGACTGTGTCTCATCTTTCTCATCTCCACCATGTCGATATCATTCAGCACCGCCCTCGCCACGAACCTCGCGCCTACTCCTCGAGCTCCTCGAGCTCGAGCTCGTCCCACTCGCTGACTGGGCCCAAGGTGTTGCTGCTGTTCGGTGCGGCAGACCACTGTGGGAGGTCGTCCTGGAAGACGATACCATCAAATCCAAGCGTCGACGACAACTGTGACTCGTCCTCGAGCTGGCTGATCTGCTGGGCCCACTGGCGCTGCTGCTCGTCCGAGTGGCCACCGGCAATGGGAGTAGCCTGGTGCTGCATGATGGCACTGCGGGCATCACGGCGATACTTGTCCTCCGTCAGGACGGTGATCAGCTTGAAGAGGCTCTCCTGGTGCGTGTTGCGGCTGGACCACATGAAGCGGCGCGAGATGTCGGGGAATCCGGCGGCGGTGGCGAACTGGGTCCACCCCGCAAGCATGTCATTCTGGTGCTTGTTGCCCTCGTCCAGGCAAACGCACGTGCGCTCGCCTCTAAACTTGAGCAACATGTAAAAGCGCTTGTGGTGGTAGTGATACACGATCTCAGGCTTATTGCCCCACGGGTCCGCGGGTGCCGGGTCACTCTTCTTGCGCCGCGGCTGGCGTCCCTTCCGTTTATCGCTCTGCTCACCGATGTCGTCCAAGCTCGGCACCGTCTCCAGAGTCATACCCAAGTCGAGAGTGTTGAAGGGAATCTCGGGCGCTAGCGTCGGCGACGGAGGGTTAAAGTCGTATCCGGAGGGGAAGCCTATGCCGGCCAGGTCAGTGGCGTCCATGCCCATGCCATTCATTACGGTGCCGTCCATGCCAGTGTCAGCCATGCCAGTGTTGGTATAGGCATTGGTGTAGCCGTTGCTAGCATCGCCGTTGCCAGAGTATCCATCCGTGTACCCGTTCATGTACTCGATGTCAGCACTGCCGTTATTGGTGTACCCGTTGGCAAAGACACCGGCACCATTGCCGGCGACAGAAGATCCATTGCCCTCCGCACTGCCAGTTCTATAGGTGACAATGAAGCCAGGGTACGCAGACTTCTTCTTCGCAGGAGCTCTCTTCGCAGGAGCTTTCTTGGGCCGCGAAGTCTTGTTGACAGGAGCTTCCTTAGGTACAGCTCTCTTGGCGGGAGACTTCTTGCCCTTGCCGGCGGCAGTCGTGGTAGGGGGAGGCATTGCTGAGGGAGCGAGCGTTGCAGTAGTAGGATTCATTGCCGAGTGAGAGGGCATGGTCATGGTCGGCTGCGCGAGATTCGGGACAAAGAGAGGGAAGGAGTTGGCATTTCCCAATCCGGTTCCATTGTTCGGGACAAGTCCGGCGAATCCATTACCGCTATTGTTGACCAGTGCGCCATTGCTAGGGAAGAAATCATCGGGGAAGAAACCCTCATTCATTCCTTCAAAGGGGTGCATTTCGCCCCCGATGTTGACGCCGTCCTGGACGCCGCCAGGTCCGACGTTTTGTCCCAGAGATGCATTGCCGAATTCGAAACCGGTGCCGAAAAGATTATGGAAACCACCGCCAGAGATATTCTGGAAACCAGTGGTAGCGACATTCTGTAAATTATTGCTGGCGCCTGAAACACCTGAGCAGCTGTTGGGGAGATGCGATGGCGACTGGTCGACGAAGGGATTAGAAGCCGACAAGTTAAACGACACCCCTGTCGTCATCGAGTCAAAGTCGACGCCATCAGGGCCAATGGTGTTGAGACTGTCATTACCCGAAGACACAGGTCTCGAGCTGTTGCCGTCCGAGTTTCCAGAGCCGCCGCTGCTGCTCATGTCATTCGCATGGCCGCCGCTGCTCATGCCATTGCCCGACGACGAAGTGGTCTCCTGGCTTGACGAGAATCCGCTCGAGAGGCCGCGATGATTGTGCAGGCCGATACCAGTGCCAATGACAGGGGTGCTGGGAAGGAGAGGAGCAGTATCGTTGTAGGCGAAACCGGTGTGCGGGTGGAAGGTCTGGCCCTGCTGCATGGCCTGGCCTTGGTGGAACGACGGCGCCGCTTGGTGCTGACTGAAGTTCTGGCCGGGGACAAGCTGACGATGCTGCGGGTAGTTCTGGACAGCCAGGTTCGGGTTCATCTGGCTTTGCTGGACGGGTCCCTGCTGGTTCATTGCCTGCTGCGGCTTGCTGGTAGGCGCGGCAAAAGCGATCGTGATCTTCTTGTGGGCCTTGGCGAAAGACGCCCGCATCCCAGTTAGATCGTTGCTGGTGGGCTGGCCGCTCATGAGATCTTGGCCAAAGACTACGCCCTTGCTCTGGGCGTCTTGGGCGACCGACATCAGCATCTTGTGTGCTGCGTGGCTGAATGCTTGCTCTCCGCTCTTGAGAGACTTTTCGCCGGCCTTTGCCATGGCGTCGTCCATGGCCGCGCGGAGAACGCTGTTCGTCTCCGGGTTGAAGTCGGCCTCTTGGCCCTCCCAGAGGAGCAGTGACAACACCGAGCCGAGGTCCTTAGCCTCAACCACGATGTGGCTGACAACCGCCTCAACTCCTTGGCGGATCTGGTTGGCGAATGGCTCGCCGCTGGAAGAAGGTCGTGAGCCCGAGATGGGCGGCGACACGAGAGGTGTTTGGGCCGAAGCCCCCGGAATGACGCCCGAAAGGGCAGGAGCAACCGCTGGTCCGCCGGCGGCGGCGGCGGCTTTTTTGGCGCTCTGTCGGCGCTTGGTTGGCGACTTTCGGGGCGCCTCCCCTGCTGCCTTGCGCTTGGGTCTCCCTTTGGGGGTGGTTCCCAGAGGCGCGGCGGCCAATGGTGCCGGCTGCTGCTGGGCGGCGGCGGCGACAATGTGGTTGCTCTGGGCAACCTGAACAACCGGCAGCTGCTGCTGCTCGGCGGCGACGGGGGTGTTGCCCTGGGCGGGCCGCCGCAAAAACGCGTGCATGTTCTGGAAAAGCCCCAGATCTCCTTCGTCGAGATCTGGGTCGTTCAGGATTTGCTCCCGGACTGCAGACTTGACGTTAGACACAAACTTCAACTCAAACTACTACAGGGCGCGAATGCTACTTACGCTCGGCTGGGAGGTTGGACTCCATTGGAGCCCGCGGCGGAAAGGTTGGTGGAGAGGTCTGGTTCTTCTTCTATGGAACTGTTAGCTACAATGCTTTCACATGCCAATTAAGGTTGAGGAGTGTGCAGAAGGAAGTAAAGAAAGGGAACGAGACAGCAACACGGAGAATTAGCGCGAGGAACTTGGAGAGGCAGACGATCGATTGAAGAGAAAGTTCCGATAGGAAAGAGCGAATTAATTGACAGATGCGAAGAGACTTGCAGTTGAAGAGCTGAAGGGTTGAAGAGCTGAAGAGTTGAAGAGCTGAAGAGTTGAAGAGTGAGGAGAGGAATTGGTGACACGAGAAAGAGAAAGGTTAGGTTGAGGGTTGAGAGAAGGCGAAGCAAGAGAGCCGCCGATTTTTGAAGGAGGGGCACACACGCACATACACTTGGTAAAAATTTGGGCTTCAAAAGGGAGGGAGTGCTCGGGAATTGAAAGTGAAGCGCGGAACGCTTGATGACGAGAACGATTGAGTGTTGGTTCATGAGGGGAAGCGCGCGAGGGAAATGAAGAGTGGTTACTCACTTTGGTGGTGGTGAAGCTGGTCGGCGGGAGAATCGATCGTTAGCTTCTTGGTTGAAGGTTGAAAGAAGGAAGGAGGGCAAAATTTTTGGAGGGGCACAGATTTAACCAGAGGAGGAGCATTGGGAAGTCTCGAGGATGGGAAGTCTCGAGATGGGATGTGGTGAGGTGAAAGTGAGAAGCTGTTGACATGGCACTTGGATCCCAAGTCTGAGTTGTCTGGAGTGATGGGTGCTGCTCAAGCAACTAACTCAGACTGGAAACTCGCGATTCAAGGCAAAAGCTTCACGGCTATGCCAAGTTCGTCGCTCACGATATAGGGGTTCAGGGGTTCAGGAGGCTGAGCAAGAGAGAGCAAAGAGAACCGCCCCTATCTTCTTCACAAAAGACTCCACTCGGAACTCTCCGTGAGAAGACAGACGGCCATATCTCTCATGGGCATGGTTATCAATTGGGGCATTGGGGCAAACTGGCACTGGCAATGGCCGGCTCAGGGAGTGAGATTGGGCATCGTAAAATCGGAACTCGAAAACAGCACTCGAGAAATATCCATACCTGTCTGCTTCACCAACGTTAGCGATCGCCCTTGTTTCATGAACAGAAGAACTCGGCAAGGCAATCTGCACTCATGGCACTGGGCGACAGGGAGGGGCTAGTGCTTTTTCTCATGCGAGTGAGGGAGGCGAAATCACGAGAAGGCCCGCGAGACGCAGGGGGGGTGAGAGGGGAGGAAGCAGGCGATCGGCAGAGGTCGCGCCTTTGAATGCGCGCGACGACGCCGGGAACGTGGTGTTAAACGCGGCGAGCAAGGGGCAATGCGTGATGAGGGCTGGAATTGTGAAGCGAAAGGGGGGGTTCACGATCGATATTACATACCTTTTTGCTGGTCGAAAAAAACGAAACAAAAAGAAGCTGGCGACGACGATGTTCGGGAGAGGACGTTTTTTTGGCGGCCAGAAAACTCGAGGAAGGATATGTGTGCGTGCAGAGCCTGTGCGCAGGGGTAGAGAGTGGCAGCCTAGGACTTCCGCTGAGCCAGATGGAAGCGAGTCTAGGTGAGGTGAAGGTGAGGATGTGGTGATGTTGATATCCTGAGCAGATGGGCGGCGCGGGGGGGCCAATTCACGATGCGAACACCAAGCTATCTAGCTACCAGTATATCAGCACTGTCTCTCCTACGGCCAGGAACATTTCCAATCCGGCCACACGCCCTACACACAGCCGCTGACACGAGAACGGGAGGCGTAAACAGTCCATACACAGTCGTGGCATGGTTTACTCCTAGAGATGGCTTCCCCTCCGCCGCCAGCTGGGATCGGGAAGCACCAGCAGGAGGCAGGCTAGCCAGCAACGCACCAACTCCAGGTGCCCCGCGTGCCGACCTCCTTTCCTCTGGACCGGTGTCCATCCCTCCCTCCCTCCCTCCCGGTCGTTCGTTGCCCAGCACAACACCAGCAGTGGCGGCGGTTTCCTCCCATCCCATGTCTTCCTTCACGAGGGCTCCCCGCGGAAAATCACACGACAAACATCCCCGCAAAACACGCTCACCGAGGACTGGGCTGGACTGGGCTAGATGGACACAGTAAGATGTGGCGACTAACCTACCTACCGACAGCTAGCTGACCGACAAACATGATATAACAAGAACCGGTGAGACGGTTAGATGGATGTCATGCCGTGGAATGAAATGGAGAGATAGGTAGATAGATGTGCGCAAAACAACTAAACTAAACTAAGGACGAGCGAGTCAAGAGGGATATCTGCCATTACCTAGATATGATTTGAATACAGGATAATATATATCTATATATATATACGTACACGTGTGAAGTGTGTGCGTGGTGATAGATTTAACAGTGGAAGCCACTCCCAGAGTAGACGGAAGAAAATACCTACATACGTACACGTGTCTGTATGTGTATATAAGAGAAATGCCCCTCCAGATGGAATAGACAGCCGGTAGTCTAGTGCAGGTATCAAACACCAACCCGCAGCTGCAGTTCCTACTTGACACCAGACTGAGTGGCAGGGGATGCAAGTCAGGTATGGATACCTAAGTAAAATTTTTAGGTGGGCTTGCTTGATTGGTAGAGGGCAGCCATTGAGAGCCGTCCGTGTCTGTGTATGTTCCGATGACACTGAGACAGAGAAGAGAAGAGACAATAGGGTGTCTAGATTGAACAGCTACGGGGAAATTGGATGGGCAACCAACTACAGGCAGGGAACAAACATACATCTATGGACAGAAAAAAAAGCAGAAAACAGAAAACAGAAAACATGAACAGGAAACAAGAACAAGAACAGGAACAGGAACAGAAAACCAACGAGTCAACGGCCTTCAAGAAAGATCAGAAGAGGATGCCTACATAACTCCGTTCCTCCGTAGTAAAATAAGAGAGAAAGGAAAAGGAACCGAAATTCCCGATTGAAGGGGTGGAAAACTAGTTTCTATTTGAGTTTGTTACTACTGCATATTTTCTTTCTTTTGTTCTCTTACTTTCTGTTTTCGCCGCTCTGCTCTGGCCTACTCTACTTTGCTGGGCTGTGCCAAGAGTGACTGAACTGACTTGACGACTTCTGCCAAACTACCTAACGGACCCGGCCGTGAGAAAGATAAACAAACCCTCCATTCCACCACCACTATCAAACCAGCGCCAAGTATAAAACGTGTTCTTATTTTGTGTAACCCCAGATAGAAGAGGAAGCAAGCAAGCACATACATAGTAAAAGAGTAAAACCCCCTAGAAACGATGAATTCTTTTTGACCAACCATTAAAGCCCTTTAACGGCTGACCTAACTCCAAAAACTGCATGAATCTACCCGCACCTTCCTCAGTGAACGGCTGACTGGCAGCCAGCTCAGGAAACCTCCTCGACCATCTTGGCTCTGGTGGGCATGAGGCCACCGGGCACAAAGATGCGGCCGGCGGGGCTGATGAGCATGTCGTCGGGGATGGCGATGCGGCTGCCGTCCTTTGTGCTGATCCAGCGGACGAACAGGGGCCCGGCGCGGTAGCCCTCGCCGTCTGGCGTCTCGTCGCCCGCCAGCAGCGCGTTGCGCCGGTTGGACTTGGGCGCCTGCTTCTTCAGGAGCTTGTTGATCGTCTCCATCTGCAGAGCGGGCAAAATGGTTAGCCAGCGGCCCAGATACAGTCGTAGTAGATGGGATTGCAAATAATGCGTACCTTGACTTCTTCGTTGCGCTTGTCGCTCAGGTTCCGCCGGCGACGGGCCATTTCGGCGCGCCTCATTGAGAGCTCCTCGGCCGTAAAGACCCGTTTCGCTTGAACCTCTGAACACAAAAGACTGATTAGTGCCGGCTCCCAACGGGACAAAACAAGGGACTCACCGTTTGATAGCTCCGAGTACTCGTGCGAGGCGCCGCCGAGCTTGGCGCGTTGTCGCGCAGTCAGCTTTGTCAGGTCTGGCGTGTCGCCGCGACTTCCAGCCATCTCGTCGTCGCTGTCGAGCTCCTCGTCGTCTTCGCCCTCGCCATCCTCGTCGGCGACCTCGATTTCCTCGCCCTCGTCGTCCTCGCCCTCGGCGTCTTCATCGCCGACCTCGACAGCTTCGGTGACGTCCTCGGGGTCGCTGTCCAGCTCGCTGAGCTCGTCGTCGTCGTCGTCGTCGTCATCGTCGTCGTCATCATCATCGTGATTTGCAGCGGCTTTAGACGCGGCGGCTCCCCTGCCGCTTGGCTTGGACGGGGTGGTCTTTGGTTTGGGGATGGCAGTGCCCCTGGGAGGCTTAGAGACTTTGATGGCGGGAGGTGGCAAGGGCGGGGCGCTGTCCATGTCGATATCGCCATCCGCGTCGGCGTCGGCGTCTGCATCTGCGTCTGCATCGGCGTCGTCGTCGTCGCCATCTGCGTCAATGTCCATCTCATCGTCGACCTCGCCTTCAGCGTCCTCTTCGCCGAGTTCGATGCGCTCCTCGTCCTCATCATCCTCGTCTTCCTCCTCATCCTCATCGTCGACGTCCACGAGGCCCGCCCGCTCACCGACCTCGATTTCGTCTTCGCCCTCTTCTTCCTCCTCTTCCTCCTCGTCATCGTCGTCGTCGTCGTCGTCGTCGTCGTCATCGTCATCCTCGCTCTCGCTCGGGACTACATAGCTCTTCTTGCCTCCCCTAGTGCGGGCGCCAGCGGCAGCGGCAGCGCGACCATAGGGACCGCGAGTGGTGGCGGCAGGAGTGGGAGTGCCCAAGGATTTGCGCTTGTTGCCGTTAGTGGCCTGGCGCAGCTTGCTAGATGGTAGTTTCACGGTGAGGTGCATGTGTTGGTTAGAGTCGGCGGGACTGCTGGCGGGCGACGAGGGGGGCCCGCGCGACACCGAGGCGATGCCGCCGGAGCGGCGTGTACGAGACGACATGGGGCGCTCGTTGTCTCTGTCGGCCATGTCAGTGATTGCCACGGTGGCGCGCTGGGCGGCCGAGCGACGGGGCCGTGAAGACATGGCTGCGGTGATGGTGCTATGGTGAAGGGGAATTGTGTGCTTGTGTGCCTGCGCGTCTGGTCTATCTAGAGGGCTATCTAGGTGCGTGTCTCTCACACTCGCTCTCACACACACTCTCTCTCGCTAGGCGGGTAGGTGGGTTTGAGGGCACGATATATGACTTTGGCCCCTGTTTATCGGCGTGTAATGTCTGCAGTCCCGAGGCGAGGAGATGTGAGATGTGAGGTGTGAGGTGCAAGATGTGTGAGATGAGGTGTGTACGGATGCGTATATCCGGCCGTGTTGATTATGAAATGACGTGGTGCAAAGGGTCCCGACAAGAGAGAGACTTGCGAGTTGGCTTGTTGTTACGCGAGGGGCAATTGAGCTGAGGTAACGGGAAAGCCAAGGCCAAGCCGCCTGTCTAGGCCCACGGAGCCGACAGGATTGTCTTGTCAAATATCTTCAGGCCGATCCCCGACCGAGGGCGGGCGGACGCGAATGGTGTAGGCACGGAGGAGAGGGTGTGTTTTGTGGTGTCTGTTGCTTGGTTGCTTTGCTTTGCTTTGCCTTGCTTGTTGCGTTGTGTGCACCAACGGCGCCAAAGCCCAAACTAATGGGATCGGTAGGTTGTTGGTTGGCGAGGGGCGAGAGTTCCAGGCTGGCGCGGTTTGGCTTCTGCTTTGACTTCTGCTCTGCCTAGCCTTTTGCTTTGGCTTTGGTCTGCATCTGGCTGCAATTGGGAGGGGCGGCGTTCGCGCGACACGGCCAACACGACTGAGCAAGGAACGAAACGAGGCAAGACAAAGGATAATGGTGTTGTAGTATGAACAGGGCCAGTAAGGTCAGGTCAGGTCTGGAAGGTCAGATCAGGACACGGACAGACTTCTGCACCACACGTCGTCCAAATAAGCTCGCTCGCTCGTTGATTGCCCTTGTCATGTCAGATGCGGCGGATGGATGCGTGGGAATGGCCGATGGATGGATGGATGCCCTAGTAGACCTCAACTGAGCCACCTGGCGACAGCAAACCGCCTGCCTGACTGCCTACTTCCCTGGCTTTGGCTTGGGGCCTGCGTATCGGAACGGCGCGACGCCTCCATTGACCGCCGTCATCCCCTCGTTCGCTCGCCGGTTGGCCTGCCGCTTGCTTGCTTGCCTCGCCTCGGCCGACGCCTCAGCCACTTGTCGCCTCGGACGCAGGTTTCACAAGGCAAGGCACGCCCGCGAACAACACATGCGCGCTGCCGACGCCCACCCGTATTTCTCGTGGCGCATTTCTCTCTTGTCTGTGGTGCATGGTGCTTTTTCTCGTCCCATGTCCTAGACTTAGGCACCAAAATGAAGGCATTCGCACTTTGTTGCACTTGCACCTGCAACTCACCTCACACTTGCACTTGCGCTCGACTTGCCTTGGGTTGTCCTTTGCTTGCACTTGCGCTCCGTGGTTCACTCTTACGTCTGCTTTGAAAGTCACTTACATTGTCCTATCTTTATCGACCAACCCTGCGTGTCAGGCGGCCTGGAGATCTCAAGTCTTTCAACTTCTTCTTGGCACGGCGTGGGTGCGAAGCTGTCTGTCTGTCTGTCCGTCTGTCCGTCCGTCTAGTGGATGGGGTGGCAGAGCCTGTGGGGAAGAAGCGGGCGACGTCACTTCAGCAAACCCTTGGTCTGGTTTGTCAAGGGGACAACTGCATACCTCGTCTCGTCTTTTGCTATGCAGTTTTGTACTGGAGTATGCTGAGATGGTGTGTTGAATTTTGCGGCTCGCAAAAGGTCGCGTCTCGGGCGACGGGGACGGAAATTTGGATATAACCTTGGGTGGTAGCGGGAGTGCACTTCAAGTGTCGAATGGATGATGCCCTGTCTTCTCAGTGCGGGACGAAAGACCTCAGCACTTGCAGCCAAAAGAGCCAGATTTCGGCGGTAGATGTCCTCGTAGTCGATATTTGAAAACCCGAGCAATAATACCTGCTTCGTGTCCCAACTCAATGCAATGCATAGAGATTTCATTAAATCCAAGCCTGTTTCACCATCGCTAAAATTCTTCCATTGAATCTCTCGATTTTGCTAGGCGCCTTATCTGCCGACAAAGTGGTAGCACCATAGCGGTGCGAGGGGGCCGGGGGGCTGCTGAACCAGCCTGCCTACCTGCCACAGGCCCACAGCGCCAAGTCAAGACGCTTAGACCACCCGAGCAAGCAATTGATGGATGTCATCAACAGCTCCATTGTTGAGCCTCGGCACATCATCACGCACCCGAGTTCCCGTTGTCAGCCTCTGGTCGCGCTTTCTTCCTGCCGGCCAACGCTTTACAGATTACAACCGGCATTTTGTCGCGGCTGTTTTCCCTAGTACTGTCCCAACTCGGCAGCAATGGGCGACTCCGGAGAAGACGGCCACCGCCAAGTCCAATCTGGCACGCCCGCATGGCAAGAGGCCCCCCCAACAGCCCCAGAGGCCGAGAACAAGCCGAGCGCTGTGGCGGAGGACAACTCGCGCGCGGCGTCGTTGGAGCGGGCGAGGAAGTTCCTCCAGGACGACGCAGTGCAGAGCACAAGCACAGAACGCAAGGCCGAGTTCCTGAGGACAAAAGGGATCCCCGAGGGCGATATCGACGAGCTATTGAAGGATGATGTACAGAAAGAGCACGCCGACGCGCAAAGCCAGGTGAGTACTCATTGTTCATGGCGCCAGACCTACACTTACACGTTGCCAAGCCGCAGAACACGGAACCACACGAGCGCCGACCAGAAACTACAGAACCGCACACGCTGGAGAAGGACGACCGGCCGCCCATCATCACGTACCCCGAGTTCCTGACCAAGCCGGCTCGACCGCCACCGCTCGTGACGGTCAACGGGTTTCTCAACACTCTGTACGCGTTCGGCGGCGTGTCGACGCTCGTGTACGGCATGAGCAAGTACGTGGTAAAGCCCATGGTAGACTCGCTCACCGAGGCGCGCATCTCGTTCCACGACACGGTGCAGCAGGACCTGGCTAAGCTGATCGAGAAGCTCGAGGGCACCGTGTCTGAGATCCCGGCCGCCGCCACCAAGACGAAACTCGACGCACTATCATCTCACGCAGGAATTCACACAGGCGCAGGCGGCAGCGACGTTGGCGACGCCGCGAGCAGCTGCGGCGACCCGACTGAGCTGTTCCACCGCGACATTGGCGTGCAGACGTCGCTGCCGGCGAGCCCGGTGCGCGCGCGGAGCCCGGAGCCGCGGCAGCCCGAGCAGGCGAGCGCGCGGCAGGCGCGGCGGCTGACCGAGCTGGCGGCGTCGGTCAAGGTGGTCAGCAGCGGCTTGGTCGCGCAGACCGAGTCGTACGGCGACGTCAAGGCGGCCATGGGCGCGCTCAACGACGACATAAACAAGCTCGCCTCGGCCCAGACTGACTACGGCAGCGGTTTTTCGGCCTACGGCAACAGCGCGCACTCAAACGAGCCTGATGACGAGATCAAAAAGGCCAGGGACAACATTAGGAGAGTCAAGGGCGTTTTGCTCAGCACCCGCACCTTTCCCGCCTCGCCGAGGTAGCTTTGGCGGGCTTGTTACTCCGTACATTGTAAATTATTCTAAAAGGAGACTGTTTGTTTTTCCTTTTGGCTTTTGGCGTTGACTATGACGCTTACGACTGTTTCATTCTGGCTGGCCGTTTTGGAGTTTTGATTTTATTTTTTTCATCACCCCAGCCTCGCGTGATGATTAGTATAATACATTGGCATGTGCGTATAGGAGACGGGATGAAGCATGGCTTGACATGGATATGTCCTCGACTGAGCCTGGTAGTGTAGATAGATGTCGATAGATTGGCAGGGCAGCGGAGAGCTCCGACGCCGGAAGAGGGGCGGGCGGGCGGGCGGGCGGCGGCGAGACTCGAGAAGGTAGCATGAGATGGCATGGTGAGATTGTTAGGCATCGGGAATGCAATGTATTGTTTCTTTTCTTCTTCTCTTGCTTCCGCTTTCGCCCATGCGCAAAAAGGCGATTGTTCTTGCGGCTAGGGCAGTTCGGTGTATGTTTTCTGCATACAAGTATGTACATTTGCACCTTGCAGCTGGATGCGGTCTAACTGGTTTCCACTGCTGCCGTCGCTTCGTCGCCGCCATCTTTGGATCCATTCTTTGCAGCTTCGGTGCTGACACTACAGGGCGGAATGTGGGGCAGAATTGAATTGGCCTCGGGATTTCAAATATTTGACTGCCTATTAGCGGAGCTAGGGGGCTAACTGCCAAAGTTAGGTCAGATTTGATGCGTCTCGTGCAACGCTTTCTTCCCCCCACTCTGGCCCACTCTGGCCTCCGTGGAGAAGCAGTCATCCTCCTCACGGAGTTTTTGAGAGGCGGCAGGCAGCCTGTGGTGATCTGTCTGGGAACGCGGCAGCGCGCGAGCATGTGAGTGTGAGTGTGAGTGTCAGAGGTTCAATAGCGTGGCGCGGCTTGGAGCGGGTCAGCCAGTTGATAACAAGCGGCAGCTGCTCGAGGTGGTGGGGTGGCCAAGCTATCTGGAGATGGGATCGTTTAGGGGGTCATACGATCCGTCATGCACAAAAGGGAACATAAAAAATAACCTGTGCGTCTTGGAAACGGGTCTGCACGATTCGCTTAGCCCCACTTGTCTGGGCGCGCCACTTTTCAGTCAGTCACTGCGCTGCTGCAAATCGGCTGCAACTCACCTCTGTCTTTTCCCTGGCCAACCACTCTCTTCACGTCTTCGCGTCCTCTTCCTCTCTGTGTGGTTCTGGGCCTTTTACAGCAGGGCATCCTGCGTGGTTTCTCTCTTCCGTCGCCCCATTTGAAAGCGCCCCGCCCACAGGCCTGCCTGTACTGTACCGGGGACGGACGAGAAAGAATCTACTGTGTAAAGGAAGACGAGCAAAAACCGGCGAGACAAGAGAAAGCGGGGCAAAAGGTTGGAGACCCCGTCTTGAATTTGGAACTGGCTGCAACTGGCAAGTTGAACTGCAGGGAGGAGACGGATCCTGCCGCTCTTTCCCCAGACAATCGCGAGGGGCAAGACCAAAAAACCGCTGCCAAAAAAGCAAGGCACGCCAAGCCCAAGGAAGTTGCAACGAGCTGACGAGCCGAGGAGCGCCAGACCCGATCAACAAAGCGCCGATCCCTGGCTGGCCGCCCGCCCGTTGACGCTGTTGACGCTGTTGACGCTGTCGAGAATGGACCAGCCCGGTGGCGGGCAGCCACTTCTGCATCCGACCAGGGAGAGCCAAAGCCGTCCGTCAATGGGCCACCATGATGAGGCCAGTGGCACTAGCTTAACTAGCGGTACCACCCCAGCAGCGCTGGGTGAGTACGGTGAGTCTGGGTCCAACCACCAGCACCGCATCGACGCCCGCTGACTTGGGCTCGACGAAGATTCGGGGTTCGAACAGGGCATTGACAATAACATCGCCGGTACGTTTTTTTTGTTATTGCTGTTGTTGCGTTGCCGTTAAACCTCTTGCGCCCGTCGTTTCTTGTCCTCCCGTCTTCACGCCTCCCGCCCATCAAGGTAGTTACTCAGCTTCGGGATGGCCCCTCGTTCACCGGCATTCCATCTGGCGATCAAGGGTACAGTACAGGCGGAAGCTGGTCCTGGCCCCAGCCCCCTTTGCCTCTCTATTCGCTACAAGCGGTACAGTACTCTGCAGAGGTACAGCTGGAGATGGGTGCGGGGGGTGAAGCATCCTGCCCTGTTTTTCCCTTTTGTACAGTTTACACTAGGTGCTACTTGATCCCGACATTGGATGCTCTGCACCGACGCACCGATGCATACCATCCTGTTTCTACGGAGTATTGGACGGACGATAGCTTGATAACCTTAGCGTGAATGCCCCGAGGTGTCTGTCAGTGCAGACTCGGGCAGACTCCCTGTCAGGTTTGCTGGCTTGCAGTCAATGCGCAGATCGCTAACCTGCGCCGCCTCTTGTGTCCCCTCTCCAGGCCACCCAGGGCCAACCGAGCCAGGTCAGGACATCATACCACTCCCTTTTGGGCAGGCCACCCCGCATTGCGAGCAGGCCCTGGCCCCCGCGCCTCTAGCCCATATAAAGTCGGCCCCGTCGTCAGAGCTACCCGTACGCGAGGTCGACGGTGGCGATCGCGAATTGTCGCCTATTGACATTCTCACTCATCTAAAGATACCCTCACCTAAGATGATTTTCTCGGAGCTGTACAAGTCGCCAAGGCTGCCTTTCAGCAAGCTCCGGGCCTCGCACCCTCAGCCCGTCGCCGTTCCAGATGTCGATGCCGACCTAGTCAGCAGAGACAAGGTCAAGCAAAAGGAAGCTGTACGCCGCTTCTTGGCCGAGAAGATCCGCTGCGACTGGGACTTTGTATGGCCATCTGTGTTGCCGTCACAACCACAACAACATCTCCAGGGAGACAGTGAGCAGGCCAATGACTCCAGCTCTTATCCGCGCACGAGCGGCTCCACAGTCACTGCCTCGGATCATATTCCCCGGGCGCCAGAAAGTGACCTACATGCCGCCCCTGCAGCTCCCGCGCACCCTCCCGTCTTTGACCAAGACGCCCCGAGGGATGCTGGCGACGACGCCGATTCCGAGTCGGACGCCGAATCTGTTTACAGCATCATCTCGGAAGATGCATTGCACTTCTCGTCTCGTATAGAGTGGACCTCTGACCTTTCTGATGACGAAATACCTGTCTCTAGCGGCTCTCCTTTCCGCTTTGATAGTCCCGAAGCCGTTGGGACGGCGATCCAGTCGTCCATCATCACGAGGCAGACTCTCCACCGGAGAGCCGTGCGCGAAGAGGCTGCATGGAACCTAGGGCTGGCATGTTTCGAGGCGCGCCGTAACGCGTGGACGGGGGCCAGAACAGTGCGGGTCAGGCCTAAGCCCCCGACTCCCATCTCACCGTCCTCTCCCCGGCGCCTCTTCCGGCGGCACCACAGATCCGAGTCTGCCCCTGTCAACAATATGGCACCGTCTCCGCCAGCGAGCACCTCGCCTCTCTCACCCTCCACTACTCGCACTTCCCAGCAACTCGACATCATGGCGATCACTCCGCCGCCATCCGAGTCAGATTCCGCCCACTCTGCGTCACTCTCCAAGACGTCGACGGGGACCGGCGTGCAGAGGACGTCGTCGCAAGAATCGGCTCCTGATGCCCTCTACCCTGTCGAGACACTAGTTCCCATACCGCCACCGCTTCTACCACCTCAGAACCCGATGCGCACCTCTATCACATCCTCCATCTACCCGTCACTGTATGACAAGATTGTTGTACACAGCTTGCAGCCGTCGTGTCCTGTAAATCTCTCTGACATGATGCGCGCCTGCGTTGTCGGCTGGAAGCGCGACGGCGAGTGGCCGCCGAAGATGGCGATCCAGGCGGTGCCAACCCCTTCAGAATTGGCTGCGATACGTCGCCGTAAAGCACAGCAGCAAAAACAGCAGCACGCACGCAAGGGCAGCACGGCCACGCTTGGATCATCGCGGCGCTTGAGCTTCGGCTTTCTCAGTGGCAACAAATCCGAGAAAATTGCCGATGACAAAGACCGCGAGGAGGGCAAGGAAAACAACTCTGACGAAGCACCCGGCAAGGGCATTCGCCGGAGCCTGCAGAAGGTATTCTCGTTTGGGCAGCATGGTCACGTCGATGCAAATGGCAGTGCTGTGCTCTCGCCCACCACAGTTGTCCTAAGCCCAACGCTGTCGGCGGCGCTGTGACCGGGCAGGGAATTATAATTAATGGTGATATATGCATCATAAGCGACGCCTTGAAGGCGCGTTTTGAGGAGTTTGGCTGGAATTCGGCCCCTATTTATCACCTCTTTTTGGATCTTTACCCCATACATGGTTCCTTTGCTGGGCCCAAATGGTTCCTTGTTCACAACATCTTACGGTCATCACATCATGTCTCGGTGCGAAATACCTTTTTCTCTTACGTAACACCTTTTTTAAGTGGCGGTACTAGTCGATTAAAGGATGCCAAGATACCCCTCCGCGCTGATTTCTATCGTTTTCTAATCAATTGAAGGGGTGAGGTAATGGGAGAGAAGAGGCTGCCATGCCTAGCGTCTCTTGTGGGGATACCTTCACCTGTGGCGGGAAATAAACACCCAGAATGCATAAGTAGCTACTGTGCATCCGGAGCTACGGACTATTGAAGAAAATGCCTGCGTTACTCGGCTGTTTGAAGGCTGTTCGAAACACCTTTGGGAGTTAGTCGTGCCTCGAGTGAGTAAACATCATTGTGAATATGCCAGGTACGCACGTTGCCTGGCTGTGCTGCTTGAAAGTAGCTTCAGGTAGTTTTGTTTAGACAGGTCATCGGAATTAAAGTATTTGTATGTACAAGCAGGATTGCTATCCAAAGACCATGGACATCGACAGCTATGACTGAAAACATAGGTATTGTCTAATAGATTTTTCTTACTCGCCGAAATGAATAAACAAATCTTTGGCCATAGAGAAGATACGCAGAAAGAGCAAAAGGGGGCATGACCTCGGCGCGCGAGTAACCGAGTGAGTGAACACACCAACCACCACTATCAGCAACAGCGAATACGCCGCCCTACCCCTAAAAGAGGAAAGGAATAGAAAGTGGGATTAAGAAAAGGGGACATAAATAACCAAATACCAGGCACTCTCAATCTCTACGTGAAAAATCAGGAACATACTATACTGGGTTGAGCTCTTGTCTTCGGAAACAACCTACTCACAAACAGAGCCTAATTGGCACCAGAAACTAGAAACCAAAAAAGCTTGCTTATGTCTCTCTATTCACATACCTCTCTCATTATCTATTCACTTACGGAGTACCTCAACCTCAGCTAGACACATACATACACTATCTCCCTGTCTGTCCATGTCCAACATAGACTCCTAGATAGCTCAACAAATACCCGCCTACTTTAGCCAAGGCGTGTGCGTTAAATTCTTTGAATCCTACACGAGTTCTACCTGTAACCGTACTAACCACCCCGCTGATTCCTGTAATACCAACGCTGTTGTTCCGAATATCATTTTGTGCCTGAATATCGATTTATGTATGCATGATACAAGATGGAGACGCTAGCTGGCTTGCTAGTTATATTAGTTACCTGTTGAGAATAATTTGGAACAGAAGAGAATCAATCCAAACGGAAACAGTACAGCAGAGCACTCTACAGCGCAGTTTAGATTCTCCTCTAGTTCTCGACACACCCCTCACATGCCTGACACTATCATGGCGCCGTAGCCCACAGTCACAACCACCAGCATGGTCAGCAAGCTGCTGGGCACGCCGCGGGTGATGAAGTGCTTGACGTGCAGGTAGCGCTGGCCGGTAGGGTCTTCCTTCATGATGGCAGCTGAAGGGAGTGAAGACGCGAGGTTAGCACGCTTTATACTTGCCACTTAATGAACAAAAAAGGACAGAGACTCACTCATGTTCGGGAACCCGCTCGTAGGCAACGCCATGGCGGCGCTGCACATCAACACGCCGGCCATGACCAGGAGGTTGGGATGGGGCTGCTCAAGGCGCTGGCCGACGTCGAACACCAACGGCAGGATAATGAGGGCCGCGACGGTGTGGCTAATGAAGGTGGCAATAACGAGAATCAGACCGGAAAACACGACCAAGATGCCATAGAGGCTCAGATGCTCGACGCGGGCGGTGATGGCGCCCGTGACGGTGTGGAGGAGGCCAGACGAGTTGACGGCCTTGCCGAGAGACAAGCCACCAGCGGCCAGGATGATGATGGTCCAGGGGAAGTTGTTGAAGTCTTCCTTAGTCAGGATTCCCAGACCGAAAAACAGCACAATGGGGATGATGGCAATGACGCCCATGTCGCCAAACGTGGACTCGAGCTGGTGCGAGGCGCACCAAAGGCCGATGGTGGAGACGGTCACGATAGACACAAACCATTGCAGGCCCGTGAAAGGGTCACGCACGGGCCGGATGGGCACGATGGTGGTTCCGCGGCCGGGCTGAAAGGTAACGAGGAGGATAGCCCATATCAGCAGCAGAGAGATGACACCCACAGGAATCGCAATAAAGAACCACTGGCCCCAAGTCGGCGCGGGGTTCATGATGCCAATAGCAACAACATTCTGTGGCGACGCAATAGGCGAGAGCATGCCGCCAATGTTAGAGGCAAGCGCGATTCCCATGATGACAGCCTTTGACATGTTGGACCCGGCGGGGAGGTTACGAAGCATTGGCTACAGAAACGCCATAGTCAGCATCTGGCCTAAGCCACTCTTCGCAGGCATGCTGCTTACCTCGATGATACCAAAGCAGAGAACCGGAGCAGCAACGTTGCTGATCAACATGCTCGCAACGGCAGCGACGGCCATGTTGGCAATGAGCACCGTTCTCGGCTGCGTTCCTGCTTTACTAAGCACAAATGTCGCAATCCTCTTGTCGATGCTGCATTTCGACAGCGCAGCTGCAAGGGTGAAGCCGCCCAACAGCAGCATGATGACCGGAGTCCACATGGCGGCAAAGACGGCGGCCGTGGCATCCTTGGAGTCCAGCCGTGTATGCGGCCTTTCTGTCTGGCGGAAGACTTTTAAGACGACACAGAGAAAGGGAATGGTGAGAGAGGTGACAAAAAGGGGTATCGCCTGATGTGAGAGTCTGTTAGCCGTGCCCAGTGGGAAGGCAATCAAGTCTGCAGCGTGCTTACCTCGGTAGCCCAAAGCAAACTGACAAGCACCAGCATGGCCAGGCAGTTCTGTTGCTCGGGCTTCTCCATTAAAGGAACCAAGAGAAGGACGAAGAAGATGGTAAGGATGACGAGAAGGGTCATCATGGTCGAGCTGAAGAGCCACACTGGGTAGGTAAATCGGCCGAGCGGTGTGGATATCTCTTTGGTCGGCAGCACCTGCTCGGCATCTCCCTGGCGAAGCGTCTTGGTTAGATCCGTGTCTCGCCCAAGCAAGGTGTGGCCCAGGCTGGCAGCCTCAGCCCGCCTCTCCATGCCAATCAGGTCTCTCCACACGGTATTCCGTTCCCAGACAACATGCTCTCTCAGATGCGACCTTAAGTCCCGGTTTGCGGCCTCGTTGTCGCCGTTGGTGACGATGGTTGCGTAGGCGTCTACGATTTTAGAAATGTTCTCTTCCAGGTCGGCCGTCGTTTCGGAGCGGAAGGGGTAGGCCGTGTCAACGTACGAGTCCATGTACTTGCGCCGCAGCTGGCGGTCGACGATTTTGTCAAACTTTTTGAGCACCTTACTGAAGCCAGTCCTGTTGAGCTGAGCATACGACTTGAGCTCGCAGAGCTGGACATATATGGTGATGATCCTCTTCTTCAGCATGATTCCAGAGGAGAAAAGAGCCGCCTGCTCGGCGTAGTCGTCATAGGTCGCGCTGTATCTTCGCAGCGACCGCGTGAGCTCGGTAGAGGCCGTCATGTCCGTCGATGCCTGCATGATATTCGGGACCGTCCTGCGCCTCCCGAAGCTCGACCTCCGCCTTGATGCCAGACCGACTGTCTCATCAGCCTCGTCTTCGCTGTCTTCGACACCATCCTCGGTTGAGTTACGGCTGCGCGCACTCTGGCTACGCGGTTGTGGGGGCGGCCGCGGTCGTTCGGCTGACCGGGTGCGAACGGGCGGCCGGGGTTGGGATTCGTCAATTGGACCGTCCTCGAACGCGCCAACATCGCGCAACAGCGCATCCGCCTCATCGACCAGCTCTTTTTCCTTCAGCACATAGAAGGATGAGATCTTCTCTAGCTCGACGTCAAGGGCGCGGATGAAGACAGTCTCGGGATCCTCGTACTGGATGAGGGGGCGCGACTCGGCATCGCCGCCCGACGACTGATGGATGGTCTTTTCGAGTTGGTAGATGCTAGATGAATGACGCTGTCAGTGCGAACGAACATGGGAGATTGTTGTCTGGGGCTCCTCCTACAGCTTCTTGAGGTTGCTGTAGGCGATGTAGTGGCTGCTCCAGTCGGGAACAGCGTTGAACTGGATGCTGTGGGAGAATTTCATTTCGTCCCGCTCGTCGAGCCAGCGGCGCTTCTCGGCCCTCTTCTCGTCCTGGTCGGCAAAGTGGGAGTGCTCGCGGGGCCTTGTCGGACGACGGTTGCTTTGTGGCTGGAAAGACGGGAGCTCAACAAGCTCAAAGTCTTGTTTGCCGTTATAATTAGTAGCGTTGGTGCGACAAGACCTAGTAGTACTCGTGGTGTCGGTGCTCCCCCCTCTGTCCCGAAAGTCTGCTTGTCGGCCGCTGATGGGCCGTTTCTGGGCTGTGTGTACAGATCGGATAGAGGAGGGCTCCTTAGATGCAGCCGGAGACGCTATGGTGGATGTTGTTGCCCGGAAGGCAAGTTAAAGACTAACAATCACGCAAGTCAATCCACTCTCTTCATCGTATCGAGCCACGCAGAGCAGCCCTGTGTTGTCAGAGGCTGGTGGGTCAGCCCCCACCAGTCTTCGCCAGGCTCCACTGCGAAACAGGGCAGCCACTGAGCAAGGGCCCGAACCTGGGAGGAGCTTGGCACTGCACTGATCGCCCAGATTAATAACCAAGGCGGCTAAGGCTTAGTCAGATCGGCTATTTCAATATGTTGGATTTTGGCCGTGCATTGCTGACATAACATTGCCCTTCTTATATGACCTGCCTGCCCTCAGGCAGCCTGCAACGGCTTCCAAATTGATCTCATTTCATATCCCGAATGTCCCTTCATCATGGGTATCATTCGCCCAAAGAATCGATCTCATTGATCTTATGTGGTGACTTCGTCCTTGTCCTCCTTGATGTCCACCAACCTATGCTTCGTCTACCATACCCAGTTCCTCATCGTCGAGCTCCTTCAGCTTCCTTCTGTACGCCCGTCTCTTGTCTTCGATCTCCTCCAGCTTCCTTTTCTTGCTGACCTGCTTAGTGAGCTCTTGCACTTGTGCCATGGTTGACTTGAGCTCCTTATCCATTCTGGCTATGCGTCTCGAAAGTGCGACGACGTCGGTGTCGCCAATCTTGTCCGTGACGTCACCATGACGTCCTGGAATCCTCCCAACTGTGTTTTGATCTTCTCCATTTGTCCTCCAGCGTGTTCTTCAAATTGTTGAAGGTCTTGGATAGCTTCGGTGAGCTCAGTCTGGTTCATCACTCCGTCATTCTTACCATAGATATCCTCCTCAAAGTTGTCCCGTGTGTCAGGCTCAGGAACCTCTTGCTTGGGTTTCGGAGTATTTGTCTCAGGTTTGAGGTTCTCTGGTGCCGTTAATGATTTGATGATATTCGGGGACGGAGCTAGCTTCTCGTTGAGGCCGTTAAATTCAGTCTGTAGTTCCTCAGCAATGGCCTTCATCGCGTCGTTGACGGCCTTGCGACTCATTTTCATGGAGGGGAGATGCTTGAGATTCTTCAGTTCTTTGATGAGTTCGGTTCGTCTCTGGGCCATGCCCTTCACCTCCTCTACCGTGAGAGTTTGGGTATTATTCTAGTAGTCAAGATATATCTACAAAAACTGGGTTCTTATCCATTGTGCCTGTTCCCGATTGAAATAACAACATCAGTCGCCCAGATTCACTTCTAAAAATCTCTATGGCCTCCGCTGGTCTCGAGAAAACGGAAAAAGCTTCTGCCAAGATACTCTATCTTACTTTAAGGCACCTGAGCTAGGTACCAAGGGACCCGAGTCTGCTGGGACGGGATGAAGTCACGAAGTCAACTCTTAAGCCACGTGGACAACGGTTCCTTGGATCCGAAGTTGTCAACGGCATATTGGAGCCTGCTGAGACTGTTGAGGGGCAACATCCAATACCATTACGGCTTCTTGTATCCACAAACTTGAAGACATTCTAGATTCCACGCTTTCACACAGTGTCAGAAAGGTTGAAGATGATGACTTACAGAATCGAAACGAGTTGCAGCGCGGGCCCGAGTGTAATAATCAAGCCCAATCCATGAATATTTGTTTGTTGGCGTGATACCCAGGAAGAAAAATAATCACAATAATACACTTTACCAATTCAAAATAACCCCGTAGACTATACGAGCCTCTCTATCTTGGGATTAATGATACATGCAGTATAATCCAACCCCTAAATGTTTCGAAGCGTGGAACTTAAGATGTGAAAGGCAAGTACTAGGTACTTTACGAAGTTTTTCGTAAAGAGAGGCGGTAAGCCTTAGAACCCCTAATGCAGAATCATAGATGCCTATCACTCTCCTAAAAATATCTCGGTAAGTCTCTGTTGATTGCTATGAATATTGACACTCTCAAGTGTCTCGGTGAAGTATTTCGTCTCGTGGTGTTTGAGTCAGACGATTCAGTTGGCGCGACACCATTTTCTGTAGCCAGCTCCCCTGACCCCTGTGTTTTGCAGTGGAGGCGCCATACGTATAACCCTAACCCTCAATATACAGGCAACCGTAGCTCTCCCTCCCTGCCCGGACGACTTGGAGACGGTTGGCTGCGCCTGACCTGACCCGTTGCTGAATGCAGTCATTCAACCTCGACTCCCAGCCTGGGACCTTTGAGGACGCGGACACACGGTACACCTGCCATCGATGGTCAGCATATGGCTGCAGGCGCCTCGCACAGCTCCTAATGCGCTCAAACTCGCGGTAACAAGCCGACGACCGCGGAGGTGGCTGTCGCCATGCTCTCCGCATTCACAGCTCGACCCATCATCGAGCTCAAGCAGCGCGACAAGTCAAAAATAGAGTCCATTCTAGCTTATGGTATGCATGATGCTGGCTGCCATGGTTCTTAGATATGCGCTCGCAGGGAGGATTGCAAGCTGACCTAGGGACTACCAGGTGATCGTGTCCTCGTTGGCCTCAACACTGGCTCTCTTCGCATCTATCGTCTAAACGACCCACCTCCACCTTCGACTACCAAGCTCGCCAAGCCCACCAACGGGAGCTCCTCTCTACTCGATGCTCAGATAGCGAGCCAGAGCCCGTCAGATCTCTCTTCTACCGCCACCCCCTCTCAAGATGACTCTCCTGTGTCCTCGTCTCAGGTGGCAGCAACTGCAGCAGCCGCCGCCGTCGTCAAGCCGACTGATCTGCTTCGCGAGGTGGACAAGTTCTCGACGCGCACCATTGAGCAGCTTGCCGTGATAAAAGAAGCAAACACCCTCGTGTCCCTGTCCAACTATGCCATCTGTCTCCACGACCTGCAAACGTTCGAGCCTATCGAGGCCCCCCTTCTCCGATCAAAGAATGCCTCGACCTTTGCTGTGACGAGCAACATTGTCAAGGACCCGGCTACAGATATTCCTGAGATCATCTCGCGGCTCGCAGTAGCCATAAAGCGCCGGCTGCTATTGTGGCTATGGCACGACAGCGAGCTCTCCCCAGACGTGACCGAGATTGTTCTTGCCGAGGCAATACGGACTATTACCTGGGCTAATGCGACCAAGGTTGTATGCGGCATGAATAGCGGATATGTGATCGTAGACGTTGAGACGGGCAGCGTCGAGGAAATTGTTGGTTCGGGGGCCATTGGTGCTGCGGCAGGCGCCCAAGGTCGCTTCGGGGCTGTCAGTACGGCCAGTATGGGTATGATGGGCCTCGGCGGCTTCATCCCGAAGCCTCTGTCGGCGAAGCTCGGGCAAGGAGAGTTATTGCTTGCCAAAGACATCAACACCCTGTTTATCAAAGACACCGGAAAGGCTCTCGAAAAGCGCCAGATCCCGTGGCACGCTGCGCCCGAGGGAATCGGCTACAGCTACCCGTACTTGCTAGCTCTTCAGCCGCCAGCCAAGGGAAGCTTGGAAGTGCGGAACCCCGACACACTCAGTTTGCTGCAAACAATAAGCCTCCCTGGCGCTGCGGCCCTCCATTTCCCACCCCCAACTGTCAGCCTCGCGCATGCTGGAAAGTATTTTCACGTTCTGAGCGAAAGGGTTGTTTGGAAGATGGATGCCACAAACTACGACTCTCAGATCGAAGAGCTGGTTAAAAGCGGAAAATATGACGAAGCAATCAGCATTCTGGGCATGCTTGAAGATGCATTAGTCAAAGACAAGACGGAGACCATGCGAGAGGTTAAGATGCTCAAGGCTGAGCTGCTCTTTCGCCAGAAGAAGTACCGCGAGTCTATGGATCTCTTCAACGAGGATGAGGTACATGCGCCTCCAGAGAGAGTCCTGAAGCTTTTCCCCAAGATTATCGCTGGTGACCTATCTGGCGTCGAAGAGGAGCAAGAGGACGAGTCTGACCACGAGGCGCCGAATGGAAAGGCAAATGGCGAAAAGGCACCCAAGCAAGATGCTGCTGAAGTCTCGTCGCCTCAGAAGGGTGGAGCTTTTACCAAGTATCTGATGGGCCACCGCAAAGTCAACTCGGAGACAGCATCTATTGCCTCGTCCAAAAGAGCCCACGACTCAGATGACTCTGCAAGTATCAGAGGCAAGACTGCCGAGGAGCAATCGCAGGACGACAAAGACCTCATAGCTGCAGTGCTTGAGCTTAACAGCTATCTAGCGGGGGCACGAGCAAGACTACAGCGGGTTATAGACCCAGCCAACGGCAAGCTTAAGCCAAGAAAGACGCAAAGTGGCTCGACCGAAGAAGCGTTCAAGAGTCTGTTGACCCTGTCTAAGGACGAGAGTGACGGAGAGCGTGAAAGGGAACTCCAGAGCACCTTCAAACTAGTCGACACTGCCCTTTTCCGAGCATATATGTACTCTCGCCCGACTCTGGCTAGCTCCCTCTTCCGCATCCCCAACTTCTGCGATCCAGATGTGGTCAACGAGCGGCTGGTTGAACACAACCGCTTTAACGAGCTAGTAGACTTCTTCTACGGTAAGAAGCTCCACCGGCAAGCGCTCGACTTGCTACGCAGGTTTGGCTCGCCAGATGAAACCGACGACATTGCACCAACCCTGCACGGCCCGCAAAGGACAGTCATGTATCTGCAAGGCCTACCACCAGAGATGATTGATGTTATTCTGGAGTTCGCAGACTGGACTCTCAAAAAAGACCCCAAGCTCGGCATGGAGGTGTTTCTCGCGGACTCGGAAAACGCCGAGACTCTGCCCAGAGACAAGGTCATTTCGTTTCTGAGCCGTTTCGACACGGGGCTAGAGATACAGTATCTGGAGCACATCATCACAGAGTTGAATGACATGACTGTCAAATTCCACGACCGCCTGGTCGAATTGTTCATCAAGAAACTTATATCAGAGGAGGCCGACAGGGGCAAGGAGTGGGATCTCCTGATGGAGCGGTTTGTACGGTTCCTGAAGTTGAGCGGACAGTACAAGTACAGCCTCAGCAAGGCTTTCAATCTCATACCCAAGGAAGGTGAGTTATCACTTTTGCTTACTGCCACCTTTGAGCAAGTACTAACCAATTCACCAAGACCCGCTCTTCTATGAGGCGCAGGCTGTTATACTCAGCAAGATGGACCAGCATAAACAGGCGCTGGCGATTTATGTCTTCAAAATGAAGGACTTTACAAAGGCCGAAGAGTGAGTTTTGCGCAAGACGATCTGACCCTTCTGTCACCCCACCCCATTTTCTCCCATTCTGACAAAAGCAGATATTGCAACCGCATTCATAAAGCAAAGGATGCGCAGCCAGCGTCACCGTCACAGATCCATCACGGCACCTCTGAAGACCCAGACGAGGCACAGCCCTCCATTTATCACACATTGCTCTCACTATATCTCACGCCGCCACCACCGTATTCCCCAAATCTTGAGCCAGCACTCGATCTTCTCTCTAAACACGGCTCCAGACTCCCGGCAACCTCGACCCTTTCTCTCGTCCCCGACTCGCTCCCGGTTGCGGAGCTCGAGTCCTACTTCCGCGGCCGCATGCGCAACGCCAATAGCGTTGTGAATGAGACGCGCGTTGTCGCCGGCCTGCGCAAGACTGGGCTGGTGACGAGCCAGGCGCTTCTGCTGCTTGGCGACGGCATTCCAGGCGGCCAGGGCGGGCGAAATAGGCGAGTTGTCGTCAGCGAGGAGCGCGTCTGCGGCGTCTGTCACAAGAGGTTGGGCGGAACCGTCGTCGCCGCCATGCCGGATAGTACGATAGTTCACTATGGCTGTCTGAACAGGGCCCAGTCCGGCGCCGCCGGCGGAGGGGCTCCCCTCCTATCCTCCCAAGTCGGGGCGTGGGGCCGAAGCGCCGGGGTCGGAGCCTGAAAGAAGAGGCCTGATTTAGCATAGTCAGAACCGTGAGGGGCGGTGTGGCGTTTCTGATATCCCATGCTTATATGTATAGCGGTGCGGCTTTGTATTGGATTTGCTGTCGCCCTTCTAATTTTTTTTGGTTGTTTTAGTTGCCGTTGTAGTTGGTTACTACTGCACACTGAAACCTCCACAATACCCCTTTCTGTAGATAATTTGGACTCTTTAAATACGGATGTTTGGCATGTGCTTGGCGGGTGGGCGGCTGGCGACCGTGATGCCTAAGGAGGCGAGTGATAATATCTACGGAGTAATGGCGGTTCGAGCCCTCGCATCGGCAATGGAGACTCTGGGGAAGCAGTCCCCTTGTTTCTCTCTAAGCGTCGTCCTCCTCCTGAACCTCTTCGCCGTAGTTCTCCTCCTCCTCGACGTCGTCCACGGCAAACTTTGCCGTTTTGAGGCTGCCGCTGCTGCTGTTGCCGCTGCTGCTGTTGTCCTCCTCCATCCGCGCTGTCAGCTCCTGGTTCACCTGCTCCTGCAGCCCGACCACGGCGATGCGCACGCTGCGCAGGTACGACGTCCGGCTCTCGATGATGCCGTCGGCGGGCGGCGCAAACGCCTGCGTGGTGGAGAAGGGCTCGTTGTTGCCCTTTGACGTGTACACGGCCGTCAGGGCAGACGCACTGGATAGTGTTTGGTCAGGCATTTTGGGGGGGTTGAGATTTGCTCTGGTGAAAGCTAAGGCTGGGTGGAAAATATGAAAGGGGTAATGGGCAGCTGGGCTCGTTTATGGACTGAGTTGGATGTCCTGAAGTAAACTACCTAGCTCAGAATAAAAACTTTGATATCAAGCTCGGCTTGCGGATTTCTTGGTCGGCAAATGGATATGTCCATGATTGCCCCGCGCCGGGCCTTTTCTTAGGTGACCCCACCAGGCAACGTTTACGGAGCCGCTAGGGAACTTCGGTTGGTGCCCCGCACTATGTAAATAGCGCTTCACTGAGGTTAGTTGAGGCTCCCTGGGTTGGGTTGCAGCTGAGTCCAGCGGCTGCCTTTGGGGCATTTGGGACATCTGCATTTTAATTGATAGCGCCAACCCTTACCCCTTCATCCGCACTTGCGCCTCGTCCAACAATCTAACATTTGCCTCCCGACGGCGTAGAAAGTCGCTTGTTGCTCCTGCTTCCCGGATCGCCTGCGGGCATAATTAGGCTGAGCGTGAGCGGGCAAGCGCAACCCATCAAGGGCCGGCGCAGCCAAGATGATGTAACAAACCCCCCCGAACGACGACTGCCCACCTCCTGAAAATGCAACCCACAAGACCCACGACGAGGGCGCCGGGGAGCTTCTCGTCCCTGCCGACAAACTCCTCGGCGCCGCAGCCTGGTGCAGAACAACGCCCGAGACAGAAGCGCCTCGAGTCGACGAGCAGCGACGATTTGGCGCCGTTGAACGTGGTCAAGGCCCGTAACTTTGCGGCTGCACAGCATGCAGCCCAACAGGCCGCGCCACCGCCAACACCCCCGACCCCGATCTACACTGGCTTTACGCACAGCAGCAGCAGCAACAACAATAGCAACAGCTCTAGCGCCAACAACTTGCAGAACTTCTCGCGCCCGACGCTGTCGACTGCCGTCTCTGCGGCACGGTCCGTGTCCGGCGCCCACTCGCCTAGCGACGCCCTCCCGGGACGCAACGGACCCTCCCCCCTAACCCTCCCCCCCACCATCGCTACCTCGCCTGCCTCGTCGACATTCTCCGGGAGGGGCCATTCGCGCAAGCATTCGCAGAGCGCCGGCTTGTTTGAGCCCACCCTGCCGTCGACAAGCACATCCAACCTCTCCCAGGTCGGCTTGGTCCAACCTTCACCCAAGCTCAGCCCAGCGCCCCATCGAGAGATGTCGGCCAGCCAGATCGCTGCGCAGGCGGCCGTCATGCACCACCAGAACCAGCAGCAACAGGCTCAACAACAGATACAGCAGGCGCAACAAGCGCAGCAAGCGCAGCAAGCGCAGCAAGCGCAACAAGCGCAGCAGCAGCAGCAGCAGCAGCAGCAGCAGCAACACCACCAACAGCATGCTCGCCAGCGGTCACAAACGGTGCCGATGCCGGGCGCCGACTTCGAGTTGCCCATGGGTATCAAACGAGGAAGTGGCGGACCGTTAAATCCCCCCATGCTAAGCTTGACCGAGGCGAGCGGACCTAGGGACAATGCTTTTGGGAGCCAGAGCTATCGCAATGGGCTGCTAGGTAGCCACAGTCTTGCGGCAACGACGGCGGCGAATGTCGTCTTCCCGAGGTCAGGTCAATCTTCGCCAGCTCTATCAACACAAACAGCGCCACCTGCCCCATTACCCCCCCCCGCGGCTCCTGAGAGGCCACTGAAGACAGAGAAGTCAAAAGTAAAGCTCTTCTCACGACCAGGGAAGATCAGTGTCAAGATGGACCCCAACAAAGATAAGCCGCTTCCAAGTCCTGGGAAGATCGGCCATGCCTTTTCCAATCTACAGCGCGGCAACTTCAGCACTACTAGCTTAGACTCGAGCGCGCAGTCTTTCTACAGTCTCGCGAACTCATCCACTGCGACGATACGGCCCGTGGACGCGCCCGTAGTTGAGAGCAAGGAGAAGGAGAAAAAGCATCACTTTTTATCACGCCAGAAGCACAAACTCAAGGATGACTACCATCTCCCCCTCTCCTCGGCCATGAGCAACTCGAGACCAACCGACCCGAGTGCTCCTAGTAGTCTGTACAACTTTAATCTGCCCCCGAGTCCTGGCCCGAACACCACCAGCTTCAAGAGCATGTCGGGCCTGGATCTACGGCATGGCGGGAGGGCGCTTCGCGAGAAGAAGAAAGAGGACAAGGTGCTGATAGACGATTCAGCCTCGAGCTACACCGTGGGTGGCGAATGGCCCGGCCCTAGCAGCGTTAACTCAGCCTCCGGGGCGCTCTCTTCCGCTCTATACCTCAACGAGCCGTTTGAGAGCGGCAAGTACGGCCTAAACAGCATGAGCCACGACGATGCCTGGCCGTTCTTGAAAGCAAAGCTTCTCGTCGTTTTCGAGGCCGAAGAGATACGGCTGCCGGTAGAGGACTTGAACCGCATTGTCACGATGCATATCCAATTTTGCATTGCGCGGCGCAGTCCGAATATTGTTGTCGAAGATCTACGAGAGTTGCTAGCGACTGGATTCTCCAGCCTGGACCAGACCCTTCGCAAGACGGCCGACGACAGGCTGATCCCCTCCCTCGTGGAGCTGTGGATCTTTACATTTACCGGCATTCTGCCCTATATGCAGGCCGTATTTCTCCCCCTGGACCTCGAGTTCGCCGGAAACGGGCCCTTGATGAGTCCAGAGCAGGCCCGCGATTTCTGGGGTGGGATTCCGGCGCTGAGCTACTCTCCCATCGAAACCTCTTCTTCTCTAGGCCCTGACCGGGGGGGCTGGAATCACCCTATTAACGTCTCGCCCGCTTCGGCTATCCTAGAAGTGCGTCGCCTAGTGCTCTTAGCCTTTCGCGATATCGTTATCCTCCCTCGCTACGAGACTCTACGAACAATGTTCTCACGCCTTTCTCTCGAGTTCCTCCCGCAATCGCTGGCCACCATGGCTCTGGCCTCGCCGGTTCCCCTGCCTTCGCCCGCATTCGGCAGCATGAGCCATGTCGGGGGCTTGTATCAGAATATGCTCTCCACCTCCCCTACAGGTGAATCGCAGACGTCGCTCAGCTTTGGCGCCGCCAACAACGCCATGTCCCTTGACCCCGCGGTTGCCAGCTACAACAGCACCAGCACCACGCTCCTCGGCGACACGGGTAGCGGAAACCGCAGCCGCGCCATCAGCAACGTTAGCTTTGGTAGCGACAACACCAACAACGCGCGCCCATTCACCCCCAGCAGTCTATACGCGTTGAGTGCAGGCGGCGGCGGCGGCGGCGGCGGCGGCGGCAGCCTGCGAGACCAGAACGTCGAGGACTCCAAGCAAGTTACCGAGATGGTCGGGCGCATGTTGCAGTGCATGAGTGTGCTCGCGTCCGTCGGCGTCGGCGGCCCCGGCGCCGGCACAACGGCCGACGAGGGCGGCCGCATGGTCGAAGAGCTCAACAAGCTGCTCAAACTCAACTGGCTCGGCCGCGGCCGCACAGGGCGAAACCGCCGCGGTATCGTCGGCGGCCGCGTCCGCCGCGGAACCGCCGCTACCACGGCGTCCTCTAACCCCGGCCCGCTCTTCGCCATGTCCTCGCCGCCGGATGTCCTCAGGGGGGAAGAGAGGCCTTTTGGTTGATTGATTGCCTTTTTTATCTCTTGTGACGTTTCCCTGGCTGGTGTTCTGTAGTCCGTCCCGTAACTACCGGATAGTTGCCTGGGTTTGTACCTCCTACTTAGTTCAATGTATTCATGCAGCAGCGTATATCCATCCATCCATCCATTCCTTCCAAAACAAAATAACGCGCGAAACAAGCACCGGAGAAGGTGGCGGCGGGAAGCAAACGGCTTTCCCTAGAGTCCTCTTTTAGTACATGTCCTTTTTTCCCTTCTCTGCAAATCAACAGTCATAAATAAAGGCCGGCGGCGCTTGTTTGGATCGGGGTCGGTGGAATTGGGGGTTGTATTTTAGTTAACAGATAGCTACAAGGGAACGCACTAGCGACAAGCAAGCAGACCTGCTTGATATATATCGTTGTACAATACAACGAGTGCGTCAGTACGTAAGGTAGAATGGAAATCTGGAATGGGATTGTAGGATAGGGAGAGTCGTATAAAAGCTGATCCTATAGTTTAACAAGATGTGTGCGAGGGCCTAGGTTGGGATTGTATAGATTATGGGGAGAACAGGGCTTCAATGAAAATGTAGTCAAGTGGCCTCCCCGTGATGGGTTTCGATTTAGATGTGTTGCGGACAAAGCTTCGCTAGTCGCCGCACTTGCCAAACGCCGTTCTCATGTCTTGACTAGCTATACTAGAGGAATTGGTACCAAGTCAAGCTTGTGGATGTTGGAGGGCACGCGGTAGCAATGGAAGTCACTTCGCAAGAAGGTTTCTTGGTATAGAATGCAGTAAAATGTTCAATTCCCTATGGATATCTAGACTAGCCCACGGGGCAAAGGCGGCACCCTACTCTAGACTGTTAGCGACTGGACTCGATTTACAACGGCTCGAAAACGAGAATGTGTGTAAATCCAATCATACATCCAAGGAAGTATTCGCTCTCATATGTCCCAAGATTAGGCTCAATGGGATTCGAGTGGAAACTGCGAATGTAGGAAAAGTAGAATCATATTGGAAAGGGAAGACGTAAAGAAATATCCGATGACTAACCTTTAATGACGAGAGATGCTAAGAGAGTTCCTGGTGGTTAGTGAGAACGGGAAAGCTGTTTAGCAAAAAGATTACAGGTGGAAAGGGCGCGGGTGTCTGCATATTTAGAGGAACACGAAGACAGAGCGGGTCTTGCTGGAGGCAAGGGAAAACTAGATATTTAGGTCAGCGGGTGGGCCAAAACAAAATTCCACAGAAGTGGAGACAGCAGAAGAAGTGAACATCCGCTCTAGTCAGACACAATTACTGGCAAGTAACAGGCTTACCCCCGTAGGAGTGAAGCCCGGACAGCTAATCTTCGATCATGGTCGATTCAGTTGGGAAAAGAAGACATGTTGAATTCTTGTCATCATTCAAGATGATGCGGATGTCGGTGCTGGGGATAGAGGGCGGTCGCTTACCTGATGCGCTGTGCGCGTGTCATTGCAGTGCATTGCCTGGGCGCGTGCACTTTGGAGGGCGCCCGCTTCAAGCGGAAGCTGCCAGCCCACCATCCACCACGTCTCATTGAATGGCGCCATGCCAACCAAGCTCGGGGAGACCGAGGCACGCGAGATCAATTCGGATTCGGTGTCTTCTCTTCGCGACGAGTCTCCCGTCGCGGGAGGAGAAGAGAGCCAGGCGAGCCTGGTGCTGGATGGTGGTGAGTGGTGAGGAAGGAAAGGAAAGAATGCGTTGCAGGAGCTGCCTCTATATACCTAACTCGGAAGAAGCGATAGCGATAAGGAAAAAATTTTTGAAGGTGGAGCAATGAGCCAGAACTTTGCAGGGCACGTGATGAAATTGGGGAAGAAGTTTTTTTGCCGTATTGGTTTTGCCTGTCAGCTGGGGCAGCTGGCCGCCACGATGCGCGAGCCCGAGTCGCTCCCGTCTTGTGGAGAAGAAGGGGCCGCTTCTTCAGCCCCCAGACGTCGTTTGGTGGCTTGACTCACATCGCTATCGCTATATCCAGAATGAGGTGCATTAACTTGCCTTCGAGTTCTCCAGGATGACTCGCCTTGTTAATTCCCACGACCGGCGAGTGCGCGAGCAGGCCAAAAGACGACTGTACAGCCTCTTTAGGTCTAGGAAATCAAAAACCGATCGTGTTACTTCATAGCATCGATGCGAGATCGGACAGGATGCTCGCCAAAATGTAATTTCTCCGTATTCGGTACGGGCACCGAGCCATCGACAGGTGGCTGCGGAACCATTAGCAAAGCATAAGATCGGTCCGGAACAATCCATATTCCTGTCATTAATAGATGGATATTATTTGCTATATGCATCAAAGGCTTTTGCGCCCCAATGACATGTCTTCCTATCGCTCTATCAGACAGCCCGTCTTCACCCTAAAAGGCCCACCACCCCCTTCAGTCGACGCCTTTTCGGGCCCTAGACCTCCCTACTTGCTGCTTGATCGGTGCCCAGGATTCCTCGCTCTGCGCTCCCGTCTCCCCTGACTCTCACCCGAATTTTTGCCTGTATTCGTACCTTACTTGGAAGGGAAGGCCTCTCTCTGCAATCTTGGCATATGAATCTGAGAAGAAGAATACCATAAAGATACCCGCATCCACCGCTTTGACTCTGGATCCCTCTATTTGCAGCGCCCCCATTTTCGCATTTTACAGGGCGTGCAGGACCGCCCGACGAGATTTGCGACAGCGGAAATACCACCTGGGTTGGACGTGCCCTGGCAGCCGGTAATCAATTTTCACTCGGGCACTTGCGCTCCCCATCCATTTCTTCGCTTCGCTCCGCCGGGTTCCCAGTCCCAACCCCCCCGTCCAGGCAGTCCCCCAAAACTCCACAATCCACACCTCGACCAAGACACGTCGCCGCCGCCAATTCAACCTCGCCCTAACCACGCCCAACGCTTCTTGTCCTGCATGGCTGCAGTGTAATCTAGGTTGTGTGCATCACTGCTTCTTGGCGTTGCTGTTTGCCATCTCAGGGCCTCGCTCGCCTGCCGACTGTCGACTGTCACCTGGCGTCTCTCTCGTTTTCTTGTCGCGGGCCTAGCCCCATCCCCACCCGCCCCAGCTCCTTCGCGCGACGGGTTGGCTTTTGGTGTCGTTCGTCGGGTCTGCAACCCGCGCGTTAAATATCTGCACATCAGTCGCATTCGCTTTGCAGCTGTCTCGTGGCACCATCTTGCGCCGACCGACGACTGTCCTTCACGCTTTTTGGCGCGCGATCGCGCTTCGCGACAAGACCAACCGGCCCCGTGGCTTCGGACGACTAACGACCACCGATCGGCAGACCTCGTATGCGACAATAACGCGGAGGAATCCACGTCGATATCCACGCTGTGGATAATCGACAGCTCCCGAGATGATGGCTGGCATGGCTCCGTCCTTTTCGCCGCATCCCGGCGGGATGCAGCCGCACCCGAGCGCCCCCGCCGGCCATCCTATGGCCCACAACCCCAGCCAACCCGGCGCGACCCCCGGAGGCATGCCGCACCAGTTGGTACACATGGGGGTATCAGGGCCCGGTTCCCAGCTGAACCCTGCCGCGCTCATGGGGGGCGGCATACCGCCTGGTCCCGGAGGCCCCAACCATGCCGCCATGCAGCACCTCAACCCCCAAACGCAGATGTTCCATCATCCCCAAATGTGTATGTAATAGGCCCTCCTAGTCGGACCCCGGCCCGAGTGTCGTGTGATTGTAAGCTGACAGTGTGGCCAGTCAATGGTAACAATCCAGCGATGCAGCAAATGCAGCAGCAACAACGCCTCGCAGCACTGCAGCAGCAGCAACAAGCCCGGCAGGTGTTGATGCAACAGCAGGCAGCGTATAACGGTATGGGCGGCCTACCAATGGGCATGCCAATGGGACAAATGACTCCGGCCCAGATTGCTCAGGCTCAGTTTAACCTCAGGCGAGGGATGCAGGGCGTACCTCTGAACCCTCACCTCCAACAAGTACAGCTAGGCCAACAGGGTGGGCAGGGACAACCTATGAACGTAAGGCAATCCCGACCATTCGGTGGCTTGGAGGTGCGGCCGGCACTCCCCGCCCTCTTGGCAACGAACTGGTGCTAATCAGTATCAGCAGGCGAGTATAATGGCCCAGCAGCTAGCAATCCAGCAGCAGCAGCAACAGCAGCAGATGAACCAGATGAACCATGGCGGTAACCCTAATCAACAGCAAATAAACCAGCAACACATTAACATCCAGCAAGCACAGCTCGCTGCAATGCAGGCTCAGCAGCAACAGGCTCAGCAGCAAGCACAGCAACAGGCTCAACAGCAGGCTCAGCAACAGGCAGCACAGGCACATGCGCAACAAAACCAAGGACAATCTCAACAACAACCAGGCCAGCAGCAGCAGCAAGCTCAGCAACAACAAGCTGCTCAGCAGCAACAAGCTGCTCAGCAACAGCAGCAAGCTCAGCAACAACAGCAAGCTGCTCAACAGCAGCAGGCTCAGCAGCTTCAGCAGCAGCAAGCTCAGCAAGCTCAGCAGCAGCAGCAGCAGCAACCTCAGCAGCCGGGTCAGCAACAACAGCAAGGTCAGCAACAACAGCAACAGCAGCCCGGTCAAGGTGGTCCAGGATCTAACGGGCCTGCGCCAAATCAAGGACCTAACCGCGGCCCTACCCCCCAACCGAATCAACAGCAGCAATCCCAGGTCCCTCCCCAAACTCCTCAAACGACCCAGGCCCAACAGGTTCAACTAGCTGCCCAGGTACAACAGGCGCAACAAGCCCAACAAGCCCAGCACGCCCAGCAAGCACACGCAGCTGGGATTGCCCTGATGCAGCAGAAGCGCGACAGCATGAACCTAAAAGGCGCATGCTTGCTAAAACTAATGCTGTTTAGCGAAAACCTCAGTGGACCTCCCGTAAGTCTGTTTCTGGGGATTCACCTGCACACTAGCTGACTCCATCATGTTGCAGGGACCCAAGGGCAAGGATGACCTTGGTTACTGGACCGACTTTGTCCAGCAATTCTTCTCTCAGAAAGGCATCTTCAGACACACCATGATAATAAGGGACGGCGAGGATCAGGGACAGGAGAAGCAGTACGAGATAGCATATCCTGCTCTCGCCCGATACTTCCACACACATTTCGACAGTGGTGTCAAGAACATGCATTTAATTATGGACAGGGGAACTACAGACAGATCACTGCCCAACGACTGCCACTTCATCGAGAACACGAAGGCCAGCATGGTTTATTGGTTTGAAGGCGGATCGCACGTGAGTTCAATTTCCGCGCTCGTGTCCCGAAGCGCATAACTGACGATTTCGACAGCTGGTTGCCAACGGTGTGGTTCGTGCTCAGTTTAACAACGAACAGAAGTTTGAATTGTTTGAATTCACTGCCCACAGTCACGAAGAATACATATCCAGGCGCCTGGTCATTCAGGCCGCCAGGCCAGCACATAACTGGGTCAAAGAGTGGCATAACCTAAACACACAGGACACCAAGCAGTCACCCGAGATGAGCAAGAAGGGCAAGCAAAGGCCGGTTAAGGCACCTCCAGGGCCGCCCCCGGACCTCGATCTCCCCGACTCTGCTGTCAAAAGTGATATGGGTGTTACTGAGGCTGTCTTCCAATTCCTCGAGGTAAATCCCTTTCCTCCATCTTTTCCGGGTGTGCCGCTAACCAACCCTGCTGCAGATCGTTGAAATCCTGGGCCAGATGAACCCACTGTTTAATTACTATCACACGCATCCTGGGATTGCGCCTTACACGGCGCTCGAGCAGTACATCGGCCAGGTCAGCGGTGGTCCACAGCCGAATATCAATGGGCAGCCCATACCCCAGGGCGGCGGCCCGAGGACACCCAGCTTCGGCCAATTCGCTATGGGCGCCAGTCCCGCCATGGCCAACCAGATGCTCCCCGGTTCTCCCCACATTGGTAGTCCAGCTGCAGGACAAATACAGGCGCCTATCATGCAACTTCAAGCAAGCCAGCAGGGAACAAACTCGAGCGGGCCGAGTGCAAACACATCACCGAACCAGAACAACAAGCGGAGGAGACCATCGACTGTAAAGGCCGAAGACGATGCGCCCGCATCAGCTCCAACGCCCGCAGCTGCCGGAACCCCTCAGCTGAACGGAGCCCAGGGGAAAACGAAACCGCCTACGCCACGGATAGGGGGGAAGCGAGTCAAGGGCAACCCAGCATGAAGTTGGATATCTTTCTTTACCCGGCATCTGCTGGGACGTATTCCTCTTCCGGATTCATAGCTGTGTCTTAGCGTCCTGTTGGGTTGGATTTCTCGGGCTCGAATTTTGGGACGGGACGAAACGGAGCACAGCATTTTGTTGTTCGACTACTTCATATTCTGGCCGGCGGAGCATTTGGGATCGTAGCTGCATATACCCACCCCTGCATTGAGCGTATCGCAAGGAGATGCGTTATTCCGACTCGAGGCAGATAACCAGTGGACCTAGCATCTGGTTTCTCTCCTTGGCCGCCGGGCGACCTAATAAAAAGTGGCCCAGCTCCCGAGAGCAATACGGAAGAAGCCACCGTGCTTTATCGCTAATTGAGGCACTAATGACAGTGGCCATGTCGGACGCACCAGTTGTCGGGGGTACGGCAGCACATTCAACCCTCGGGGCCGGGAGGAGGATAATCTACCCTGCCAAGCTGCTCTCCAGCGAGCAGATGTCACGGTGTCGTGTGAAGAGAAAATGTGAATAACGTTTTGTATGAGATGGCTGCTTGGGTTTTCATGCCCACGGGTGTTATTTTTGGGGGGGCTTTCTTTTTCTTTTCCCCCTTTTCAGGAGCAGGGAATGGACGGCGCGAACACGGGTTTTTGGCATTGGGGAGTCTAATACCGAAGGGCTTTTAAAGGGTATTTTTATTTGGTGTTTCGATCAGATGATGGTTTTGTCAAGGGAGGGTGGGGACTAGTTGATTGACTTACTGCCGTGTAAAATAGTGAGAACACACACTACATGCCTTTACATGTGCGTGCGTGTTTCTGGTTGTTTAGGCCTATGGGTCTTTGTGCTTTGTTACCCGGGAGTTACTTTTGTTTTCTTTTTTCCTCTTTTCAGGGGGCGGTTCATGAAGCTGTCACCCTCTCTCCAAGGTCTCGGTGCATGGCGATCTATATTTACTTGGTCTTTTTATTACACACTACTTATCGTTAACCCCATGTCGTTTGAATGGATGTGTAGGTCCCCTGGAACTGGGAACTGGTAACCTAGATGTCGGCGGCCTGACACGGGCTAGCATGAAGTTGTATTTGCTACTGATTCTTCCCGTTGTTTGTCTATGTAAGTACCTATTTTGGTCCCGAATTCCAGGGAAGAATTAATTCGAATTCTTTCTTCATGTTATTAACCTACCTTCCCCTTCGCCTTCTAGGAAATTAGAGAAGCAAAGAGGGAATGGTGGAAGGGGTTTAGTTGTCCATTCCACAGAAGCCCAAACGGAAGGTATCGAGAGTCGAGCGGTTGAGTGTGTTCAAAAGAAACGGCAAAGTCAGAGGACGGGTGAGTTTTAGACGCAAATGCCGAGTTCCATTATGTTACGCATTGTTTACTTACTTTGATACAACGAGACCCCCGGTTCCTCAGATTCGGAACCAAAAATTGGGAGGGTTACTTAATATTGCTATTAAAGTCGTGTTTTAAAGGTGGTAAAGTATACGATATATCTACCTGTGTTTGCAGGGATGTGTATCTGACTTGCTAGATATAAATTACATATCGCTGCTGTAGGAACTCCGATCAATCAGGTCAGCGCACGGGCCGCACCCGCCCAACACGTGGCGCAGGACGTGACCGCGGGCACCCTGACTGAGCGCCTTCGTGCCCCTGTAGTTCGTGATCCTTTTGGTAGACATAGAAGAATACGAGCAGCACAACCACCCCACCCTTTCGCAGCGGTTACTATAGTGACTAGCACGAATGACCTTCTCATTCCAACAGCTGCCATCGCGTTTTGGGGCAAGGATGGCAAGGGAGGTATCGATGAACCAGGAAATATAGCAATCCCTACAGTGGGTAGAAGATACCTTGACTGCTGCTAGAGACAAATCTTGGGAGTAGCAGCAATAAAATACAGTGGCTTCCGTATTACTCTCAGAGATGGGCTACTTTTGACTACGTCGTCCGGCGGCTAAGGGGAGAAAACAGGTACTATATCTGGTGGTTATCTACCTCCAGTCAGAATAACCGATCTCCTTACGATACATTTAATTCTTATTATTTTTTCTTCTGTTTACTTTTTTTCCATTTCGAGGATAACTCAATACTCGTTTAGGATGACTGTGATTAGAAGTCGAACCTGCCCTAGTTAAGTAAAAGGAGGGATTGCCGTCGTGTCGTACAATTAACTAAGGGGCACGATTCTAAGTAATTGATTCCGCTACGCATCCAATACTAATACCTCAGTTCCTGAAAATCATATATAGATGCTAGATGTTCTTGGAAGCCCATAGATGCTGTTTCATTAGCCCTCGGGCCCTAAAACAGCAATTGACATTCTTGAAAATATAACCCACTCAACAGGTCACCCCATCACCGCAGGACTCGACAAGAGACGCAAACACCTCGCAGTTGTTATATGCCTGCCCAGCTGGGGAAGTAGGTACCTAAAGTCCGCTTAAAGTATATTCCGAAAGTCTATATATCCGCTTGCTGTGAGATTTTGCTGTTTCCATGATTGTTTCAATGACTTCCTGTACCTACTCTCTACCACACTCGCTGTATGGTGCCTAGAAGTTCACCTGTCCCAAGGCAACTAACTACCAAAGCATAGATAAGGCAGGTAGAATATCTCTTTGTATTTGTCCTTGTCTTCCCATCCAACACGAGAAAGACAAAATGACATCCTGCGAGCTTCTGGACTTCATAGTGCCTATCTCCCCCCCCCGCGATTATATAGACTCAACAAAAGGGCCACGGGTCAACTCAAAACTGCCCACGGCTAGAATTTATCTCTCTCCAGTACGCAAATCTAGAGTGTAAGATTAGAAGTAGTTAGAGTTTAGGCCAACCATCAAGCTCAGACAATCACAGTTTTTGGGGGAGGAAAAAAAAAGGTAAAGGGTTTTCTTTTTGCTTTTCTTTCCAAAAGAAAAAAAAAACTACAATGCCAGGCAGCAACGACCTCCAAACACCACTTGATAACACCCTTTCGGACTTTCCCATGTCCTGATCGTCTTACCTACCTAGGTAGGCAGCATAACTGAATATTCTCTATGGCACATGGTATCTATTGAAATCACGTTTTAATTACCATCTTAAGTAGGCAAAGCACCTCCGTGAAGCTCTTGAAGAGCCCCACACACAAAAAGAAACACAATAAACAAAACAAACACATAAACCAGCACCTAGACAGGCGGGGAACTAACTGCTACAGTAGCTAGTGAGCTATATGACCGCATCATTCCGAGGGAATAATGTCTGGTTAAAGCCACTGCTTGGCTGCAGGGATGATCCAAGAACAACTGGCTGAAGGGACACAAGGAGGCCCACACTTGTACAACGGGAACAGCTGGCAGTGGGCGAGCAGAGCAACAAGACACAACTTACACAAACAGGACAGGGGTGCCTGAAGGAAACAGAGCTCATCATACACGCATGAGTCAGGAGGCAAACGCTGTATTGCTACTCCAGGAGATGCAAAACGACAGTGTCTAGAGGAGAGCGGATAGGAAAGTGGTAACTGAGCTGCCATGGAATGCGACTGCCTGCGGGTTGGGGATCGAAGAGGCCTGGGCGCCTTGGCAAAGTGGCTCCGGAGCTCTAGTGTGGCGGAGAACGGGAGGAGCAAGTGTGTAGAGCGCTCGCAGGGAATATTGATTCGTGACGCGTGAAACCAACGATGCTCCTCTTAAGAAAAAGCTTGGGCCCAAAAAAGGCTGACGTCTGGGAGATGCGGGAACCTCGCAGCCTCTCGGATGCCCAAGCTGTTACCAGCGCTACCCATCCTCATTCATCCATGCCCAGCAATAGCCCATTCTTCAAAGCAAACGCAACCAACAACACACATGTTACACACAGTCCATCCAGTACCAGCGATCGGAGCGATCAAACCATAAAAAAACCGAAACGCCGAGAGCGATCTAGGAAAGCAAGTCATTGCCTGGACAAGCGCGGCGGGGTTTAAGTAGTCTCAAAACCACCAAAAGTGTTCTCGCCCGAGTATGTGATGTAGAGGAAGCTGCGCCAAGAGTCAGTAAACGAAAGAGCTAGGAGCGCTGTCTGGGGGAAACGTACCCGTCCTCATCCTTGTGTTCCTCGTAGATGCTGCTCATCAGCGCCGCTGTAGGCGGAAGCACCTCATCGACGAAGATGAAGATGGCCTTCTCCGGCGACAGCTTGATTCGCTTTCGGATCACGTAGACGAACTGGCCTACGGTGAGATCTGCTGGTACCAGGTACTTCTTCTTATCGATAGTAGCAATGTCGCTCTTCTCGACCTTTTCGCAAATGACCTGTAGTAGACCCCAAGTTAGCGAACCTATTGGTTGATGGGAGGCGGCAGATCGCGCTGCAGCGACGACGCCCGCGAAGCTTCTAAAGAGATCTGGGCAGCCGAGCGCAGCACGCAGAAGAACACGCGCAAGAGCGGTCACGGCGACGGCGCCCGTGGGTAGAGAGGCTTACCGGAATGCGGTCGGTATATTTTTGGCGGATGCGCTCGGCCTCGGCCTTGCGCTTCTCGAAGGGGTGCTCGTCCTTAAACTTGCTTCTCATTTTGTCGGCTTGAAGGATGATGATTGTTGGTCGGGTCGTCTAGAGAATATGGTGCAGTGTAATGTCTCGCAGCGATGCTAGAAGAGAAAAGAGCGACGTTAGTTCGAGCGCAAGAAGATAAAGAAATGCGAGGCACTATCGGAGATAGAGAAAGGTTGGGGGCATACATAAGTTCTTGTGGGTGGATGATGTGTGATGAAGGAGGAAGATTGAGGTTGGAGAGAGTTGCGTATGGTTGCCGCCTTGAAGAGCGGGCGCGGAAGCTGGCGGAGGCGGGGCTGTCCAGATGACTAACAAAGTCAGGGAGCAACCCGGCCCACTTTTGGTTAGCGTGTCCCTTGTCGGTGAATCAGAAGGCCTGCTCACATGGCGTTGGTGAGGGCAGATCAGCTGGTACTGGTACTTTGCCGCCTGCGTTGGACAGCTTTGCGGTTGGTGACCAGCTCCATGACGCAGCGAAGGGTTTCGCCAAAAGTCTCTTTCTCACTTGACTTTCCACAGCCCAGGCCCGGCGTGAATCACACAAAATACACCAGCTAGAGCTAGCTGCGTTACTCTGCTGCACCTGTGCACCCATTCTAATTACTTGTACCGTTGAACCTGTGAGTGTTTGCTGGCCACCCTCACATCAGTGATCACATCAGATCACCAGCAGAAGCACAACCAACCAGGGGCCCTCTTGCGGCCAGACCGTCGATCTTCTTTTAGCCTTCTTCCAGGCTGCAGGCACCAACCAGCACCCCGCCTCGCCCGCGCTCTAGGTCCCCAGGCTTGGCTACCTCCTGAGGTGCCAAGAGCACTCCGCGACAATGGACACTTCAGTGGTACGAAGACTCCGTACCGATACAAGAAAATTGGGTACATACATATCAGGTTGCTGGAGGATCGGATCCCACCCTTTGAATGACGGCAAAGCTTTGAGCTGCAACCGCGGGACCCCATAATAAGCCATAAACCTAGCTCTAGAATTTACACGAACGTCCGATATTGACAGCTAAATCAGCTGAGAAACTACCAATGGCAATAAGCCTTTCTATTCGTGCTTCTACCAGACGGACAGCTTGCCCCCAAGCGGACTATCCCTCGGCCTACCCCGGCTCTCCGAGAGCCTATTGAAGGGGAAGTGGGCTCATGTTTGAACGAGGGGAATCGTCTGATGCGCGCCTCCCAACCTTTTCTGCCCCTGCGCAACCATACTTAAAGCTCCGTTAAGATGGCTTCTCGACGACTAGTCTTTCGCCTTTTGGCCCAGCACAAACCGCTTGGTCAATTGAGCTGCAACCAAGCAACAAACCGCTGCCGGAGCTCCCAGAGACGTCTTTCCAGCTTCGCGCACACTTCTGCCTCCCAGCACTCTTCAACGTTCTTGACAAAGTACTTTGGCTGGGCAGCTTTGAGCTTGCTCGCCGCTTCTCCCTTTTTATACAAGATGGTATGCATTCGAGTCTAGACACTCGCCAATAAGAACTCTACCTAACCCCTGCGTATACGAACAAATTTTGTTACTTCGTGTCCCCACAGACAGTTCGGCTAACTATGAGTTCCTTATCCGCAGGCTATCCCGGATAAGTTGAACCTTGATTCGCTGAGTCTCGTCGAGCGTGACCAGCAAACGAAGCGGGAAAATGCCATTACAGATGCCTCGCCGATGCGCCTCCGCATGGAGAAGTTTGTCAAGGAGAAGCAGAAGGAGATTGTGCAGGCGCTAGAGGCGGTGGACGGCTCAAAGTTCCAGGTGGACGAGTGGCAGCGGAAGGAGGGCGGCGGCGGCATCACCTGCGTGCTGCAGGACGGCAATGTGTTTGAGAAGGCGGGCGTGGGCATCAGTGTCGTGTACGGCTCGCTGCCCAAGGCGGGCATCATGAAGATGCGCGCCAACCACAAGAACCTGGTGGACGGCGAGAAGATCCCCGACAGCCTCGAGTTCTTCGCCGCCGGGCTCAGCCTCATCGTACATCCCAAGAACCCCATGGCGCCGACGGTGCATCTGAACTACCGGTACTTTGAGACAGCGAAGCCGGACGGGACGTCGGGCGCATGGTGGTTTGGGGGCGGGAGCGACCTGACGCCCAACTACATATTCGGCGAGGACGCCGTACAGTTCCACAAGTCGCTCAAGGACGCCTGCGACAGGCATAACAAGGGCTACTACCCCAGGTTCAAGAAGTGGTGCGACGAGTATTTCTACAATAAGCACCGCAATGAGAGCCGGGGGATAGGGGGTATTTTTTTCGACGACCTGGACGAGACAGTGCAGGACAAGGAGAACTTGTTTGCGTTCATCAAGGATTCACTTGACTCGTTTGCCCCGACATATACAGCCATCGTCAATAGGCGCAAAGACATGCCGTTCACAGAGGAGGAGAAGGAATGGCAGCAGATCCGGCGGGGTCGGTATGTCGAGTTCAACCTGGTGCACGACCGCGGAACCTCGTTTGGGTTGAACACGCCGGGCGCCCGGGTCGAGAGCATCTTGATGAGCCTGCCCCTGACGGCGGGATGGAAGTACATGCACGAGCCCAAGCCCGACAGCAGGGAAGCCAAACTGGTGGAGGTCTTGAAACACCCCAAGGAATGGGTATAGTGTATACCGTGTTATATATATACCTTTGAAATAATTGTAGAAATTAAACGATACGGATTACAAGCGTGGCGAAACATGTCCATACATCAGCGTGCAGGTTCATGATCGGGACCCGTTCATAATGTAGGTTTTTGTCAAACTCAATAGGTACTGCCTATATCAGCCTCTATGCAAATTTGATAGGGACATGAAGGTTGTCATTGGAGCTTCAATCATGAACCAAAGGTTGTGGTGACAACCTTCACTTTGTTGATTTTGGCCTAGTGGGGGTAGAGTCGCCTCGCCTTTCCCGCCTTCCCACCTAAAAACAGAAGTCAGTTGTCCACTGCAAACGTTTGAGCACCAAAAAGAAAAAGAAAGGAAGAATGACTCGATCTCGGGAGCTGATGGTTGACGACGCGGACTAAACCTTGGATTCTTCTGCCTCTCTAGCTTGGGATGGCACTGTCGTCCTCGTCAGCGCCCCTCCTCCCGTCACCCTGCTGTGTCCTCACGTCGCTGGTCGACACCATCGCCAGCATCCCACTGCAGCAACCTCCAGGGCTAGCACAGCAACAAGAAGCCAGAACGAACCCGCTCCGCCTCGTGCCCCTGTCGCACCGCTACCTCATCGTCACGCTGCACGTGCTGTTCCCGGGCCTGGTTCTGCCGGCGCTGGACCTTCTCGACCGCGGGCTGGTCGCTCGGGTCGTCCTCGGGCGTGTTGGCCACCACGGCTATGGCAACAACACTGTCGCTGCTGGGAGTGCGCCGCAAGAGGCGACCGCTACTGTCAAGCCAGGAGGCGGTGGCGGAGGGGTGAGAGCCCACACGACGGCACCACTACCACCGCCACTATCACTGCCACAGGAGCCAGAAAGCAACACCAACAGCAACATCAAGAAGCCAGAAGCGAGGAGAAACGAGGCACCTCAATTCTTCCTCGTCCGGTCCGCCCAGCAGCAGCAACACAACCAGCGGCGAAGACGACGCGGGGGCGGCGGCGGAATGGACGGAGCACCAACACCAGGAGCACCGCTTCCAGCAGAAGCAACGTACATGGTCCGGCTGGGCGCGTGGAACTGCACCTGCGCGGCGTTTGCGTTTGCAGCGGTGTCTGGGACGACGACTGACACGGCGACGGCGCACACCCAAAACGGCCCTGCTGCTGCTACCGAGACAGAAGCCCATGGGCCGAAGGACACCGAACTAGTAGTAGAACCAGAGGAGGCAGAGTGGTCGTTTGGGGGGATGAGTCTGGGCGGCGACACGAGCGAGGGTGAGGGTGAAGAGGGAGGCGGCGACGCGGCGCCCATGTGCAAGCACCTGCTGGCGTGCCTGTTGGGCGAGAGGTGGCAGGCTGCACTGGGGAGCTACGTTGTCGAGCGCACGGTGACGCGGGACGAGATGGCGGGCATTGTTGCCGATGTGTAGTGTAGTGCATGTAGACTTGATCGCTTTTCCAACTTGCAAGGCGTTATTTGTACCTAGTGTTATATCTGAAGACCTTTTCAAGATCTGATCTGGCGGGGGAAGCCCATGGGTCATGCAGAGGTAGAGGTCAGAGACCAGCCTTACCAGTTACTTTGCATATATCATCCTTATCCAAACCGTTACAGGACCGCGATGCGCTCGTGCATGTAGAGTCAAGTCATATGTCCCCAACTTCCTTTCTAAGCGCCATAATAGGATCGCTAATGTGCTACCACTAGTAAACATTTACCGAGCTTTTTCTCTCTGGGCAGTAGTGAGTCTATGAAGTCCTCGTACACACATGCGCCTCTGCTTCCCGGAGTCCCAGATGCCCCCCCGCCTATTTCTTCTTGTCTTTTGGCCCCTCCTTCTCTTTATCTCCGCTGGCCTCCTGAGAGTCGCCGCTGACACCGTTGGCGGGGACGTTCTCCTTCTTGTCGCCATCCTTCTTTTCGCCGTCCTTGGCTCCATTCTCGCCCTCCTTTTTGGCAGCATCCTTCTCCTCCTGCTGCTGCCTGTTTTGAATCTTATTCTCAATAAGATCGTGGAAAGCAGTGATGGCCCGGATTAGACTGCTCAAGTAGATAGCCATCATCTGGTCGTTGGTCTTGATGCTCATCGCATGGCTGAGCTCGCCATCGGCCGACGCGCCATTCACGCCAGCGCCAGACTTTGGTGTCGATAGATTTGGGAGCAGGTTGAATACATCCTGGAGGTTGCCGAGGATGGCGTGATTGACGGGGAGCGCGCCGTCGAGCACTTTTTGAAGGTAGGCTTGGATGTCACGGAGGCGGAGGTGGAGCCCTTGAAGCGATTGGAGTTGGTTGGTAATGCGAGTAGACAGCGTGCCGACCGCAACGTCGCGGATATCACGCAGCAAGTGCTCGACGCCAATCTCCTCGGCCTCTTCCGCCTCAATAATCGACGGTGTGTGGACGAATGTTTTAGATGTGGTGGTGCCGTCCTAGAGTACGGACTTGTCAGCAATTGCATCGGCCAGTGCTTGGCTTCCTAACAAAACGGACAACATACATCCTTGATTTCTTCCACAGCAAAGTAGGCATCTGTCGGCACACCGGCCTCCTTTGGCTGCACATCGATGATGACCAACAGCGGGTTCGGTGTGTAGCGTTTGAAGAGCTCGTTGATCTCAAGATCCGAGGCCCGGAGCTTAGGGCCCGAATGGTACCAGCCTATTAACTTCTCCCGGGCATTGACCTGCTTGAACATGTCGTTCATCGACTCGACGTAGTTGTGGTCGAGAAACCAGACCGACGGGTCCCTCTCGTCCTCCTCGAAGGGAACTGGAGTAGCTAGGTCAGCAACATGCCGGGCAGCCGCCAGAAGGCGATGAAATTGGTCTCCCCTCACCCGCAAAGCTGTTTGATACGCGCACATTCTTGGCGTCGTTCTGCCCTAATAGCACGCCAACCACCCGCTTGCTCTTGCTTTTGTTGGCTTCGGTGCGGTTGTAGTGATCGACGGTTGAGAGCAGGACCAACGGCGCAACCGACACGTTGCGCGTCACCAGCGACAACGTTTCTGCGGTGGTGGGAGGCATTGCGGGCGCTGCCTGATCTAGACTATTGGGTAGTGTGTGGTGGATTACGGGATCGTGCAAAATTCGGCGGGCGCGGGCTGTTGTCGAGCTCGGTATAATTCTCAGGCTGGTCGTCGTCACAGGTTTGGTTGCCTCGCCTTCGCTAGTTAGGAAGTTGACAAGCACCTAATGAGGCTAGACTAGCTCTCAGCTCACAAACGAGCTTGGGCCGCAACCTTTCCTGATTTGGCTGGCGCCCATTCTGTCTTACATAATCACTCGCTACTTGCATGCCCCAAGGTGCCTGGTTTGTTTTAGCTTCCTGTTTGAGCCCGTCAAAGGGGCCTCTGACGGAAGGCCGTCTTGGCGCGTGACTGATCGGTAGATCCGAACGTAAAAACGGGGGGTGCCCCTCTTAACTCGCCTGAATTTCTGGGGAATTTCTGGGGAAGTGTCCATCTTCCACGACGAACACACGACACAATACACGCAAAGACATATCGCGCTACCACTCACTCGCTCATAATAAAGCACCGAATTTCACACCTGTAATATTTCCAAAGTAAAATCGGAGCAGAACACAACAAGCACCGAAGTGCTCCCGCAACCATGAGACTATTCGCCTTCCTCATCGCGGCCCTGACCTTCTTCGCCGGCGTCATCGCCGTGGATATCCAGAAGTCGGTTATCATTACGTATCCGGGCAACACTCCAGACTCGGTTCTAGATCAAGCAAGGAAGGCCATTGTTGATTCGGGAGGCTTGATTACGCACGAATATCAGTTGATCAAGTAAGCTTTGCGGTGGAGCGATTTTATGGCCTCGCGATCGCATTGGCAACACAAGGGGAAGCCTATACTAATGTCCATCTAGGGGGTTTGCAGCTAAAGTCGGCGACAAAGTCCTCGAATCAGTGTCGGCATGGGGCAAAGAGTACAACGCGGTCGTGGAGGAAGATGAGATTGTGTCGTCGCTGTAACTAGAGATGTCGGGATGAATGGGCATGCTGTTGGAATGGAGACAACGCACGCTTTTTGGCCCTTTTGCCCAAGTGGTAAAACCTCTAAACTCGATGATTCGTCGTGAAAGAATGTGTTTGGAGGGCTGGATTGGCGTCGTGGTTAGAATTTCACAGCAACTCCTAGCCTAGGACCTTTGTATCTATTCAAGTATTAATTTGATCGGACTGAGCACCGTGCTGCATCATGGCCGGAAACGAAAGTAATGATAGTATTAATCCTTCGCACCCATTATTCGCGCGCTCAAGACAAGCTGAAGTTAAGTGACGCATTACGCCATTTGGCTTTTCTGTAAAGTGACAAGCCGGAAGAAATGCCCTGATCGCAAATCAGCTACGGAAATAGTACCTTAGATCCTGAGGAGAATGGGAGTTGAGAAGACAGACTTGACCTGCATAGGTAGGCGGATTGGCTTGGATGCAATATCGTGGTCTTAGCGGGAAACTTTCCAAGATCCGAATGGCCTCTACCTGCTCGCCCTAAAGTTCTTCTTTGCCAAGGGAGGTAATAGATATTGGAATTATCTTAGAGGCCTATCCACCCCCCAGAAACATTTCCTGGCCAGTTTATGCTACAATCCTTATTCTCCCCGAGCACCACGCCAACAAACCTCTCAGGGAAGGCGGCAACTCTTGGGGCCCATAGTATAGAACCCCGGAGATATCTTCGTCCTAGAAATATCGAGCAAAGGATTTCCTTGGCTGATTTATTTTCAATAAAATATTCCTACATACCGCACTAATAATCATTTACAGATTGTACTATGTATTATCTTAGTCCTAAGCCCGGGACGAGCACCTTGGACCATGTTATTCATCTTCACTTATTATCGAGCTGTTCAGTTATCGGCAACTCTCGTCATGATCAAAGGAGGGCTTGATGAATGAAATGAAAGTCGGACCAGTACTCCGTAAAATTGTCTGGGCGTCCAACCTTTCGTCCCGCGTCCAGAATTATGATGCTGCAATGCGGAGTCGGCGAAAGGGGATGATGGCAGGTTGGAGATCCATGAAACGAGAAGGCGCAATCGAAGTGTAAATGCCGAGGATATCCTTCGGTATGGAGATGCAAAGACTACCCGCGGCTGACCTCTGGACTATTGATATCTTCTCGCAAATCCCATGGGATGGCGGGGAGCGCCACTGCAGAAAGTGACGAAACCACTGAAGCGGCTCCCCAGTTCATGCACATTGCCTGCAGCCAGCAGCAGGTGGCCCGCCAGCTACCAGGCTAATTGGGGCGCACTTGGCTCAAAGCCCCTGTTACCCTTGCCGACAGGGGGCATTTGGGGCTAGCATACTGAATAACGTTTGGTACTGCGGATAAGTCGACCACAAAGGCTAGAGCTTCTTGTTGCATGAGAGCTATGCGGCTAGGTAAAGACTGGCAAAAAAAGGACCAGAACAATGCCATTCTCAAAGCACAGCTACCCAGAACAAGCTCGCTCCGCCCAAACATGAAACGCAAGAGCCCCGACTGAGCTTCCATCCTATTTAATAGTGGCCAAGCCGCCCCTCGTCTTTGTAACGTCTGTTGGCCCTTTGCAACCCCGATACGTACACCTATCCACCTTCCCATCACATACCTTACTTGGGCAGGAAGACACTGTACCACCAGCTCGAGGCAGGTAGGCACTGATCACCAAAACTCCGGCCTGTACCTTCGGCGCCACGAGCAGCACATATCGAATTCGCGACCCTGGCTCAAAAGCCTCGTCGTGCCGACTTTCACGACCATCCTACCTAGAGGGAACCCGATACCGATCGCGGGGCATCAAAGTAGTCCTACAATGACACAATACAGCTCCCAGACGCAGACCGCGCTTCTGCGATGGGTCAACACATTTGACACGCGGCGGAAGGCCGCAACGCTTCAAGACCTACAAGATGGCGTCGTGCTAGGCCAGATCCTCGAGCAGATGCTGGCGCCCGAGTTTAATAGCTCGAGCTTAGCCCAGCACCCCTCGACGCTAGAAGAAAACAAACAGAACCTCGAGACTGTCTACCGCGGCCTGGCCAGCTTCCTCCGCGACGACATACCTGCCCTTGCCCCGTCGCCCTCAAAGTTCCGCGCCATCACCGAGAACCCGGACGACAACAAGATGTGCGAGTTTCTCACTTCCTTCCTGATCGCGGCCTGTCTCGGTTCTCTATCTAAGACTTACGTCCCAAAGATCATGGAGCTCGACATTGCCGCCCAGGGCGAGATCGCCAAGATTATCGGACACATGAACCAGCTGAGAATGGAAACTGAGAGCAATAGAACGCCGTCACAGGAGGACCCAATCGATCTTCACACCTTCAGAGATCCGGATCTAATGGAGGAAGAGCTAGACCAGACCAAGAAAAATCTCGACATGGTCAAGAAACAGAATGCCGACCTCCAATCCCGCATCGACAAGCTTCTCGACTCACGGGAGGCTCTACTGCAGGATTTAAGAAATGCCCAAGATGAGCTCTCTGCCCACAAGCGCACCAGAGGGGCTGACGCAACTACGGCTATCAGAGATTTGCGCAACGAAATCCGGGAGAAGATTGTCGAGATTGACCGGTTGGAGGACATGGTTCAGAAAGAGACAGTCCGTTCGGCGAGGCTGGAGAAAGAGAACGAAGGTCTCCGCTTGAAGGCTGAACGGACAAAGGATCTGGAAGACAAGATCACCATGCTTGACCACGATACAAAACTGCAGCAACAGCATATCAAAGGCCTCGAGAACTACAGAAAAAAGGCACAAGACCTTACGGCAATACAGCAGAGAAACAGGATACTAGACGAACAGATCATCCAGCTCGAGCAGGATCTGCGAGACTTTGAAGACGTCAAAGCGCTGAACCGAAAGCTGCAGAAGGAGATTGAGGAAAAGAGCAGGGTGTTGGCCACCAACGAGCAGGAGATCATCTTTACGATCCAATCAAAGAACGTCCTCCAGGACGCCAACGAAGAGCTCAAGCGGAGAGTTGACTTTCTAGAATCGAGGCGACAGCTTGATGAAAGCAGGATCAGGGATCTCCAAGAACAACTGCAGCTCGGAGACGTAGCGCTGCCGGGATCCGAAAGCCCAGATGCCAGCACGTCCAAATTTAATCTCGAGCAGGAACTGGAGAGCACAGCGGACCCAGCCATAGCTCTGCGCCTCGAGCTCTCACGGCTCAAGGCAGAGAATAGCCTCTTGCGTAACAACATGACTGTGGCTTCCGAGAACGAACGACTGCGCACCGAGCTCGACAGCTCCAATGAAAAGGTCATTCACTATCGCCTTAAGTGCACAGAGGCCATGGAAAAGCACGCCGTAATACAGGAGCAGATTAATGCTTTAGTCAACAGCATGACGGCAGAAGGGTTAGTTGAAGGCCTCGACAATGCGTTGATGCGTCATGGACTCACTTTGCTCACATCTGGCTACTTTAGGGATTCTGTATTCATCAACATGCGGAAAGACTTTCTCGAAACCACACGAGAGGTGGAGAAGCTGCGCAAGCAGGTCCAGGACCTTGAGGCAGATGCAGCCGATAGGGAGCGAGAGCTGATACACATCAAGACTGATCGTATGCTATGCGGCTATCACACTCAAGTTGAGCACCAGCGGGACTTGGCTGATTTTGATGTCTTAGTGAACGCTATTGGAGATGAGCAGTCATCAGCCCTCGCGGCTCTCAAGTCATCAGACGAGTTAATATCGGACTCGCTTAAGACCGAGCTCGACGCGACACGTGCCCGTCTCTCCAACAAGACATTCGAGCTTGACCAGATGAAAGAGCAGCTCATGGGCGCGTTGATATCTAAGGATATGATCCGAAAGAAACTTGACGAGGCTCTAGCAGCGGCTGTGCCTAATGGACCACTCACTCCTGATGACGCTCCAAAGGGCAAGAAAGAAGATGCTGAGAAGATTGAGAAGCTAAGGGCAGCCCTCAAACAGAAAGTAGAGGCGAGTAATGATCCGTCCCCGCGCCTTGACTCACCCTACACGGCATCCCTTATAGGGTTCCCCTTTCCAGGAATATTTCTGGGCGCCTCGGGTTCTGTAGAAGACTCAAAAAAGTCTAAAGAGTCATCACGTTCTTCCTCAAACCCTTCAAGCGCACCGTCTTCTCTAAAGCGGTCTCGTATGGGGCAGTGGAACTCTGGTGGCTTTTTGAACTTCTTCCGCAAATTCAAGTGATAACATGTTCAAGCAAGCTTGTTGGAGCTGAACAAACCCATCCCGAGCATCATCTACACAAACAATGCAACAACCTTGTTTGCCCGTGATGCCGACCCTACAACCTAGAGTTTTTGGTCTTTCGGCCCACGCTAACCCGGTCTTTACCATCTCTAGCAACTCGAAAAAGCCGAGCAAGACAAGTACAGCTTGCAACGACGACTCAAAGTTGCTGAAAGCGGTGGCGCGAACGCAGAACAAAAGGTATGTTTCCTGTTGTGCAGCTGCTGATCAAAACCAAGCACGGTGGTGTCTCGTTATAACCGAAACCCTCCCTCACCCTGATACTGGTTGCTTGAGGCTAACCAGGCATTCTGGGAAAGGCCAAAAATGAACAGACAATTAAGACATTATTACGCGAAAACGCCATGATATCGACAGCATGGTATGACCTCACAGGCCGTCTGCAAACAAACAATGTCGTCCTTCAGCGGAGACATGACGCCCCAAAGAGTTGGCTGAACAAGCAGAGGCAATTGGTGAATGGTAGGCACTACCCACTCGGAAATAAACAAATCACTTTTACCGTTCTCATGATAGGAGCGGGAATATCCTTAGAGCAATAACTAACTCGCCGTTTAATCTATGATAGCCACGCCTCGGAGATAGGTGCTCGAGAACGCGTAGTTTCGTCTCGCTCTGAACCGCCTGATCGCCATTGCCGGTAGCACCTGTTCTTACTTACCTTGGTTGATACACTCGAGCATTTTCCTGTGCCTGGTTCGATGATATTCGTAGACCAGGGCAAACAGGAGCACTATGTCAGGCCTAGGCGACTATACTCATCATCACGATCAGCCTATTTCATTTGCCAGGCAGGGTATGTATTCTGGATGGACAGCATGGCAGGGGTATGTGTTATTGGCTTCTCTTTTTCATGTTATCCTCTTTTTGCATAATCAATCCGCCCCCTTTCATATTTGGTGTTGTTTTTATATAGAGACGGGATCAGGGATGTCCATGTCCTCCAAGTCCCCGGAGCTGGTTTCTTTCTTGAGTCTTGGTTTGCGTTCAGAATACCCGTCCGTTCGTCAGACATCATGACCATAAACTGTCTGTTCTTTTATACTGCTGCTTCTGCAACACTGGGGGCCGGCTTTAGGCCCTCACTCAAAAGTACTTACCTACCTACGAACCCATCTTAGCTAGACAGACGGATATATTTCTATATACCCCCTTTCAATCCCGTTCCTCTCGAATAAACAACTAGTTTTTCAATGTTTCGTCCTGTCCCTTTCGACAGAGTGTGTCTAACTAAATGTGATATGTAGCATGTCGCTTTGCAATGTCATGGATCAACATCTACCCTTCCTTGTTAACTACCCCAAGCCTAGACTGTTACAGCAAATGCAAAAGGCGGTTTTGGCTATTTTCCTACAACACTAGTACAACAACTATAGGTAGGGTAGGGGCAGTAAGTAGTAGTAGGTAAGTTAGGTTTTGGTGCGTGTTTTTGGTTGTCCATGTCTCCCCTCCCACCCGACTTACTCGTCCCTGTTCTTCTTCTCACTCCCGGACAGAGTAAAGTAACCACCTAAATACCCCAAACTCAAAATCCTATCCAGGATATCAGCTACCAGGAGGGTGATTCCCCTCCCTTCCCACTTTTTTCATTACAACAGTAGTGGCCTTGATTTCCATATCAAACATGCAGCAGGTGGCAAACCCTCGCTTCGGGAGAAGAAGGACGAACGGTCCGTAACCTCCTTGGCTTGGTTGGATCGCCTGCAAAATTACTTATCCCCTTCTCCCATTTGTCTATTAATCTCGCGGCCCAGGCAGAGTTTGGGCGTCCAACTGACAAAAGCTTCTCTTCTGTCGCCTTGGCTGATGGCGTAGCCTGGGAGAGATTGCCCCCACAGACAAAATCACAAACTACCAAGACTTGCTGAAGAAGACGACAATGTCGAGCTCCCTGGGGTCCAAGTCGCGCGCCGGGCCACCCTTCTACGAGCGGCCGGCGAGCTTGCTAAGAATGCCGGAGCCGGCGTTGCCGGCCTTGGCCTTGTCGCCGTCAAAGATGGCCAGCAGGCTCTTCCACACGGTGCCGGGTTCTTGGCTGGCGTCGATGGCCTTCCAGATGCCCGTCTTCTGGTAGTAACCCACGACGGGGGCCGTCTGCAGGTGGTACGTTGCCAGGCGCTTCTTGAGGGCCTCGGCGTTGTCGTCGCTGCGCTGGATCAGCGGCTCGCCTGTCACGTCATCCGTCATGGCCTTCTTGGGGGGGTTGAAGGTGGTGTGGTACGACCGTCCGCTCGCCGGGTGAACCAGCCGTCCCGTGATGCGCGCCACCAACAGCGCGTCGTCAATCTGCAGCTCTACGGCGTGCTGGAGTGTCTGGTTGCGCGACCGCAGCATGGCGTCGAGCCCTTCGGCCTGCGGGACGGTGCGTGGGAATCCGTCGAGGATGAACCTGCGCGTGATTTTCTTGGTTAGCCTCGACCACTCTCCTTCAGAAGCGGGGGATAGAGGGGGTAAACATACCCGCCCTTGCACTCTTGGTTGTTTTCCAGCTCCTCCTTGATCATGCCAATGACAATGTCGTCGCTGACAAGTCCGCCCTGGTCCATGATCTTCTTGGCTTCCCGTCCCAACGGCGTCTTCTTGGCTACTTGTGATCGCAGCATGTCGCCGGTGGCCTGTGTTGTCGCAAAGTTGGGTCCGAATTAGTACAACAGCACCATGCAGGTTTTGCGACGGTAGAAAAAATGCCCTCGGGCTTCCGGGGTAGAGCCAATTGACTTACCAGATGGCAGCAGGAGAACTTCTCCTTGATCTTGGGCGCTTGTGTTCCCTTGCCTGTGATTGCGCGCATTGTTAGTTGGGCAACTGCTGGTGGTGCCGATAAACGGTGCCGGGAGGTTTGCTATGTACCAGCTCCAGGGGGTCCGATGAGGATCATGCGAATCTCCTCGGACGTCGCCTTGGACGGGCTGCCGCCGGATTGCCTGGTCTCGAGAGCTTTTACGCGACCCTCAATGCCATCGATAATGCTCTGCAGGCGCTTGACTTCGTCGTCGAGGTAGCCCATCTTGACTGTGTGTACTTGTGCTGGCAGCTGCAGCGACTTCGGGGGAGCGGAAGGCGAAAAGAGACGAGGCCGAGGTCAACAGGGCGGACACGAGGCGCTGCAAAAGGAGGAGGGGGGTCAGAGATGAGGGAGAAAGTCGAGTGGGAGGAGGAGAGAAGCAATTGACCACAGGCCAGCAGGGGAAGAGAATACAGTAGAGTGGTGGAGAGAGTCGGAGGTGGAAATTTTGATGGTTTGTGCACCTATTTCGATGAGACGGGCTGGCGGTTTTTTATCCCGAGGGCGGATGGGAGCTTGCTGCAGCCGGCTAGGGTCTTGAGTTGGGTCCGCCGCAAGGAACAGGTTGCGACAACGACGTACCTTACCTTACCTATGTGCAAGTCTACAGTGTATGCGGCACATAAGTTACAAGCCTAACATGCGCCTTTTTAGGAGATATAGAAAGACACCTCTTAAACGGCCCGGGGCCATTCGAATTTGGTTTGTATAAGGCTTTTTATATAGATAATTGCGCTTCAATCCCGTTCATTGTCAGCGCTTTTGCAATTTTCCAAAGCTGGTAAAATCGGTTACGGAGTACGGAGTACGTGCATGCTTTGGCATCCGCCTGTAAGTCCCCGCCTTGTCGTACTCCTCTCCGCCGAGCTCCTCTCCGCCGAGGTACCCTCGGGACGAGCTTTCGCACGCGCAAATCATAGAGCTCCAATTGCACGCCAGCCGGCAATCCGGCTGAATGGATCCTGAGTGGGCTCCTTTTTGCAGCCCGTGGAAAGTCCCGCTGACAATCCGATCCCAAATTTATATCAACGTGGAACTTTTCAACATGCGAAAGGACTTATTGACTTGCGATTGGCCCTGAAGGTTTTCTCAGAAAGAGGTGGCAGCTGCTCGAGCCCTGATATAAAATCCTAGAGGCGTACCTTGCCCCAAGAAATTCATATCAAAGGCTTTTTTGGCCGGTTTTTCTGCCATCGCCCTCAATCGTTTCAAGTAGGTACTTCGTGAACAATTATTCAGGGATTAGACTGGGTATACGAGTAGGGGCTTTCTTTCTTGAACCTCTTTATTATGTCACTACAACAAGCTCAAGTAAAGTTTTGTTTTGTTTTATGATGAAATAATGCTCTTCACTCCTAGGTTGACGAACACCTGGGTAGAACAATCCAATCCCTGAATATTTGTTAGCAGGGGACTTTCCAAGATTGAAAGGCCTCAATCCCTTACAGCTCGTTCTCTAGTTTCCCGCCGATAAGGGTAAAAGCTATTGGAATCCCTATTTGGAATCCTAGATCCCTATCTCTTCTCCAAAAGACGTAAGAATTTTCCTGGCCGGTTTATCTGCTGGGCTATAACATTTATTCTGCCCAAGTACCACGACAACAAACATTCAGGGATTGGGAGTATCAGGACATAATGTAGTACAAACGAAAGAGTCCGTTGGGGGCTACAGGTAAAGAAAGGTACGACCGGCCCGCGCTTCGACCAGCTATGTTCCGATTCCGCCAAATTGCTTCCAATTGTTAACCAAATACCTGGCTGTTATCCAGCCTCACTGTAAAAGGAAAGACTGCATGGGGCCCGATATGTGTATATTTGCCAGGAGAACTATTTTGCTTTGGATACTGACTGTTCCTCTCGCTTTATCAACAACGCTGAAGGCCTTAGCAAGCAATATCTCGAAGTATGTGATGTTTTATGAGCCAAGCAGGACTCCCGAAACGCGTCGTGTACATGTAAATAGAGAGACTCGGGAGCCGTCCTATCTTTCCATGCCTACGTTTTCACACTCCCTGGGACGCTATCGTTCTCTCCGTCACCCCAGATATCCTTGCTCTCCTGCTCCACGGCGCGCATGGCGGTCGCCACGTCTTCCAGCTTCGCGACAACATCAAGGACGCCTTGGTTAACGCGCTGGAAGTAACGATCGTTGGCCTCGCGCCGTTTCCTCGCAAGGAGGATATCGACCTCGGTCTCCTCCTCAAGCTTCGCACCCAACCTCTCCTGCCCACCACCGCCCATTCCGCTACTACCGGGCCTGGCACTACCAGTTCCGGCCGTGCTCCGGGCCCCGCCGTCTATTGCGGCATTGGCAGCTACTATCGTGGCAGCGGCTGTGGCACCAGACTCGGCGGCTGCTTTTCCAGCACCGTCCGAGGCCGCGCCGCCACCGACTGCCGAAGCCTTTAGGTCACGCGCAGCCATCGAGGCCTCGCCTATGCCGTTGCTTGCCGTAGTCTCGATGGCGTCGTCAGCCTCGCTACGCGCCCACGCCTGGGCGAGCGCAATCTGTGCCGTGCGCAGCTCGCTCAGCTTGCGCTCGTGGTCAGGCCCAAAGACGCGCGTGCCTCCGGTGGCAGAGAGCTCCACCTCCTCCAGCGTGGCCTGCATTTCGGCCCAGAGCGCGTCCGTCCTATCAGTCGTGCGTGTCGACTCCCCACGAGTAAGCTGGGGCAAGGGCAGATTGAGATTGAGAGGGCCGCCTCGCAGCGTAGCAGCCGCGCCGACTCCTCCGCCCCGAGGCTCCACGGTTGATGGGACGGTCGAGCCTGCATCGCTCCGGCGCAAGGACCCACTACGTCCAAGTCCGGGGGCGGGCGCGGAAGACATTTGCTGAGACTGGTTCTGGTGCTGCTGTTGCTGCTGCTGACCGACACTTTGGGGGTGAGGAGCGGAAGAACTAGTAGCGGCAAGCACCAAACTGGGGAGCGAATTGTGAGAAGCCGAGGCTGGCGGCGAATTCGAATTCGAGGGATGAAGGAAGAGCGCTGGCAGATGTGCCTTGGACTTCCCCTTGCCAAGTTGAGACATGACTACATCCTGATGCGTCTGGCACCGCCGAGGATTCCTGCATCCGAGCTTTGTTGGGTTGGCAGAACCACAGGTGCTTGTATTAGGAAAGTGCCTATCGTCCGCGGTTCACAATGTGGGACATCGATTTCGGTGACATGCAATTGTCGGGGTGGAGGTGGATATCCCAATCAGCTTTAAACCGATTGAAAGCCCCGATTGATTAGTAACCAGCCACCCCCACCAAGCCAAAATTTTGGCCTCAGGCTCCAAAATCGCACCCAAATTGAGGCGCTAGGGCTTCCTCACCCTACTACAGAAACTCGAACCAGGCGAAGAAAATAAACGACTGCGAGTAACTTTCCAGACAACGAACCTCACCCAGATTACAACCAAGTCGGTATGTACCACCCCCACCACTCCTTATTGCCGAACGCCATATCCATCGAAATTGCTATCCCGACTTTCTGCGACTTGAGGAAGATTTTCGTATTTCACCGCTGACATCGTCTCCAAGCAATCATGTCTGGAGGAAAGCCCCGTGGCCTGAACGCGGCCCGCAAACTGCGCACCAACCGTCGGGATCAGAGATGGTCTGATTTGCACTATAAGAAGAGGGCTCTCGGAACTGCCTTCAAGTCCAGCCCCTTCGGTGGTTCGTCCCACGCCAAGGGAATCGTTCTCGAGAAGGTCGGAGTCGAGGCCAAGCAGCCCAACTCCGTACGTTGATCCCCTACGAAACCCTCACGAGAGCACCGCTGTGCTCTTGCCCTATTGAAAACAGAACAATCACTGACTCATAATGATGCAGGCTATCCGGAAGTGTGTGAGAGTCCAGTTGATCAAGAACGGCAAGAAGGTCACCGCTTTCGGTACGAAACCCCCCATCGACTCCAGACGAACACGATCCACTTTGGATTCGTGCGATATTATTCGATTTCTGGATTGAGTCGCTGACAATTGATGTTTAGTCCCCAATGATGGATGCCTCAACTTTGTCGATGAGAACGACGAGGTTCTCCTAGCTGGTTTCGGTCGCAAGGGCAAGGCGAAGGGTGATATCCCCGGTGTGCGGTTCAAGGGTTAGTCAAATTCTAGGCTCGCGATCTCCTGCCTCGAGGTATTCGACAGTCTCCTTGAGACAAAGCTAACCCCTATCTACAGTTGTCAAGGTTTCGGGTGTCGGTCTTCTCGCTCTGTGGAAGGAGAAGAAGGAGAAGCCCAGATCATAAATCTGGGGCGCGTGGAAAATGGTAGGGTTCGGTACGAGGAGTCTACGAGGCTTTTTTTTTCACTGGGCATTGCACTTCTGGGTTAGGGAGCCTGGACAGCTCACGGTAGATGTGGTCAAGAAAAACAGATCATTGAATCGGACAGTGTCTCCTTCCGAGGGCTCCTCTTTGTGAAGAAATTGTTTTGATCTGCGCACTCAAGCCCGTGGCTCGTCTATGTGGCGAAGATTATGTTACAGCGTTAGGTACGTTTTGGCCCTCGAAGATCAGGGCGGTCAAGAAATTTACAGGCTTCAGAAAATGCTGCCTGGGTTGATAGATACTTCCCGGGACCAGGATAAGCAGAAGAAAAATCACAAAAAATGGCACTCTCGTTCGTTTGCGAATTGAACTAGCTGGGGCACCCGGTCCTCGGTCTACATTTCTCTTCAAATGGCCCCAGCCTGGCAACCAAATAGAAATTTGCATCCAGCCAGTCGACATAGTCATCACCATTATCATCGTCGCCCATGTCAGCAGCCGCCTCCTCGGCAGGTCCCGGGAACCCGCGGTCGCCTTCGTCACTATCATCACGCCATGCATACTGCAGTGAGTGGTAGAGAAAATGGCAGACTTTGGACGGTGTTCGCAGGATTTGGCAGAGCTTCTTCGCAAGGACAGTAATTAATCCGGCTTTGGGGTCAAAGCATAATAGTACCCCCCCCCCCCCATTGAAGGGGGAAGGGAATTTAGGACTCCAAAAATCCAACATTATTAGAAGTGGGTGGATAGCTCAGCTCAGTCGTTTCTTAAGCGATCTCAAATAAACTTTTCAACGTCAATTTGAACCCATTTGTGGCTGAGGTCAACTCAGATGACTGACTGACTGACTACCCGCGCCGTGTCTTTATTTGGTCTCCAAGATTATTTACTCACTGTTTTCGATGTCTGGATGCACACGCCCAAGGTACATACCCTACCTGCCTAGCCTGACGACGATGACTCCCAGCCGTTCTCTTGAACATACTTGACCAGATAATCGGTTGCTAGTCCTAGACTAACGACACCACCGGTCAGCCAACAACCATTGACAAACCACCACCAACAATCATTGACGTTTTTCAAGTTCACCCTCTTGATCATGATGCCTAGCGTGACCAAGGCACCCCCACAGCTTCCAATGAAGAAAGCGGGTCCCGCTCCGCTGACAATTCCTGCACCGGCAAGGAACGCAACCTGGGTGACGGCGAGCCCCGTCAGGACTTGCTTAGTTTGGGCGTCGTGTTTGAGGGCAATGCTTTTGATACCAGCCTTCGCGTCGTCCTTGATGTCCATGTGCGCGTAGATCATGTCGTACAAAACCGTCCACGCTACATTGGACGCATATAACAGCCCAGCCGCAGTCAGAGCCGGTGTGTTCGACAACAGGTCGACACCAAGAGCCGGAAAGCCCATGATGGCTCCCCAGGAGAACGTCAACCCGAGCACGAACTGGGGATAGTACGTCACCCGCTTGGCAAGGGGGTACGTAGCCACGAATAACAGGCTCGGCGTAGCATAGAAGAAGCACTCGAGCGGAAACTGCAGGAGGATGCCGAGCCCGGCAAATAGCTGTGCGCTTGTAAAGACCAGGCCCTGGAACGGCGTGATAGCCTGCCGCGCGATGGGCCGCAGCCGCGTACGCGTCACGTGCGGGTCAAGGTTCCGGTCCCAGAGGTCGTTGATGGTGCACCCGGCGCCGCGCATGATCAGTGCGCCCCCGAAGAAGAGCAGCGACGTACCGATCACGGACGCTGGTGTCGTCGTTGCCATCGGCGCGGCCAGCAGGGTTGACCACAGGCACGGGAAGAAGAGGTAGTACGCCCCCGTCGGCTTGTCGATCCGCGCCAATTCAGCGTACGGCACCCATGACGCCGGCAGTAACGAGAGCAAGCCTGTCTTGGGAGGCGAGTATAGCTCGGGAACGGAACTGCTGTTACTGTCGAGGACTGAGATAGTCTCTGGTGCCGGCGCTGCCGTTGCGGAGGAGAGCCTTGCACTTGCGTGATACGCGACGCAGTGGGGAGATGGTCTAGCGCGGGTCTCGATGGCAAGAGACCGACGTGTGGAAAGCACCCGGGATCCTCGGCCGAGGGCGAAATTCGCGTTGTGAGGGACGGCGTGCCTTGAGGGCAGCCGTAGGAGAAAACGACAGCTAGACATGACTGCTCACCCGTCCACTAATCCCGGGGCTTTCCGGGAGATGCCTTCGAGGGAAAACGCAAAATGGAAGGCAAAAACAGTAGCTGTAGATTTGGCAGCGTTAGCGATGTCTCTGAATATCCTCATAAAAAAGGTTGATGCAGACTTACTTGTTAAGCCTCAGAGGCCCGCAGTTACGTGATTGCCGTTTGGTTTTTTTTTGGGTACAGGATCACCTTATAGACCTGGGAGCGTGGCTCATGATGACTTGTCCAAGTTCAAGTTTGTAGTAAGAAAATCTGATTTACGGAGTATTTATCGTTCAAAATCTCGTCTCAGCAGTCTTCTTCCTCAAATTTAAGATAGCTCATCCATTCGCGGCTTTTTTTTACAGAACGCCTCCGTCACGCCGTACAATACAGTAAATACAGTGAGGGGCATTTCGTTTGAGCACCTTTGTTGGCATTGTCCACGGGAAGCTACCAATTCCCCCCCACGTTTTCGGCAGCGCGACTTCCAACTCCACCTAAATTCGGAAATCGTGCTTCACGCTCCGCTCACCCCCACAAGTGGCGGCGCATCGTCTACCGGCTTCACCAAATCCCATGAAGCTGGCGACGTACAAGGACAACTTTGACGTCAATATTCGACATTGCACACCGATCTGAACCTGCCGCGCGCGCCGCGCGTGCCGCACCGCGCGAGTCGCCAAGATGCCGACAGCTCTGCATCCCCAAGCAAAGTTCGACCCCATTCCTCCCAACCTCGACCTGCACAACCTCGTCGAGAGGACGCAGAACTTCCAATGGGTCTTGCGCATTACCGCCGCACAGATCCGCAACATTGACTCGCAGGAGTTCGAGAAGCTGGTCTATATTCATGTCATCCATGGCGGGAAACCGCTTGTCGTCGAGAAATGGAATGATTGGTTGCCAAAGACGCTCTTCAGTGCCGAGTGGCTGGAGAGCGTCTACAATAAAAAGGGTATGCGCCTATCCCATATCCATTTGGTCTCGTATGCTTGCAAGTGGTCGGCTAACAGTTGCTCTTGCAGAGGAGAATGTCCGCGATATTGTCTCGCAAACCGACATCCCCATGACCACTGGCCACTACCTGCGATCGATGAAGCGGTTGACCAACCAATGGACCCCTACAAACTTCCGGGATGACCGCCGACAGCGGCTATATCTTAAGGACATCGACTGCCCTCCCGAGTGGTCCGAGCGCCTCCAAAAGGTGATACCTCCAAATCTCTTCTACATGAACGAAAACGTCGACGAACGAGGGCCAAGGAAGTCCGGCGACGATCTAGACTTGTTCCAGGACGCCCGTTCTGCTACTCCTGCCGGAGATCTGATGAGCAGCCTTCCTGAGCCGATGCGCGCGCAGAATCTCATGTGCTACATTGGCCACGAAGGGACATACACTCCAGCACATCGAGAAATGTGCGCCAGCTTGGGTCAAAACATCATGGTCGATGCGTCTGGCGACGAGAATGGGGAGAAGCCTGGAAGCTCAATATGGTTCATGACCGAGACCAAGGACCGTGAGGTGGTTAGGGAGTACTTTCTGTCCATGTTGGGCCACGACGTCGAGATCGAAAAGCACTTTGCCCAGATAAATGCCTGGAAGAAGGCCACCTTTCCAGTGTATATTGTCGAACAGAAGGTTGGCGACTTCATTCTGGTCCCTCCGCTAGCTCCGCATCAGGTCTGGAACCGCGGCACCAGAACTATCAAGGTGGCTTGGAACAGGACGACGGTCAAGACGCTGGAGATGGCCCTTCACGAGGCACTCCCAAAGGCCCGGCTCGTGTGCCGCGACGAACAATACAAGAACAAGGCCATTATCTACTTCACCCTCGAGAAATACTACAATGAGATGCTAGACATGGAGAAAACTGCGGGTATCGGCTTGCTTGGCTTTGGCCAGGACCTGATCCGAAACTCGACCAGAATGGAGCAGATGGCGGGCGACTTCAAAGCTCTCTTTCGGCTCTTCGCCGAAATCCTCATTTCCGAAATGTTCGCAAACAAGGAGAAGGATGTCGAGTATATCGAGTTCGACTCCTGCGTCACCTGCTCCTACTGCCGGGCCAACATCTTCAATCGTTTCCTGACATGCAAGCACTGCGTCCGCCAGCTCGTCAACGGCGACGAAGACACATACGACATCTGCATGGAGTGCTATGCAATGGGTCGATCCTGCCTTTGCGTCTCAAATCTCAGTTGGTGCGAGCAATGGCAGTGGTCTGATCTAGTCGACCGTTACGAGGAATGGCGCGCACTGATCATCAAGAACGACGGCTACGTTGATTTTGACACCTCCCCATTACCCTTGGAGCTGGCGAGGAAGAAGTCTGGCAAGAAGTCGGTGGCCCAGATCTGCCAGGAGCAGCTTCGCCGACGGCCATGGAAGGACTTGAACAAAGTCGATGAGCCCGAACAGGAAGAGATTTCAGAGCCCGAGATTAACGAGGAGGGCCGGCCGATCAAGAAGAAGTACCGTCGGAAGAAGAAGGGCGACGTTTACCGATGCCACGTTTGCTGCCACAAGGATTACACCTACAAGTTGGCATTCTGCTCCAACCCGGGCTGCAACGAAGCTTATTGCTACGGCGTGCTTTATCGGGCCTTCGACATGGAGCCGCAAGAGGTGATGCAGAATGAGCGGTGGTTCTGTCCCAAATGCAAACAAATCTGCAACTGCGGTTCGTGTCGTCGAGCGGGATGGGGCACACCCTACATCCCAAAGAACACCCTCCTAGGACACGACACTCAGCCAATTGCCGACGATCGCAGCGTTGAATCTCTCGTCGATCTTCGAGTGCACAACCTCTCCTGGCTGAAAAACGCTGGGGACGAGAGCAGGAGCTTGTCGAGCAAACGAATGAAGTGGCTGCAACAAGCAGCTGAAGCTGAAAAGGCAAAGGGATCGGGCTTAGATAACGAGGTACCGGAGCTTCCTAGCGGCGAGGAAGCTGCCAGACTTGACGCTGCCATGCAGCAGTCCATTGAAAACGGTTACAGCGACCAGAGCCAGGTTCTTGGCTACGACGCCGCAAGCCGATTTGAGGCCAACGGCTCTGCTCCTTACGACCAACAACCAAACGGCAACCAACAGGCGGCTAAGACTACCGACATATCCATCAGCCAGGATCAGTCTGAATACCCGGATCCCTCCATGTTCGCCAGCAAGAGAATGCTGGGCATGAGCTACTATGCACAGGATGATAGCCCCGACAGGATTCTCTTTGATCCCTATCAGATCCCATCCGCGGAAAGCCTGGTGGCCGATGACAAGCCCGAGATGTCTGAATATTTCAAGAAGCAGCTCCGATGGGCTAAGCGCCGGGCCCGGCATGACGACGACAATGATCCAGATTTCGTCGCATCCAATAGGAGCCACCAGAGGAAGAGACAACGATCAAGCAATGGCGCAAACCATGATGGTCAGCGGGACGGTCTAAACAATATGGACCCGGCTCTGTTTGGCGACGACACGATGATGGACGCCCCCACCGACGAGGACGCCATTCCAGCTGCTCAAATCAAACCAGAGCCTGAGAGGCCAGAAGAGGAAGACCAGTCGGCGCCGGAACCTGTCGCGGCCGTAAACCCCCAGGACCCTGGTGATCACGATCATCTTCCATATTCTCCAAATCGCCCAGCTCTTCGCCACGCACGACCTAAGGCGTCTTATTGTGATGAAGACAATGATGAAGAAGAATTTAACGACATCGTCATACCACGATCCCAGAGACCTTCTCCGGGCATCACGAATTTCAACCCGGAAAACATAGCGAAGGACCCTCTTGATCTAGCTGAGGCAGTTATCTTTGCCATGGGTAACGGCGGTGGCGTAGCCTCCGAGAAATCTGGCTCAGCGCCCGCTTCTCATAAGAAGAGAATAGGACGCCCACCTCGCCAATCAGCCGGGCGACCAATTGGCCGGCCACGGTGGTCAGAGGTTCAAGCTCAAGTCACAGATCAGCCAGTAGGAGAGACAGAAACACCCGAGAAGCTAGCAAAGCGCCGCGGCCGGCCTCCGCGCTCGGGATCGCGCCTATCCAACAATGTCGGAGCGGGTGATAAGCCCGACGCTGATGAAGAGAATTCCCCTGAAGTCGATCTTGATGCGCAGCTTGCGAAGCACCTTGATGATTTTGATGACGAAGGCGAATTCATTGAGCCGGCAATTTTGACTCCCATCTCTGAAGACTCTGCCCCCGCCAGTCCGAGGAGAAATAGACGTCCACCGTGCAGCGCACAGTCCCAGCCTCAAGCTTCGGTGTCCAAAGTAACGGTCGAGCTATCTACCAATAAGCCCTTCTTATCCATGGCCGAGCGAATGAGGCTCAAAGAGAAGAAAGCAAAGATTGCTGAGCGGAGGAATCCCGAAGAGGCATCCCCTGCTATGCTCGCAAATGAGAGCACGGAATCCCAAGAGTCGATAGAGAGTCCAACTACGAACCTGCCGGTTAGAAAAGGGGGGCCAGCACTAAGGGGCAGGGGCAGTGGCTTGCGACAAAGCGTAAGCGTAGAAGTGGTCGCGGATGAAGACTTTGATCCGAATGCAGATGAAGAGCCTGTTTCGGAGGCCGCTAGTTCGCCCCCAGCTGCCCAAGAAGACGACGAGTCCGTCTATGAGGAGCCGAACCACCCGTATCCTCCAGAGGAACAGTCGCTTCCACCAAGCCCTTCTCCACTCCCAGAGCAGGCGTCGCCATCTCCAAGCCCCACTCCCTCCAATACGGCATCGGTGTCGATAGTGCCACCACCCAAGGCCGTGTCCTCTGGCCCGACCGTTCTCAGACTTATGGATTCTGAGGACGAGGAAGAGCCATATGGATCCAAGAGTGAGTCGCGGTCGGCGTTCAAGGCCAGCGACATACACGACTCTACCGGTTCAGACTCGGACGACGATGATATCCCGGCCCGCAAGCCAACCCCTCGGAGCTTCCCTACCACAAATGGCAGTCTAGCGGGTCTCAGAGGAACAGCTTCAAGAGGCCGTGGGCGAGGCCGCGGTCGAGGCCGAGGAGGAGCAGGCGGTGAGAGAGGAAGGGGGCAGCCTGTGGCTCGACATGGAATGTCGTGATGGAACACGGATGATTGGTTTGCTTATTGCTGCCTGATACCCGGCTTTGCAGGGGCTCTATTTTCGTTTTCCTTTTGATGGATTAGTTATGGGAGTTTAGAAGGGGATTGATGAGCGGCGTTGAGTTTTACGGAGCGATACGCGTCGCTAATTTAGTATCTCTTCGTCTGCAGATTACCTTCCTGTGTCAGGCTTGGGTCATGTAGAAGTCTATGTATACAAATATTACCTTGTTTAGCGAAGTCGGCGTCTTCTTACCAGTTAGGAACAGGTCTGGCTATGAGACGATGGGCTCGACTTATACAATCTATCTCGGCAGCCATGAAGTCGGCAGTGTAAAGCTACACCTTTTCGCCGACTGGGGAGGCAAGAAAGACTCAGTTCTTATTTGCAAATATTTTTCACGCAGCATGCCGCAAGCGAAAACCCGAGCACCGCAGATCGGATCTCTCCTGCGCATCTCTCGATATCTATCGTCATCCACGCTAGTTCACTCGGTGAATATCCCACTCACTCCTTCGCAGTCTCCCCCCAGTTCGTCCATCCACATGCCAAACCAAAACATCATCGAACCCCCGCCCCCGTTTCGATTTATATCAAAGATATGGCGTGGAGGGGTTACTCAAGTGCAATGCAGTGCAACGCAGTAAGGAAGGGAGAAAAAAATCATTGGCCTTTTGATACACCGTCTTAGCTGCTCTCTTTTTCACTCATTTTCTTTCTTTTTTGGTTCCCCTTTCCCTTCCCTGTTGTCCGGGTTTCTCTGGAGGGAGATGGACGACGGGACAACGGGGGTAGGTACAGCCCGCCGGAAAAAGGAGGCAAAGACAGAGATAGGAAAGGATAGAAGGCGGAGAGGAGGGCTAGGGGGGGAGATAGAGAGACTCAGAGACCGTCGCGCATGCTCGTACCGTGCTTGCTCGCCTCCTCGGCCGCCCTCTTAGTCCGCTCCTGCAGGTCGCGCAGCGACCCCTCGCTCGTCGCCTCCTTGGCCGCCGACCGGTCCGCCTTGATACTCTCCTCGCTGTCCGACGCCAGCTCCGGCTTCCAGTGTCCCGTGCCCTGCCTCTGCTTGGCCAGTGAGTCCTGCTTGTGCTTGTCGTACTTGTCTGGGTTGGGGTCTTCTGTTGGGTTGGTTAAGCGGGCTACCGACCAATAAGAGAAGGGGGGTGAGTTGCTACGCACGCGAATTGCTCTCTTTTAGGCCGAGCCGAGTGCTCTGCATAAAGGCCCGTCTCGCAGCGACCACACTCGCCGGGCGTGCGGCGGTGGGCAGGAGGGAGAGTGTGCGCGCGGACATGGTGGTTTGCGGGTTTGCTAGGCAGGTGGTGACAAGTCGGGTTACCGGCGTAAAGTGGGAAGGAAGTTTTGGTGTTTGGTACTGGCGGGAATAATCCAATGGCTTAGAGTACGAGACTGAGATTGAGAGCAAGCAGCAAAAACCGACTCTTAAGGAGTAAGTAATTGGATGGTGGGGAGAGAGGGCATAAAGGGAAAGAGCAGGTGCCAAAGCTTGGATGTGGTTGTGGTTGGAGCTGTAAGAGCTACCGCGGTGACGTCACTACTGAAAGCCGCGGCTTCTTCGCGTCCGTCTCAGGCACTTATTACTTAGGACGCTCTGCCATGACGGGGCTTAGTGAGCTTTGATGGAGACTTGCAACGTCAATCACTCTAGGAAGATTCCAATTGAACATGATTTATGTCGGTATATTCGCCGTCGGCAGCGGACCAGCAGTCTTCGGGCTTGTGGTGAGGTTGCGGGGTTTCCCCATTGCTGCATCCCGGGCTCGAATTCCATGTGCCGCTCGGCCGTCACGGCTGCCGCCTTCGCGCTAGAGATATCAGACGGCGAGGCAGTTGCTAGGCAGGCTGTATTGGTCTATAGCACTCAAGCTATCAGGCTCGCTACTAATAAATAGTTCAGTTCCCTTAGCCTTCGTTCGCTCTGTGCACGCAGCCCACCTTGCCGGGTCATTTTCAATTCATGTTTAAAAATGACCTGGCAGCAGATGTTGAGACACATGCAAAGCTCTCCGGGACAGCAATTAATCGCAGCGGATTATTTTTCTTATTAGCAAAATAAATTCCGGTTCTGTAATGTGTACGGCATATGCGGGGCTCCCGATCATGCCCAGCCCATGCCCCGTATATGCCCGGATCTTACGCTACGCTCGGGTAGATAGCACCTGCCGGGCAACCAGTCCGTGAAATGAGCGACGACGTCTCAGGGTGTGGGGGAGGGTGCATATGTACGCCGTCAGAAACCCTTTCTTACGTGCTCCGTCCGTATGCAACTTTCAGACGGGAGGTGGGCAGATGTGCCTCGAAGCACTTGGACTAGGTTTGATGACATGAGATGACGCTCCTCCGTTCGTAGAAGAACGACGCTGCCTGCCCCGACGAGTAATAACACCAGGCTCAAACGGGCGTGGTGCAGTCTTGTCTCGAGGTTGCAGCTTTACGAGCGAACGAACAGAGGTCCGTGACTTTGACGTTCAGGAGAATCCTTCTCCTAAAAACAGATACTCGGACTTTTACTAGTGCTGCACATATGTAGAGTACATACATTACAGACGCAGTATAACGTCAATGTTATGGCCATGCACATGCCCCGTAACTATGGAATAGAGTAGATATCTTACCTACCTTGATCTTATCACCCCCGACCTGTGCAGCTGACAGAAAGAGAGTGCTTACCTTACGTTTATTGCTTTGCCTGAAACTGAACCCCTCATCCACAGAGAATCAACACTCTCTTCAATCACCCAGAGCCTGGTGCCGAAAAGGGCGTTAGCTAGTCAAGTTAGCTTCCTCGTCGGGGCGCAGTCGTCGCTCTCTCCTCCCCACCCTCCGCATTTAAAGCCGAGAAAAGCTGCTGCAGAAAAGGGGCGCCACCGCCACTAAATACCAATTCATCCGCAGCGCACACCGACATGCTTCTGCCGAGACAACCCCATCTGGGGAATTTGGTATTTTCGCTATTTTCTGATATGGATGCCTGTTATCGGCCGGGAGAGTAAGTTACGGTGAGAGAGAGACAAAAATCCTCGGCGGTCGTTGAATGTAAGGCAAAAATGCGTCCCGGGACTTGCTCGCCTTAATGGAACCAAGGGCAATAACTGAAGCTCTAAACTCCAAAAACTCCACCAGATTGCGGTAGAGAAAGATATCGAGCAACTCAAGAGTTATAGAGGCCCATGAAAAAACGGCACGGCATAGAAAGCAAGGTATGTAGCCACACATTATTCATTGCACTGACAGTGGGCACAGTCAGTTCGTAAGTGGAGGAAAGTTAGAACCGACAGTATAAGAGATACTGGAGTTAAGGAGGCTGTAATTAAGGAGGCGGTCAGATTACGGATACCTCCTCCCCTATCCGAGCCGGGAGAGAGGCATTTCAATATGCTCCGTGCCCCGTCTCCGTCGTCCGTGGATCCCTCCCTCCCTCTCCCTCCAGTGCCCCGATCAATTTTGGGAACTGATTATTTCAATGTTCCATAGTCTCTAAAATGCGGTTGTCTAACAAAAGATAAAAGGCGCATTTTGGTACGTCTTCGGGATTTCCTTTCTCCGGGTTGGCAGGATGTGGCACAGTTCAGCTACAAACACCCAAGAGGGAAGAGCTCTAAATATCTCAATCAGTAGAGTGCACCATGCTTATAACCTGCACTGCGCCGCAAGCTGGAGATAGAGCGTCCCCCGTATCCGTAAAATGGGAAAAAATGTGCAATGCCAATGCCCGGTTCTGGCTTTGTATTTCTGGGGTTTGGTGTATCTGGGCAGGAGCAACTTAGCGGCACCTGCACACCTCTTTTTTTTTTCTTGTTGGTGCATGCGGCCTATCAAAAATTTCCTTAATTCATCCCCAGCTTTCTTCAACAATGCCAAAAAGTGGGGAGCGGCGACGAAAAAGAAGCGGTGTGTTACAGTGTGCTTGCTCAAGTATCCGCTGCTGCTGCCCGATGACACCTCCATTTCAGGTGGGTCCTTTCAAAAAAATCGATAAGAAAAAGCTCAGCTGCCAGAGCAGAGTGGCCCGAGCTCGGAGTCCTTGGTTCAACCAAGAGCGGAAACAATCGGTATCGTCGCGCAGCGAGACAACCACCGAGGGAGGGAAGAGGGATCTAAAGGTTTTTAGTACAGTGTGGGGAGACAGGCTCATGACTCGGGTTCACAGCCCAGACGCACGACAGAATCTGGACAGGACAGGCACAGACAAACAAGACACAGCCCCCGTCGGGATTGGACAATGCAGGGCACTGTGCCTTCGTCCTTGTCTCCCCTTGCCCTCCCACCTCCACATGCTGTGGAACTCAAGACGCTAGCGAATGGCAGAGTTCGGATCGCCTGCCCACTCTCCTGATGAGGAACTGGTGTGGTGTGGTGTGGTGTGGTGTACCGGCGGAATACAAGCAGCGTAGAATACGTTGCACACACAGAGTCGACCGGTAGTATTTACGGTTATCAACCTGAGCTACCATGGAACCTGGAAACATGCCGTTTCTTTGCACCCGCATTGAGTGGGCGGGGCACAACCACACGCAAGGAGGGCTCGCCTCGCTTCAAACACATTGGGCATCGAGTTTCATCCAAGGGTTCCTGACATGGCTCGGATATTTTGAGGAAGCAGGAAAAACAGCGACAGCACAAGAAACCCGCAAGCTGGAGCGAGCGCACAGGAGAGGGAGAGACGACCTGAGAGAATTAGCCCCCTCCAATCAGCTCGCTGGCAGCGACTAAAATAGCTTGCTTCTCCGCCCCGCCATTGAAACGCTATTTACCAATGCTAGCCGCTCGCTAGCCTCCTTTTGCACGCACAATGGAATCCGGAGCGGATTGTCCTTATGGAGAGAAAGAGATGGCCGTTTATTTTCTTGTTTAGCCTCTGGTGAATCGGGCAGGGCAAACCCCAAAAGAACAAATGCGCTGCGCTCGTTTGAGATACGCCCCTTCCCCCCTTCCCGCGCAGGAAGAATAGGCAGTTGTTCAAAACGGAGGGGAAAATGGGATGACAGACAGGCCCGGCCGAGAATGGCATCGCATTTGCCCCCCTTTCGCCCGTGGGAACGGACTCTGAGAGTGGGGGTGCTCTCAATCTCACTCAAGCAGCATCAAAGTCGCAGTCTACAATCTAATCCCTGTATGTTTGTTGGCATGGTACTTGAGCACAATTGAAATAATAGCCCAGTAAATAAACCAGCCAGGAAACCCTTTAATAGGTCTTTTGGCGAAGAGATGGGCCTTGAGGATTCTAAAATAGGGATTCTAATAGATTTTACCTCCCTCGACGAAAAACATTTAGGGCGAGCCGTAGAGTGTTATTAAGGCCTTTTGAATCTTAGAAAGTCCCCCGCTATCAAACATTCGGGTAGGGATATGTTTGTCTGCCGGGGAGACGAAAACACCGTTATTTTGCGGCACACTGTTAAGATGACCGTTTCGCCAGCTTCATGTCACGGCAAGTGCCAAGGCAGCTGGCCGGCAAGTGCCAAGACAACTGGCTGGTAATTGGGGTGCGGGGTTGGGTTCGAAACCGAGTGGCCTGTGCGGCGCCCCAACACGTGACCCACAGACCAACCCTACTTCTTCAAGCCCCGCACAGAATTTGGAACTTCTTTTCCTTTTTCTTTTCCTTAGCTTTAGATTCTACGAATATAGCGACCTTAATGCAGCCTTGCCTCATCTAGTTGACTATGCGGTAACACAGGCGTTTATACGCCATTTAAACTGCCCCACATATCAACGATCATGTCCAGACATTTGCTTTTCACTCTGATATAGGTGAGATGATCACGAGACTGGATGCCTGCAGAAAGTGTATTTTCCACCAATGTAATGGCACAAAAAACCATCGCAAAGGAAAACCAGGCCGTTGAATGATCTGACCGATTAAACACAAAATCTGAAACCCCTAGCCCAAACCCAAGTCCATGTCGCCAGCAAAATCACCACCCCGAGCGCGCTTCCCGCAAACCCGAACAGTTGGAAACATGACTACGAAAGATTGCGCCTCTGCACTGGCTCCGGCTTCGAGAAAGCCGGGTTCCCAGGCGGCACCACGAGGAGGTTGCAGAGTTCGACTTCGCCGCCCGAGCAGCCCTGTCCTCCGCAGAGTCCAGAGCCACCCCCCAGCTGGACCCGAAGGTACTGGGGATTAAAGAGCCGACCCTCAGAACACTATCCCACCACTGCCCTTGTCAACCCACCCAACCCCTTTTGTCAAGGCGCCTAGTTACCTAGCATGGCCTTTCGGGCGACGGCTTACGCACGGCGAAACCGGGGAAGCTCGTCGAGGAGTCGGAATGGGCCATTCTCTGCGGCTATCCGTGCCTCGTTAATCACCACCTGTTTCATCCTGATGATGGCGATCCTAGCGGCACTCATCACCAGGCGAACCCAGGCGGCCGGCAAGTCAAGCAAGAGCACGGAGCCAGGCCAGACGAATAGCACGGCAGGGTAGATAACGTCGGGGTGAAAGAGGTTTGTGAAGAAAGACATCTTGAAGAAGTAGGTCGGCAAAGAAGAAAAAGAGAAGTTCAGCAATGGTTTGGCGGGGGCCGCCAAACTAAATACATTCTGGATTCCAATCGAGCTGTCGCGGTTTCCAGTTTCGTGGTTCTTTGCTTTATTATATTAGGAAAGTGTAGGGCCTCCTTTGGATCTCGGAACATCGTAAGTATGGCAGGCGCGCCGACGGATGGGAAGGTATGAAGATGAGCACACTATCCCTTCCGTACGGTTAGTGAGAATCGGTCGACGTCAATCTCATACTGATAAGAGAAAGTGGAAGCAGCGACTACTTCGTCTGAGCATACTGAAAGTTCGCCTGACTGGCCTTAACATTATGAACTTGGTATCGCGTATGGGTGGGAGAATCAAATACGCTTTAAGGTAAGCTTTGTGCTCTACTACCGAGGTCCCTCGACCCTCAAAGACTATAAAAATTTCCACTCTAACCGTTATTTTAACGCGGTTCGTTACTTCTTCCTGTCTTTCTCCCTCTATTCATCCATCCATACATCCACCACATTGTCGTCCCCAATGTATTCGGGAGAGCATCACGTCGCGTATTGGGCGATTTCCACCAGCGCTGCAGCCACACATTACGCACTGGCTTCGGGCTCCCCGATGGCTTCTTCCGTGCGCTCCTCGTTCCGTGCGCTCCTCGTCCCGTCCGCCACATACACACTCAGCACCCTCTGGAAAACACCCCGGCCGCAGCCGCAGAGTCGGATGTACGCGCCTGCCCTCTGGTGTCTTCTCGTGTCGATGGGGGAGGCCGTGGGATATGTTAATCTTGAAGGAGTCGATGTGGCACCCCTTCGGGGCGTCCTGCATACTTTCTTGGCGTTCTCTGTGCTTGCCTTTGTCGAGCCGATCAGGCTGAATGTATGCTTGACAATTTAGTGTTTTTAGTTTTGGGAATCTGGGTTTTTTAGTTGCTGACAAAAATTAACACTGCTTGCAGAGACAGGACATCAGTCCCTTTTTCCACGTCACCAACATCGTCGCTGTCTCCCCAGTTGTGCCGATAGACAGGACCATGCTCAGTTGGCTCTCGACGTTTCTCTTTTTTATGCCAATTTGGCCTTGGTCGCGGTGTTCCTCGGCGTTGTCTACGTGGTCGAGGTGGGACTTACCCGCGTCTACGGGCCGGGCATCTCGTTTGCGTCCGTCTTGACCAGCCAGCTCAGAGTCTTGGAGAGTCATTTTGGCAGCTCGGTTTTCGTCGCCACGGCTGTGATTGGGCCGCTCACGGATCTTCCGGAGACGGTTAGTCAACATCCAATCCTAATGGTTTTCATTGCATGTAGGTGTGGTGAAGCCATTGTTCGCTGACGATGAAGCGCGACAGATATTTTACCTGGTGCACCGCCGCTTGATTCCACAGTGGATAACGGTCCCAGGCCCGCCCGTTCGTGCGGGAGAGCCTTTGTTGTTGTTTGCACACAGCACCATCTTCAAAGCTGTGCTGGCATGGGCTGGGTGGCTCTGGATGCTGCGACGTGTCCCACCCGCAGACCCAACGCTTCGGGTCTGGCTATACGGGCCATGATTCGAGGGCTATGAACAGGATGGCGGCGCTGGTTCGGAACTTTTGGCACTTTTTCGGTTTGTTCAAGGGGCGTAACATGCAAACTGCCATGGCTTTAGCGGATCCCAGTATTAGCTTAGATGTCTAGGTAGGAGTATCTTGTTCAGTACAACGCCGCTGTCTTTCTAATTCAACCGTCCATAAGAAATAACGAGGCGTCCACTTGAAATTGATGGGTATCGGTGGAAATAACTAACCCCTTTTTTATTAACCATACCATTAAATTAGACTGCTTGGACTAAAAACAGAAACGCATCGATAAGAATGTCTAGGGCCTAGGGCATTACTGGAAGACACGTTACGAGATAATGAAGGGCGTATATTTGTGAAGAAGAGTGGTGCAAATAGAAATAATCGAGGCACCACAAGTATCACAATACGAGACAATGACGAACCATCTTGGAGTGAAGAGTCGTTAATAGAAATAGTAAAGCGTCTTAAATTAGTATGAACGCCCCTCCCCGCGAAAGACAAGACATCACTCCTCCTTCTTAATGAAGGCAGGGCCCACCGGCTCGGCCTTGGGGGCGGTGTTGACGGCAGAGTCTTCAGCCTCCTAGTCATAATGAAGTTAACGATTGGATAAAAGCCGTGGGGGAGGGTAGACTTGCCATAGCGGCGCGTTTCCGGCGGGCCTCAAACAGAATAGCTGTTCTCCTGAATGGCAGCCGCCGTTTCTTGAAGATTGGGGAGTTGGGCATCGCGAGGTGAAGCAAATGCTGGCCTGAGCCGTCGTGACAGGAAGTGGTGGTTGTGGGCGTCGAGATAGATGTAGAGACATACTACGAGAAGCGCGAATATCCCTTCCCGTGCTCTATCAGCGACTACAACAAGAAGTTTGGTACGCAAGACTGATCTATAACGGCACCAAGGCGTCTACGTCGACTTCTGCGCCCGCCTGTTTGCGCGCAAGGATACGTTGAGGAGGTGAGTTTTTCACTTTTTTTGAACTTTAGGTTACTGTGAAGGCAGGCATATACGAGAGTCAAGGCTGCAAATATAGAATGGCTGCATTCGTAAGTAACTAAGCTAGGGAAAGGAAAAGGAAAAAGAGAGGCCTGCGGTTCCTGCAGGCTGTGGTTTTGCGGCCGGGAGAGGGGCAATTAGGCTAGTCCCAATTGGGGAAGTGAAAGCTCGATCGGGCCGGCTAGCTATCAATTTGGCTTATCGCGAGGTCTCTTTCAGCGGTGCATAGGGTGGGAGGTCCAGTTGGGGAACGGTCCACAACCCAACAGGACCTATGGTATCGTCAGCTTCGAACGATCTTGCAATCCGGCTGAATCCTTAATCCTTTGCCCAATGGCTAGAGATGCTTGAGATTTTGTAATTCTGGCCGAACCGGAGATACACCCTTCGCTCGTCATGCATTGCTGGATGCTAAGCGCACAAGGCGCCTAATCATGTCAATAGCCCATCTCAGCCAGTCGTCAAGACGAGTGAAATGCAACTTGTAGATTGCATGCGGAGTCAGAAAGCCTGAGGGCTCTGGGCACCGAGGCAGTCAGGCAATCAGGCAATCAGGCTCAAAGGCTGCCCACTAGAAGAAATGTGGTTCAAGGGCGATTTGGGACGAAAGAGAAGGAAGGTTCTCATGCCAGCGTCACAGGCGCCAATCAGTGGCGAGCTTTTCCGTCTTTTCTCTTCTATGGCGATTCGCTGGGGTCATCGGGATCTGCGGGACGCATCCTTTGTGGCCTCTTCCATCACCCGTCTGGCCCCTCCGACGGGCCTGCCGCCTCTCCCCGTGGCATCTGGCAGCTTCTAGGTGGCTCCAGTCCAACGTCAGGAACCATGCGGGAATGGTGTAGGTACCACCAAAAACCCAGGAGACGAGCTTTGGGAAGAGTTCCCAACCCAGCCACAGTCTTGAGCGACCTTTGGCTTGCTTGCGTCGAGCGGTGCTACTGACACCTAGCATGCAAGACCGGGTTCGTCTGCTCAGCACGCTCGGCGGTCGGTCGGAAGGCCAGACAGGTCTCGTAATGTTTTAACGTGGGCGGCAGCCAGTCAAAGTGTGGGAGACAGCGGCTTCGCCACAAGGCTGTAGCGGGGCTGGATCTGCGGATGGCCACCCAGAGGCCGCTGCCCTGCACTTAATTATGCATCTTGAACCGCCTGCAGAAGCGTGCGTAACGGAACAGGCCTAGGGCCAATGGCCCTGGAGCGGGCGCCAGTTTCAGCGCCGAAGAGAAGCAGTCGCTGCGGTCGGCGGAACGCACACGGCACCAGGGCCGTCGCTCAGAAGGCGAACCGTTTCAACTAGGGCTCACCCTTTTGGTCTTTGGTCTTTAGGCAGTCGTTCGTCCTGCTACCCGTACTCCGTGCACCTCCAGGCAGTTTATAGCTTCTCGCTACCCTGGGTTGCACCAGGCGGCAAGCGATGAGACTGTCTTGTCGCTTTATGGAGGACAGTTGCTAGCGCGCACGTACTAGGGTCCAGTAGTTTCAGCGACCGTCGGGATACCACTGCCAAAAGGCAAGACGAACGCTTCTGCAACAAACCCCTCACCTGGCACCTCCGGTGCAAGCCAGCGACCGTCATTCGTAGTGTATCCGTGCAACAGTCAAGCTGTGTAGGTGCAGCCTTTGTTTCCGCCTCAATCGAGGACAGACAAGAACTAAGGAGGGACAATAGGATGGCGGGATAAAAACGCCATCACCTCATCGCATCGGGCCACATCGGGTGAGGACTGAATGAAAGCCCGGTGGGTCGGTGGGACGCCTGCGAGTGGAGAGTACCCTAACAGCGGCAACTTGCTTTGCTGTGGCTTGCTTTTCCAAAGTGCAAACGCTGGGGAGGGCTGCGGACCGTCTGGGTAGGACCGTTTTCGGCACTGGGTGTGAGTCCATGCTCAAGGCAACCCCCCCTAGCCAAAATTACACGACAACACCAGGTTCAGGTGACTAGACCGGATGCGTGTTAGACTATAATGCCACGCCCAATGGCGTTGAGGACGGCCCGCTTTTACTGTGGTCTTGCCACCCGGCTTGCAAGCGGAGTGGCCAGTGCATTGGCTCGTGAGCGTGTGTCTGGGGGTCCTGCCTCTCTCGTGCATTAGCGGGCCCCATCCGCCCTCCACCTCGTCGCTGCCCACCTCTTTTTGCCTCTTGCGATTGCGCTCTTGTCCCTCCTCCTTCGCCTCTTTCCTACTTTACCTACGGCCTTGTTCTTTCGATTCCATCCCGCCAACCTCGCCTATAGCTATCCTCCCCACGCAGCCAGACCACAACGACGACCTCCATTTCCCTTCGCCATTTGCAGATTTTCTTTTTGCTCATCGCCTTCGCTCTAACCACGGCCAAGCCCTTCTTCGACACTTTGTTGAGAGTTTCATTGCTGCAGGTTGTTATTGTTTCAAAAGTTGGGTTTTAGTGCCACGAGCTCCGCCCTCCGCAAAGCAAGCACGCCACCACATACCATCTGTCTGGACGATTTTGCCTTCAGGAGTGCAGCGATCTACTCTTTTGCCAATAACCATAATGTCTTCGTACTACTACAACGTACACCACCAGCAGCCAACACCACCGGCGGCATCGGCGGTCTCGCACAGCCATCATGGCGGCCGGAACCGGAGAGCGCCGAGGCTATCCGTCTCGCAGAACCCCCACAAGCAGTTCCGTGGTGTCAGAAGTATGAAGGAGCTCACCGAGTCGGTATCTCTAAACAGCTTCCGCATGAAGTTCGAGGCTTGCCGGTCCTTCGACCTCGAGGACGACTTGGAATTTTGCCCCGGTTTGTTGACAGAGAGCGATGTGAGTACTTGAGGCGCACATGTGATGCATTGTCGCTGAGAGCATCCGGCTTACATGTTTACTTTGCGCAAAGCTCGTCTCCATACACAGCTCATCGTCGGAGCGATCCTCATTGGCGAGTAACTCGCCACAAAGCTCGCCAACACAACAACCCACTACTGTTGCGCCGGCCTTCTCGCTTAACTCCACCTCGCCGGCGTTTATCCCGCCGCAATACCAAAGTCAACACTCGGCCTTGAAACTCCACCAACCATCGGCCACACGCACACGTAATGCCATCCCCATCATCAACCCTGCCACCGGCATCAGCATGTCGAGCCCGCCTCCATCAGTGTCGCCCGCTAGGATGCAGCAGCATATCGGTCGGCGATGGTAAGGTGTCGAACGTCTCGTTTCTGTGGCCACTTGGCGAGACCGAGGCATCTTCACCGTCGTCGCCGTTGCAATTAGGTTACACAGACCCACGTGCATTCACTCGTTAATGCAGCTGTTCATCTTGGCGGGCACCGACATCAAGTAGCAGGCATCGATATCTTTCCCCTAGCAGGCAGGGCGACAACCACAATACCGAGACCTACCAGGGTCCTAGCATCCCGGTTGGCGACACTCGACACCTCGACCTGTACAAACATCCTTAATCGACATATGCTCCTCTTTCAAGGCGGAAATTTGACATATTCAGATGGCGCGATGAAAGACGATTGATACCTCTTCGTTGTTGTTTATTCGAACTACCAAAAACTTGGTGCGGTGTTCGGCCTCGCAAGACGGAGGCTGCATTTTTCCCTAATTGGACGAACGGGCGTTTTCACGGTGGTTTTGCATCCTACCTACTAACCGCCATTATTTCTTTTGCATCGGTGCCTTACGACGGAGTTTTCCGGTTTTTGCTCTTTGCTACTTTTCGATACCATACACGGGAGTTTTGACGATTTTCTCGTCTGTCACAAAGAAGCGGCGACTTCAAATCACATGATAAAAAGTCATAACGGTCACGGGTTCACGAGTTTTATCAGAGAAAAAGAATATTGACATATAGAACAACTTGGCGATGGGGGTTTGGTCCCGTTGCGGGAAGTAGGGGGGCTTTTGCAGCCTAGTGTTCTCGACTTATGGTGGGCTACATGGGGCAATCTTTGGGAGCGGGCTGGCGAAGTTCATTGTGGTTTTGTGCTGCGAAATCACGTTTACAAAGCTGGGGTTTCTGGTCGGAACACGGGGAGTTGGTTGGTCTCTTTTCTTTTTATTTATTTCCCTTTTGGTTTCTTGTATCATGGGTAATGGTGGCTCCTGCCTACCTCCTTACTTTTTGACTCGGATTTTTTTGTTGTTCAAGGCACTGCATCTCGGATCTAGTTGGTGTGAAGGAAATACGGGGCGTGGTTGCCTTACGGATATATTGTGGTATCTCTCTTGGGCTGGCTCGGTTGGCAAAGCATCGGGACTGGGAGCTGGCGTGTTTGTTGAGTGTTTCTGTGCTCCAAGCTTTGTCGAGTCGACAGACCGACGTGTGTATGCCAAGATATGAGCTGTGATTATTGGGAACCAATTGGCAGGCGAACTTACGCCTCTTCACTCACTTCTTCCACATTGCACCGTTCAGAGTGGCATTAAAGGTTGTATGCGAAGCTGAGTCGGGGCCGATGCTAATTCGTGTTGCAGAAGAATGAACGAGTTGGGTGACCAGAGATCTACAACATACCTTGTCTATCAAGCATTATTGGTGCAGGACTTCCTGTGACACAGAGGCCTTGATAAGAAATTCCAGAGCCCTCTTTCTCCCGCTTATAAATGCCCCAGCAATGGCTTTTCCAGGCCGGTTTTATTTATTAGTATCCATATTTCGTACCCTGCTTCCATCCCAGTTCGCCGTTGACATGGAAACGTTTAGGGGTTGGACTATAAACTCTGGAGATCGAGAAAGGGGAAGGCTCGTTCAGAAATTTTGTTGCGGAAGTGAAAAAGGCCACCAGACTCAACCTAACATTTATTTACCTTCGGCTAAAACTGCGTCCTGGCAGTTTTTTCTATCATATTTCCCACCATCCGATCTCTGGGGAGACAGATAGGTTTGGCCGAAAAGAACCCTTGCGATTCCAGCATTTCACTCTTTCCCTATCGGCAATTCCCCATTCCACATGAACTGAAATTAAGACTTCGAGGAGTGGAAAGACAGGCATCCATCTTCCTACCTCTTCCTGCTGCGGTCTTCGAGTTGGAGAACGGTTGGAAAAATTATCATCTTCATTGGAACGGTCACGGATATCACATCTCCTTCACCCTGCCCTGCCGCCACATGTGAAGCTCCCACGTTTCTTCCCATCTCTTGCCGCATAAAACAGGCACAGTGCACAAGGTCTACCTTTGAACTTGGCCTACTTCTGAACTCAGCCTGCAGCATTATTTTCTTTCGCGAACACAAAACTCGCAGTCACACACACGGGCGCTGCTTGGTGTGTTATCACTAGCCGTGTTTCTCGCACAAGGAAATCTCATTTGATCTACATTTATTCGGCGAAACATTCTTCTACCACTCAAATTAGCAGACAGAGACACTGAAATCGACACCCCGAAAACCTAGTCCGGCCACCATGGCCGAGCAGGGCACCGCAGGCCCTCTCATCGTCCCTGAAGCGCCACTGGCCTCTGACAAGACAGGCGAGACCGACAAGTAAGTTCGCGCCCGCTGACAGATGTACGGAGAGGTTTGGAATGGCTAGCTGACAAGATTCATTTAAAATGGTAGCTGGCTGAAGGATCGCATCGTCAACGTCTATGTCGGGGCGGAAGAGAAGCGTTGGGCCGTCCACGAGAAGCTGCTGTCGAGCAAGTCACTCTACTTTGACCGCGTGTTCAACGGCCGCGGAGACATCAAGGGCCGCAACGAATTGCGGATGCCCACCGCAGACCCTCGTCTGTTTGCACTACTCGTCCGCTGGCTGTATGGCACTGCCTTTGCGACGTCTGGAGGCACCCGCATGTTCCGCTTCCCGCTGCCCGACGGTAAAGACATCACCGTTAGGGACTAGTATGTGTTCTTGTTGTAATTCCTTCCCCCCTCTGCTGGCCCCTCTCATGGCGCATCGCTCCCTACACATGCGCATACATATAAAACACACATATCTGTGGAAGTCACTCCTATAGTAGACGAAACAAGACACACACACGCACACACGTACACACGCACACACGCGCACACACACACACCCCTCTTAAAAACCGAGGCAGATGCTATACGCACCTGGCTAGAAACACTGACTCTAAAACCCTATAGCCTCGGCCTGTACGTGCTCGGCGGTAAGATTGACATCATCGGGGTGCGTAACGCGGTCATCAACGCGCTGTACCTGTACTGGGGGGCCGAGACGGACGAGGTGCGGTGCCCGAGCCTGCACGACGTGCAGTACGTGTTCGCGAATACGGACGCCAAGTCGCACATGCGGCGGCTAATCCTAGCGCACGCGCTGTTCTACCTGTTTGGCCGCAAGCGCCGCGGTGACGTGCTGCTCGCCGAGTGGGAGGACGTGCTCAAGGCCAACGGCGAGATCGGCTGGTCTATGATCAGTATGCTCGCTGACTGGCGTTGGGTGATGGGAATTAATGTCCCGGGTATGAAGATTAAGCCGCGACAGGACTTTCACGAGCCACTTGTCGAGGCCACCGCGCCGTCGTCGCAGGGTCAAGAGAGCGGCATGGTCAAGGGCGAGCCCGAGGAGCAGTAACAGAATACAGAGGAGAGAAGGACAGAACTGGAGAGGGAAAGGCGAGAGAACGGCCAGCGTTGTTTTTTATCTGGGAATCTTTACACCCATCTCTCTTGCTAGCTTCTTTTCTAGTTAGGCTAGGAAAGGGCAAGGAGTAAGCAGTCTTTTCCACGGCAGAATAGCGATGTCGGTAGATATATATCTCCCCGTCATCATTCTTACTCGGCCCAAAAGCGAAGAGGTTCTAGTTTCTAGGCTAGTTGCCTGCTTCTCCCCCATCCGTTTTCTCGACGGTCCGGTTGGAGGTGGCGTTAAGGACGGCCTCAGAACGGGCATGGAAAGCGATTTGGGTTTTTCTTCTTCTATTTAGAACACAATAACGCGTACGTGGCCTTGTGCCCTACGTATACACACATACATGTATGCCTGCTTAACTGCGTTCATTCAAGTGTGCGTGTCGTGATAGGTATATGCCATGTAACTTTTGTGATAGATCAAACTGTAGAAGTCCCTCTTTGAGCAGACGAAATACACAACATACATGCATACCTTTGCTTGTGCAATGACAAAGCCACATTACTGCGAGACGTACAACCAAGCCTGCATGCACGAGATTATCCCAAGGGTTCACGGACCACAAGTTACAAGTTGCCATTATGCTATGCTTTCCCATTTGTTATGCTTCGAGCCTGATTCCTGAATACCATGATACGTAAAACGGAAACCAGCTCGTGTACGATGCTGGAAATTCGAAATGCCATCGCAACTGTCCAGATATCTAACAATAAACTATTAACTTCTTTTGATTCTCGTTGAACTAGACCCCGGTAGGGTAGTAGTTTCCGTTTTTTAAATCTCTATGTGGCTGACGACTCAAAGAGCATCGACGGGTTCATGAAAAAGAAGATACCCCGATCTCGATGCATTCGTGTAAGCTGGGTACGACTAGCATTAGGCAGGCGGCGGCGTGAGGGGGCATGACTCCTGCCGTACTGTGGTCCGCCACCGCTTCCCTCGGACCCCGAAGAATATGCTCCTCGGCTTCGTCAACGAGATTGGACACGACGTCAGCAGTATCGCTGAGTCCATCATGGAGCACGCCATTGAGGAGGAGGGAGAATCTGCCGATCCGGTACCAGACCAGTCAGGGCTAGCAATCGTCGCGGATCAAGTCGTCCGCCGGACACAGGAATATGATGGCTTTGACTATGAGGCTGAGCTGGAGGATGGGACCCATTCATCAGGCAGTTATGTATGGAACTATCGTTGACCTTACCCCTGGTCGTAAACTACCGACAGAGCAAGGCATAGTTCGCAACTGCTATAATGCTAGGCTTCTATACAATACATTATATTGTCTATCCTCAAATCCTTAGTCCTCACTCGTCCTCATCTAGAATCCCGTCTAGGATCGTGGATTTCTTCTACCCCCGGGGCCGGGTCAGGGGAGCGGTGCGGCAGCTGGATGCTTCCACAACCCCAGGTCTGGATTGGCACGAGCCGTTGTATCTGCGTGCAATTCGAGGACGCTGGATGATCTCGGCCGACCTATGGTATAGGTGTTCGTGCCAAGGTTTTGCTTCACTTGTCGAGGCTTCTCACCTTGATGAAACGAGTGATGGCCTCCTTGATCATCTTCTCGTTGTATGCTTCATAGCACTCGTAGAAGGAAATGAACTCCTGTGTGCAGTCCACCATGGCCTCTATGTCGATGTTGCTCTCGGCGAGCCAGGCGGCAAAGCGCTGCACCTTGCCTAGGCGCGCATCCGTGCCCTTCCTGCCCTCGGTATTGGCACTGCCGTCCCCACCGAGTCCCGAGCTCTGGGGCGTCAAGCTCGGGGTGCCTGGTCCGGACATGCCGGTGAGAAGGGCCCGGGCTTGCGCCTGGGCCAGGGCGGCGGCGGTGGCCCCCATGCCCGAGGCGGCAGAGCCCCCGCCGCCCGCCTGGCCCGAGTTGCTGGCGGGCGGGCGTAGCACCAGGGCCAGCAGCATGGCGGTCAGGGCAATGATGTGCGGAGCGAAGAGCAGCGGCAGGTCTGTCATGTAACTATCGTTAATAATGTACCAGGCGAGGGTGACCTCGTCGGGGCTCATGCCGAAGTCGGCTTGCAGCGATGTGAGGGTGCGGTAGGGCTGGTGGACGATGAGCTGCGAGTTCATCTCCGAGATAAGGAAGAACTCGCACTCGCCCAGCTTGCTGGTGTCCCACGTGTGCAGCTCGGCAGCCCACAGCTGACGCGCCTCCTGAGCGACCATCCTGATGTGATGCGGGCACTCCTCCATCTTGCACGCTAGATACAGCGCCGTGGTCATCAGGAGATAGGGGTTCGTCCGCCGCATCTCGACGCGCGTGTAGAAGCGTTTGAGGTAAACCTGGGCTGTTGCCAGAGCCTGCTGGCGCACTCCGAGGCGCTTTCCGAGTTTCGACATCACTAGAGCGAGAGGGAAAGGGAAAAGGGGGGAGGGGCCGCGTTAGCAAGGAAGCAGCAGGATCTAGGCGGCATGGCAAGAAGGGGCGAGCATACTAGTGTTCAAGTACATGTTGACGAGGCGGATGTCGGGCAAGACGAACGTTTGTGCCAGGTTCGCGGGGTCTTCGTCCTCGAGACGCTGGCGCACCGCGGCGAGCTCATCCTTGGTGAACAGCCAGTGCTTGCGCTGCGTCGACTCCCAGAAGTTGGCCGCCATGTGTATGTGCTCCTCGGTGTCTGCAAAAGCAAAAACGATGACTCCTTTGGCGACGACAGTGGGCAGTTTTTGCGCGGGGAATGTGACGGCATATTCAGGGGTTGTATAATATTGCGAAGTCTTCTGCCTCCAAGATTGTTTTGCTGCTGTGCAGGCCAGCCAGTACCTTCAGCTAGGAGACGTCATCAAAGGTGACTCCCTCGTTGGGAAATCGACGGCGTCTGCGGGGAGAGCGGTCAGTGGCTGTCTAACATCAAAAGGCTGAGAGCGCTTCCGTCGGCTGGTCGACCACGGCTGTGGTTCGTCAGAAGGCGTTGTTTGTTGAGTGGCTGCAAGGCTAGCGAATGGGGGTGGCAGGATTTCGGGCACTTCAACCCTCCGCTTTTTTGTCCGGCTTCTGGTCGGTACTTCCTAGCGGGGGAGGTCAGACGTCGGCGTCCAAACGACCCATCACACTGTATGTCGAAGGGTCCACCGCTACCGTAAGAGAGATCAACAACCACCAAAAATACAAGTACATTTTAACAGCCGCCTACGTCAAGTTTGTACCACTGAGCCTTTTTCAGCGTGGAACAGGCAAGAAAATGCTGGAAAGACCAGAAATTCAACGGATTTATCTATTTAGATTTTTTCCAGATAATAATTCAAGTTCTTTTGGGTCGACTCGACTCATTATCGGTTGGGTCCCGATACTGAGAGACTTTGCTCTTCTGCGGCCCCGGAAACCCGCCCGGGAGCACCCTGGAGGGGGGCACCTGAAGCAACTCCATATCGTGCAATTGGACACCTCCATTTGGCCCTGTTCTGTAATTTTCTTCGTCCCTCCGCCTCGCGAACCACCATGCTGCTCTAGTCAAGGGCAGGACGCGACAACTATCACCTCTCCCACTCCCTAAGGATGCCTTATCCATAGCTTGGCCCGAAATCGCCTCGCCGCCCATTCGTTACTGTTGGCTGTTCTTATTTACCTCATCGCCCGATCCTGCAGCCTACGTCATAAGCGCGCTGGCTGCTTGCGCCCGCCAGCCCGCCTGTCGACTCGCCCGCCTGCCCCCTCCGGCCTCGGGTGCAGGTCAGATCTAGACGAGGGAGGCCATGGTAACCCGGCCCTGGGCATGAAGATTTCCGATGTGGTCTCGGAGTTGGAGGTGGAGATGGAGCAGTCGCAGAACGAGCGCGACAAGCGGGTCGAGGAGCTGTGGACGAAGCTGGATCCTGCAGGCACCGGGGAGCTTGACCTCAAAGGTCTCCAGAAGGGGCTAAGGAGGATTGATCACCGTGAGCATTTTTATTCCCTCTTCTCCGTCGCCTTTACCCGGGCGTGTCTGGCGCCTCTGTTTTGTTTGGACCGTGTTTGCTGATGGCATGCTTGCGCTTGTGCTCGTTACAGCCATGAAGAATGCCGACAACATGCTGAAGCAGATCATCAGGGCCGTCGATACGAGCGGCGACGGCAAGATCCAATACGAAGGTGGGTTCCTGTTTCCCGTCACGGGACGAGAGAGACGTTTGTGGGGAACGTGGAGAACTGAGACGATTGCACGCAGAGTTTCGCGTGTTTGTCGAGACTGCCGAGCGCCAACTCCTCGCCCTCTTCCGGTCAATTGACCGGGACCAAGACGGCCGGCTGAACAAGGAGGAGCTCCACGCCGCCTTCCAGCGCGCGGGGCTGGCAGTGCCCAAGAGGAGGTTGGCAGGATTCTTTGACGAGATCGACATGAACCGTGATGGCTACATAAGCTTTGACGAGTGGCGGTAAGCTCCCTCATCTACTTTCTAGCTCCTGTGTCTTCCTGTCGTCACAAACTTGCGAGCCGGCCTGTGACCCATTCGAGATTTAAGAATTCCGTCCGTTCTCCTCCTTCTCCCGTGGCTCGACCACTGGCACCACTCCTGGTATCGCAGGGCAAATCTTAGGTTCCTATCCTACCTCATGCTGCTGGCAGCCGCGCCAAAACATTCGGATGCCCAATTTTTTGCATTTGCATTGCCAGTCGCTTCAACAACTGGAACCCTATTGGCTGAGGATGGTCTCGTGCCTTTCTAGGACAATCGAACGGCTAACGCATTTGTTGGTTTTAGCGACTTCCTCCTATTTATGCCCGCCGACCACAATGGGTCGGCGCTCGAGGCTGCACTGTCATATTATTCGTCTATTGTCACAGTCAACGCAGAGGGAGATTCACTAGTCAGTGAGGATACACTTGAGGGACTAGGTACGACCGGCTTCCTTATTCAAGCTCTCCTTGGTTCTCTCTTGAAGCTCGCCAGCCCCGACTCGACTTCGTTTCCTCGACCGTCCCCGACATCGACATCAACACCAACATCGACCTCAGCAGACGACACTCCGCCGATAGGCACACCTCAATCGCAACCACTCTCCAGCCGAGATCTAGACATGTCAAAAAACTTGGCAGGCGGTATCACTTCCGTTTCTGCAGCCGCAGCAAAGCGATCTGCACCGTCCGCGCCCGCATCCGCTGTCTCGTCACATATTTTGTCAGATGCCACAGCCAGGGAGCCCGTCCTGCAGCTCGAAGACCCGTCACAGCCCAATATCGATATCCTGGACATATCTGACCTAGGAGAGGCTCATATGGACGTGGAAGCCAGACTGACAGATCTCCTGCCTGAACCAGGATATTTTGTTGCCGGCGCCGTATCCGGGGGTGTATCGCGAACTGCAACCGCCCCTCTTGACCGTTTAAAAGTGTACCTTCTTGTCAACACCAAGGCTTCTGCCCCTGTGGCTCTTGCCGCGGCGAAACATGGCCATCCAATTGTTGCTATTCGGGACGCAAGCAAGCCAATCGCAGACGCTGTTGCGAGCCTGTGGAAAGCCGGAGGGCTCCGCAATTTCTTTGCAGGTGAGACACACTCGGGTCAACTTTGACCCTCCATACACACCATCCACCCCTGCCGCTAAGGCGGCTCTGCTGGGCAGTGCTGATAGGTTCGCAGGGAATGGACTGAACGTCGTCAAAATTATGCCAGAGTCGGCCATTCGGGTAAGTTTTCACACTGAATATGAAGTATGTATCTTGGCCGAATATTGATGGTTTGCTTAGTTTGGCTCCTACGAAGCCTCCAAGAGGTTTCTGGCCGTATACGAGGGCCACGGAGATCCGGCGCAAATCAGTACCGTCTCCAAGTTCGTTGCTGGAGGCATGGGCGGGATGACGGCGCAGTTTTGCGTGTATCCAGTCGACACGCTCAAATTCCGGTTGCAATGCGAGACGGTCCAGGGCGGCCTCAAGGGCAATGCCCTGCTCATCCGGACAGCCCAAACCATGTGGGCAGACGGTGGGCTGCGCGCAGCCTACCGTGGCCTTGGGCTCGGCCTTATCGGCATGTTTCCTTACAGCGCCATCGACATCGGAACCTTTGAGTTTCTCAAGAAGTCGTACACACGATCCATGGCGCGGTACTACGGCATCCACGAGGAAGATGCGACGCCCGGCAATATTGCTACTGCGATCCTGGGAGCGACGTCTGGGGCTCTCGGCGCCACCGTCGTGTATCCTCTCAACGTCCTCCGGACACGACTCCAGACGCAAGGCACGGCCATGCACCCGCCTACATACACCGGCATTGCAGACGTGGCGCGCAAAACAATACAAAACGAGGGAGTGCGGGGCCTATATAAGGGGTTGACGCCGAATATTCTCAAGGTGGCCCCGGCTCTGAGCATCACCTGGGTCTGCTACGAGAACATGAAGCGCATCCTCGGCCTTCACTAACAGATAAGAGGCGCATTAACTGCTAACTCGATTGGCGATGCAGCTGGAGCCACAAACCCCTATGTGGTGAGCTGGCCTCGGCATTCGTGGCCTTATTGCGGAGGACAATTTTTGGGCATCATGGTCGGTGTCCTGGATAGGGAAGCGAGTACAGGACTGATTTTAGGAACGAGACCCCATGGCCTCAGGCGTTTGGAATGTGATCAAGGAGATACCAGCAGTAGAAGGCGGCGAAAGACCTTCTCGAGTGCAACCAACATGTACAGCAGCAGGGCGAAAAGAGGGGTTTAATGTCGAATCGTCAGCGAGCGACGCGACGCATCTTTCCAAGAGGGGATACCACCAGGCTTTACATATATTGGAGCTGACGAAACACACACGTTTCTGCAAATTGCACCATCCAGTCAATGTCGGCTGTTCGCTGTGACAGCAGCCCATGCCGAGAAGAGCATCTGCAGACGGCAGCATGCAGCCCATGGCACGGCGAGCTCTAACGGGTTACGTCTGCCACGCATGCTTCAAGTTATCAACCCATAAGCAGCTTTCTGTGAACACTGCACGATGCAGGCGTCGTGGGCTGATTCGTAAGTTGACGGGCAACGCAACGGCTAATACCCGCCCGAGCGACCCAATTACGTGCGGGTGCATACACTTTCCCTACAAAATTCATGTGCCGCTAAAAAGGCGTTCGCACATCACGAATCCCACGCCTAGCGCTTTTGCTTCGCAGCTTCCTAATACGGCACACTCTTGACCTGGACGAGAAAGCTGGCCAGGTCGATTGCCACCATGCTGCAGATGCCAGGCCAATGATTGCTCTTTCCAGATTCTTGTTTTTTGCCCCAACACCTTGAGGCGGCCAGACAACCAGCACGCCAGAAGCGAACTGGTCGAGGTAGGATCGATCCAGCCTCCTCGCCGGGGTAGCAGCAGCCCTAGAGGAATTCAACGGTTGCCTGAGTGTGCGAGGACCGGTGAGGGTGTGCGCTGCTGACGAGGCTCTTGTATGTATAATACAACCCAGGAAGGCACGCAACGCATCATCGGAATCTTTTTACCCCTCATTCCGTGTCGCTGGATGACTCCAAGCCTTGCTCTAGTTGCACGTTTCTAGACTTCAACACACAACCCCCCCCCCCCTCTCTCTCTCTCTTGCCCCTCCTCATCTCCTTTCCAAGCTTCAATCTGCGTCTCAATTCGTATGACTTTATCGTCGTCGTAGTTTGCCTATCTCATCCATCAGTTGCACCGCGCTCTTGCCGAGTGCTCATATCTGTTACAAATTTGCCACCATTGTTACACAAGTCTGGCTCAAAGAAGACAGTACCTGTAGTGTTGTACATGCACAGTATTCTTGGATAGCGGTGCACGGGTGCTTAAAGAGACAGAGGCAGTTGCAGTTGCCTTTGGACTTGGCGCGGGTTTCAGTGTTTTTGGCAGGAACACGCCAAGGCGTTTCAAAACGCCATGGCCTATCCATATTCGGACAACCTCTACTCGATGGTCGACGATGAGTCGGATATCGAGTTTGCTGACGACGATGGCCTGAATCAGCCCGAGCTCGGCAGCCAGATCGGCAGCCAGGGGACGTCCCAATATCCACAAGCTGGTCTAGAAGGCGACGGACCCGGGGAGAGCTCAGATGTCGACGACGAAGAGGCCCAAGTCCTCTCCCCAGCCGATGGGTACTTCCACGCGGCGCCTTCTGTTTCATCCCACGCGGCACCGGTTGCTGCTGCTGCTGCTGCTGCTGCTGCTGCTGCTGCTGCAACGTCATCCAATGTGCCCTACATACCGAACGTCTGGGTTGACGACCCGTCTCTCTCACAGCGGACCACGGCCGAGAGCAAGGCACGTGAGGCGGACGAGGAACGGCTAGCAAACAGAGATCCCTTTGCCGCTGCCCCGTCAGACTATTCGTTTCAGCCAGCCCCGGCTTCTAGAGCCACCTCATCGTCCATCTACTCCTCGCCGCCGTCCCGTTCGGCTCCTAGCTCGGCCTATCATCGCCCAGACTCAGCCGTCTACAACCAGGCGTCGTCGTCGTCGTCGTCGTCGTCAACGGCTTCGTACTCTCGATCGACAGCGCCATTCTACCCACCTCTTACTCCGCGTCGGGTTGCGTACAACGAGCGCTCATTCTTCTCGCCCAGGGAGGCCCCGCCCGCATATACTCCGTCGCCTACCTCACCGACGAGCTCCCGGCAAGGCAGCGACAGCTCCACGAGACCCTACGGTACCTTTCCCCAGACCATCATCCACTCACCTGAAGTCATGGGCACCTCCCAAGAATCAGAGCTTCTTTTAGCTCACGACCCTGAGAGCATGGTGGGGCATTCCGAGACACGCCCAACTGAGATAGTCCCTCTGTGGAGGGATCGTATAAAGAGACGCCTATCATCCCGGAACGTGAGAAAATGGAAAGTATTGTTGCTCGGACTGTTTGCTATTCTCATGGCAGCCGGCATTCTCACGAGTCTCATTGCCGGAATGGATCAGGTAAGTTCATTTCATCCTGTTGTAGAATCTGACCACATCCTGCTCTGGCGCATATGAATCCGCATCTATCACGACAAGTCTTGCGTCACCGACCTACGCAAGCCATGTTGCTCCTCATCTATATATCCATACATCACCTCCCAGCCCATCATCCTCACAAGCCTCAAGCCTTCTTCTCACTAGACCTCAAGCCTTCTTCTCACAATACACACGCTGATACTGCTCTCAGGGACAACGTAACAACGGGGGACTAGGACAAAATCGACCTGGCAAGAGCCCCAACGAAGATACCGGCGCCACCCCTGAGCAGCCTCACACGGGTTATCCTGAGCTTGACGATAGAAAATTTCGTTGGCAATCACCAATGTGCAAAGATACTCAGATCGAGCGTTCTACGCAAACCTTCGGCCTTTCCTTTGATGCCGATGCCGAAAAGCAATTCACTTTCCTCCAAGACGTCACCAAGGAAGGAGGCCACTATGACCATGATATCCACGTCCAAGGAACAGTCATCGTCCGCAGTACCGGGTATGGAACGCCCGGCTCGTCTGTCGTCGTCGAAACCATTGTCAACCACGACAGCCTCAACCTCATCACCGAGTGGGATGCCGAAAAGCAGCGGCTGGCCGTGCTTGTACCTCGCGGCGTCTCCTGGACTGAAACCAATTCGCGGCCCTGCATGAAGATTCAAGCCACCGTTTGGGTTCCCAGGGATGCGGTCCTGGAAAAACTCGACATCCAAACCATCCATCTCGACATCAAGCTAATGGACAACCTGTCGCTCAAAGTGTTACAAGCAACAAATCTGGCGAGTGTTGTTGGCTCTATCACCGCTGCATCCTCGGGTAGTTATTCCCATGACGAAAAACTTATTGATATCGGCTCCCCCGTCACATTCAACCTGGATTCGCGCAAAATCGAGGTAGAGACCATTTCAGCTTCGATCAGGGGATCTTGGCCATTGTATGACTATCTGGGAATTCGTACTACGTCGGGCACCATCAAAGTGTCCATCGAACCAAAGGAGGTGGACAAGGAGACCCTAAACCCAGCCGCACTTTATCTCAAGTCCTTGTCTGGGGACATCGAATTTCGGGAACCCATTTTTGCCGCAACAGAAGCCTTTTCGGCTTCACACTCTTTGGCCCATGATCAAGCTGGTTACAGACAGGCTGAAGCAACTGTACCGCCTCGGGATTACCGCGTCGAAGTCCACTCAACGAGCGGGCACTTGAAAGGCTCTGTCGCCTTCAGTTCCACTGCTTTGATCAAGTCGACAAGTGGTGGGATCAACGTCGACATGCTCCCAGTCCTCGATTCTTCGCTGGCCGAATCTGGCGGCAAGAATATCTACTTGAAGACAACGACCACCAGCGGCACCACCGATATCACGATTCTGGACCCGCTGTGGTTTGACGGTATTAAGGGGATATATGTCGATTTGCCTTCCGCGCCGTCGCCTCCTGCTCCCCCGTCTCCACCCTCGCCGCCCTCTGCCCCCTCACGACCTGCTGGAGTTCCTGGGGCCGAAGGAGAAGATCAGCCCGATTATTCTTCTATTGGAAAGATTGGTAACGATGACCCCTACTCGTCCATCTCTGGGAGGGAGAAAGAGGTACAGGAACGGGCAGAAGATGTCTCTGCTCTGCGCTGTCTCTATAGCGAGCATATCACGACTTCAGCCGACATCCGCTTGCAATACCCGGCATCGTGGGAAGGTGACATCGCGCTGGAGACGATGAGCGGGAGCCTCTCTGTATATGGTAAGGACGTCAGGATTGTCAAGTCTCGCAACGATTGGGGGGGCATTGGCAAGAGCCTTTTTGCCCGAAAGGGTGATGGGGGTGGCGGTGAAGTTTCGGCCAAGGCAACTTCTGGGAATGTGAAAATTCTGGTCGGATCTCCTTGAGCTCTCTCTTAGACCGAGAGACCCTTTCGCAGGCTTCTCGGTTCAATTCATGTTTAACGAATGCCGTGCGTTTGAATTTAGCTGGTAGGACCAGGAAGAGAAGATATTTACAAGAAGCTAGAGGGTGCGGTGGGGAATGCTATGCCATCGACGACTTTCTTTTTTGGATGGAGTCCATGCGGTCCTTGCGGACTTGAATACGGCCACATCAGCGATATCTTTTCTCTCGTTTCTACTTTTAGTTATTTCAGTTTAGCAGACGAATTTTAAAGAATATCTCTTGGCAGGCGGAGCTTTCTTTTTTCGGGGACGTGTCACCCAACTATACGGTTTTACCTTATATATCAGTATTTTGGTAGAGCAGATAAGCAACTGTTGCTTTCGGCCACAGAGTCGTCCAAGAAGCACAAGACTCCCAAGCAGGGGAAGAGGCGTGACGAGCTGCGCTCGGATCCAGACTAGCAGCCTGGTTCCATTGCGTCTACTCCTGGTGCACCGCCTACCACTCCCGGTGGCGATGTTTCGGCCGATACCCCTCTGACAAATAAGCCAGTATCACGTCAAAGTATTGAGACCGGACGAGCAGCTGATCCAGTTGATATGTATCTCCACCGATTATGCCAGTTGGAAACCTTGGATTCTTCGTTTTCACATAGGTATGCGCCGAGGGGGGCTTAGAGTACCTGCCCTAGCCAGTTCTTTTATCAGCAACATTTAACGTGTAAAAAAAGTTGCCCTTAAATGTGCCCAAATCCGTCAATACATGCCTACCTAGTAAAATTTCCCCAACTACGACCTTGCCATGACTTCTCTCCTCTTTTCCCTCGCAATCCGTTGTCAATATTGGTTATTTCGATTGCGTCGCAAACTCCCTATTTCCGTGACAGCGGTATATTCCATATCATTTTAGTTAGGAAATTATATCTGATGTTAACATGCTGCCATACACCTGCGCCCGATGCCCGTTTCATTATTTTAGTATTATGCGTAGCCAGTCAGCCACTATGCCATTGTGTGTGCGCCACTGTTTACGGGATCAATAAAGTCCGTGGCCCGTTGAGTAGCTGGCGTACGTACTTGGTCCTTAGTGGGTAGTAGTTAACCCACGCCCGTGACTACTAATCTCTTCTCCCTCTTTCCATGGCGTATGAAGTTATGCTTGTATTTATTTTTCTTCCAGCTGCCAGTCTTGGGCCGTTCAAACTGGGGATTATATATATTTTCATGTTCTTTACTGGGGTACCGTAGGAGATACTTGAGATGGGCATCAATCAATATCGTGACAATCTCGTAGCTATATTTTATTCTAGTATTTAGTCTTTCGCCGTTTTGAACGAAAGAGAAATAAACTGAGGGGAGTGGGGAGTAGGCAGGCAAGGTTGTATCACCTCATAACACGCCGGCTTCGGTTTTTTACTCCTCAGCAGACGCCCACTAGCTGACAAGCTGATAGTGGAAGATGTACTCGCGCGTCACGCAGTATCAGCACCGCTCGGTCCTGAGGCGGCGTTCCCGTGTGAAAACAACCTGGCGCCGCGGCTGTGAAGGGCAGAAGAAGAACCACCGCCCCCCGTTGACCTGCATCGGTGTCTCGCAGCGGCGCTCCAACTGAGCGCACCTCTGCACCTCTGGCTGCCCGAGTGTTGTCCTCTGGCAGAGGGTGCAGATGAAGGCATTGGTGATTCTGCGACACACGGTCTCCTTTTCACGCGTGGTGGTAGGAGATGATGATGATGTTGTTGTTGCTGTCTGTGGGTCTGGTAGTGGGAACAAGGAGAAATTGGCCAGAGGAGTTTATCAGGGGTTGGAGGTGGTGGGAGAATGGGGGCTGTATGAGGTCTCGAGATATATTTGGTTGACCTATGAGATTTGGTAGGTTTGGTTTCCGCCTGAGCCTTCCGCAATCTGGCTTTCTCAGCTACAGTATCGGAGATGGTAACTATTGGAGGTTACGGCAAGATTTAAAGGTGAAGATGTATTGTGCCCGTTTAGTTCAATCTCTAAATGTTTACTGCTTCTTAAATTGCGGTAGATCTGAAAAGTTGTTCTGAGAGACAGCAGAAGCTTTTCTTGGCCAGTTTATTTACCATAATCCGTATTCTTCCCAGGCAAGCCAAGAACCATGGAGGGATTGGACTTGGGGAATTGACCAGTCCCTTTTTATTTGGAGACTGACGTACATCTGATCCAAGACCTATCAGCGTTGGAAGTCTGTAAGAAGTGCCTGAAACCACAAGGGAGCTTCACGGCTATTTTAGCACAACAGCAGCTACTTTCTGGAAGACTCGTCTTGTCACTTTGCGTGGGCTCGAAAATTGGTTGAACAAAGCTCCTTCTCTGAGTACCGTATGTACCTGAACAAAAGCATAGTTAAGGTAAGTTTGTTGTTTGCTTGGGCGTGCCTTTGAAAAAGAAAACTCTCTGAAGACCAATAGCCTATAAGCTTTTGAATTTTTGGTCATATAAACCCCTGAAGAATCTCTTAATGTAAGAATCTGCATCTCGAGTGAAGATGCTATATGTTATTTATTTGGCGATCGAGCGACGATCTAGAAACAGACAAAGAAAACCCCCAAGAGGAAGCACAGTCAAAGAAAATTAACATCGACAAAGACTGAATGCCCCGAGGCATCTCTATATCACCGGATACACATCATTCTTCAGACACATTTAACAAAATGTGCAACCTCATCTACGCCCTCTTTTCGGAGTGTAGCCCAAAATCTACCAAAACACACACGCCTGCCCGCTGGTGACGGGCCTACCAGAGGACCACGCCAGCAACTACATCAATCGGCCAAAACTCTTACCAGACACGGAGAACAAGGCCCCCGTGAGAAGTCTCGGGTGCCCAAACGCGAGGTATGCTTCAAGGCCGGTGGCTAGCATGTGTGGTGACTGCAAGAAACGGGAGGCTTCTGGCGTAAGTAAACCCTTGTCCTCTGAAAGTTCCAGAACATCTTGCCTGACGACGGTCGCCGAGAGTAAAGAAGAATGAGCCGTAGGTGTGAGAGAGAATGGTCACTAAGCTGAGGTGACGGTGAGACGAGAGTCACCGGGTTCTATTGTCAGCTAGAGTTCTTTCCAGTAGTAGCGTATTTCTGAATGAAATTGTCTTCATTGTTTGCTTCATGTTTTGTATCCCATATACTATTTCATTTTCGAGTTCCAGTTCTCTGGCATGCCTAGGTAGTTTGAGGCAGGAAGACTCGAAAATGATGTATAAAAAACTGTGTGTTTATTGCATCTTGAACAGCCTGTGACAGTATCCTCACATTTGTCACCGTGTGAAAGTCTTATGCGAACGGCCTGGGCACTGAGAAATGTTGCCAGAGCTGTTGCCGGTGCTTTCAAGCCTTTCCCCGCCGCCCTCCTTGCACAGCTCGACCTTTTCATCTTGAATGTGCGATGAACCGGTCCGCTAGATTTCTGCGAACACGTCACACAGTGCCGGCACCTTCCATTCTTTCTTCTCTCATCTCAACACCGCACTCCAGGTCCACGCGTGCGACCCCGGGCACCCGGTTTCATTTCCGTCTTCTGTTCGCTCACCACAATGTTTTCCTCGAGTACGTGGTTTCGGTCTGCGAAGACGCGCCCTCGAGTCACCTTCATTTCTCTCCCGGCGTTTTGCTGCGCCGAATATGCCTGCTAACTCGACGGCCAGGTCGCACTTCGCGGAACTTGACCATGCAGTCGATCGAGGAGATGGAGGGCATCCTCGGGGATGTGACCAGTCAGTGGGACCCTAAAAATGACCTGCAAGGTCACCGCCGTACGACTCGCACGCTGAAATTAGGTATAGGAGGGACCGACTTCCCCATGGTTAGGCCTCGCCGTACCACATCGGACAGAGGCGTTCCTGGGGGCTACCCACAACCTCCTCCATTCCGTGAGTCTTGCGATGCCGAGGCGACCCCGAAGCAAGCACGAATGTAGTGATGCTAATAAATTCAAGCAGGCCACAACTGGTCCAGTCCCAATCGACGGTCAGCGCGCGGTGCTGTCGATCCGAGACGAGTCAATCGCGCAGCCCCTGGTTACCCGGCGCCGCCGGTGGGATCAAGACCCAGACCTGACATCCCCCCCATGGCAACCTCGGCGCCTCCTGTGCCGCGCATCTGCCCCCGTGTCGAGTACCAGGAACGACGACGAAATGTCTCCGAGGCATCGGTATATGCAGAGGGCCGAGGTGAATAAGGGCCCCCTTAGCCCGAGGAGAAAGCGATATTCCTGGGCTAACAGACAACCTATAGGCAGAATAATTCCGAGACTCGACACCCCAGCCTCACAATTTGGATATGTGTCAATGATGAACCCGTACGAGGCGGCTGTGGCGACGAGTAAGGAGACATAGGAACAAACTGGCCAGAAAGAGACAAGGAGGGGCTAACAACAAGCAAAGACATGAACCCCAGAATCGAGAAACCGCAGAGAAACCCGCAGAACATGTCACAGAACAATTTGCAAACCAATCCGCAGGTCAACTCCGCGATCAAGATGCCGCAGGACAAGCTGCAGGACAATACTCATACCAGCAGTCCCGAGGAGCTCCCAGCCTTTGACCCTACAGTCATGTCTCCAGACCAGGCGGCGGTCGCACTAGCGGATCGACGACGGCTGACTATCTTCGTTGACCGAGGCATTGAGAGCCCCGACAACCTCGCCGACCAGGTGGCGGCATTTGCCATCTCGCCGCCGCCGTTCGGCGGCTCGAGAGAGAAGGGAGAGGACACGACCCAAGGTACAAAGGAGAGAGAGAAATAGGCACAACGGCATGGCATGCCAAAACTTGAGAGTCCTTGATTCTTGTGGGCCCTGGGGCATCATTCGAGTGCGAGACTCTGCATTACCGAGTCTAATGCACCACGAATCTTTGCGCTGAACCGCGAGGGCTGTACATAACAGGAATGAAGAACGAGCGGAAATTCAGTGCTGAGAGAAAAAAGAAGGGAGGAACTTGGGAAGCTGGTTGCCGTGCCGCGGGTGGTTGCAGCGAAGCGACGAGAGTCTTTGGACCGAACGTCGAGAAGATGAACATTGACAGGATCGGCCAGACTTTGATCCCGCGCCTGATATTCCATGAAATGATGCACTCGGTGTGCTACGGCCTCAATGACCACGATACGGACGGCATGGGAATGGCGGGCTGGCAGTACTGCATGAAGCTGAAGAAGGGCGCGGGCGCGACTGGCGCCGAGTCGCTGGCGTACTTTAGACTGTGGGCGGCGGCTTCACCATGCACCGCAGCTGGGACAACACAAGGGCCCTCCCACTGGGAACAATATGTATTGTATGCACAATGTCAAGCAAGGAATTGAAACGGGAATGGACGGAATAAGATGCACGACTCGGGGGCGGTAATAACCTATGCACCCAGAGAGTTGGGTTGTTGGTCGTCGACCTGGCCGTGAACTTGAAGTGTCGTTGTCGTTCTGCCGAGACATTGAACTTCGGCTAAACTTCCATGTCTAGAGTCTAAGATCCTGAGCCCAGTCCCCTGGCGGCGCCATGACTTGCATCTATTGAGCGAGGGGTATCTGTATCCGGAGGTTGGCAGGGGTCCACCACCTGCCTCCCCGCTGTCCTGTCCAATGAGTCTCCCCAGGGCCCCATTCCAGAGGTGGGGCAGCCGGTAGCTCCCCACTTTATCTTGGGGAAGGCCCCAGGTGGGCAAGCTAACGGCCTGCAGCTGCTGGGTGCCAACCTAACTCAGCCAGCCGATGCGATCCTAGGGCTTTGTAGGCGGTTCTAGAGTGGCACGCACTGGCTGGCGTCTCCCCATCCATCCATCTATCCATCCCTTAATGCTTGGGGATGAAGTCAACCTCAACCTCGTACCCGATCTCTCTTGACTCGAGCCAGCACCCAGAATCCGGACCTCCTGCCGTGTGCGAAGAGGGCATTTAGCTCTCAAACTGTTTCAGTCTCACTCGCAGCGACATTGAAATACCTCGACTGGTCAAGCGAAACGCGATACATAGATAGCTCTGCGAAACGCCCCCTCCCCCGCTGCGCGCGAGACGGCGCCAATTCTGTCGAGTACCTCCACTGCGCATGATAACCGTCTACTGCACTCCGTCCGCGACATGGCCAAGAAAGCGCGCCAGAGGATAAGCTATGGTGCGTCTTCTTTTTTCAAGTCCTCGGGCTTTCTGTCTTTTTTTTTGTGCCTGTCCCCTATCAGAGCCCCTTTTCCTGTCTCGGCCATGTAGTCGTGTAACCCATCACCCGCATGTTTTATTGCTTTCTTGCCGTCGCTCCTGTGATATCAACAGAAGGCGCTTAGAACCGGACTACATACCTTAAATGTTCGCTGCCTCCGTATTGTCAACATGGTTGAGCCTCCAGCTGATGCGCCTACGCCCTGTGTTAGTTCTCGAGCTCCCCAACTCCTCGCCAGGCGGCCACCGGCTTGGCGTCAATGGCTTAGCCGTCGACCGCGACAACGCCGTCCTGTGAGCTGCCCCAGAAGCCCCCAATTACGATCTCGAGCTTGGCACTACGCTGCTTGCGCAACATGTAGCTCGGGAATCGCTCTTTGTGCTCCTGGGCTGGCCTCTTGCTGACCGACTGCCACAGCTACTCAGGCGGTCGTGATGGCGTCATCTGCGCCTGGAACCTGAACCACGAACTCGTCGCCTCCCCCGCCGGAAGCCACTCCGCTGCCGTTGACGCGCCGGCCCACACGAATGGCAGGCCGAGGCACATGACACGGTTCCGCGCCCAGACACAGGCGCATACTCACTGGATCAACGACATTGTTCTCGCCCAGCATCACAATGCCGTCGTATCGGCTTCGTCCGACCTACTCATCAAGCTATGGCGGCCACTTGCTCATAACGCGCAGGAGCCTGCCACCATTGGCCAGCACGCCGACTACGTCAAGTGCGTTGCGACACCCAACCAGTCCACCAACTGGGTCGCCTCGGGCGGCCTTGACCGCAAGATTTATCTGTGGGACCTGGCGGGGGGTGGCCAGACGCTCCAGATTGACGTCAGCGGCGAGGAGGTGACAGAGAAGGGCAGCGTCTATGCCCTTGGTGTCAACGCCGGCATTTTGGCCAGTGGCGGTCCCGAGAGTATTGTCCGGCTGTGGGATCCCAAGACGGGCAAGCGTATCACCAAATTCGTCGGCCACACGGACAACATCCGCGCCATCCTGGTGAATGACTCGGGCGACATGGTCATGACGGCGAGCTCGGACCAGACGGTCAAAGTCTGGAGCGTCACAGCCGGCCGGTGCATGCACACGTTGACCATGCATAACGACAGCGTGTGGTCCCTCTTCTCGGACGATCCCGAACTCGGCATCTTCTACAGCAGCGACCGCTCCGGCCTGGTGGTGAAGACGGACGTTCGAGGAACTCTGGGGGAGATGGATGATGGTCTATCCTTGGCGGTTGCCCAGGAGAATGACGGCGTCAGCAAAGTGGTGGCCTGCGGCGACAGCATGTGGACGGCAACTGCGCGCTCGTCCATCAACCGATGGGCCAACATTGACACGCTTGCGGATATCCAGCTGCCCGAAGTCTTCAGGCAGCACCGTGCCTCTATCGCGACGACCCGGAGCAGGGAGAGCTCAATCCCATCTCTTCCAGTCCCCTCACCTCCGCTAAACGGGTCTGCAAAGAAGACAATCCCAGCGAAATCCATATTACGGATATCAAACACAGCTACTTTCCCGCCCATTAGCAGCCGGGAAGGGGATGAATCATCCATAAAGACGCACGTGCGAAAGGGGTCAGAAATCTTGGTGGAACCAGCAGCCAGCGAGGTGGAACCGGTACATGGCCTACCCGAGGAAACCATTGAAGGCCAATTCGGACTCGTAAAGCACCGCCTACTGAACGACAGGAGGCGGGTTTTGACGTTGGATACGGCTGGTGATGTGTTGTTGTGGGATTTGATTCAGGTGAGAGAGACGTCACATAGGGCCTCTCGTCCACCTCTGGCCTGCCTGCTAACCCTGCTTAGTGTCAACCGATCAAGAGTTTTGGGAAGAGACACCTGGAAGATGTAGTGCCAGATGTTAACACCCTTGAGGCAGTTGCTCCTTGGTGCTCGATAGACACTAGCTCTGGAAACTTGACAGTTGTGTTGGAACCTTTCAACTGCTTCGACGCCGAGATGTACGCTGATGAGTTGATATTGGATGAGCCGGTCGAGTTTAGGGAAGACCAGAGGAGTAATTCGTCACCAGTGCCCGCCCTATCCATCCTCGGTATTGCTAACAAAGCTTCTAGTAAACCTTGGAAAGTGGGTTCTTCGATATCTCTTTGCGAATCTTATTGACGAGGAGATACGGCGCGACGAGGCGCATAGGTGGAAACTCAACGAAGCGGTGGAGAACAGACTGGTAACTGGCCGGGGAAACCCGCCACTGGCGATATCGATACCGCCGTCAGATGGTTGGGCCGCGTTAGACTCGGATGGTCCGACGCCACGAGCCAACGGATCACAATACCCACCTGTCACGCCCGGGTTTGCTATAGGATTGGCTACGCCCGGCTCGCCGCTGCCCCCTATACTCGACTCGCTCACGACTCCGCTTGACAAGCGGTTATCCCAGGTCAGCCGGCCATCGGTCGAGAGGGAAGACTACTTTTCGGACGCGATCCACGCGCCTGACGCAAATCAGACAGCAAAGCCGAATCAGACTCCGGCGAGCGAAGTTCCTCCTCCGACAGAAGAAAAGGCAGCCAAGACACCTGGCGAGACCAGCAAGGACAAGGAGAAGGAGAAGGAAAAAGAGAAAGAAAAGGATAAGGATGCAAAGGACAAGGACGGGAATGGTAAAGGCGCGCCGTTTGGGATGAAGAAATTCCGCATGGGAATGCCCTCTTTTGGCGGTAAAAAGATTGGCCGTTCAGCGTCGACCGCAGCCGCAGAAAAACCTGCCGTGGTTGATGAGAAAGCCGAAGAGTCCGAGTCTTCATCCAACCACGAGAAGGAGTTTGAGGATAACTTCTTGGGCGTGGTCCAAAAGATTCACAGCGAATATGAGAAGCAGCTGGCCGAGAACCCCGAGAACATGGTCGAGACCAGGATCTGCCCGAGCCTGCCCAACGATACCCCCGTGCTTAAGCTGCCGACGGGAACCAAGGTGATTCTCCAAGAGGAGACGTCAGGCGGGTCTGCGGAGTTGTACCGCGGGACCGTGGCGACTGTCGGGGCCGACGCCGACATCATTGAGCAGAGAGGCCCACAGTGGTTGAGCGAGGTCTTGCTTCTCAACGCCATCCCGCCCAAGGACCCGATCAAAGTGTCGTTTGTGTTGCACCCTTGGCAGGACAAACTGCCCAGCATTACGGCGGCTGATGGGAATAACCGCCTTAATGCTAATCGCATGCTACGCGTCAAGAAGATCTTGGCTTACGTGGCCGAACGCATCGACCCGCCTGCCGAGAGCGAAGATGGTGACGCTGCGGGCTCGGATGCCCTGAAGCCCGAGGAGTATCTAGAGCTATATTGCAACGAGCAGGTGAGTTTTGGTCCAAGTGTTGACACCCAGCTCTCACCACCTCTAGGCCCCCAAGCCCCCAGCCATGGAACTAATGTTTTGATTTCGCAGTTGCTACCCATCACAATGAGCCTAGCAACCCTGCGGGCACACGTGTGGAAAGGCGGAAACGACATTGTGCTCCACTACAAGGCGAATGGCAGGAAGCATATTCCAATGCCTGTCGAAGACCCTGTCGAAGAGGCTAGCAAGCCTGAGTCGATGAGAGTCGTGGGACAAGTAGTGACGGCAGCAGCTTGAGTGTCAGAAGAATTCCAAAGCCATTGCACCTGTGCGTTTGTGTGCGCGCATATGTGCTGCCGTGCTGATAGCGGCATTGTATGCATATTCAGTGGGTATTATCATATATACATTGTCTATTCTAGATGATAGTGTACATAACTCTAGTCTATATGAGCCTCTGGTTATGGGCCAGAGAAAACGCCGTGGGAAGGGAGCCAAGCGCCGCCGGATATGTATTCGATAACTGTCGGGTGCGTTTATGATGGAGGAGGTTGTAACTGTATTGTACATACAAGCGAAGCGCCGAGCGTCGTCGTTCCCGTTAAAGTCGGCTAGATATTAGGCGTCCGCGTGTAGCGGCATTCGCGGACTAGACTCCCGCCTCCGTATTAAACCGGGTGTTGATAACTCGGTGTTCATGAGGAGTGTCGATCCATCTATCTCCCTGCGTGAAAAGTGAAGGCGAGTGGCGATAGAGAAAAGGGGGTGTCAGGGTCATATAGACCGCCTCCTGGGCTCCAGTGTGTTGACAGCCCACTGGTAGCTCCCGAGGAAGATTGCGCCGCCGATGCTGATCCACATGACGCGGGGCCCAATGCCGGCGAAGAAGGGGCGCACGCCGTGGTCGCGCACGATGGTGCGCACAATGGTGGCGAGGCTCTCGCGTTGCGCGCTCAGCATGACGCGCGTCTTGAGCACATCGAGCGGCGTCGTCACGCCCGCCGCCACGGCTCCCGCCAGACTGCCGTACAGCGCCGACTCGGCCGCGCCCACCTCCTCGCGTCCACCGCCGCCGCCGCCTCCGTGCCGCGACACGTAGACGTCGCCCAGTAGCCCGCGCCCCGTCCGCTCGCGCCGCTCCCTCCCCCACGCCTTGAGCGCCTCCCACAGTGGGAACTGCAGCACCGTGAACGGCACCTCGCGCATCACCGTGATGCCCCAGCCGCGGTACAGCTCGCGCCACACGCCGGCCAGGCCCGCCGGCGTCGCGCGCAGCGTCAGGATGGCCCGCAGCGCGGCGCCCGACGACCCGCCGTGCTGGCCGGCCTGGGCGCGCTGCTTGACCACCTCTGTGGGCACACGCACGGCGCACGCGGCCACCTCGCCCAGCGACGCCGCGAGCATGTGGCCGACGACGGGCGACACAGTGGGCGACGGCCCCAGCACGGCCGCCTTGGTCGCCTCGTACGTGTAGAAGAAGAAGGCCGCCCCCGGCGCGCTCCCCACCACCGCCGACCCCAGCCCCCGGTAGATGCCGCGGAACCCGCCCGCCGCGAAGAAGCCCTGCGACGACTGCAGCCGCGTCTTGAGTGTGTCGAGCGGGAACAGCGAGAGGTCGACCGTCGTGCCGGCCAGCGCGCCGGCGACCAGCGCGGTCTGGAACGCCGGCGGTGGCGCGTGGGTTTGTGCCATTTCTCTTCTTGATTTTTTTTAATTGGGGGAGGGGGGCGGGCGGGTCGAAACAAAAAAATGAGGTACTGCCGCGATTGGGTTTGGGGATCGGTCGTTGAACGTGCGTGGGGCGCACGGTACCTTGGGCAAGTCTGGCTGCAGATCCGGGTTCGGTAGGTTGGGTGGGGTTGAGTTCGGCTTCAAGAAGTTCGGTTTCGCGGCTTGTCACGGTTGTGAGAGCGTGTAATTATTTACTGGGGAACAGCCCAGCAGCTGAGATGAGTGAAATGCTACTACCCGCTCAGGGAACTCCCGTCCCTGCCTGTTGAGAGCCTGAGATCAGCTAATGTTGGAACGGTCTGCTAGGCAGGAGCAAAATTAGGTGCTGAGCCGTTTTTTTCAAGGCTTCCCGAGCACTGTTACGTGCTCTGCATCTCCGCTAGGAAACGGCAGACGTGACAATGGTGCATGGACTCTATTCCATTGGGTCAGAAACTTAAATTTTAGGCTGAGATTTCAGGGCTCACTGCCTTGTCTGACCCCTGTAACTTTACGATAAGCTAAGGCAGCACCCCTGACTGAACCCATCTAGGGATATGCGAGGGAGGCTCTTGAAGTCATTGAACGGGCTGGTTCACAGGACTTGATATACCCCAAGGGCCACAGTAACTTCACCTATAAGTCCTCTTCAGTGGTATAATAGCACCATGCGCTCGTGTTCACTTCAGGTACATGCCTAAGGTAAACCGTGACGTTTATGCTCTCTGTTTTCTTATTATCCGATATTCAATTTCAAACAGATCTTAGAATTCCTTATACAAAGAGATCGATTTATAAAGAGCACTAGCCTTTCCCATTTCAAATGATTAATTTATTTATAGCTTTAATGCCTAGATACCTAAGCACCCAATAAAACGGTTTATGTTCAAAAGCGTAACCGATGCCTGTCTTCGGTTCACTTGTGCCATCACTAGCAGGTACAGCGCAGTACATACTACCTTAATGCTCCGTAATAAATCCCCACCACCTCATTGGCTCCTTCCCTCCTCGGCAGCTAAGGTACCTTACTTTAGCTTACCTCTCGTTAAATCTCGTCGCAAGTCCAGACCGCGTCTTTTCCACCTGATGCGGCTCCGACGTCGCTCCCATACAACCCGCCATAGCCATCTCGAGCGCATGCTTCAATTGAATGACCACAATTCCAGCCGTCCTGCACCGCTCCGCGCGGGCCATCACTCTCGATGAGTTCCTCGACGCACTGCGGGCGACATGCACGCCGCGCTTCCAACACATCCGCGAGCAGGTTCCACGACCAGTCGGTATGTATTTGTATTTGCATTGCATTGGCCCCCCGGCCATCTGACGCGCCCGCCCTGACGTCTTACTCTCTCTACCTCTCTGCGACCAGCTCTTGCCATTAGCGGTGGGGTCGACTCCATGGCCTTGGCCCACCTCTGCGCTACCGTCCAGAAGGAAAAAGCAAAGATTGGCGGCGTCATGATCTCGGACAACCCCCTCAGCAGCTTCCGGGCCTTCGTCGTCGACCACGGCTTGCGCGAGGGCAGCTCGCAAGAGGCCAGGAGCGTCGCCGGCGCCATCGCAAAGCACACTCATCCCGTCAAACCCCACCTACTGAGACTTCGCTGGGACGAAGTCATCCCCAGTGACGTCCACCCTAGCACCCTGCCCAACGTCGAGACTCTGGCTCGCCGCCTCCGCTATCGCCGCCTTGGGACTGTGGCCCATAAGTGGTTAATGACGTCCATTTTCACTGCCCACCACGAGGACGACCAGTACGAGACGGTGATGATGAGGTTGCTATTGGGTCACGGTTACCGCGGACTTCAAGGCATGCGCCGCGCTACCGACATTCCCGAGTGCCATGACTTGCACCTGGTTAACCGAAGCGGCTTCGTCGACGACCAATTACAGAAGAACCCTTTTCATAACAACATACCCACCAGCACGCAGAGGAAGGGGATAAGGAGGGAAATGCGCGAAGAAGCCGATCACGCCGCCCTGACTCGCGAGATGGCAGTGAGCATACGGCCTCTGGACGACCACTTGGCATTTCTCGACGCATACTACGGCGGGGCAGGCGGGAGTAAGCGCGCCCCTCCTCTGGCGCCCTTGGACATGGAGGATGGCGGCATCTCCATTTTCCGGCCCCTGCTGCACTTTAGCAAAGACCGGCTCATCGCGACCTGCGTTGAGAACGGCATACCCTGGTTCGAGGACCCGACTAATGCGGACCAGACCATGACCATAAGAAATTCCGTCAGGCACATGGTCAAGCACCACGAGCTACCCACAGCTCTGCAGAAGCCGGCCCTCCTTGACTTGTCGGCTCGGTGTCGAGCCAGGGTGGCCGCCGAGGAGGCCGAGACAAGGCGCATGTTCAAGCTCGTCGTCATGCATAACTTCGAGACTGCTACCGGCACTGTCTTGGTGGAGCTGCCGCAGTTCTCGCTTCCAACTGTGCCGGCGAGATGCTCAAGTCCCGTAGCCCGCCGCCAAAAGCGGCTGGACCGCTATCGCCTTGTTGCGGCTCGTATGATCCGGAAGCTTCTTGCCATGGTCACGCCCGAACAAGATATCACCCAGGAAGCCCAGTTGGGCCATCTGGTCTCGATGCTCTTTCCATCACTGACAGGAGAGGACGCTCTCAAAACTGTCGAGCCAAAGCCCTATGTCATCTGCGGTGTACAATTCACTCCACTACTAGGGACACAGCCGCTTCGCTGGATGCTGGCACGAGCGCCCTACGTTTCCAACGTGCCGCGGCCGCGGTTGGTACGAGCGTGGATGCCGCTTCCCGAGGGCTGGGAAGAGCCGGCGGAGTTCTACAAACGGGCCAAATGGCACGAATGGGAACTTTACGATGGTCGCTACTGGGTCCGCACCAAGAATAGTTTCCCCGTAAAGATAATCGTCGCACCGTTTGAAGCAGAGCACCAGAAACCTTTCCGAGAATCTCTGGCCGACGACAATGTCAGGGACAGGTTGTCCCGGCTGCTCAAGGTGCACGCCCCGAGCAAGGTCCGATACACGCTGCCGGCCATCTACGCACAAGCAGACGTCAGTGCGCTCATAAAGGGTGACGGGGATAGTTTCTGGCCGCCCCATCTGTGGTATCCCAAGGCTCCCGATGCCGAGCGTGCAGAAGATGCCGTGTGGCGAGAGGAGCTCAGCCGGATCCGCATGGGGCGCTATAACTGGATGAAAAACTTTGTTACCGACGAAAAGTTGCATCTCATTGCGCTTCCCACCCTAGGGGTTCAGTTACCGGGGGTTGAGGACTGGCTGACGTGGGAGTTCAGGTACCGCAAAGTCGACGTCAGTCCGCTACGGCTGGACTGGCGTCGGAGAAGCAGCCACGGCGGACATGGTCCGCGCGGCCGAACAGCAAGGCGGAGGCGGCAGTATTTGCGGCCGTTCCCTTAGGTGGTTCATCGCGGTGCTCTCCAATTCCACTCTGCGAATTAGTGTGTGAGCAATAACAGCCATTGCAGCCATACTGACTATCTGTTCTCGCAAGCTGCTTCCGGTGGGCGGGTATTATCTTGACAAAACCATAGCCATATTCAGTGGCGAATATGTATTATAATGGTTCATGGCTCGTGTACTGTCCGTATTCTAACTATGTGTACGCCGTCTTACTTGGCATTAGAATGCCTGACTGATAAGGAGCGGTCTCATAAAATGTGTAGCTATGGGGTTAATCTATGCAAATTGTTCTAATTGCAAATGTAGAGACTCTCCTCGTCTGACTGTGACGCTGCCCTTCGCACTTATTGAGTGAGGTAAGTCATAACCGTCTATTCAGTTTGTAGTAACAATAGGGAGATAAATCTAATGCCCGCTACTGTCACGGATATGTACCGACTTTGCCGGCCGGGCAGTACTGCTCGCCTCGCACGGAGCCGAAGCAAGTCACGTCTTATAAGAGCTAGTATAGAGACAAGAGACGAGAGACGGAAGAGAAGCAACAAATGCTCTTAGTCTAGAGAGAGAGTCGCGATAGCACTTGCTCTTCCGCGTTATAACTTACTCACACTATCTTGAGCCGGGTGGCGGTGATATTATCTCACGGGGTGGCGCTTTGGGAGCAGAACGCCATAGCGGATATAGAAGTGAGCGAACACGAAGCCCGACCGCCTAGTGGTAAACGAAGCGTATGCATTCTCGCTATGTGAATTACACTTTGATCGCCGCCGGGGTCGTGATCTTCTCCTGAAGTCCGTAATCCCTCGCCACGTCCGACCACCGCCCATTACGCATGGGGTCTAGCTCCCGGAGCTTCTGCAGCCAAACCGCTAGGTCGGCGCGCTCGCTAGTGTCGGGTTGCCGCTCCTCCAGCTGGCACAGCATTATCGTGTAGTCGAGAAGCGCCTCGTATATAAGCTTGATGTTATTATAGTCCTCCAGCAGCTCCTTAATGCCCTCTATCTCGCGGCTCATGTACGTGATACGCTCCTTGAGGTTGAACGTGGGAACGATAGTGGCGCGCCCTACAAAGCTCACCAGGTTGAGCATTAGAAACTGGTGGTAGTACCACAGCGACTGGTCCTCCGGGCCGACATTAAGGGCTTCGTTTATCATCCCGAGCTCTATAGACGGGTCAGCTTTTCACGATGCGGATGATGGGCCGGAGCATGAGTAGATAACCGAGACGCGCAAGGGCTTACCTTTATCCAGGAATGCTTTCCGATCCTCGTCGTCAGCTCCTCGCTCGTCCAACATGCGCGGAATTAGCTTGCTCCGGCCGTGCCAGGCGGAGAAGTTGGACAAGTCCGTTTCAATCATCTGGGTCGTGTACTCAAACTCGGACTCAACCCTGCTGATGCCGCCGAGAGTCGGCCCCTCAAGCTGATCTACTACGTGCCGCCGGTAGCCCCAGGCGTGGAAATTGCGCCGGTCCTTGAAAAGCATCTTAGACACGAGCCCCAGCTCCTCCTCCCAGATGCGACGTGCGGCAGCCCGCTGCAACCGGCCTATGGCCTCCTGCAGGACCCACGAGCGATGGCTCCATATCCAGTAGCACTTGGGCGCCTCGAGCAGCAAGGGAATTGTGAAACGGAGCTCCGAGACGAGAATGTCAAGGTCCTGCTGCTGCCGCTGCTGCTCATTCTCGGTGGACTCTTCTCCGTGTTCTTTAATCGGAGATGCGCTGTCGCGGCTGTCAGCTGTTGTACCAGTCCTCCCAACTGTCGGGACCTCGTGGAATGGCTGGATCGCGGCCGAAAAGGATGGGGATAAATTGGCGGAGGGAGGTGCTGTATTGGGTGACGGTGAAGAACTCTGTGACACCCTCGAGGGCGCAGATCCATGCGATGGTTTTGACAATAAGCCAGAGATTAGGGAGCGCCTGCGGACGTTCCATATTGTGTAGTATTCGGGGTTGAGCCGCAGGAGCCGCGTCGTCAGCTGGAAGACGTCGGGCGAGTAATCTCCCTGAGCGTGATGGGAGCGCACTTGGTTCTCGAGGTCTCGGTACTTCTCGATTCTATCGAGCTCGAGCTTTCTCTGATCGGCAGTCTGGGCCTGGGCACGCGATGTTCGAGCTATGCCGTGTTGCGATCCGCCGTACTGAGGTCCTTTCTATCAGTCAACATCCCATCAATCAGCCTTTGCCCGCAGGCCAGTGCGCATCTTACATCGGCCATGTCTGTTGATTATGTCCGTCCGGCTGGGTGGGTGAAGATGCAATGTGTTGCTGCGATATTGCGGGAGCTTGTAAGTCGTGATTCGCGGTTCCTTGCGTGACGTCGGGAGGCTGCCGCCATTTCAGGGAGCCGGGTCGATCTTGGCTGACCTAGATCGCTCTTGGCTTGGCGTGTCAGCTCTTAACTGTTGTGGGGCCTGTCCGTAAGGCTTATCGCGGCCTTGGCGCCTCACCGCTGCCCCCACACACAGCTCCGGCTGGGCAGGTACTGTACTACGTTCGGAGTACGGATACACAACCACTACGTATTTTCCCCCATTCCGGCCATTCATTGCTGCTAGTTAGACGCAAGGTTCCCCTGAAAGCTCTCAAGCCTCAAGGGAGGCCAGATACGCAGTACATAATTTACGCGACTTGCACCCCAGGCGGACAACCCTAAACTCTAACATCAGAGGGTCGAACCTTCCCACGGATCTCATCAACTTCTTCTCAGCATGGACACCAATTGCGGTAAGTACCTCCAATTCTGGACCACGAGACTAAGGTACCTCACTTCAAAGAAGGTGCCTACCTCACCGAGAGTAATCTATGCAGACATTGGAGGAGGCAGAGGGAAATCAATCATGGAGGGTTACTCCTTCTCTTGCATCCCTCGTCGCTTTGGCATCGGAGCATCTCCAATGTCTAAAGTGGTCTCCTAAAACGCCGCTCCTCACCTCTGTTCCGTTTCCTACATGTCTTTCGTAAAATATCAATACACCATCGCAACAGGTATCGACATTTCCATAAACTTATCTGCTCCAGGCTTCGGGCCCCAGGCCGCTAGAATAGAGCCGCCCCGCCTCCAAGAGACGGCGGGCTTCGTCTTGACGTCGACACTCGACAAGCTCCCGCCAGGTTCGCGCCTGCGTGAGGCCGGCAGATCCGAGCGTCTCTCGTTATCCAACCTCTCTCGTTATCCAGCCTCTCTCGTCTCAGCACGGTCAGGTGCTGCTGTGGGCAATTCGGCGTCGTCGACTCGGTCGGTGACCCGGCCGGCTCTTCTTTCATTTACCTCCCCAGATCAGTCGCATCTCTCGTGCCTTTGGCCCGCCTTGTGCGAGCAACCAGGCAGCCTAGCCCGCAGCCGCACACATGGGCACCTACGGGGCCGAAGGTGCTGCGTCACCGGAGTGGGAGCTTAGTCGGCAGCTTCGACGCCAGCGCCAGGCTTTCAGTTCCCCTGCCTGTCTCAGCCCGGCCGATTCGGGATACGGATCGGCTTTTTCGTCTCCGAAGACACCACAAGGACTTGACAATCCCGACAGACAGACTCTGGGTGGGCTGTGGATGCTTGGCGATGGGAACCTGTCGGACCTCGACGACCCTTTCACCAACAGCGAAGATGAGAAGCCAGCGGCAGCGAGACCGGAACTCGTTACCCAGGCAGCCGAGATCGGACTGGCACAAGGTACAGGAGAGCGCCCAAAACATTCTACACTGCCAACGCGGTCTTTCCGCTCCCGCCCGGCTCTACCTGCGTCATTTCATTCAGACTCTGGGGCAGCTGGGCTCCCGCGGCAAGGCTCTGACAGAGGGTTAGTCCGAGGGACAGGATCCTTGCGTCTCCCCGACCGCTTTATCCCGACGAGGACGCACTCTGCAAACACCGCCGAAAAGTTCAGAACTGGAAAGGCACCACATGAACTGACTCCATCTGAGAAGCTTCTACGGCACAATGGTGCAACTGAAGATGCGTTTTGCTACCGCCGGAGGGCCGTGACACCCATGGCATGCGACTTCCGCTCCCGCTCGCACTCGGATACAACAGAGAGCCAGCGCCAAGGTTAGTGAAGTCTTGTCGCCTAAACATTCGTTGATGCTGACGGAATGTGATATAGTAGGTAGTGTTCTAAGCCTTCTAGACCAAAACGGTAAGACCGGTTTAGACAGACAGGCCAGCAACGGGACCATCTGGGCCGTTGGTGGTGTTATCCCTGGAGGTGCAGCTGTTAACAACGGCCGAGGTCAGCTGGTCCGGAGTGGGACCAATGCCAGGCTCTTCCGTACCTCGTTTCCCAATGCGAAGCCACAGGCCGAGGAAGAAAGGGAAAAGCACGAGTCCAGGCTTGCTGCTGCCCTCGGCCTCGACCGGGTAAAACGTATCCTTGAAGTGAATATAACTCACAAGCAGGATCACACATTTGGAAACAAGCACGGGGATGTCGCTCCTACACAGTGGAATGGAACCGAATGGGTCAAGAATGGACCGTTGCCTAGTAAGTCCTGACAAGTCGACGGAGATGGGAGATACTTAACTACTGGTACTAGGGCCTTTGAAACCCCAAGAAAACAGGTTGCTGCCGATAGCTCCATTCAAGTAGGTGGGCCTCTGCTCTGCTCTCGTTGGGGAAGTCTAACTCGTGCTAGGGTCCTCGATGCTCCGAATCTTCGTGACGACTTCTACTGCTCCATACTGGCGTACTCGATTACCTGTCGGACATTGGCTGTTGGCCTGGGAGACCTCCTTTACGGATGGTCTGAATCTAGGGGAGTGCAACTTCTCAATGCCGGCACCCAAGAGGATTGCCATTTGACGAGCGTCGCATTTTCATCTTCCGAGGGGCGCAAAAGTATTTTGGCCTTCGGAAGATCCAACAAGACGTTGGGGTTGATGTCACTGAATGACGATGCAGAACCGGCAAGTTCTCGTTCTGGCCCCATGCCGCGATTCGAAGTTCTCCAGCCCGCACCGGTCGCCTGTCTGAGCTGGAAGCCTACTTGTACCATCCGGCCGTCAAAGAGCAGTATCCATCCTGGCCATCTTGTAAAAACTGAGGATCTTTTGGTCGGAGATGAGACCGGTCACGTATACTACTACGCCGTGGAGTGGCCCGAGAGATGGGAAGTGGAACGACACAACTGGGCAGGGCAGATGACGCTTCTTGCGAGGATTACAATCCATGCTCAGCAGATTTGCGGACTTTCTTGGTCGCCAAATGGCGCGCTCTTTGCTACAGGGGGAAACGACAATCAGTGCTGTCTATTCGAGACTGGCAAGGCCATCGTAGCTCACTCACAAGCGCACGATAGCAGCCCAGGGAGGGACGACATTGACAACCCGACCCGATCCCCAAGCCGTGAGACCAGCGAGGCGTCCACGGCTGATACTGAAATTCGGGTTCAGAACTCCCGGACAGCTCCCACCATTGTCAAGCATCTCAGATCCGGCGATGAGAAATATCGATGGCTGCACGGAGCTGCAGTCAAGGCAATTGCCTTTTGCCCCTGGCAAGATGGTCTGGTGGCCACTGGGGGCGGCTCAAACGACAAGTGCATTCATTTCTTTCACACCACGTCAGGTGCCGCTCTCGCAACGATCTCGGTTTCGGCTCAAGTGACAAGCCTCATCTGGTCGACAACTAGACGAGAAATCGCGGCCACTTTCGGCTACGCCCAACCAGAACACCCAGTTCGAATCGCGGTATTCTCCTGGCCAGACTGCCGACAAGTTGCGGCTATCCCCTGGATGGGCGAACACCGAGCACTGTATGCGATCCCATATCCTGGGGGGCCTAAAAATGCCCGCTCCCCGAAAATTGGCAACAGAGCACGAAGCTACAGCCGCCCCGCGATGGAAGGCTGCATTATGGTTGCGTCGAGCGATAAGAGCGTCAAGTTCCACGAGGTATGGGCAGCGGACAAGAAGGCTATTGCTGGAGGGGTCGGCATGCTTGGTGGCAGCGACATCCTAGAGAGTCTAGAAGGCATTGACAAGGAAGGCGACGTGATTCGGTAATGCGGCGGAGTAGAGGGAGAGAGGCTTGACGAGAGCCCGAGGACCTGAGCTGACTATTCATGGTGTCACACATTGCTTTGATGCCAAAGGCCGCGAGACTGCGCAGTAGAGACCGAGGGAGGTTACTGACTGTAGGTACTCGTCTTAGGCCGGGGTGTATGGCTAGAATGAAGGGCGTGAATAAAGACAACGAGATTGCACATCGGCTCAGAGCCAGGAAACCGACTCTTCGTGGCATGGGCTTCCCACATGCGACTGCTACAAGGACACTAGTTATTTTACAGATATAACCCCCCCCCGGCTTCCCTTACGAGCGACTGATGTATGGCTGCTAGCGAAGTTGATTTGATGTGTTTTGGTATTAAAAGCGTTGATGTAGGTACTAGGATCAAATTGCTCGATCAAGACTGGAAGCTAGAAAGTGAACCTTTTCAATGCATATCGAGATGTAATTCGAATATGATAGCCAAACGTCCCGGCTTGGGTCTAGAGGATAAGGTGATGCGGTGAAATAACAGTCCCCAAAATAACAGTCCCCAAACACAGAACCAGACGTAGAGTAAGTATAGTCATTCAACATAAGATACATGCCGCTTCCCAATCCCAACTTCGGAAACCTATTAGATGTAAAACAAGCCAGTCTTCCAAGGTAGCAGAGCCAAGAAAACCAACCTCTGCGTGTACGGCGGAAACGAGCGATACCAAGCTCTCTTAGTCTGCTCTTATTCCCCGTAAAACGTGATGAACTTTCCCTCAAGACAGAAAAATGAGGAGTCATATAACCAAAGTCTGGGAATTCCTCTTCATGGCGTTTACCCTTCTAGTTCTCGTTCTTCTGCAGCCACAAGCAGGGCGAGACTGCGAGACACAGTGTGGTGTGGCTCCTCTCTGTCGAGTGAACATAAATGCAGTACTTCTCCAGTTCGGAGGCAGAGAAAGAAAGCAGGTGGAATCGAGAGCTTGGTGATCGCACCGTCCCAAGAGCGGAGGACGCGTGTCTCCACGGAGGGGATTCACTTCAAAACAGCAATTAGCAGCACTAGGATGATGATGAGCACGACGATGGCAACCATCTGGCGCGACTCGGAGGCACCGCGGGCGATGCGGCCGACCTGGCGACGGGCCCGGTCCAGCGTGCTCTGGTGGCGGTCGACGACGCGCTCGCTCTCGTCGAGCATCATGACGTGGTTGTCGAGCTCGTCGCCAATCTGCATGCTCAGCTCGCGCTGCCGCCCGATGCTCGCGCCCAGCGCGTCCAGCTGCGCGTCCTGCTCCGCCAGAATCTGCTGGTGGTATGCGTGAACCTGCACGTTGGACATGGCGCTGCCGTCCTCGCCCGCCTCGATGCGGTCCCGGTAGCCCGCCGTGTCCGCCCCCGCCGCCGGGTCGTCCCGGTACCGGAACAGCGCGTCGCGGCCGCCGTCCGACGGTAATGGCGGCAGCTGGGATTCCAGGTCGCGCGGCGCGGCGTCGGAGAAGCGCACGGTTTTGGTGGCCCCGCTGGCTGTCTTCTTGTGGCCGCGCGTCGACTGCGCGTGCGCAAAGTCGCCAGCGAGCAGCGGGTCGTTGGGGGATGTGAGCGTGTCGGATATGCTGTCGGCGTCGTCGCCGCCGCCGGCGGAGCCGGCTGCAGGGGAAGCGAAGCCGTGGAACTGCGCCGTCAGGTCGGCGAATTGCCTCTTCAGAGAGCTGAGCGTGTCGTCGAGACGGGCCGCCTTGCTGTGGAGATGGATGCAACGAGTGAGCGCGGGGCCAAGAGGGAAATCATGGGAGAGGAAGACAGGGAGGAGGCATACACTTCATCGCCCCCCGGCGCCCGCAGCCGTGCCAGTTCATCTTCTAGTCCTTGTAGCCCGTCGCGGAACTGGTCGAGCGATCGCGAGATGTGGCCGTCCTGTGAGTCGCTCGCTAAGCCCAGTGTCTTGGCCCGCTGTCGTTCGAGGAGCGAAAGCTTGAGGTGGTCTGCGAGGAGGAGGAGGGCGTTTGGGCTGGACATGATGATGATGCGTGGGATGTGAATGTCTGTCGCACCGACGAGCGAGTGCGTCCTGTCCAGGTCTGTGTCGTTCTGCCCGAGGTTGCCAGAGGTCGCGCAGCGGCGGAAGCCCGGCAACCACCAAGGCGTGCGTGTACCACGGCACGGATTGCAGAGCGGAAAGAAGAAGAACTAGAGAGTCTTTTCAATCGCAGCGCAGGACAAAGAAGGCTTGGTGCTGGTGTTGGTTGGCTGTTTCGGGATGAGAGTCGTCAGTTCGTTAGATGGCGTTCTACGAGGTTGTGCTGCCCTGCATTGCGTACAGCGTGACTGACGCCTCAAGTTGGCACCCCTGCGTGGCCCGAGGGCCCCAACTGAGCTGAACCCGGATTACATAAGGACAGTGCGTGGAGAATTGCACGCCACTGGAGACTTTAGGTACCACTCCTCCTATATGTTAGTGCACCTATTCCGTACAAAAATGGTACAAAACTGCATCCCCGCTCCCATTGAATTGACCGCCTTTCTTGTAGAGGGGAGGCTGGCCCCTCAAAGTCCACTTCGGTTATCATTGAGAACAAGTTCAGGGCCGGAAGAGACGGGCAGGATGGCGGATGACGGCGGAGCGCTCAATGGAGGGAACGAAGGACCCCGTGATGGGAGACAAGGCAAGACAAGGGCGCCAGCCACGACGGCCACTGCCCATCATTGGGTGAATGACACCAACAGCGACAACGACAATGACAACGGCAACGACAATGGTAATGATAATGGCTTGGAACCAGGCGCCGAGACGGACGGCATCCCGGCGACTTTCCCCAAGAAGCGGCGAGGACGCCCACCGGGGCGGCCCAACATGACGGTGCGCGAGGCCGACTACGACTCAAACCCCCTGGTGCAGGCTTGGAACGCGGCCAAGTCGGAGCGGACCATGGCCGTCGTGCCCGTCATGGTGCGCGACGCCCTGACCGAGAGCTCTCTAGTCCACGACACGCAGCGCGCTGTCTTCTGCCTGCCCAGTCGCGAGTCCATCTACTTTGTCCAAAACTGGATAACTGCCCGTCACATCGCGTCGCAGCGCCCCAGCTACGTCAACGGCCTGCTGATCCACTCCCGCGGTAGCGACGCACCCGTCTCTTGCTCCCAGTGCGCCGAGCGCCGTAACAAGCACGCCCTAGGCCCATTCCTAACCTGCCGGACCCTGCCCGGATATTACCACAGCAGTTGCTCCAACTGCAAGTGGTTTGACAACACCTCCGTCTGCTCTCTTTATACTGGACCAAAGCCAAACAGGAAGCGAAAGGCCAAGGAGTCTGCTGCTGCGTCTGGCAACGATGCCGCGGCAGACGCTGCCATTTCCATTGATGCGCAGGACCGAGACGACCAGCCACCGTCTCCTCGACAGCAGGAGCATGGGACACATGACCCGAACATGAACCACGATATCCAAAACAGCCAAGATGGCCACGACGACGTTGGCGTCCAAATTGAACACTCAGACGCGCACTTTGTCTTGCATCATGAGGAATTCTAAGCATCCTCTGCAAGCTTGATCATGGGGCAACAAGTTATAACCCGCTCAATTAGTTGTATCAGATGTTGAAAAGAGGGACCAAGTTGCAGCACATTTGTCAATACACGGCAAACTTGCTTTGCAAGGAGTATTTTTTTTATCACTGCGTGGAGCGATGCAGTTGATGTTTAAGCCTCGAGTTGTCGGGCGTTATAAAGTTTGTGACAGTTCTAGCAAAGAAACTATCATACATACCACTGGTTTATATCGAAATCCAGGCTAGTCATGGTGGCGATTCGTTAATATTAGAGAGGCGAATCCTGATTGCGAGGCGTTGCGAAGCCTGTTGCGTGGGAATGCTGACACCGTGCCATCAGTTGCAGTGTTTTAGTCGAGGAGCAGCGTCTCGGGTCCAAATCGTGTCCACCAGACCTTTGTAGTGTAGGCATCGACAGCTACGCGTTAGCCGAGGAATAGCCGTCATCAGAGGTGATGTCCACTCCGCCTGTGCGCCAGCCCAAGCTGGCATACAGTTGGAACAACGCGCTAGTCAGCCACAGATGTGACGGTGGAGGCGCAAGCAGCCACATGTGGCGGTGAAGGCGCAGGGGCGCAGGGGCGCAGGGCCACCGAACCTAAATAAGTGGCCGTAGACTTCCACCTTCCTTCTTAGATCTACATAGACATCAACAATCAACACTTGAACCACCAGTTTTCGGCGTACAGCTACGCCCTGTTGCTTCCAGTACCGATACCTGGTGATTCCAACACATACTTACCTCCACGATGCACCAAATCGAAGCCATTGACCACTCAAACGCGGTAAATGCTTCAGGATTTCGTAACGGAGTAAATTTGTAAGTGCAGGCAGGTGCGCCTGATCAAGGTGGTCACAATGAAGGTACTGAAGAGAGTGAGCAATGACTGGTATTGGTAAGAGACTTCAACCTGGCCCTCGCAAAGGAAGGGGCGAGGGCCACTGCTTATATGCATAACAGAGTGCAGGGCGGGCCATTGACAAAGGAGTGAGGTCTTGGTCTTGGCCCGCTCGGTACGCGTGTGAGTTGGTCTTGTGTGTGGGTTGGGGATTTTTTCCTTACATGTAAGAGAAGGTAGGTACGCCTGATCAAGGTGGTCACAATGCAGGCAAGAAGGTAGGGGAGCAATGACTTGTATTGGTGTAAGACTTCAACCTGGCCCTCGCAAAGGAAGATGGGCGAGGGCCATTGTTTATATACCTGCTCAGGGGTTCGGCCCGGGCATCAGTCTGCGGTCGTGGCGCCACGGCGTAGCGTATGCCAGCTGGCAGTGTTCTAGCCAGTTGGTGACAAGTGGTGGGCGCGCACCCTGTGCGCACAGTTGGTGTTTGGGGTGTCCTTTTCCTTACATTACATTTCATATATTGAGCGCCAACGACAGCTAGTCGTAACTCATGATTCATCAGCAACAGCCATCATAAACTAACCTCAAAAAAGCGGGAATCGCCGTAGCCATCGTATCTCCCGCTGCCCTTAGTATAGTTTATGATGCGGCTCAAATTTGCCATATCTGGTGCAGCCTGGATAATAGAGTAGACGTCGGAAAGACTAGACGCTTCGAGGAGGTTGTTGTGTCGATTAGGCAAGATATTGTCATTATCGAGCTAGCGATATATGGGGTGAAACTCATCAATGGCATCTGATTATCCCCAGTTAGTATCACGGGTATACCTAGGTTTGATCTGTTGATCTCTTAACTTCGAAGCGACAATAAAAGATTGCCACTCTCTTCACCTGCTCCAAGGTGAATCCTGGTGCGCCATTAAGATGTCCGAGGTGGAATGGACATGGAGGCCGGTGCTGCGGTTTGCCTTCCACTTGACCACGTCGCCAATTCACTTCAGTGCAAGTCCTAAGATGCCCTTCCACTCATCGCTGACGACATCAAAAACGGGGGAGATAAGCTCAAACCCAAATCGTGCCTGGAATGCCGAGAGATCCAACTCGGAGCCAGATGTTAACTCACTGATGGTAGCATCAGTGGTGATGTTCCAGATATCATAGTTGGGGCCACTGCCTTGAGTTGAGCTTGGGATATAGACGCGGGAAAGCATGCCGACGTCTTGGAGTGCATTGGCCACAAGCGAAAGCTGACCCTCCAGCCGTAAAGGGAGAGCAGTGGATGATGAAGCCCTTGCCAAGGCGATACCCTCAATCTCGAGGCCAATTGAGAAAGGCATGGTGGTGGTTGGGCGTTTTTAGAGTGTTTTTAATTGAGCCGTTGGGTGAGATAGGAACGGCCGAGGTAAAATTTTGTAGAGAACCGGGAAAGATTCCAGAATCGACAGATTTTTTTTTGTCTTGAGGTTGCTGCACTCGAATTAGAGGTGGCTCTTGTCAACTGGAGGGGCTCCTGCCATCTGGAGACAGGTTACTACTTACTGAAAGGGAACATCGCCCGAAGGGGGAAAAAGCGTCTTGCTATCTTGACAAGAACAGAGTCGCAGTTGCCAATTGTTGGCTAGTCTTCCGAGCTGCCCACCAGCTCCATCCCATCAAAGAGATCGAGCCAATCATCAAGCCGGTCTGCCATAAATAGCTCTAACTCCCAAGGCTCTGGGGATATCTTGGTCATGTCACCATCCCAGACATACATGTCGACCTCGATTGTTTCTTCTTCTTTGTCGTCTTCCGAGTCTTTGATGATCGAAGCGGTAACTGGCATTGCCTTATAGACTTCTTCAAAATCGTCCAGCTTCCGGCGCTGTGAGGTTGTTTCTAGGAGAAGAACATATCTGTCGATAGATGAATTTTCATCCTTGATAGCCGCAGGGTAGTCACAATCGTGCAACGCACACCGCTTGTAGCCTGAAACCGTGGCTTTGCGCAGCATTCCCTTGATAGCATCCACCTGAGTGGCTTCTCCGGTCAACGCCCATGCCAGAAGGGGCAGGGCGCGCAGCGTACCATAGACGAAAAGTGGCTTCGGCGACGTCGACATCTTGAGATTGTGTGGAGGATGTTGGTCTGAGAGACGTGATCCCCTAGGTTTATGAGGAAGGTCGTAAGTGTTTGGGAGTGGGTAGAGACTAAGCTGGTGCTGGGGGCACTTTCTGAGTATTTATATGCTGGCGCGGTGGAAGCCTAAGCCACTAAAAGCTCCCACCCAATTGCTCCCACCTGATTTCTTGTTGAGGTTTTGGCTTTATTGAAAAGATCACACTGGACGAAAATAACGACTTGGTGGCTAAAATGGCTGAAGGCTGAAACCTAAATGAAAGAGACCACCAAAAGAAAGGGCTCACTGCCTTTAACCCACTTTTTATATTCCGAATAAGTTTGAATCGACTTGAATCGACTCGAGTATAAATACGTCCAGCCCGTCCCGCACGCAATATCCCCGCTTATTCAGCATGATACTAATGATTTCAGCATTATCTCACCGTCCGCACACCTTTCCGCCCAATCCCAGTTCCACAGACAACATTCATATCCATATCAAAAGCAAGCGGTAAGTGACGTGTGTATTACAAACCACTCGACTGTTAGGGTCGTCTGTCTGTAAGGGAGCACGGGCTCTACAGGATGCTGGGGTTGGTAATTATGAAGATAGAACAAAGGGGCAAGTATTACAAACTGTGACGGCGGTCAACAGCATCTAGGAAGAAGAGTCGCTAGTATGGCTATATATTACAAACCACTCGACTGTTAGGGTCGTCTGTCTGTAAGGGAGCACGGGCTCCACAGAATGCTGGGGTTGGTAATTATAAAGATAGAACAAAGGGCAAGCTCCTATCGCACGGGTAATACAGTCAAATCGGAATGCCACTCAAAGTGTATGAGTGCAGTGAATGTGTATTGCTTGCTTGAAGAACCAAGCAAGAACTATCTAAGACCGTGGCTACGGTCGTCGTATATATCTATCTAAGGCGGACCAATCAGAGTTCCTGACTCACATGCTCAGTCGTGCTCAGTCCTAGATGCACTGATCCCTACTGAGCTCTCCGCTCAGTGCGCTCAGTGGGTCTCGGCACTGATCCTACTGAGCTCCCCGCTTAGTGCGCTCAGTGGGTCTCGGCAATGGCCCCACTGAGCACTCCCTCATTGGATGCACCTTCGAGCGAGAGCCCCCCACCTTAAATGCTGTTCCAGCCAATCCACAGAAGGCGGGCAGCGCCCTCTGCACCTTTGAACCAGGATCGTAACACTATATCTTACAAACCACTCGACTGTCAGGGTCGTCTGTCTGTAAGGGACCACGGGCTCCACAGAATGCTGGGGTTGGTAATTATGAAGATAGAACAAAGGGCAAGCTCCTATCGCACGGGTAATACAGTCAAATCGGAATGCCACTCAAAGTGTATGAGTGCAGTGAATGTGTATTGCTTGCTTGAAGAACCAAGCAAGAACTATCTAAGACCGTGGCT